CAGTGATCAGCAGAATACAACCACAATATCGACAGGCAAACGATGGTGATAACAGTCGTCGCACAAGACCGTTTCATCAGAACGTATGCATTACGAAACCGTGGTCAAAGTGCCTTTCAATATTGAGAACCTCACAGATCTATTGGTGTTAGAGTGAACGGACGGACGAGTCGTAATTGTCTGCATGCCTGACATTACTGCATTGCTAGTGTCAAGAGCGGCAGTCCTGAACCAATCGCCGATGGGCAGACGTTAAGTGTTCGGATGAATCAAGGTTTGATTTGGACTCCCTTACCTGGCGCAACCAAGTGTGGCGTAGACGGAATGAGCGCTTCAATGTCACTAACATTAGTGTTACCTGTTGATTCCCTAAATTAAATACTACACTCTTCAAAAAAAGAAACGCATATGCGTTTTCAGCAGTTCATTTCGATATATTTTGACAGCAATCGTCATTAAGGCAATTCCTTTGTTTGAATCCCGTATTCATGATTGTTGTGTATGGCCCGCAAACGCATCCCAAAATGTGTTTGTAAACGTTTGTCATCAAATATGTAAATGATACATGAAAAGTGCATGCAGAAAGCGTTTTCCACGTAATGCACGTGCAATGTGTCGGAAACATGAGTAGAGACATCGACTATAAAAGGCCAACCAAATTAACGAAGATCCAGAATGCCAAGATTGAAAGCTACTGACCGAAATATCGCCACTGGATGGTGGAAACAAGAGAGTCCCAGTCTGTATCCACCACAGCACCATATCTCGATTATGACATCGATATACCCGCTTCAATTCGACCCAAGATCGTCCCAGAAGAGGAGGGCCAAGAGTGACCACACCTGCTCAGGACCAATTCATCCGGATATTTCACCTACGTCACCGATTTGCTACAGAAAAGGACCCTGCATGACAGATGCCTGGTCTTCGAAGAAATGTAGAGCAAATTTCAGAAATCGTCTGAAAGAAGCGGGAATTCGAGCATATCGACCAAAAGTTGGACCTGTCCTGACACGACTACACCAACAACGACGTGTCTAATGGTACAACCGGGCACAGGCATGGAACCTGGGGAACTGGCAACGCGTTTGGTTCAGCGATGAATCGCGTTTCCTCCTGCATCGACGGGATGGGAGACAACGTGTCTATCGACGTCGACACAAACGTTTTGCGCTGAACTGCGTTCGACAGGTGGACAGATTTGGTGGAGGAAGCGTCATGGTGTGGGGAGACATGTCCTAAACGGGTAGATCAGAGCTATTGGTGGTTCAAGGCAATCTTACAGCAAATCGCTAAATCACCCAAATCCTGCGATTTCACCTCCTCCGACTTTTTAACCGCCAGAAGGAGCTGTTTCAACACAACTCTCGACCCCACACACCTCGTGTATCAGGTACCTATCTCGCCAATGTAAACGCCAATGTCCTTCCCTGGCCTTTCAAATCGCCTGATCTGAACCCGATCGAGCATTTATGGGACGAACTTGATCGACGCGTCCGTAAAGGACACCATCGCCCTCAGACACTTGCAGAACTTGCCAACGCGTTGCAGGAGGAATGGCAAAGAATTCCCAAGCAAATATCGGACGATTTGTGCAATCTCTTCCTAGGTGGTGTTGAGCAGTGACGGCTGCAAGGGGTGGTGTCACCAGGTACTGACCTGAACGCCCCCTTGTGTCCACACATGTGCAGTGAGTGAACTGAATTAATGCTGACAATGACAACAATACATATGTTCATCCGTGTGTCGAATTCCCTTTATCTATGTTCAAACTTAATCGACTTATGTGTACTTAAATACGTTTAATACATTTCTTTATGTTTGCCCTATGCGCCTCTTGATTTTATTTTATTTTAAAGATTGTAGATAGCTTACTAAGAACCGTCAGAGAACTAAGACTGAAATCAACAAACGAACTTAGAACTACCCTGCAGAAGGAATGAGATAGAATGAACCAGGTTGACATTGGAGTGAGTGAGTGAGTTTGGTTTTACGCCGCTTTTAGCAATATTCGAGCAATATCACGGCGGGGGGCACCAGAAATGGGCTTCACACATTGTGTTGACATTGGACGTTCGATCAGGAGTATGCCTCGTATAATCCGTATGTTACAATCTACCACACAGAATCTATAATAGCAATAGTTGTTTTATCGTTTTACTGAATGTCACCGTCTTCTTTTAATAGTATGTTTCATTTAAAATCAACATGACTGTAAGTAACAACATCTTTTGTTGTATTATTATAATCAGTAGAAACACTTTTTATCTTTAGCTACCCGTGAAGATCCAGGTTAGAATTATTGGCCTTCAGCAACCCATGCTTGTCGTAAGAGGCGACTAACGGGATCGGGTGGTCAGTTCGCTGACTTGGTTGACATGTCATCGTATCGCAATTGCGTAGATCGATGTTCATGTTGTTGATCACTGGATTCTCTGATCCAGATTCTATTATTTACAGACCGCTGTCATATAGCTGGAACATTGCTGAGTGCGGCGTAAAACTAAACTCACTCACTCATCTAGCTCACCTGGCCTTTACGCATGTGGGAGTCGATCATAACACGGCCTCTATGTTGACAGGGTATCAGTCCTATCCCACACTGATTCCCCCCACACCCACGTGCACACACACACACACACACACACACACACACACACACACACACACACACACACACACACACACACACACACACACACAAAGCCACTGTCTATTTATTACTTATTATGATATCATAATGTTCATAATTAATATGCAAATTGAACCCCAGAAAACATTCACTATAGGTATATATGCATCACACAATGCAATGGTATGAAAATAATTATGGCATTGTGCAATCCTGCTGCCAGATGGTACAACTACAAAGGTAAACATAATTGTAAACGTCCCTGTTAACATGTAGCAGCAGTTTGGAATCTGGAAAATTAGGTTTCATCACATCAAGATATAGCTTTGTCTATTGTAATCATCTGAAACGTTTTATAATCAAAACAAACTGTATGTAGATACTGTAAGCAAATCAAACAAATCATGTGATATTTCATCACTGATGATACAATTATCATAGATATTGAAAATATGAACGTATTTTTGTGTATATGTAAAATTACAAAGTAATTTCTTTAGCAACTTTGAATATGTCTTTTCTATATTTTTTATAGTATTCAAAATGAAATAATTATTGTAATAATACCGATCTTTTACTAATCATACTTGAGATGTAATGATGATAAAGATGCTAGCTATATTTAATCGATGTAAACGTTCAGATAATTCGTAACAATAGGGAGCTGACAAGAAATATCAAAGCACATGTCGGTATTGAAAATAGGGTGTGTGTCATTGTTTACATTTGGTGACAACAAACAGTCACCATTCACCCAAGTAATCTAATATACACCAACCCGTATAAACAGTCATCAACATGGATTTCACGATTTATATCTCCTGTATCTGCATGCTGTATATATAGTTGTTAACACAACTTATCAGAGTCAAACATTCACTATTTCTTAATTCAAAGATGTTTCGCTAAAAGACCAAAGACTCCGACAGTACTTTATTGACATCTTAAAATAGAAATACAGTTCGCTCTATCTCCATGTATAGTGTAACAAAGTACTCTTTTGTGTAACTATTATAAATTAAAACACGAGGTCGCTTTCGTACTTTAACCAGGTAGCAAACACTGTAAGTCCCCATGGTCCCTAGTCTGGTGATCTACCTTCAGTTGTTGGCGATCTATATCACATATTTTATATTGTATTGTCTTCTTTAATTACACTGTTTTAGTTTTACATGCTAGTTTTATATTCATATCTGTGATACTACAGTATTTTTACTGTCCATCGTTGACAGGTTTTACTCTTCAAAATGATTTCATCATTATTGAATAAATTGTTTAATTTGGGGATGGTTAACGTTAGATCGGAAATTTGTTATTCCTGCAAGGATTAACGGTTCCTTACTGTCAACTGACAACCATGAGATCATTCGAAAAGGTATGAAACGTTGTTTGTCACCGGAAGTACTAAGGTCTTGCGAAGTGCCGTGACCTATTTACGGGCCCTATTCAAGTACAATGTCATGCTTAAACGTTAATACCAATTTCAAAACGTCAACAAAGCGCCCTGGAATATTCGATTAGCTGATTTGTATGATCACATAAATTCAGTTAGTCTGGCTTCAGGTTATTACATTACAGTCGAGATCACCCATGAGTCCCTGACTGATCGTTGAATCACGGAATATGTATTTCAGGAGATTACTTTAGGTGGAAGGACTGTACACCAGTGTGAACTTTATCGATAAAGGTGAAACCGTTAACTGTTTACAAGTGTAAGAGCAACGTCTACAGCCTACACGTCGCATGGATCAGTTGAATCAGAGCACCTAGCAGGTTAATGAAGGGAAGATTTACTGAAAAAGACCAAACAGCGGTCCCAGTGTCCAGTCTAATTTTCAGTATGCTCTCCTCAACTTTTGTTACATTTTTGTCTGCGTTAAAAGATTAAACTGTTGGCAATATAGGAAGGTGAGCTACAGTACCTTGCCACTATTATAGAAGCTTTCATATAGTGCATTGTACTCACAAAGAACGGGTTTACAACGAATCATTTGTCCGAAAGCATGGCTCAGCCACTGAACTGGCTCAGACAAAGATAATTTTATAGCTGGAATATTACTCAAATACTGAGTTAAACAACAAACAAACACACAGACACATAGAGGCGACTGACGGGATCTGGTGGTCAGGCTCGCTGACTTGACTGACACAAGTCATCGTATCCCAATTGCGTAAATATATGCTCATGCTGTTGATCACTGGATTGTCTGATCCAGACTATTATTTACAGACCGCTGCCATACAGCTGGAGTATTGCGTTAAACAACAAACAAACAAACATGCTGGGTCAGCGAACTACCACATCGATTATCGTATTAACGACATTGACTCACTCTTAGCATGTGCAAATATTGTGTGGATTGCTTACCTCGAAACTGGCCAGATACATACTTAGTCCAGATTGGAAATATACATTGTGAGATAGCTCGTGCAGTTTTGTTAACATCATGACGTTCCTGCTGCTGCCTCCCATGCTCTGCGGGACTGCAGTGGGGGCGCAGGTATATGTACATTCTGAATCAATAATTATGCCTAAGGGGTTTAAAAAACTGTACAATGATCATTGTCCTTGTGTAATGAATAATCCGCATCAGGAACTGATGGTTACAGCCAGTAGCTATTAAATGCAACAGCTGTGGGTATATCCACAAAAATCCGAGAACGGGTGGTTATAAGTTTTTCATAGCATTTTCATCGATACTATGGCAAAGTATGCGTCACCAGAACAACGCCCATCGTTACTTTTAGTGCACGAACACCTTAATTATGCAGTTTCGAGACATGAGAGTCCTCGTTACAATGGACCCGTGAAGATCCGGGTTAGAATGAACCTTCAGTAACCCATGCTTGTCGTAAGAGGCGACTAACGGGATCGGGTGGTCAGGCTCGCTGGCTTGGTTGACACGTCATCGGTTCCAAATTGCGCAGGTCGATGCTCATAGTGCTGTTGATCAGTGGATTGTCTGGTCCAGACTCGATTATTTACAGACCGCCGCCATATAGCTGGAATATTGCTGAATGCAGCGTAAAACTAAACTCACTCACTCACTCGTTACATGGGCGAAATGTAAACAATGACACACACCCTATTTTCAATACCGACATGTGCTTTGATATTTCTTGTCAGCTCCCTATTGTTACGAATTATCTAAACGTGTACATTGATTAAATATAGCTAGCATCTTTATTTGAGCAAAATTGATGACAAAAATATCGCCGATTCCATTGTTACATGGAAGGTTTTGCGGATATATTTTTTCAATGGCCCAGTGAAAAAACTAGGGGAAAAGTTTTAGATCCATATGAATGATTATTGATAACAGCATTTGCCATTCTAATATTTAGCCTCTGGATATTTGTTAATATGAAAAGCCATTTATTATCTGTTTTCTAAAGCATAATGAGAACATAATTGATCAAGAGTTTTTAACTGTGGGCGTAGAGAAAATGGGCGTATATCCATGTATATACCTATTTTTCTAAGAATGTTGCCACAATACGTGTCTGAATCGGTTTGCAAAACATAAAAATCTTATTGGAATATTATTCCGAAATGTATATGGTTGTAATAATCATGGTGACTGAAATCATCTGTATACAACCATATACACAAATACACTGCCCAATACACTGAACATGCCACATTATTTGACTAACCTGAATATATGACTATACACAGTAGGATCAGTGTTTTAATACATTACCATACAAGTACATACATTACCATACAAGTACATACATTACCATACAAGTACATACATTACCATCAAAATAAATCTAAATAACCTTTTAGTCAGATGTACATTCCATTATTTGTGAACAGTTGAATTAAGAGTGATTTGTACCAATGAAACCTGTTCTGAGTACTGTAATGTTTTGTGACATGAAGTCATTATTAGAATATACATTTGCTATATATAGATCATGTTGTGTGAATGCAGCTATAAGGATAGATCTGCTACAAGTCCATAATCATGTCATTTTATATCAGAAATTACTCAGCCAGATAGCCAATAACTAGTTGGGTTAAATGTTGCTTTGCTTCACCTTATTATACTTTACAGCAGGGCATAAATACGTGGCTCAACAGACAATTTTTGAATTTTTGAGAATTTGCTCTGAATCTGTTGTCCAGTTTTAGTTTAAACATATTTTATTCACAATGTGAAAAGGATCGGGGACAAGTTCCTTCAACTTATTAAACCCCTCTCCGAAGATATTTACAATAACTAATTGTTGTCCAGTTCACAATTGTGATTTTAATACCAAAAGGCTACAAAACAAAATGATTTACTATTACTGGGCGTTCAGTTTATTTCCAGCATACAACGGGGCAAATGGGCCCATCGAAATATAAGTAACCAAAGATGCTAACTATATGTGATCAATGTGGTCGTTCAGATCCATGTTTTATGTGTACGATTTCGTGACGATAGCGAGCTGACATGAAATATCAATACACATGCTGGTGTTGAAAATGGGGTGTCATTGTTTACATTTCGCCCACGTAACGAGGACTTTCATGTCTCGAAACTGCATAATTAACATTTTTGTGCACTAAAAATAACCATGGGCGTTGTTCTGGTGACGTATACTTTGCCATAGTATCGATGAAAATGATATGACAAAATCTAACCACCCATATAGTAAATATATGGCGCGTCGCCCAGTAGTGAAGGCCGCCATTGGCTGCCATTCGGTAGTGATTGCCGGAGTCAAGCAAGTTCAAGCTCAGCGCAGCAGACCCCGGGAACCAGGCTGAGTTACATGCTGGTGTTAATGTTAATCTGCTGTTTTATCACAAGATACTGTGTATATATGTTTCGCATCACTTGCTTGTATTACTTGTAGCTCTATAACGGTGTAAAAATACACATCAAAGGTCCTTCAGTGCAATAAACATGATTCACCAACTTCTAGAATGCCGATGAAACCATTAAGCTGTAAGGTCTTATCCATTAGATTGTCTAAAAGTTTCAAACTCCGTGGATTTTGGGTGAACTTTAAACCAAAACGCAAATATAATTGCAACGTTTTATAATGGATGATGTAATTGGAATTATTTTAAATAATTCAGTTTCTTGGTGGCGTTTTCTATGGGGTAGCCTAGTGGTTAATGCGCTCGCTCGTCACGAAGAAGACCAGGGTTCGATTCCCTACATGGGTAAAGTGTGTGAAGCCCAGCTCTGGTTTCCCCCGCCGTGATGTTGCTGGACTAGTTCCGAAAACGGCTTAAAACTAAACTCACTCACTCTGCTGCTTTTCTGGCCTTCGACTCGTAGTTCTTCCCACAGGGGCTTGTAACGCTAAAAACTTCGATCAGGGTATGTAATGTCACTAACGGGGTCTTATCACTATATAACCTTGGCCTTAACCTGCCCCGCACTAAAAGGAGCAAGGGAGCTCATTGGTTATAAATGAAATATGTCCCATCAGATCGCTGACTGTTTTCAATGCGGGGCAGGTTAAGGCCAAGGTCGTCAATGGCGAACGGGCACGACACAATTCTGTTTGTGATGAATAAATGTACGTAAACTCATTATGACAGTGAGATGTAAGTGTCTCCGAAAGAATGGCGACTAGCGCGCTGACCGGTGCCATCAGTTCAACATGTTTTGGTGCATGTCGTTTGTGTATACTGTAAAATAAACAAGAAAATGGGTGAGTTACCGCTACAAATTCTGAGCAGGGATTTTGGCTCGGAATCGAGAAATCACGATTTTTCGCGCTTACGAAGACCCTAGCTCCCAAAGTACTGCTTCGATTTTTGTGCTGTATGTCTTATTGTGTAGGCAAATCTATTGGCTTGAAATGTGTGCAACTTTAAATGGGATAAATGCCGTGAGCATTGTTGAACTCACCCTGAAACGAACTTGGTGTGTTGACATCGTTACATCCCTTTCCTTTAATATAGTGATAAGGCCCCGTTAGTGACAGTACATACCCTGATGGCAGTTTTTAGCGTTACAAGCCCCTGTGGTTCATGAAATCCCCTTTGGCAAAGATTCCGTCATGTACGTAGCGTAGATAAAGATGAACTGATCCGGTCGAACATGAGATCGAATTGACATCAAGTCATTTTCGAACAGGCCTCCATGGCTATGTCAGGCAATGTATAATATTGACATGGGTCTAGTCCGTAATAATCTTGACATGTGGCACGAAATGTTTCGAATACATCAACTAGGATAAATTCAATGGAACAGTACTTGTGTTCCATAAACTGACGATTAATAAAACTGATCTCTGGTAGGGAAGTTAGACAAGTTTTTTCACGTACTCGTAAAAGTATGACAGCTTGCTTGTCACCATGTCCACGAACTCGTAAAAGTATGACAGCTTGCTTGTCACCATGTCCACGAACTCGTTAAAGTAAAACAGCTTGGTGTGATCACGACACGTACTCTTAAAAGTAAGGCATTTGGTGTGTAAGTATGTGAAGGTCATCGGGAAAATGGCTCGTCAAATGCATAATTGATCCTGGCCTTTTTGATGAATTTGTTTGTTATTTACGTTGCGCTCAGCAATATTCCAGTTACATGGCGTTGGCCTGTAAATAATCGAGTCAGACAATCGATCCGTATGTCACTTCTTCATTTTAAGACAAGCATTGGATGCAGAAGACCAATTCTAACTCGGATCTTCACGGGTAGTTGTCCAATGAGGGAGACAGGAATTTGAAAGAATCTGTAAAACGCAACTGATTTTGAACATGATGAACTGTTACGTGTATTGCAGGATGCATGTCAATTTTCGATCGAAATTTGCAGGGAGCTCGATTGTAAGGTGAGCTGCAAGCTACACATTCAACTTTTGGGTAATTCACGGGGTGTTTGGGTAGCCGCGTGGTTAAAGCGTTCGCTCGTTTGGCCGAAGACTCTGGTTCGTGACCCAAGTAGCATTCGCTATTATAATGATTCTTTGGCCTTCAAAAGGCAGCGTAAAACCAAATTCACTCACTCACTCACTCACTTTGGTCTTCAGCATTGGTGATCATTTCCGGTCTCGTATTTTATCAGTTACTCTCTCCATGTATTCATCGTAACCCGCTAAATATTGGTCAAATCTCTATATATTCCAGCACTGAAGAGGTCATCTCTATATATTCCAGCACTGAAGAGGTCATCTCTATATATTCCAGCACTGAAGAGGTCTACATCTCAATGTCTTACAATCACAATGTTTGCAGACTGTGTTTTTCTATATACAAAAGCATGGTGGTGGAACCCGTGAAGATCCGGGTTAGAATGTGCCTTCAATAACCCATGCTTGTCGTAAGAGGCGACTAACGGAATCGGGTGGTCTGACTCGCTGACTTGGTTGACACATGTCATCGGTTCCCAATTGCGCAGATCGATGCTCATAGTGCTGTTGATCACTGGATTGTCTGGTCCAGACTCGATTATTTACAGACCACCGCCATATAGCTGGAATATTGCTGAGTGCGGCGTAAAACTAAACTCACTCATTCACTCACTCATGGTGGATAGCGAATATTAGTTGTATTATTAGTGCTAAAAAACAAATACAATTTAAAGGTATTGGGATATGTATTGTGGTGAATATTGTGTCTTAAAATTAGCATATACTTAAGGACATACTAACAAAAAGTTTAATGTACAAATTCTTTTTCTCTTGGAATATTATATATACTCTTCCCCATGTAACAGAATTGTTTTAATTGTTGTATCAAATATTTTCGAAAATGTTTTTTTAAATTTGCATTGCCCTACTTCTCTAAATTCCTGTAAATGCCCATAAAATACTGTTGCAGCACTGGTTGCATGTTGATAGCATGAACCGGTATGGACACCTTGATATTTATACCCTTAAATAATTCTCCATTATCAGTACAGCGGGGCGGTGGGGTAGTCTTTTGGTTAAAGCGTTCGCTTGTCACGCCGAATTCGAAGGGCCGGGTTCGATTCCCAACATGGTTACAATGTGTGAAGCCCATTTCTGGTGTCCCCCGCCGTTATGTTGCTGGAATATTGATAAAAGCGGCGTAAAACTAAACTCACTAACGATAATTGAAGGTCAAGGTCAGCGTCAATTAACGGAACAAGGTTAAATTATTTTATTATGCACAGTGATATGATTACAATGAATAAACATTTATGAACATAGACGTACAAAATTCCTGTTATTCATGTTACAGAAATAAGAATCAATTTTATTCAACATGCTACTTGTCTTCAAACCGTGTTCAAATGCACTGTATTCTCTGATGAGATACGCCCATCCTGAATTAAGTCATGAAAGGGAGGAGGAGGGTCATGAGGATAAAGTCGTTTTGTTGACAGACATTTTAATTCAATAATGTAGGCCACTGGCCCATAATACATGCGGATATAAGTAGTACATGCATGCTGAATATAGGGTGAATATTGAAATTCAAGATTAATCATTTTATAATGGGGGATTTACTTCTTAATTTTAATACAGTGGAGAGGAATGTACTTAATGTTTTCTTTATAATTAGTATAAATGATGTTACAGGTAATTAAACACACAAAGGTTTCAATTGTTGGAGACTGAGTCTGATGGCCTGTGAAACACTTCTTTCTTACTTCAGAATATTTACCACGGATAAGTAGGACATGGAGCTCGTCTTCAACATAGTTTAGGCAACGTTGTGTTGAAGTGTTAAGTGTCTCCTTAAAATACGAGATCCAGAAATATTGATCAAATAATGAAATGTGACACGAAGTGGTAATTACAAAATGCGCAGATGATTCTAGTAGCCAATCAATGTAGATTTACACCAACATTTACCATATATACACCAACTATTCACAGGTTCAGCATTATTTTGCAACATGAGTGAATAGTTGGGTTGCACGTTTCAAAAAGCTATAAGGGACTGCATATTTGTTTTGCGTTCTACAATCTCCCTTTCCTCTCCATTCCAAATCCCATCCAATACCTTTCCTCGCTCAATCCCTTCCAAAGCACCATCACATCACAATCTATCTCCAACAAAATATATCCTCTCTCCGAAACCCGTAAAATCCATCTTGAAATAACTGACTTTAAAAATCACTTTCCTACCCTTGCCGAGCTAGGCTTGGATTATGCTGTAATATTTTGTCCGCCAAAATTACATGGCGACTTCCGTGAACATTTCAGACGATAGCGGGTTTTACAGATCATGTGTACCGTCAACTGGGCATCCAGAGATATTTTCATTATCATTCCGTGTGTTTAATCCAGGAATTCATATGATCTTAACTCCGCGAGAAATTATAACACTGATCTTGATTATCGATCAGATAGACAGAAAGCCGCCATTTTGTTTCAAGCAAATGATAGTGGTGTGATAGGTTGAATCTGATTGGTCAGTAGAAGGAACATATGAGGGACATAACTCGCAATAGCCACTGGTGGCGCAACGATCCATGCGCGAAATTTCAGCCTGCTTCGGCAAGTGTGGAAACTGGACTTTTTACTCACTTGCCTCGAGTGAGTGTGTGAGTTTAGTTTTACGCCGCTTTTTGCAACATATCAGCAATATTATCTTGCCTCACACATAAAATGTCGTTTTCTGATTGGCTGAGCGCTTGTCTTCTATTAACAAATTCAATGTACCTGAGCTACAGCTTACAAGCGAGTAACATTTTCTATGTACCCCGCTAGGAATGCCGAACTCAGTTGGTACTTCTTAGTAGTAATTCTTTATCTCGAATAACATTGAATCACGTAATGATGTACGGAAATTACCGATGTTTTGCGAATGCAAATCGATGGAAGGGAGATAACTCTAAATTTGTTTTTCTTGTCTTGTCGTCTGGTACTCCATACTATGATCCGATACCCGTGCTTCAAACAGTTCAAAATTACCATTGAGGTGTTCGGTAAGATAAATACGTTGTTCACTGGTCCCTCGGGGCCCATGGGTTGATGTACCCTCGATGTTTCTTTATGTTCCCTCGCCCTTCGGGCTCAGGGAACATAAACAAACATCGACAAAATGCTGGATAACATTGGGCATATGTTTGGTTTACTGGTTATATACGAGGGTACATCAGCCAGATTCATGATCAATGAAATGGCCCCAAAAGGTTAAGGTTTTCCAACACATATCGTTTATATCAAGAAACGTGTCAAGCCACCAAATGATTTTAGCATATTTTCCTGAGAATCCGTTTCTTTACCAGACAATCCAGTGATCAACACCATGAGCATTGATCTACGCAACTGGCATACGATGGCCTGTGTCAGCCAAGTCAGTGAGCCTGACCACCCGATCCCGTTAGTCGCCTCTTACGACAAAGCATGGGTTGCTGAAAGCTGAGGAGACGAGGGGGTCTAAATAACAGAAGGATGGAGATGAAATAGGCCGGATAATCGATGATGATTACAATATCAAACGTTCGGTCTCTGATTCTTGTTCCTCACTTTTACGGTACCCGTGTATATTAATATGTGTTTTGTACAGGACTGTAAGTATCAGTGCTTCAGGGTATGAGTATCTAAATTGCTAGCAAGTGCTTGTGGGTTTTCAGATTTCATGATCGGAAGAAAACTACGTTCCAACATCCTGATTACAAAACGGTTCTTACTCATTGTTCGATGCTCTTTCACCTGTTAGTCTACCATTTGGAGAAACCTTCATTTACTGAACCTTGACCTGCGTAATAGTTTTCTTGGCCTTGACCTTGATTTTGACCTTGACCTGCAGCGACCTGAGCACGTACTTCCGCCAACTGCCTCTGCATGTCAGCGAACTGTCTCCGCATTTCCCGTCGAGACTTGAACCCGATAGATCTTGCATAGCCACAGAAATAGCACGTTCCCATGATGCAACTTAAGGACAAGAGGAATCCCACCCCGGCCGACACACCGGACGTGGCGAGTAATGCTGTAGTGTCGGGGGTACAGCGAGTCGACTGTTTGAAGTCAGAGGACCGACAGAACACCGCACCGAGAACACCAAACACGACGCTAGCAGCGCAGAATGAAATACACATGACGTTGAAAACATAATGTAGAATGACCTGTAAAGAGATTGAACTGGATTATGCTGACTTAAAACCAAATGCATTAGAATGAATGAGTGAGTATAGTTTTACGCCGCTTTTAGCGATATTCCAGCGATATCACGACGTGGGCAAATGCATTAGATATAAAAAATAATGTACTTCGTACAATAACTAAACAATAGGTAAGAATAGGAGTTCCTTAAGTACCCCCATCTAAGTTTTTAAGAAAATACAAAGACATATAAGTAATGAAAACTACCTTATAAAATAGGCGGGGGTACGTAAGGAACTTTTTTCCCCACACCATGCACTGCATACGATAAATAAACAATCTATAATAGCCACACCATGCACTACATACAATAAATAAACAATCTATAATACCCACACCATGCACTACATACAATAAATAAACAATCTATAATACCCACACCATGCACTACATACATTAAATAAACAATCTATAATACCCACACCATGCACTACATACAATAAATAAACAATCTATAATACCCACACCATGCACTACATACAATAAATAAACAATCTATAATACCCACACCATGCACTACATACAATAAATAAACAATCTATAATACCCACACCATGCACTACATACAATAAATAAACAATCTATAATACCCACACCATGCACTACATACAATAAATAAACAATCTATAATACCCACACCATGCACTACATACAATAAATAAACAATCTATAATAATACCCACACCATGCACTACATACAATAAATAAACAATCTATAATACCCACACCATGCACTACATACAATAAATAAACAATCTATAATACCCACACCATGCACTACATACAATAAATAAACAATCTATAATACCCACACCATGCACTACATACAATAAATAAACAATCTATAATACCCACACCATGCACTACATACAATAAATAAACAATCTATAATACCCACACCATGCACTACATACAATAAATAAACAATCTATAATACCCACACCATGCACTACATACAATAAATAAACAATCTATAATACCCACACCATGCACTACATACAATAAATAAACAATCTATAATACCCACACCATGCACTACATACAATAAATAAACAATCTATAATACCCACACCATGCACTACATACAATAAATAAACAATCTATAATACCCACACCATGCACTACATACAATAAATAAACAATCTATAATACCCACACCATGCACTACATACAATAAATAAACAATCTATAATACCCACACCATGCACTACATACAATAAATAAACAATCTATAATACCCACACCATGCACTACATACAATAAATAAACAATCTATAATACCCACACCATGCACTACATACAATAAATAAACAATCTATAATACCCACACCATGCACTACATACAATAAATAAACAATCTATAATACCCACACCATGCACTACATACAATAAATAAACAATCTATAATACCCACACCATGCACTACATACAATAAATAAACAATCTATAATACCCACACCATGCACTACATACAATAAATAAACAATCTATAATACCCACACCATGCACTACATACAATAAATAAACAATCTATAATACCCACACCATGCACTACATACAATAAATAAACAATCTATAATACCCACACCATGCACTACATACAATAAATAAACAATCTATAATACCCACACCATGCACTACATACAATAAATAAACAATCTATAATACCCACACCATGCACTGCATACATGCACTACCCATACCATGCAAATATACAATAAATAAACAATCTATAATACCCACACCATGCACTACATACAATAAATAAACAATCTATAATACCCACACCATGCACTACATACAATAAATAAACAATCTATAATACCCACACCATGCACTACATACAATAAATAAACAATCTATAATACCCACACCATGCACTACATACAATAAATAAACAATCTATAATACCCACACCATGCACTACATACAATAAATAAACAATCTATAATAGCCACACCATGCACTACATACAATAAATAAACAATCTATAATACCCACACCATGCACTACATACAATAAATAAACAATCTATAATACCCACACCATGCACTACATACAATAAATAAACAATCTATAATACCCACACCATGCACTACATACAATAAATAAACAATCTACAATACCCACACCATGCACTACATACAATAAATAAACAATCTATAATACCCACACCATGCACTACATACAATAAATAAACAATCTATAATACCCACACCATGCACTACATACAATAAATAAACAATCTATAATACCCACCATGCACTACATACAATAAATAAACAATCTACAATACCCACACCATGCACTACATACAATAAATAAACAATCTACAATACCCACACCATGCACTACATACAATAAATAAACAATCTATAATACCCACACCATGCACTACATGCAATAAATAAACAATATAGAACACCCATAAACAACATATAATATATAGTACAAATCATTACAACATCCACAGTAAGTCACCGTAAACTACATACAATATATAGATAATATAAACTATAAACTACGTGGAATAACATACAAACAACATACAGCACCCAAGTATAAACTATACTGAACGAAAAAAAAAGAAACTTCGCACTTAATGAAATTAATTATATTGAAAATGGGTAGTTGAAGGTTGGAGACTACTATAATGGCCAAGCTGGGTCTCCACGGGTAATCTGGTAATCCAGGTCACGCAACAACCGGAACACGGAAACCATTTACGTAATGTTACATTAACAATGTTAACCTGTCCTAGTTAACCCTAAAATATACAATAAATAAACATCAACAATGGCACTGAATCTATATTTCTAATACACAACTGAGAAATATCAACAATGGGTATGAGAACAGCATCCATACGTATTAGAATATAAGTAACGAGCATTCAGAACTCAGGAGCTTTTCTGTGAATAATCATCATAAATGTTCTACTTACATAGGCCTTGACCTTGGGTGCAACGTCATCTTTGTTGAAACCAATGTTGGAAGCCAGAAATCCAAACGTGGCACCAATGGCAACCTAAAATGAGAAAATCATTGGAAGACGTGTACAGAGAAACGAAATCAACATCAGTATGTTCATTAACAAGGAATCTGGGGGGGGGGGTGGGGAGTTTTCATGTGTATGATACATTTTGTATGTCTGGGTTTTTTTAAATGATTGATCAAAAGTACATTCATAGACAGGGTCGCCAAAGAAAATCTACACGCAAGCACGCACTCAGTTGTACATGTGCTAGCTGAGAGGAAGCCACAACACACTGATATAGCACGAATTTCCCTCCTAAACCTAAGTTCAAGCTTTACAAAACATATTGTTTGAGGGCCATGCTTGATGTGCTGAAAGGAAATTGAATGTGTTGTGAAAATTTTGGACTGCTTTGGAGTAGGATGGTGGGAGGGGGATATACGAAATCGGGTACAATTTGTAGAACGGCGGTTCTGGTAGGAAGTAACGGTAAGACAATTTTGCCTGAAAAGTCAAACAGTTAAAAAACATTCCTCGGCCTTGGGGGATTCATTTACATTTTTCACATTAGGCTGATTATGGGTCGTCGTATCTGTAAACCTAGACTAACGCTTGGTCTCTGAATATATATATTTTTTTCGATAGAACGAACGATTCCTTTTAAACTGATTTGGTGAGTGAGTGAGTTTAGTTTTACGCCGCATTCAGCAGTAATCCAGCTATATGGCGGCGGTCTGTAAATAATCGAGTCTGGGCCAGACAATCCTGTGACCAACACAATTGGGATACGATGACATGTGTCAACCATGTCAGCGAGCCTGACCACACGATCCCGTTAGTCGCCTCTTGCGACAAGCATGGGTTACTGAAGACCAATTCTAACCCGGATCTTCACGGGTCTAAACTGAATTGGAACCCCAGTGAGAATGGACATTAAAAAGCCTGAGGACATCTAGACTTGTTTCATTTAGGGTTTTAGCGTTGCAAAAAGGACCAGGCAGCAGCGAAGATGATGCGGTTCAGGGACTGTGAGACAGACTACTGCAAACCACGGATGACTTACCAGTGCCCCGCTCCAGATGGGTATAGCGATAATGTACGGGAACTGGGGGTTCTCGGCAGCGAAGGAGACAGCAACGATTCCGACGATCACAGAGATGGTAGCCAGACCCAGCTGAATCAGACATATCTTCTTCAAAACCAGGAACCCTCTGTCTCGCAATTTCTTTACTTGTTCTGAAAATCAAAAATTCTTTTTCCATATTAGGATATCGATGACCATCTGGAATAGGTTCAGTTAGAGCGGTGATTGTATGTTTTTATTTAACAAGAATATAATAATCGCCTACTAATAAAACAGTCTTCTCTGGTGAAATATTTTGGGAGATGGACTGGGGACATGTAATTGGGAGGTTTGTTTTGCGCAAAGGTGCATGAGTCAATTTCTCGTAGGTGTCCTTAGGTCTAAAAGCAAACCGTATCGTGCCGGAGTGGGATATCTAATTTTAATAAGACTGGTGTATTTTCTGTTCTTAGTTAATTATTGGTGCCGGTCAAAACAGGCGGGACAACATGGTGAATATGGTCCATTGAAACAGGTGGAAACCAACCTGAACACCGCCACAGGGACCGATGGAGTTTCTACCTAGACTGACGCCACTGTAATCAATTCACACATACATACTTCTCTATTACGTCGGTAGAACTACGTCATTTCATACATATTCAAATATAATAGGGGCGGTGGGGTAGCTTAGGGGTAAAGCGTCCGCTCGTCATGCCGAAGGGCCGGGTTCGATTCCCCACATGGGCACAGAGTGTGAAGCTCTTTCCTGGTGTCCCCAACCGTGATATTGCTGGAATATTGCTAAAAGTGACGTAAAACCCAACTCACTCACTCCGATATAATAGTCACTGATAAAAGTATCTCACATATTTTTATGATACTCGGACCTCGTTGTATCGCGGCATTCATGGTATCGCGGCAAACGGTATTTCGGGTTTTCCGCGCGAGACACGCCTCCTAGCGGTGATTTGCATATGTAAATCGACAGCCAGACGTCAGTCGCTTGTTTACTTTTTAGATACCAGCAGGATGTATCGAATCTTCGTAAGCATTATGCAGCAGAAATATTAACATTAAACTCTTGAATCTAATGGAATCTGTCTGTATCCCATTCATCAAATACACGCTATAATATTTACGTGTCGTATATGACCCTTCCAACTCGATCTGAACTAGGTCGTCTGCATCTCATTGTTGCCATATAAGGTAGCGGAAATGACATCATGAGCTTTATTTATCTCCCGGTGAATACCAAAATTTGTAATTCAAATAAGGACACAAAACGTAAAAATGATCCCTGTTCGCTGAAAACGATTTTGCACACTCTAAACAAACTAGAAATGTAGAAAGGATTTTTATTTATACTGTTGTTCACATAATTATTTATTCATATTATAACATTATTTCTGATCATATTTTGCAATTGAAATATTGTTGAAAATCATGCCTGAAATAAAAACAAAACAACAGTATGAACAAATATTAAGAAAATCATGATGAAAATGATATATTTTGTATGTCTGGTTTTTAAATGCTTGATCAAAAATTTCATATCATAGACAGGGCCGCCAAAGAAAATCTTCAGTAAGCACGCACTCAGTTGTACATGTGCTAGCTGAGAGGAAGCCACAACACACTGATATAGCACGATTTCCCTCCTAAACCTAAGTTCAAGCTTTACAAAACATATTGTTTGAGGGCCATGCTTGATGTGCTGAAAGGAAATTGAATGTGTTGTCGAAAATTTTGGACTGCTTTGGAGTAGGATGGTGGGAGGGATGTACGAAATCGGGTACAATTTGTAGAACGGCGGTTCTGGTAGGAAGTAACGGTAAAACAATTTTGCCTGAAAAGTCAAAGAGTTAAAAAACATTCCTCCGCCTTGGGGATTCATTTACATTTTTTCACACTTAGGCTGATTATGGGTCGTCGTATCTGCAACACTAGACTAACGCTTCTGGTCTCTGAATATATATATTCCTTTTAAAACTGATTTTGTGAGTGAGTGAGTTTAGTTTTGGTGATCAACACAATAATGGGATACGATGAATTTCATGTGTCAAGCCATGTCAGCGGATATTCAACCACACGATCCCGTTAGTCGCCTCTTTGCGACAAGCATGGGTTACTGAAGACCAATTCTAACCCGGATCTTCACGGGTCTAAACTGAATTGGAACCCCAGTGAGAATGGACATTAAAACCTGGGAACATCTAGACTTGTTTCATTTAGGGTTTTAGCGTTGCAAAAGGACCAGGCAGCAGCGAAGATGATGCGGTTCAGGGACTGTGAGACAGACTACTGCAAACCACGGATGACTTACCAGTGCCCCGCTCCAGATGGTATATAGCGATAATGTACAGGAACTGGGGGTTCTCGGCAGCGAAGGAGATAGCAACGATTCTGACGATCACAGAGATGGTAGCCAGACCCAGCTGAATCAGACATATCTTCTTCAAAACCAGGAACCCTCTGTCTCGCAATTTCTTTACTTGTTCTGAAAATCAAAAGTCTTTTCCATATTAGGATATCGATGACCATCTGGAATAGGTTCAGTTAGAGCGGTGATTGTATGTTTTTATTTAACAAGAATATAATAATCGCCTACTAATAAAACAGTCTCCTCTGGTGAAATATTTTGGGAGATGGACGGGGGACATGTAATTGGGAGGTTTGTTTTGCGCAAAGGTGCATGAGTCAATTTCTTGTAGGTGTCCTTAGGTCTAAAAGCAAACCGTATCGTGCCGGAGTGGGATATCTAATTGTAATAAGACTGGTGTATTTTCTGTTCTTAGTTAATTATTGGTGCCGGTCAAAACAGGCGGGACAACATGGTGAATATGGTCCATTGAAACAGGTGGAAACCAACCTGAACACCGCCACAGGGACCGATGGAGTTTCTACCTAGACTGACGCCACTGTAATCAATTCACACATACATACTTCTCTATTACGTCGGTAGAACTAAGTCATTTCATACATATTCAAATATAATAGGGGCGGTGGGGTAGCTTAGGGGGTAAAGCGTCCGCTAGTCATGCCGAAGGGCCGGGTTCGATTCCCCACATGGGCACAGAGTGTGAAGCTCTTTCCTGGTGTCCCCAACCGTGATATTGCTGGAATATTGCTAAAAGTGACGTAAAACCCAACTCACTCACTCCGATATAATAGTCACTGATAAAAGTATCTCACAGTTGTCTGAACAATGCCACACATTAATCGTTCGCACGCTTGTATTATATTATTATAGTATATGGGTATTTATATATTATATGGGTATTTATATATTATATGGGTATTTATATAGTATATGGGTATTTATATATTATATGGGTATTTATATAGTATATGGGTATTTATATAGTATATGGGTATTTATATATTATATGGGTATTTATATAGTATATGGGTATTTATATAGTATATGGGTATTTATATAGTATATGGGTATTTATATATTATATGGGTGGTATTTATATATTATATGGGTATTTACATAGTATATGGGTATTTATATGGGTATAGTATATATAGTATATGGGTATTTATTGGATAGTATATGGGTATTTATATATTATATGGGTATTTATATATATGTATATGGGTATTTATATAGTATATATGGTATTTATATAAACGGGTATTTATATAGTATTTATATATTATATGATTATTTATATAGTATATGGGCATTTATATATGGGTAATTATATATAGTATATGGGTATTTATATAGTATATGGGTATATAGTATATGGGTATTTATTTTATATGAGTATATGGGTATTTATATAGTATATGGGTATATATAGTATATGGGTATATATGTATATATTATTTATAGATTATATGGGTGGTATTTATATATTATATGGGTATTTATATAGTATATGGGTATTTATATATTATATGGGTATTTATATAGCGCTATAGTCCATCCACATGCATGCTCAAAGCGCTTTGCTTTCCCCTCGATCATTGGATGTCAATCTCAACGGCACTTCGTGTTATCAATCTCAACTACCTGGGGATCATACAACTCGTGCAGCCACTAGACGCACCAAGTTAACGTGGCGTTCCCATCCTTACGAGGTACCCATTCACAGCTGGGTGGACTGGGACACATAGACACAGTACAAATGATATTATTGTATTATTATACAATTATTGTGTTTATTTTAGGCGTGAGACATGAAATCCACTCAGTAAGATAGCAGTTAGGTAATACGTTAGTGTCAGACTATCACGGTCCCACGATTAATGGGAGGTAACTCTGTTAACCGACATAACTGATACAATCGATCAACTTCATCCCGGAAATGGCCGACCGTTTTCCGAATGATACTGTCAGGTTACTAATTGCGTAAACGATACGGTAGTGCTGTTTTGAGGTTTACAACAAAACAGAATCGTGTTTACTTGTCAAGTTAAACTGTAATGAATAACAAAACACCGAGACGCATTGTTGCTTTGGTCGTGATTTTGTTTCATTTCTCATAAACGTACACAGTACAATACAGAACATGAACAGGTCACATCAATGGTTATGTAAAAACAAATCGGCTTACCTCTTTCCTCGGGGCTCATGTGATCAAAATCACCCATATTTGTTATATTCCGCTGCCACTGCGATCTACCCTGCTAAAAGTACACCTGACAAGCTTCAGGTGTGCACGTGTTGAGTTTCTTTTAGCGAGCGTTGCCCTGAGATATAAATAGTCTTTTGTCCATTATGATGTACAGCTGTCACCTTGTAGATCTAATGTGAAAGGGGATATTATCCAAACAATATTCCGTCGCATCCGTAATGAGCGACTTTAGCCTTGCTTCAAGGCTGTACTGAATGCTGAGCCCAGGGATGTATAGTAATTCTATCCTTCGAAGAAGCAAGTCTAGATAAACGGACAGGATCCCAGTCTGTTATTTATTATTTTTAGAAATTATCATTTAAAACTATTAATTTTTGGAGACTTAAAGACTTGTTCAGGTCTATGACAACTTATACAGGATTATCTATTAACTGTTACGCAACACTCAAGTCTTTCTGGGTTAGATAGCTGTACATTTGTCTAGGCTACAAGTTTGACCTAAGCTACATCTTTCGAATCGACAAGGGAAAAATCCCTATATGAATGTCATCAATAGCATTTAAGTTACTTAAGAACTGTAAATAACTTGGTCTTTCGTTTTGATTTAGCTATGTTAGTATCGTCAAGAAATAAGTGAACTAGTATTGTTGCCGCTTTCAGCAAAATTCCAGCTGAGTGTGAGAATTAGCCACTGGCCCGCTAGCCCGAGTCTAATAACAATCCAGACGGGCCAGTAAATCCCCACAGTCACTGGTCCGACTGGCTTGTGAATTTTCATGGGGACATTTTGTAAATATATCACTCTGTCCGACACACACTTTTAAATCATGCAAGATTATCGCCTGATAAAAATGTTCATCATATTAGCAGTTTAATGATGAAACCCGTGTCCACATTCAACTTTCGGGCTAGTGAATTATTTTGTGGGCTGGTAACTTTCAGGCATAGCTAGCCCGACTAGCTGGCAAAATTTGGAAACTATTTGGCACACTGTGCCAGCTACATCACGACACCAGAAAAAGGCTAACGCTTTATCCTCTTGGTTACCCGGACCTCCCAACTCGGGGAGGGACTCAATCGACTTGCATTTCTTTGTGGAAGATGTTCCTTTTTATTACATATTTTAAAATATCTTTAAAGACTTGTATTATATACTGCTGGTTGGCATGCTCCCGTTTCCCCCGTGTTCGGGATTGTCATGGGAGTTCTGGGTTCGAATCCCCCGTGGAGAGAGATATTTTGCTGACAGCCTTGATAGGGGCGGGAGAGAGGATGTGGACGAAATGACAGTAAAAGGCGTTTAATTTAATTATTCCTAACTCCTGAGAATGTATTTTAGTGGTGATACATCGTGTTAGAAAACAGGTAACCCTTTAAATTGATTGGGTAGTCCGCAAAGCTGGGTGTCTCGGGTTATTGCTTTTCATCGTATCCCAGATGCGTCTAGACCGATCCTCACGATGTTAATCACGGGATTGTCTTGTCCAAACTCGGTTCTTACAGCCAGAGACCACAAAGGTGGAATATTGCTGAGTGTGGTGTTAAAGGCATTCACTCATTAATACAATCAGATCTTTAGATAACTGTTCTATAATTACAATACACTCCCGTTTTAGCGAGGGTTGATACGGAGAGGATTCAGAGTTGCCTCCCCTCCTAAAGCAAAATGGCTACCATTTACAGCACAAGTAAATTGTGATTATTCGGAAGATGAGCAAACCCAGGAGGAGGGTGACAGTTGATACCGGGAAGCCTGTCTCAGAGGAATCAGAAAAAGAGGAAGCCCAGCGTCTTTGAACGACTGGGACCAGGAGGTGGACAGAGAAAATATGAGGAGGCAAGTGAAACCGGGCTAACCAATCCGACCTTTTTCAAACCGCAAGATCAACGATCACACTTTCAACTCCTTTACCTTACGACAATGACTACAGAACGCACGCTAATAGCAGCCTCAACCTTTGGTTCTTGCGCCTTCTTTTTTTTACTTTTATTTCTTTCTTTTTTCAGATTACACTTTTTTTTCTAAAATCTTTGCTCGAGGACCCCATGACAATGTTTACATTTAGCGATTTGTAGCTCATGTGGACACATAATTGTGAATAAAAAAGTGGTAAGAGTTCCACCCGTAATCCCCGCTTGAAATGTATTCTGTTTATTAGGATTATTTCGTGGGTTTAGGGTTAGGCATAGGCTGTTTATAAAAAAAACATAGGCGTATATTCTTAGGCATATAGTGATTTTAAACAATACAGGGGTTACGGGCGGAAATCTTTCCTTGTGATTGAATCATTGTTGCACTCAAAGGTAATCATGGTAATTACTGATTAGCGTATTGTAAATGTAATGTCACGTGCAGGATAAAATCATCATCATCATCATCAATATCTGTAGTAGCCTATTTGGGTACGCAATTGTTCCTACAGCATGTGAATTTTGCAGATGCTGTTACATAAAATGTTTTCTTATATATGTTTGATATATATATGCACCATTCCCATATCTGTTAAGATGCATTAACATGATTAAGGAGACAAAAGAATATATGTTGAAACAATTATGAAAAGTATGGTTTACTTTGGCTCAGAGTTTCATGTTTGAAACTGAACGTGTGTAAATATATTGGAGTGAATATGTCCCATCAATATAGAACAGTGAGATGTTCAGTTTCCTTAATCAATTTAAGGACAATGAACATGAACAGTTGTCTTTCTGCCATACACTATTTAGCATCAGTAACATTAAGGGTTAATATTAGATGTGTGTTCTGTTGTAATGTGACCCATGAAGATCCTGGGTAGAATAGGTCTTCAGCAACCCATGCTTGCCACAAAAGGCGACTATGCTTGTCGTAAGAGGCGACTAACAGGATCGGGTGGTCAGATCGATGCTCATGCTCTTGATCACTGGATTGTCTGGTCCACAACTAGAATTCCTGTTGTCATTTCTATTCTATGGATCTTGGACCAGTCTAAGGCACAGTAATTCATTCTGCATAGATGGGCCCGTTGGCTCACCAGAAAAGTATTATATTACATCGAATCTAGGAATGCACTGATTATGTTTGTGGGGTTCACCCAAATGATAAACAGCTGAGAACTGCATCACCTCTGGTTTTCCACCAAACTGTTATGCCATAACTGGAGCAAAAGCAGTGTTATGTAGCAGTGGTCCGATTAATTGAAATAATCGAAGATTGGCCACAATGACAAAACTACCAAGCAATCAATCATGTTTTCTCACAATCAAACACAAACAATTTTGGAACACTTGTTTGCAGTAACAAATTTTTAAACTTATCCTATCTCACGACTTGCACCTCTCTCTCTTGCTTCGACTTTTAGTGGAACGACTGTAAACTTTTTTCCATAGGCCTCCTTGTCCATTCGCCCGTGCACTCCATGCTGCTCTCCTTAATTAGCTTCCTAGTTCCTAATAAAGCTTGCAGCATGCTCCACTAATTGCCCACGTGACTACCTTGAATGATCATTCTCTTTCTTGTCGCACAACTGTGTGGACGTGCTGTATATTAGGGACATTATTTCACCCAAACATCATGGGGAAAACTGATAATCAGTCAAAGAAAAGGAAAGTTTGTGCTCAATGCAAGACGAATTATTCGTCCCTTGACCCTCACTCGTCTTGCAGTGACTGTATTGGACAATGTAACTGGAACAAACGATGTGGCAAGTGTAATTCACTAAAAGATGAGGATTTTAAGGCCTACCATCGTGTTTGCTCCCGGAGAATCGCTGATGGGGACAGGAAATCAACAGAATCTGATCCCACTCCCGCCAAGCGTATCAAGTTACAGTTCTTACTTATCTGAGGACGTTCGGCACCTATTACGTACGCATCAATCACCTCCTTCCATAGCGTCAGATCACTCGAGGGTGGTTGTGATCGATAATTCTTCGTTGCCTGTCCCATCTACACTACCAGGGGACCTTAGATCGACACTATCATCATCCATATCATCGGTACATATTCCCTCGACTGTCTTAGTTTGTTTGGAGCCTGGCCAACCGCGTTCAACCAGCCACTGTCTCCCCACAGTTCATTAAACCGGACGGAGCTGGTTACAACAGCGTCGCCGGGGGACGTTCATCATGAATCAACACTTCAGGTTTCGTTACTTAATCGCCGATCCAGATCGCCACATCATTCTAGATCACCACAACGATCTACATCACCTTCACGATCCAGATCACCATCACAAGCCCAATCTAGATCACCGTGCCGATCAAGATCACCGGATTGATCCAGATCACAGTCACGATCCAGAGCACAACTACAATCCACATCATTGATCAATCCAGATCACCTAACTGATCCAGATCACATCACGGACAGATCCAGATCCAGAATCAGATCACCGGACCGATCACCTAACTGGTCCAGATCACAACATCGAAGTAGATCGCCAGACCGATCCAGATCACCGAACCGATCCAGATCACAACATCAAAGTAGATCACCTAGTTCGGGTGATCATTGCTCTGATACCACTAATAGGCCTACAGTCTCTTATGATGTTCCGACTACACGCTCTGAGAATCCTTCGACTCACTCTAGGATCATCGCTGAGTCATGGGAACCTGATAACAATCCCACTCCTACAGCGAGTCCGGATCTAAATATAATGATCAGGGCCATAACCTCAGCCTGGAACCAAATACAGCCTTCTACTCCAGCCCATCTGGCCTCGGTAGCTCCTGGCTCTTCATGTGGTCCACCTCCTGAGATTGATCCAGTCCAAATAGCCATGGGGCGATGCCTGCATCTCCCGCTCACTCTGAGTTATCTACCCCTGGGGGTAGCTTTGCAGCAGTTGGGTCTGCAATCCACGATAGGTACGCTATTAGACAAATTCGCGATAGAGCTCCTAGGTCCATCGACCGTCACTCCAGGATTCTACTCCCCATCTTCTTGGTTCCAAAGAAAAATTCCAACAAACTCCGGCTCATCTTCAATATGAAGTTGTTCAATGCCCGATTCCTGCTTCCATCGCCTCACTTCAGGATGGTGTCGATCAACCTTTTATGCACCATCCTGACGAAGGGAGACTTCCTCATCAGCCTAGATCTTCAGGATGCTTATCTTCATGTTCTGATACATCCAGAACACCAGAAGTACCTTTGCTTCGTGTTCAACGGGAATCACTACCTATGGAAAGTCTTACCATTTGGAATTACCACGCCCTAACGAGGCTCCACTTTCAAAGGGATCACCGACATTACGATTGCATCCAGCTCTCAACGATCCCCGATCGTATTGCTTTGCCAGCTACAGTTCACCACCACGCTGCTCAGACAGTTAGGGTGGCTGTTGAACATTGCAAAATCGGAACTAATACCGACTCAGAAACACAGAAAATTCATCAGAGCACTGTTCGACACTCGTCAGGGGATGATGTTCGTACCTCACGACAGGTGGATAAAGATTCAGCAATGCATTCCTCCAGCACTGTCTCAGGCGAGAACCTTACGACAGTGGCAGGAGCTACTGGGCCTTCTGACGTCAGCTCAAGCCTTAACGTACAGAGGCCAGCTCCAACTTCAGCCGATACAGCGATTTCTACGCCCGTACCTTCAGGCCGACAACCCCAAGGAACTAATTTGCCTTCCAGAACTGCTTCGTCCAGTCCTTCAATGGTGGCCTGACGAATGGAATGTTTGCGCCGGAGTCTCTATGCTGCCGTTTGCACCGACTCATCACCTATTCGTCGATGCATCCCTCATGGGTTGGGGAGCTCACTTCCTCAACCACCAAGAGGCCGGGCTGTGGTCATCCGACGAACAGGTACTTCATATAAACGAGCTGGAATTCAAGGCGGTAATTCAAGCCATCTCACATTGGGCAACAGAGGTTCAATCAACCAGTCTGTTGATCCAATCAGACAATTCGACAGTGGTTTGGTATATAAATTATCTAGGCTTGACAGGCTTGGCGAGTCTGCTAAAATGGGCGATCAGGTTCTTCCATCTCATCGACTCACTCAACATCGTAGCCAGAGCCAGACACATTACCGGGTTAAAAAATGTGATCGCCAATGCCTTGTCCCGTTCCAACCGACCGTCCCCGACAGAGTGGAAGTTACTGCCTCAGATCTTTCAGTCGATGATCTACCCGTTATCGCGGCCTCAAATAGATCTGTTTGCCACAAGGTTCAACAACCAACTTCCAAAGTTCGTATCACCAATCCCAGACTCCTTGGCGGGGACCTTGACGCGTTGGCAATATCATGGGAGGGTCTCAATGCCTACGCCTTCCCCCCTCCAGCTCTGCTACCAAAAGTAATACAGAAACTATTGGCCACCAGCAACATACTACTGCTTTTGGTCGCACCCTTCTGGCCAGCGAGACGTTGGTTCGTCAACCTAAGAAGCCTGGCAGAGCCAAACCCAGTACCGCTTCCCAACCGGGACGACCTACTTCTTCACCCTCACTCGGAACTGCACCACGGGTCACCCAAGACTCTCAATCTACACGTTTGGCGCATCTTCAGAGGTCTCTCATAGCTAAGGGCTACTCTCGCCGAGTAGCCACAGCTATCCCTTTAACGCATCATACTTCGACCCGTTCCTTGTACGACAACAAGTGGAAGAAGTTTGAAGACTATTGCATCTCCCACTTCCACCTCGGCTCAGGTCGTTGCTGAGTTTCTCCAGCATCTCTGCACTACTAAGAAGCTCAAGGGTACTATGTTAGCTACCTACTAAGACGCCCTTAACTCGGTTTTGGCTACCACCATGGGCACGAAGATTTCCACTGTTCCCGAGTTGCAGAGTCAACTATGCTCCTATAGACTCTCTGACCCGTCCAGGAAGTTCAGACCTCCGGCCTGGGATCTGTCCGTCGTACTTCGTCATATGATTTCTACAGATTATGAACCTTTAGAAGACAAGGACTTTGAACAAGTGACATTCAAGACATTCTTCCTGGTAGCTTTGGCTACCGCTGCTCGTATATCTGAACTGCATGCGCTTGATGTCAATCAGGTGCAGTTCGAGCAGAAGAAGCATGGCAAGGCTTTCCTGGGTCTCCACTGGGACTTCATTGAGAAAAACCAACTGCCAGGGCAACTGGACCAGATGTTTACCATTCCCCCGTTGTCCACCATTCTTGGGCCTTTGACGCTCTGCCCTGTTAGGGCTCTACACATTTACCTTGCTGCCTCCAAGGATCAAGGTTTCCCGGACCATATTGGCCTTCTGGATGCGTGCCACGATCCTGCGAGCCTACACCTTTGCAGGGCTGCCTCCTCCAGCCGCTTCCAATCCTCATGAGACTCGTGCACTAGCCCCGACGATGGCCCTCCATAGCAACTGCTCCTTGACCGCTATCATGGAAGGTTACTTCTGGCATTCTGATACAGTCTTCTCTTCACATTACCTGCGAGACATGTCTGTCACGGATGTCCAGGGACTACACCAGTTCAGACCTCTTGTACTGGCTCAGCAGCTTACATCGGCCCAACAACGCAGATGAGGGACGGTTCCGCATTCGCGTTACTACTTCCTTGTATATAATAATAATAATAATAATAATAATTGCATTTATATAGCACATCATTCACTAATAAATGCTCTGTGCACTTAAGATGGACATTGGGGGCGGTGGGGTAGCCTAGTGGTTAAAGCGTTGGCTCGTCAGGCCGAAGGCCCGGGTTCGATTCCCCACATGGGCACAATGTGTTAAGCCCATTTCTGGTGTCCCCCGCCGTGATATTGCTGGAAAATTGCTAAAAGCAGCGTAAAACTAAACTCAGTCAGTCAGTCAGTAAGATGGACATTGACACTTGAAAAGAAATGTTTTGAGGCCAGTCTTAAAAGATGTTAGTGACTCGCTGGTTTTGAGTTCAAGCGGTAGCGCGTTCCACTTCATTGCTGCATTGAAAGCGAACGACCTTTTGCCAAAGTTGGTTTTGATGTTAGGCACTGTCACTAGCATTTGGTTTTGTGATCTCAGTGAGCAAGAGGGCTGATACAGGGGCAGTAACTCTGCAAGGTAGTCAGGGGCCATTCCGTTGAGACACTTGTACGTCATTACAATAGTTTTGTAGTCAATTCTTCCGGTGATTGGTAGCCAGTGTAAATCATTTAGAATTGAAGTAATGTGATCGAAGACTTTAGACTTTGTAATGATTCTTGCAGCAGTGTTTTGGAGGGCTTGAAGGCGGCGTGAGCTGATCTTTGTTGGCGTTGGTGAGGAGGCTGTTGCGGTAATCTACTTTCGAGACATGACCAGAGATAGGACAAGTTTTGAAGTAGCATCAGCACTCAGATAGTTCGCGAGTCTTCCAATGTTCCTGAGATGCATATGGGCCGTGCTAATGATGTTGGAGATCTGCTTGTCCATTTTCAGACTTTCATCGAAAATAACCCCTAGATTCTTGACCTTCGGGGTTTGAGTTATGGCAGTATTCCCTATTTGGAGAGATGGCTTGTCAAGTTTGGAAAGTGTTGTTTTCGACCCGATAAGCAGGAATTCTGTTTTACTTTCATTAAGTTTCAGTAGGTTTTTAGTCATCCATGTCTGAATGTCATTGCAGGAATCAGAAAGGGTCTCCAACGATGGCAGGGCTTCTGTGGTAGGGAATGAAGAATAGATTTGATTTTTTGCTGAATATAAGTTGAACTGGATCTCAACCTTTTGTTCTCATTATATGGGTTTAAGAACTACTTCACTTGGCTTCCATACCAAGGCACTGGAATACAGCCACCTAGCGTGGCCCTACGGACCGGAGGCACAATCAGTATGACGATGCAGAGGTGTTCGACATTCACGCTTACTGACATCTACTCCACGGAGCAATTACATCAGTGAAGTGTGCGGTCTCGAATTCCAGTGGATTTCGTTGCGTTCTGCCTTCAAAGTTGCCGGGCACATCCTTTGACTAAGCTTAGGCAAAGGAGTGAGGGTCAATTTGATGCTGCTCGGAACTGAATGTTAAACTTTGGAGATGCCGAGTTGTGTTTCTCTTTCACCCGCCTTGGTCGGTGTCTGGGGGGGCCTTCTTGAAGCAGGGGCTGGCCCGATTCTAGTCACCAGACTTTAATTACGGGGGTACCTTGTAAATCGTGGCAAGGCGAGGCTTACTTGCCGAGTTGCGTCCCTTGTCTTGTACAAGGTTGCGGCCGAACACCACCACATCGCGAGGGAGCACCCATCTCCCTGGGAGTCGTTGTGCTTAGTAAGCCAAGGGGTTACGGAGAACCCACTACAAGCATAGGAGTTGCGTGCATGCGTAACAGGCCTCCCTTGTACATCGCTATCATCAGTCCACATCAGTTGTCATCAGTCCACACAGCTCCAAGACCAGCTGTTTGCACTGTCCAGACAGAAGGGTAATCTATGGATGAAACCGCCGTCCCCAACTCGATGGGATAAGTGCAAGTAGTGAGATGGATAGGAAGTATAAAAATTTGGAAATTTTATTAAGTTAAGTCATGAGTGAATGTAACTTAAAGACTCCAGGAAATTCATGTTCCTATAATCCTAACATACTAGTCATCCCTTAAAAGTTCTAAAGTTAAAGATGTGAAATTTGCAAATGCATTTTGTGCAATTTGCAGAAAAATGAAAGAACTACATGTTTTTTCTATATTTTTTGTGCATTAACAAACATAACCAGGAAAATTTGATAATGATTTATGATGCTAACCAATTATTTTCAATGATTGATCGGTTGTAATGAACCAATCATCAATGATTATGAGATTTAAACCAATTCCTAACACTAGTGTTATACCAAACTCTGAGAAAATAAGATTTACTTTGACCTTAATTATGGCACTCGTTTTTGCCAAATCGTTCACTGCCCCCTCAGGCTCGGATATAGTGACCTAAACGCTGATAAGTGTAACAGACATTTAATAGACAGCCCTTGTTGTTCTTGTGGACATCAGAGTGAAAACGCCCTACACTATTTCCTCACTTGCCGTAACTATACTGGGATAAGACTTAATATGTATTTTTACACTACCGGTTATAACCTGGATACCATTCTTAAGGGAAACAAAGAACTTACTCCTGTGTAAACCAGAAAATAGTTGAATCCGTCCACGATTATATAACCAAGACACAACGCTTCTAATTTTCTCAGGAAAATAATTAAATTTACTCAACAACCTTCTCATGATTGATTTATATTTCTACAATAGCTTGTTAGACACACACAACTGTAACTCTCTAACTTATGACTACTTCGAGAATAGTTGTATTTCATTTAATCTGTATATATTTATATATATTTAAAAATATTATATTTATGCAATGGTCAGTATCGATGACGTCAAATCCTCCATTTCATGTTGTATTATTTGTTGCATGGGAGCGGTGTTAATATAAGCAGTAATGCTTGTTCACCAATCCCAATTCATCTTCATGAATAAAAATATGTTTAAATCAACTCTGAGAGACTGATAGACCGGTCAGCTATGTATATATTCCCTGTATCAATGGAATCCATGCTCATAATAATACATAGACCACCATATAATAGTATCGACAAGACAGCTGATACCTCGATCTCAATATGTAGTTCACTCTTACAGAAAGATGATGTTTTATACTGTTTGCTGAAATATATTTTCCACTATCTCATTAAGTGGTTTCATAGTTAAGTGGTTAATAATTACTAGCAAATTTTCACTGTCATTAACTTCATTATATACACATTTAGCATAACTGTTATCAATGTCTTTGTTTTCAGAGAGGTGAAAAGTCTAAGAGCCAGAGTCAAAGTTTATACCTTGATAAGTGTCGACACTGGCTACTCACAGGAAATTGTCCATTTGGTGCCAAGTGCAAGTTTCAACATGGTCCCTTCATAGCCAAGAGACCAACAAAGAAGTAAGATTGTTTTATGTTTCTGTCTCTCATTTATCACAATCATAATGATACATATTCATTCGTAACATTGTGCCATTGAATCAGGCACTGAATAATACCACTATCAAACTGATAGAGGATACTTCCTGTTGAAACACACATGTGCGAGTATGTTGTTCACATTGTTGTAATCAGTTGTTTATGAACATGATGAATTGATTTAACAAACGTATCACTAAGAAACATACTTTCTAAAGTTTAATCTGATGTTTCATTTTTCTTGATTATCAATTAGTCTCTCAAGCACATCAATGATCACTGACGCAAGCGAGATCAATCGACTGACAGACTATTAGATCAATCAACTTCTTGTTTATTGCATAGAGCAACATTTCGGATGTCAAATGTCACTGTTTGCAATGAACAAGAAGTTCCATAAGTTGTATACTTCAGTATTGAGATTGTAAATGAATCACATGGTCAGACTCAGTGCCATTGTGTGGAGCAAATATTGCCGTATAACAGTGAACAAAAATATACACATGACCCGTGAAGATCCATTAGAATTGATCTCCAGTAACCCATGTTTGTCATAAGAGGCGTCTAACGAGATTGGGTAATCAGGCTCACCGATTTCGTTGACACATGTCATCGTATCCCAATTGCGTAGGCGGATGTTCATGCTGTTGATCACTAGATTGTCTGGTCCAAACTCAATTATTTACAGACTGCCACCATATAGCTGTAATATTGCTGAATGCGATGTAAAACTAAACTCACTCACTCACTCACTCACTCACTCACTCACTCACTCACTCACTCACTCATAAACATGATTATGTTGTCTGAAAAAACACCATATAGCTGGACTATAGCTGAAGGCGGCATTAACAACAAACAAACAAATTATCTGGAAAAAAAATTTAATGTCAGAATCCATAATTAAGGTGAACTAGATGACCATTTATGCTATTATTATTTACGTTTTAACATTTGCTTGTCATAGAGAAGCATGTTTTGCAATAAACATTTTTCTTATCCAGCCGTAGCGACGACGACGGAGCAGACGATTTGCGATTAAAAGTTAAAGGCAGCACAGAAAGACATCACCCAGAGGGTTCGGTGTCACCTGAGTCTAGGTCAGGGTCAAGGTCACGTCACGATAAAGAAACCAAAATCAAATCTACAGTTGTTGTCAAAAATACAACTGGTGGAGATAGCGGAGACGAGGATTCCGAAAACTCTGACAACTGGGACGCTGAAGGTTAGATCTGTTCTACAGATTCTCATGTGGTTCTCATCCATATGTTGGCATGGAAAGCCTGTCATCTGATGTCATACAGTTCATCATGCAGAGTTGCTTCCCTTAGTTGTCTGCCTGAAACCTATAATGATGGGTTCAAATCCTGATTCTTCCTGATCTTGTCTCTAGGTTTGTCCGCACCATGCCTCTGAGTGATAAATGTCAAAAACCTGCATCACTTCAAGTCAAAGACCCGTGAAGATCCGAGTTAGAATTGATCTTCAGTAACCCATGCTTGTCATAAGAGGCGACTAACGGGATCGAGTGGTCAGACTCGCTGACTTGGTTGACACTTGTCATTGTGTCTCTATTGCGTAGTTCGATCAGTGAGGCATTCTAAGAGCCTTCACTTCTTAAATTTCAAGTTAGCCACAATCTTTATGAAAACTATTGGGCTTTTTTTCTTTTCAGTGTTAGATTACAAGAAAGAGCTTGAACTTGAAAAGAAGCGTCAAGAAATTCAGCGAGCGCTGAGCCAACTGGCTGCATCTGAGGGAGAAGAGAGGGAAAATATCACCATTGAAAAAAAGGTGCCCTCCAAAGAAAAATAGCCAGGGTGAGCATTGCTGAATTTTCTAATCTCCTAACACAGGACACTGTTGCCATGGTTACAAAGTTGTGCATCAAAATCCTCAATGTATCAGAATGTATCTTTACCATGCTCATCCCTGTATTAAGGATTTCTGAGACAGATTAGATTCAAACCCTAGATCCATTAGGGGTAAAACGGTACGCTCTTACCACGGTACAGTACGTATTGCGGTACACGGCCTTGGGTTTGGTCCATTTCAGTTCGATTCGGTATATGAGAACTTACTTCCAGGAAAATAGCGTCCGACTTGCAAAGAAATGCTGATTTTGACAGATTTTGACAAAATGATTCATTTTCTAGACATTTTAGAAAAGGTTTAAAAAGGATAATAAAGTGACAGTACAAAAACTGAAAATACCCAATTTGTTGATTGCTTTACGGTATAGTGAACCAAAGGCAAAATACCGCGACAGTTCAACAGTTTCACCCCTAAGAACCACAGCTATAAATTAGATCCGTTTTCCCTTACCCAACTCCTTTTTATATACTCTTATTCAATAGTTTAAAAGAGGTTTATCTACTCAGATCAAGACATTTAATGTTACTCTTTTTCGTATATGTTCCCAGTTGTCAAAATGTACCAGTATTTACTGCAAGCAAGGTGATTCAAGTATGTGGATATCTTGGCCAAAACTTTTTTTGATGCGCAGATATGGACAAAATGCAAGCTCTTTGTCTTTGTCAGTATCCAAGTGTTTGTTTCCCTAGGGTTAAGCCCTGTGGAGGTTCCAGGTTAGAGTAGGTCCACAGTAACCTTAGTTACCAAATGGTTCTGGTTGTCAGGATCAGTGACAAGGTTGAATGCATGTTATTGAACCCTAACAGCTTGAACTGCTGCTCACAACATTGATCATTAGATTGTCAGGATCAGTGACACGGTTATTGCTTATGATATCAATCACTGGATTGTCTATTCCATACCTGACTATTTACTGACCCCCATCTTATGGCAGGATAATTGCTGTGTGTGGCATTAAAAACACAAAAATGCAATAGAAAACCAAACAAACAAACATTAGGGTTCAAAATGTACTGGTGATGGAGAAATACATGTGGTGTATCCCAAACAGCGCTTTCCCTCCCTGGGCCGGTGTAGTAGCCGAGTGAGAAGGCCCGGGGTTGATTCCCCACATGGTTATAATGTGTGAAGTCCATTTCTGGTGTTCCCCGTCTAATATTGCTGGAATATTGCTTAAAGCGGTCTAAAACCCAACTCACTTGCTCGCTTCACTCACTCACTCACTCACTCCCACCCACATCCTCCCCCTAATCACAAGGTTATACTGGCTGAACTTGATGTGGAGGTGATAAATAACTCAACAGTTGCATGGTTGAGTCCGACTTGTCTGTGTGTCACATATTTCTGTGCCTGTCAATACTGATAAATTCTGCTTGTGTTTGTTTGCATGTGTGTCTGTGCCTATTTATGTTTCAGCTAGTGTTTTCTTGTGGTGTAGATGATGGAATTTTGGACCATTGTTTGCTGTTGACTTCCGATGGAATAAGGCAGCTATGAATGCCTAAATCTAAATCTGTTTACCAATGCAGGTGAAATTGAATGTGTATCTTTCTTAAGGAATAATGGAACTGTGGTCATCTTAATGTAACTGCTGTTGTAAATCAGTGTTTAAGTACTTGATCCATGGTCATCTTAGTGCTACTGTGATTGTAAATCAGTGTTTAAGTACTTGATCCATGGTCATCTTAGCTACTGTGATTGTAAGTCAGTGTTTAAGTACTTGATCCATGGTCATCTTAGTGCTACTGTGATTGTAAGTCAGTGTTGATCCATGGTCATCTTAGATCCATGTGATTGTAAATCAGTGTTTAAGTGCCATGGTCATCTTAGTGCTAATTGTAAATCAGTGTTTAAGGACTTGATCCATGGTCATCTTAGATACTGTGATGTAAGTCAGTGTCACTTGATCCATGGTCTTGTAAGTCAGTGTTTAAGTATTGCTTGATCCATGGTGTGATTGTAAGTCAGTGTTTATCCATGGTCACTTGATCCATGGTCATCTTAGTGCTACTGTGATTGTAAATCAGTGTTTAACTTGATCCATGGTCATCTTGATGGACTTGATCCATGTGATTGTAAGTCAGTGTCATCTTAGTGCTACTGTGATTGTAAATCAGTGTTTATGGACTTGATCCATGGTCATCTTAGTGCTACTGTGATTGTAAATCAGTGTTTATGGACTTGATCCATGGTCATCTTAGTGCTACTGTGATTGTAAGTCAGTGTTTAAGTACTTGATCCATGGTCATCTTAGTGCTACTGTGATTGTAAATCAGTGTTTAAGTACTTGATCCATGGTCATCTTAGTGCTACTACTGTGTTGTAAGTCAGTGTTTATGGACTTGATCCATGGTCATCTTAGTGCTACTGTGATTGTAAGTCAGTGTTTATGGACTTGATCCATGGTCATCTTAGTGCTACTGTGATTGTAAGTCAGTGTTTATGGACTTGATCCATGGTCATCTTAGTGCTACTGTGATTGTAAATCAGTGTTTATGGACTTGATCCATGGTCATCTTAGTGCTACTGTGATTGTAAATCAGTGTTTATGGACTTGATCCATGGTCATCTTAGTGCTACTGTGATTGTAAATCAGTGTTTTGTAAATCAGGTTTAAGTACTGATCCATGGTCATCTTAGTGCTACTACTGTGATTGTAAATCAGTGTTTAAGTACTTGATCCATGGTCATCTTAGTGCTACTGTGATTGTAAGTCAGTGTTTAACTGTTTATGGACTTAATCCATGGTCATCTTTGTGCTACTGTGATTGTAAGTCAGTGTTTAAGGCCTTGATCCATGGTCATCTTAATGCTACTGTGATTGTAAATCAGTGTTTAAGTACTTGATCCATGGTCATCTTAGTGCTACTGTGATTGTAAATCAGTGTTTATGGACTTGATCCATGGTCATCTTAGTGCTACTGTGATTGTAAATCAGTGTTTAAGTACTTGATCCATGGTCATCTTAGTGCTACTGTGATTGTAAGTCAGTGTTTAAGTACTTGATTGATCCATGGTCATCTTAGTGCTACTGTGATTGTAAATCAGTGTTTAAGGTACTACTGTGATCCATGGTCATCTTAGTGCTACTGTGATTGTAAATCAGTGTTTATGGACTTGATCCATGGTCATCTTAGTCATCTTTGTAAGTCAGTGTTTAAGTGTGATTGTAAGTCACTGTGATTGTTAGTCAGTGTTTAAGTACTTGATCCATGGTCATCTTAGTGCTACTGTGATTGTAAGTCAGTATTTAAGTACAGGATCTATGGTCATCTTAGTGCTACTGTGATTGTAAGTCAGTGTTTAAAAAGTATGGGATCTCTGGTGATTTTAACGCTACTGTGATTGTAAATCAGTGTTTATGGCCTTGATCCATGGTCATCTTAGTGCTACTGTGATTGTAAGTCAGTATTTAAGTTCAGGATCTATGGTCATCTTAGTGCTACTGTGATTGTAAATCGTGTGTAAGTATAGGATCTCTGGTGATTTTAGCACTTCTGCTGTACTAAATATATGTGTACTATTGGAGCTATGGTCATAAATGGTCGTTTGGCAACAGGATCTTTGGTCATTAAAATCAGGATTGTATGGCTACTGCTTGTGTCAATCAGTGTTTAAGTACAGGAGGTTAAGTCTTCATAGCGCTATTGCTGTTGTAGATCAATTCTAATGGGAGCAACAGACATCTTGTCACTAATATTACATGGTGGAATTGGGTGCAGGTCAAAGGGCCGCATGACAGAAAGGGCCGCAAAACAGAAAAGTAAAAGGCCTGCAAGAAAGTCTAAAGGGCCACATCAAAAAGTCAAAAGGGCCGCATCAAAAAGTCAAAAGGGCCTCAGACCCCAAGTCAAAAGGGCCCCATATAAAAAAAATAATTATAACATATTTTTTTTATAAGTATTATAGCAAAAGGTTATACATCTATACAATGTATATTTTATGCATACTAGTCCTGTTTTTAATAGATATTTTTTTTAATATTAGAAAGAAACTTTTGACTTTTTGATGCGGCCCTTTTGACTAGGGGTTTGCGGCCCTTTTGACTTTCTTGCGGCCCTTTTGACTTTTCTGTTTTGCGGCCCTTTTGTCATGCGGCCCTTTTGACTAGGACCTGGTGTAATTGGGTGCAGGTCATCATTCAATTCCTTGTTGAAATTCTTGGATCTTGGCTCCAATGGTACTTGACTCAAGAACCCTGATTGTTCTACTCTTAATGTCAGGGTCATGACAAGTGTTTAATAAACACTGCCTTGTCAGTTATGTTCAGTTCATCATATCTCATACCATTTGCTGCCAATAAGTTTGTGAGGAAAGTTCAAGTTCATCTTCAAATTCATCCTATATTCATCTGAGTTGATGTTTTCAATTGCCAACATACCTATTGAATGTAGAATGTCTGTGATGTTTAGCTTGATTTATACCAGTAGTAGCTTCACTTGTATGTTTCATGCATGTATTGTTTTTCCAATATGGTTTCGACTATTTTGGGCTATCAACTCCAGAGGGTTGTATACACCAGCTTCCTTCATCATACAGGAATACATAAGGCTGATGTGGGAATAGTGTCTGGTTTTAATGAAGTTATTAAATGAGTCTGTGTAGACCTTGTGAAAGTCGGATCAGTCTAAGTTAACTTAGGCTCAGTATTATTCGTTACACTGCTATACTGAGTCTAACAAAACCTTGTGGAAGGTCGCGTCGGGTAACCTTTCCAAATGACCAATCAGAACACAGCTTATCAAATCGCGAAAGTGGACATTCGCACATGCTTTTTGAACTTTTACCTCGAAAAAGTTTGTACCCGAACAATTCGAATGCTATTTTCTGTACGATCGGTTCCTAGTGATGCACGTCACAGCAGTGAGTAAACATTCGCTGAAAATAGCGTTTGTCAGTATTAAAGCATGTCATCTTGCGGAAATATTAAATAATTATAACCATGTCAACAGGAACCCCAAAGCGTATATACTGCAGGTCAAATATCAGTGTTTTATGCAGATTTTCATTTGTTGGGAGATCAGTGTTGGCAACCAGGGACGAGAAAATCCATTTTGTAAGTCCCGCCGAACCCTAAATAGTAGCCGTTGTCTGATTGGTTAAATCCGTTCGGCCGTCTCGCCTTTGATTGGACGGTCTTAGTTGGCTCAAAGGTTCGCGACCTTCCACAAGGTTTTGTTAGACTCAGTATAGCAGTGTAACGAACAATACTGAGTCTAAGTTTACTTAGACTGAAGTCGGATGAGCTCAGCTTCATGCATGGACTTTTTACGAACCCCACCGTTGCCTTACATTGAAGAAATGTGTCGAGTAGATGTTCAATAGGCTTAAGTGTTTATTGGAAAACAAATATTCTTTTCGACAATGACAGCAAATTGAGCAGAGCATTTTCCATCTTCCCTCTCCATGGAACCAGGTCAATTCATTGCTTGAAAATGGTAATTATGCATCAAAGCGGCCATATACATGATGGTGGAACATAGTGTATGCAAACGGACATGGTTACCCAGGCAACAATCCATAGTAGACATGACTCCAACATTTGATAAACATCACCACATTCATTCCAGCTTCACCAAACTACATACTAAGATGTTGATAGACAGGGCACGATTTAGTGCTTTGTTACTTGCACTGGTGCAACCCAATATTACAAAGTGCAACCTAGTTATTAGTCTAACTAGCACCAGGTGTAAGTCAATTTTTCAGTGGGTAAACCTTCTAAATAATTTAGCAAATGTCTTTCATGACATATTGCAATAAAAGCAGTGCAACTGGAATTTGGCTGGTGCAACTATTTTTTATCTTAGGTTGCACCTGGTGCAAGTAGGTTAACATCTCTTAAATTGAGCCCTGATAGGGACTGGGATGTAGTCACATATTTTTCAAACAGCCCCTTCTTAAATCTGAATTTCCACAAAAATATCCTGTCACATTTCTTACAAAAATATAAAAATATAAATTGCTGCTTTTGTATATTACTTCTAGTATTGAAGCTCTTCTCAGTAAACTTCGGATTTAAACTCAGATTTCAAATTCAAAATGGCCTCCTTACATCTGTTAGGAGTTATGTGGTAAATACAATGTCACTAACATCTTGGAGATAGGTAAATGTGAAGATAAATTTTAAACATGGCAAATGTTTGGACAGTAATACTGGTGTGATTATATACAATGACTTTCAATAAGAACAAGCTGTCACAATCACATGTGATATTAGGGCCAAAGGTCTGAATTAACCTTTTGATCATTTGATCAAAATCATGATGTTTCAAGCATGCCTCTTTGAGAGGAACACAGTGGTCAGTTATACCATCATCAACAAACAAGACCAGTCTTGTGAATGTTTTTTCACTTGCCTGTGATTAGATCTAATCACTGAATCATGTCATGAAAACAGATTAGCTTGACAGTGTAATGATCAGATGGATCAAATATGGATCGGGTGAGCTACAATGTGTTTCATTTGATTTAGGAATCTGTGAGTTTTACGCTTAAGAAGAACAGACCAGAACCTACAAAAGTAAGTCACACATTTAATGTTTCACTCTTCTGCCTTTTCTGTTTTACTTTTCTGTTTAGCAATATTGTCATCCAGCACACCTAAACTCTGGGTTTTACTTTTCTGTTTAGCAATATTGTCATCCAGCACACCTAAACTCTGGGTTTTACTTTTCTGTTTAGAAATATTGTCATCCAGCACACCTAAACTCTGGGTTTTACTTTTCTGTTTAGCAATATTGTCATCCAGCACACCTAAACTCTGGGTTTTACTTTTCTGTTTAGAAATATTGTCATCCAGCACACCTAAACTCTGGGTTTTACTTTTCTGTTTAGCAATATTGTCATCCAGCACACCTAAACTCTGGGTTTTACTTTTCTGTTTAGAAATATTGTCATCCAGCACACCTAAACTCTGGGTTTATACATCCAGCACACCTTTCTGTTTAGCAATATTGTCATCCAGCACACCTAAACTCTGGGTTTTACTTTTCTGTTTAGCAATATTGTCATCCAGCACACCTAAACTCTGGGTTTTACTTTTCTGTTTAGAAATATTGTCATCCAGCACACCTAAACTCTGGGTTTTACTTTTCTGTTTAGAAATATTGTCATCCAGCACCCTAGCACACCTGTTTAAACTCATCCAGCACACCTAAACTCTGGGTTTTACTTTTCTGTTTAGCAATATTGTCATCCAGCACACCTAAACTCTTGGTTTTACTTTTCTGTTTAGCAATATTGTCATCCAGCACACCTAAACTCTTGGTTTTACTTTTCTGTTTAGCAATATTGTCATCCAGCACACCTAAACTCTGGGTTTTACTTTTCTGTTTAGCAATATTGTCATCCAGCACACCTAAACTCTGGGTTTTACTTTTCTGTTTAGAAATATTGTCATCCAGCACACCTAAACTCTGGGTTTTACTTTTCTGTTTAGAAATATTGTCATCCAGCACACCTAAACTCAGGGTTTTACTTTTCTGTTTAGCAATATTGTCATCCAGCACACCTAAACACTTGGTTTTACTTTTCTGTTTAGCAATACTGGGTTTTACTTTTCTGTTTAGCAATATTGTCATCCAGCACACCTAAACACTTGGTTTTACTTTTCTGTTTAGCAATATTGTCATCCAGCACACCTAAACTTTTACTTTGACCTACAAAACTTGGAGTCCAGATGATCCCAAATAACTGATTTCAAGAGTCTTCACAGGAAACTAGGAGGGTCCAGTAAAGTCATAAAGTGATGGTAGTTTGCCGGACTGTAGGGTTTAGTAATTACCTTAATTAATTAACTTTTCTTGCTGAAACAATGAAACGTATTGTGCACCCCATGGTGATGACTTAATCTGTTTTCTGCATCCCTTTTTTATGTTTGTGCATTCTGGATACACATTTATGCATTCAATCTTTGAAGGGCATTTAGAAGTGGAATACATAGGAAAGCAAGATTTTATGGATGTCAACTTCATCACTGGCCTCCTCGTGTTTGTATTACATCCCATCCATCTATTATCATGATGTTTTAATGTATCACTGGCCTCATGTTGTTATTACATATTATTTCCTCAACATTGTTAAACTTGTTATACATGTTTTCTTTGTAACTGCCCATGTATGTGTATATATATATATATATATCCCCCTTATACTCCCAACCATTCACTTAAGCCCATTTCTGGTGTCCCCCGCCGTGATATTGCTGGAATATTGCTAAAAGCGGCATAAAACTAAACTCAGTCAGTCAGTCAGCCAACCATTCACCTGATGAAGGAGCAAGCATACACTCCTAAACGTCGTGTTATTCACAATAAGAAGTTGACATCCATAAAATCTTGACATCCAAATGAAATATTCCCGTGCTTCAAATACTCCATAACACCCAGAAATTGGCCAACACATGATCTTTATCGACATTGTAAACACAAAAGTAAACCATGGGTTTTACTGTCTGCACTCATTGACATTGAGTACAGGTACAGCAGTGAAGTGTCATCAGCTGGCCGTTTCAGCTGGTTCCAATGGTAGCGTCTGGAACTGCTCATTTGTGACGTCATTCCGACTTTATGTCACAATATTATTTGTATGATGTCACCACTGCTGATGACGCAACAATACAATTGTGTGAGATATTTGTATGTGTCAATGTGCAGTGAAGAGTCTTGCAATTTCCGGGAATCGAATACCATTCGATCATGTTTTTCAACCAATCAGATTAAAGAACATGGTGACTTTTGGTTTACAATCTAACATGAAAATAAAATTGAAAATCATATTCAAATACAAAGCAGACTTATTAAGGTTAGAGGTCAATAGGCAACTTCAATGGGCTTCCCATATTGTACCCTTGTAGGGAATCGAACCCAGGTCTTCAGCATGTAGGTTGAACGTTTCTACCACTGGGCTATACCTTAGTGAATAGTCACTCCTTTTACAGTGAGGTAGACTATTGCAGACTGTGATGTTTCAATAACATTCACTCACAAACAGCAGATATGTTGTTGACCTTAGTCATATTGGCACAGTGTGAAGATCCAGGTTAGAATTGATCTTCAGTAACCCATGCTTGTCGTAAGAGGCGACTAACGGGTGCGGGTGGTCAGACTCGCTGACTTGGTTGACACATGTCATCATATCCCAACTGCGTAGATCGATGCACATGCTGTTGATCACTGGATTGTCTGGTCCAGATTTGATTATTTACAGACCGCCGTCATATAGCTGGAATATTGCTGATTGCTGCGTTAAACAACAAACCAACCAACCAACCAATCATCCAAACAATGCACTCAAATTCTGAAGATCATATATATGCTGAAAGCCCCAATTACTCCAGACAATAAACATCAATTGGAAGTTGCTTGTTGTACAATAAACCATGAGTGGAGCAGCCATGGGTAGTTTATTCCACCCATAGTGTTTTATTGTACAATAAACAACCAAAAGTAATCCATATGAACATTGTTGTACACATGTTGATGAATTTTACAAGCTTTTAATATTAACCCTTTTAAAGATATGGACAGTTCCTTGTATACAACCCTATCCCAGCAATGTTGGACAAATCCATTTTATGAACAGGGGTATAATTTCCTAAATAGTCCCACAAACATTAATACATTGGAAAATGAGTATGTATCTTTTCTCAGATGTGCACATTATGCCCCCAACAATAGCATTTAAGTTGTGTAGAGGTAATAAAAAATTTTGGAAGCTGTAGAAATGTTGTCATGTTGGAACAATGTTTGATTCTGAAATAAACCATGCCTCATTCTTCTTTCTTCTCTGTGATTTATCATATAGCTATGGTATTTGTGAGCATGTTCAATTACCTCAGTCAGATTTGCCACATACCAGCCTGTCCTCAAGTATCCTTGTCTTGGTAATAGATAGACTCAGGTAATCCCTTTCTTACCAGAACCACAGCTTTCATACTTCTCCTCACAATAACCACTCTCTTTTTAGAGCAATTTACTTAATTTTGTTGAATATTTCCTCAATGTTTGTTATATCATAGAATGTTGTCTATAAATCTGACAGAAAGCAGTGTATGTTTGAGATCATGGACACATTTGATGACAGGTTATTGTGTTATTTAGTTCTTGTTAATCATTTAAATGTTGTTGCTTGTTTCTGTGCAAGTCAAACACTGTTTGTTTTGGTGTTTCATCCTGTTTTAATATCTTCTTGTTCATGGTGGGTGGTGGGGTAGCCTAGTGGTTAAGGCGTTCGCTCGTCACGCCGAAGGCCCAGGTTTAATTCCCCACATAGCTCAATGTGTGAAGCCCATTTCTGATTTCCCCCGCCGTGATATTGCTGGAATATTGCTAAAATTGGCTAAAACATAACTCACTCACTCACTCTTGTTCATAAGAATCATAGATGTGTACCAACTCCACTCTCAAAAATTCCAAATGTGTAAACTAGAATGAGATGAGTTTTCTCTCTGTCACTTCTCAGTGGAGCAACATCCAACGTGTGACGCCCGAAAGTATTGATAAGATTTCAACTAAAACTTGTGTATTTTTTACAGCCGTTTTCCAGTGATTACTCAGACTCTGACAGCAGTCCAGAGAGAACCAAAGCTTTGCCAAAGAAGTCACCAAAGAAGGTGTCCCCTCCTAGGTAAGTAGAGTAGCCAGGGAAACAGTATATCCAGATTAGAGTAGTAAAAATATGAACTGAAGTTTGATCTTCAGCTCCCAAGGGAGTATATGTCCAAAGTTGCTTGTAAGCCAGCCTACAGGGTTTTTAGAAGACTGAGTTGATCCTCCCTAGTCTTGTGGGTAGAGCATCGAGTCTGGACCAGACAATCCAGTGATTGACATCATGAGCATCGATCTACACAACTGGGATACCTTGACACGTGTCAACCAGATCTGCATGGGTTATGGCGCTAAGCATTAAAGATGGTTAAAGCAATGGCACCGTATCCCAATTGCTTAGATCGATGCTCATGCTGTTGATCACTGGATTGCCTGGTCTGGACTCGATTATTCAGAGACTGCCACCATATGGCTGGAATATTGCTGAGTAAGGTGTAAAACTAAACTCACTCACTCACTTACTTTCCTCAACATCATCAGACTGGGAAGACTTATAACCAACGTGGTTTTATTATCTTCCAGTAAGAAGAAGGGGGACAAGAAGAAGCACAAGCAGAAGTCTCCTGTTGGTAAAACTAAAGGTCCGCTGCGCAGCCCCAGCCCAGCCGACATGGGGAAACACAAGGAACACAAGAAGAAGTGAGTCCTCCAGCATCTCACTCTTGGATTAACATCTCTCTGATACTTTGAAGGTTTTTGTTGTGATATTTAGAGTAAGTTCCTGTGGTAACAAGATATACAGGGGGGTGTCATGGTAGCAAGATATGCAGGGATGGGTGGGTCACAGGTTCCTGTGGTAACAAGATATACCATGTATACAGGGGGTCACAAGCTCCTGTGGTAACAAGATATACAGGGGGGTGTCATGGTAGCAAGATATGCAGGGATGGGTGGGTCACTGGCTCCTGTGGTAACAAGATATACCATGTATACAGGGGCTGCTCCTGTGGTAACAAGATATACAGGGGTGTCATAGCAAGATATGCAAGGGTGGGTGGGTCACTGGCTCCTGTGGTAACAAGATATACAGGGGGGGTCACTGGTTCCTGTGGTAACAAGATATACAGGGGGTCACTGGCTCCTGTGGTAACAAGATATACAGGGGGCTGTCATGATAACAAGATATACAGGAGGGTCACAGGCTCATGTGGTAACAAGACATACAGGGGGGGTCACTGGCTCCTGTGGTAACAAGATATACAGGGGGTCACTGGCTCCTGTGGTAACAAAACATACAGGGGCGGTCACTGGTTCCTGTGGTAACAAGATATACAGGAGTGTCACTGGCTCCTGTAGTAACAAGACATACAGGGGGGTCACTGGTTCCTTTGGTAACAAGATATACAGGAGTGTCACTGGCTCCTGTGGTAACAAAATATACAGGGGAGTCACTGGTTCCTGTGGTAACAATATATACAGGGGGGTCACTGGCTCCTGTGGTAACAAGATATACAGGGGGTCACTGGCTCCTGTGGTAACAAGATATACAGGGGTCACTGGCTCCTGTGGTAACAAGATATACAGGGGGTCACTGGTTCCTGTGGTAACAAGATATACAGGGGGTCACTGGCTCCTGTGGTAACAAGACATACAGGGGGGTCACTGGTTCCTTTGGTAACAATATATACAGGAGTGTCACTGGCTCCTGTGGTAACAAGATATACAGGGGGTCACTGGCTCCTGTGGTAACAAGATATACAGGAGGGTCACAGGCTCATGTGGTAACAAGACATACAGGGGGTCACTGGTTCCTTTGGTAACAAGATATACAGGGGTCACTGGCTCATGGTAACAAGATATACAGGGGGTGTCATGGTAACAAGATGTGGTAACAAGATATACAGGGGGGCTCCTGCTCCTGTGGTAACAAGATATACAGGGGGCTGTGGTCAAGATATGGTAACAAGATGTGTGGGGGGCTCCTGTGGTAACATGATATACAGGGGGTGTCATGGTAACAAGATGTGTGGGGGCTCCTGTGGTAACTGTGATATAACCACGATGGTACAGATGTGGGGGGCTGTCATGGTAACAAGATGTGTGTGTGTTGGGGGGGGCTCCTGTGGTAACACGATATACAGGGGGGTAACTCATCTAAGCATGATATAAAGCAGTGATCAGGGATTCAAATCCCGAATGTGTTTCTAGATATGGCAGTACCTTACTTACACTTGGGTTTCACCAAAGTGGTAATTGTTTGAGACATTTATCACTTGTGGCTTTCTGGTTTTCCACGATTATGAAGCTGACACTCCATGGTGAATGGAATATTGTTATGGAGGCATTAAACCAACACACTTCCAAATTACTCATTTGACTTTTTATAAGCAGATGTCCTAGCTTTGTGTGGGGTAATATTTCTTATGTGCAGGTCACTCCTGGGGACCTCAAAAGTGGACTACCTAAGTAGCTCTTAATTATATTCTGTTTTCTGTCCAACAAGACAGCCTTGAAACTGTACCAGGACTATTGGGACCATGTGTTTCATTACGGATATGCTGACTGTTATGTGTTACAGGTATGATACTGAAGATGATTCACCACACAAGACCAAGCACAAGAAGATGAAGAAGATGGATAAAAAACTGGAGAGGTCCCCAGAACCAGACCTGCCAAAATCAAAGAAAAAACACTCACCGCGGATTGATAAATTTCATTCTGAGAAGCCATCAAAGGCTGATAAAAGACTGTTGAGCCCTGATTTAGGGTCACCAACTGGCAAAAGGTCACATAGGTCATGGTCACCAACATCAAGGTCAAGGTCAAGATCTAGATCCATCACTCCTATTCCAGCAAAAAAGCAGAAGAACATTTCTCCCAAAGTGGTAAAAGAAAAGGTTAAAGGTGAAAAGGTCAAACAGAAGAAGAAGAAAGGAAAGAATAAACTTGGCGGTGATGGGTCTGCAGCCAGAGAAAGGCACATTTCACCAGTAAGGATTAAGAAAAAGAAAATAAAGGCAGAGTTGCCTTTCCCAATAAAGAGGGACATTGAGGAGGACCTGCCAGCACGCCACTCAGACTCTCCGCGGGGTCGGAGAACATGCCACCAAGGTCGATGTCCCCGGGGTCACCTCGCCGGAAGGAGCCTCCGGAGCGGGAGTTCTTCAAGGGGATGTTGCACGACAGGGAGGAGGAGAAGAGGGAGTCGGGGAACAGGTGAGGGGGGCGGCGCGCAAACGCCAAGTCTGACACCCAGTTGATAGGCTTGTGTGCTTGAGTCTTGAGAGGGTTTCATTTTGGTTAATCCTGTACTGGGATAACACTGTTAGAAAATAACTGAGTGAATGTTGATTTGGCCCCAACTGTGTTATATCTGTCAGAAAATAGTTGAATCTTGGCCATGTAGATCAGTGGTTGATAGCTTAAGACACTACCCAAGCTGTGGGGAGGATATTCACTCATGATGAGCCAGGTTACATGGAACCTCACAGTCGTCCCTTGACAGACATGGGCAGCCTAGTGGTTCAAGTGTTTCCTCTTCTCACCAAATACCCAGATCCAATTCCGTATATAAGTACAATATGTGAAGGCCATTTCTGGTGTCTCCCATCGTGATAATACTGATATTGCTGGAATATTGCTAAAAGCAGTGTAAACACACACACACTCTCACTCACTCACTCACTCACTTGACAGACAGCATCTGTACAGCCAGGTGTCAAGACATACAAAATTACATATCTATGTATTATTTGGGATGCTTCATTCAGTGGATACTTTCACTATGCCTTCAATGTGTATGCATCAGGGCACTTCCTGTTTACAGCCCTTTGGTGATGTGACAACAAGTCAAGACAGACCTTTACTGATGTTCTGTCATTTCAGAAAGAACAAAAGAAAGAGGTCCGAGACTCCACCGCAGCGTGAACGTATGCCTCCAAGTAGGAGTGACAATGTGGAGAAACGTAAAGGAGGTCAAAGCCAGGAGCGAAAGTTTTCTCGCAAGGAGCAATACAATGCTGATACCGACAGACCAAAGCATAGTGATGACCGTGGCAGGCGAGCATCACCAGATTCATTCCGATCCGAAGACAGATCACCCACACCTACTCCTCCCAGTCGAAGAAACCATTCGCCTGATGAACCTCAAAGGTCAAGGTCAAGGAGAGGCAGGGATGATGACTTTGACGTGAATCGATCCAGAGACAGGCGTACGCCCGATGAGCGAAGAATGGGTAAAGAATCACGTGAGAGACGGGATGACCTTGACCCTAGAGGTCAATCCAGAGAAAATTATCGGGAAAGATACGAACATGGGGAGGAACATCGCCGAGATCCAAGAGAGAGGTTTGATGAAGGCTTTCAGGAGTTCCCGGATCGGTACCAGGAACGATCTAGATTCCAGGATGAAAGAGACCAATATGATCCAAGGGAACGACACAGACATGATCAAAGTTTTGAGCGAGGTAGAGATAACCGGCGGGAGAGGTATGAGGGAAGAGACAGACTGGCGGCAGATCAAGGCAGAATGCATCAAGGTAGGTTTGCTCCTGTTTGTTTATTAAAAACAAGAAAAGCAATTATATCAAGACTCGATATATTCTTTCATATTGTGTAATATGCAGTGATATCGACATATGTTTCAACTACAGCATGTAACATAAAAATTTGGGTCATAGATTTCCAGCCATTTGTTTTCATATGTTTACTGAGAGGCAGTAGCCCAATAGTGAAAACATTTGAGCTTGTCATGCTAAGACATAGGTCACAGATTTCCAGCCATTTGTTTTCATATGTTTACTGAGAGGCAGTAGCCCAATAGTGAAAACATTTGAGCTTGTCATGCTAAGACATAGGTCACAGATTTCCAGCCATTTGTTTTCATATGTTTACTGAGAGGCAGTAGCCCAATAGTGAAAACATTTGAGCTTGTCATGCTAAGACATAGGTCACAGATTTCCAGCCATTTGTTTTCATATGTTTACTGAGAGGCAGTAGCCCAATAGTGAAAACATTTGAGCTTGTCATGCTAAGACATAGGTCACAGATTTCCAGCCATTTGTTTTCATATGTTTACTGAGAGGCAGTAGCCCAATAGTGAAAACATTTGAGCTTGTCATGCTAGGTTCAGTACAATACAATGTTTGAAGCCCATGTTTGGTGGCCTGTGCTGTAGTGTAAAATTGCTGGAATATTTAGCTACACCTGTGTAACACACCCTCACTCACCTTGAACATCTTTTATTATGGTCATCACCGTCTTTACCATCATTTCCAGGAAGGGAATATTTTGGTGATCGCCACCAGGGTATGCATGGCATGGGGCGCGGTGCAGGCAGAGGGCGTGGTGCATATGAAGGTAATATCATGGACTGACAATCAGCTCACACACACACTTGAAATTCTTTAAAAATTAATATTAATAATGAATTTCTTTGTCGCCTGGTATCAAACTCGAAGCTCTTCAACTTCACATTACAAAGCCTTCCCCGGATAACCCAAGCTATCTGTTAGGCGCTAGAAGGTTATAGTCACATGACTTTATCCAACCAGGTACCCATTTTTTGCTGGGTAAACAGAGGCAATTTTAGATTGTCAGCTTGGAGAGCATTTGGCCAGGGTTTGATCCCCCTGTGTCAAAGGACAAGATGGTACTCCTTGTTTCCTTGCATGACTCAGCAGTATGCTGCTAAAACAAGACTGGTCCTCTCAATGTTTATATACTGTGTCAGCATCTTGTATCCATGGTAACACTGGCATGGTGTCTCAGTTGGAAAGCATGCTCATACACAGTGTGTAAGTGCATCAATCTTGAACATAGTGTTGAACCCCGTTTCACCTTTAAATCTAGAAAACAATCATTACTTGGCAGAGTGGTAAATTACAGTTTCATGTGTTTTGTTAAAAACACATTAAAGTTCCTAGATTTCATGAGAATGGAAAGAATCTATGTCTTGAATTAGGCTGAAGAGCTGTGATGTAACTTAAGTGTTAAAAATAAGCTGCCCTAAATTCTCACATTATTGATGGAATTTTATTAAGATGTACAGTATAGAGACTTATTTGGCTCACGGACAGTATCTCTTGAAAAACAAGCAGATATTTTTATATACAATGACATTTTGTTGACTTTTCATTTGTTGACTAATAATAAGTTGTGGTTTTGTGCAGAGCCAGGGAAATTATTAAGATCAACATTTTCCCATCATTTGTGCTCTGTCAAAGTCTAGATTCAGACATCTTGTATTTCAGCAGGAATGCGAGAGAGAGGCTATGCACAGGACAGACAGGAACAGATGCGAGGTGATTTGGTCTTTTCAGCTCCTTGCAATACTTATCTATTAATCATGTTTGACTAGATTGAAGACTTTTGAACATCCTTTTGCAATTCCACGCAATCAGACAGTTCAAGTGGGCGAGAAGGTGACCATTTCTTATTGCAGGTTTTACTTTCTAAAGATGATGTCTCCATTCCAAAATAATCTTGTTTTACCTTCAGGTGTGGTGTGTTTGTTGTTTAGCACTCAGCAATATTTATATACTCAGCAATAGTTTTATGGCAGCGTTCTGTATATGATCATGTCTGGTACAGACAATCCAGTGATCAACAGCATGAGCATCGTTTTGCCTTCAGAGGTAGCTTAGCGGTTATTGTGTCCACATTTCAACAAGACGGACCCTCATCTCTGATGTCCCCTGCCGTGACATTGCTGGAAGGTTGCTAAAAGTGACAAAACCTCACTCACTCACTCTACTTTTGCCACCAGGTTACCCTCCAGAGTTTGCTGATCGACAGAGTCGTCGGTCGGAGTGGGAGGATCGACGCCGTGGAGAGGTGTTTGGGCAGGGTCGTGACTGGGGGGAAAGACATGACATGCCACATGATGAGAGGTTTGACATGAGGCGAGATGACCACAGATTTGATGAGAGAGGTTTCCGTAGAGACGATGACAGACCAGTTGGTCGAGATGGAAGACCATTGAGTCGTGGAAATGAGGGACGATCAATTGATCGAAACATGCGGGATAATTGGAGGGACAGACCTGATATGAGGGAGGACAGGATTGGAATGAGAGATGAACGAATGAGAGATAACAGAATGGATGATAGGCGTCGTGAGAGACATAGTCCATCACCCTATGATAAACGTTACCGGGACGATAGGTTCCCCCATGACGAGAGGTTGTTTGGCCGTGAGGACGAAGACAGAATGAGAGACGAGAGAATGCCCATGGAGAGAGGACGGGATGACAGGATGCGAGATGCTGGTGAGAGAGACAGAGATGTGCGGGGTGGGATGGACAGAGGAAGAGATGACAGGGGAATGATGGAGAGAGACAGAGGCCCCATGGACAGAGGGAGAGATGGGTCTGTGGATGAGAGAGGGAGGGGGAACCGGGGGCGTGATGACAGGGGACGGGAGGACAGGATGGGGCTGGACCGAGGGAGGGAGGAGCGAGGTCCACTAGATAGAATGAAAGAGGACCGTGGATCTTTAGACAGAGGTGAGGACCGTGGATTCCTGGATGAACGGAGACGTGAAAGAGGATTCAGGGAGGACAGAAAGGGTGAGAGAGGAGCTAGAGATGACAGAGGGTTTAGGGATGAGGAGGACAGATTCCGAGATGAGAGAGGATTCAGGGAGGACAGTAGAGGAGGTAAATTTGAGAGAGACTTTAGGGAGGAGAGAGTAGGGAGAGATGAGAGACATAGAGATGATAGAGAGTTCCGTGGATCTCGTGGAGATCCAAGTCCTGAGGATGATAGAACACCAGATCAAAGAATTAAAGAGGAAAAGGAAGATCAGGACAAGGTATCTCGAGATGGAAGTCCCAAAGATGAGAGGCCGAGGAGCTCAAGCTCCAAATCAGAACGTACAAAGGATAAAATGTCCAAAGACGATCGAAATAGTGATAAAAGTTCAAAAGACTCTAGAATGTCTAAAGATGAAAAGAGTTCAAAAGATGACCGTTGGAAAGAAGATCGGTCCAAGGACAAGGGAGAAAGGAGGAGGAGGGAAGATCGGTCCCCAAGACGGGACAAGGAAGATCGGTCTCCCAAGAGAGATGGAAAGAAGGAGGAGAAAGGCAAGTGGCCTCCACGAGATGGGGAAGAACAGGACAGTGAAGCAGAGAGCGGGGAAGACTTGAAGCAGGAGGAGACTCGCAGCAGAGATTCCAGGTAGGCAAGCTTGGGAATAGACATGTAGAAATAGGAGATGCTGATTTGGGTTGTGAAGAGATGACTTCAGTTCAAATTATTTGTGTTGAATTAGTTCTTTCAATATGGAAAACAGATCAGTCATAGAGAATCTCCTGATTATGTGTTATGCATTACCATTCCAAAGTCAAAACCTGTGTTTTGGATTAAGGCTTACCATGTGATGTATAACATATATTTATCACTTTATTTATTTCTTCTTGGGTACAGGGCGGTGTGCTGAAGACCCAGTTTTGATTCCCCACATGGGTACAATGTGTGAAGCCCATTTCTGGTGTGCCCCACCATGATATTGCTGGAATATTGCTAAAAGCGGCATAAAACTATACTCATTCATTCACTCACTCACTCACTCACTCACTCACTCACTCACTCACTCACTCACTCACTCACTCACTCACTCACTCACTCACTCACTCACTCTGTGTATGTGTAATACTGTAAACCATTATGTTTTGGAGAATCCTAGTCACTCCGTCGCTATACTGACATGAGGTAACTGAAACACGAGCAGCATGAAGACATTTACCTTAAGATCCAGATAGAGTGAGTTATCACCCATCATCCTAAAACATCCTCTTTTACGTCAGTTTGGATTTGATTGTATACATAACTGGTGTTCTTGAAGGAAACGGGGCCATGACAAGGAGGAACAGCCACTGTCTCCAATCCCCAAGCGTCTTCGTGACATCTCTCCAGCAAGTTCATCTCGGAGCCGAGGCAGTCACAACAGCAGACGGCATCCAGACCGAGAGCAACAGCGTTCCCGTCGCCGTGGTGACAGTGGATCAGACAGGGAAGACAAGTCCGGCAGGAAGGGAAGTGTAGACAGGGATAAAAAGTCACGGAAAAAGGATGGTCCGTCCATTGATGCTGCAAGCAAGTCCGAAAAAAGTCGTAGTGTCAGTGTGAGTTGTTAACATTATTGGCATTATGTAATTACAGAATTTCATTTCTGAAGTTTATTTTTTGTTTGAAATTCTACATACATGCTTGTAAAGAGTAAAGTATAAAAGTAAAAAATTTAGTAAATTCTTGTTTAGAGTCACAGCCAGTAACAAACAGTTAGCTTAGGATCAAAATATTATTTGTCAATCCATTGACACTGTACAAGTACAGAGACATTACTTCATAAGATCCACTTAGATGTAGAGTTGTCTCCCTTACCCATGACAGGATCCTCTGATTAGCCAGATTTGATCCTTGTCGGCACCTTACCTAAGCTAATCAAATTGCATCAACATCAAGCTACCATGTTGTGGTAATGACTAAAATACTGTTGAAGAAGCATTACATCAGACTCACTGCTCATAACGTTGTTCTGTTCCAGCCCAAACCAAGCAAGGAGAAGAATGAAGACAAAGCAGAGAAGGGCAAGGCAAGAAGGAGGTCATTGTCGGGGTCCAGTTCAAGATCTAAGGAAGGAGCAGCGCCTCCAGATTCCCAGGAGAAGAAGCCAGAACTGCCTCCAGCGGCACCTCGGAAAGGTAAGTGCTAACTTGGACCCTTCTTTTCCCTTTCAGGCTTTGGATTTGAACATGCAGTTTCAAAGCCTTATCAATTTGTACAACAGTACTGAATAGGTCTATTGTAACACATGCTTGTTGTAAGAGATGACAACTGAGTTTCAATAAGTTACCATGTCAAACTTGAATATCCAGAGGATATCCAAGTTAATTATCACTCTCACTCGCCAATGTATGCAAAGAATAGGTCCATTGTAACACATACTCTATTATCAGCAAGGACCAAACTGTTTTATGAATAATGGCCTTGCCAAACTTGACTAACCTCATGCTGCCAGGGCAGTCAAGATCCATTTTTGTCAACTATTGTCTGTAACAATGTGCCCATTGTGATATTGTGTTCATCATTCCAGAGCTTTATTTAACATCTGTGATATTGTGTTCAACATTCCATAGCTATTTTTAACATCTGTCATATTGTGTTCATCATTCCAGTGCTGTATATAACATCAATGTGTCTTGTGTTCAACATTCCAGTGATGTATATAACATCAATGTGTCTTGTGTTCAACATTCCAGTGTTGTATATAACATCAATGTGTCTTGTGTTCAACATTCCAGTGTTGTATATAACATCAATGTGTCTTGTGTTCAACATTCCAGTGATGTATATAACATCAATGTGTCTTGTGTTCAACATTCCATTGCTGTATATAACATCAATATGTCTTGTGTTCAACATTCCAGTGCTGTATATAACATCAATGTGTCTTGTGTTCAACATTCCAGTGCTGTATATAACATCAATGTGTCTTGTGTTCATCATTCCAGTGTTGTATATAGCATCAATGTGTCTTGTGTTCATCATTCCAGTGCTATATATAACATCAATGTGTCTTGTGTTCAACATTCCAGTGTTGTATATAACATCAATGTGTCGTGTGTTCAACATTCCAGTGCTGTATATAACATCAATGTGTCTTGTGTTCATCATTCCAGTGCTGTATATAACATCAATGTGTCTTGTGTTCAACATTCCAGTGTTGTATATAGCATCAATGTGTCTTGTGTTCAACATTCCAGTGCTGTATATAACATCAATGTGTCGTGTGTTCATCATTCCAGTGCTATATATAACATCAATGTGTCTTGTGTTCAACATTCCAGTGTTGTATATAGCATCAATGTGTCTTGTGTTCAACATTCCAGTGCTGTATATAACATCAATGTGTCTTGTGTTCATCATTCCAGTGCTGTATATAACATCAGTGTGTCTTGTGTTCAACATTCCAGTGCTCTTTATAACATCAATGTGTCTTGTGTTCAACATTCCAGTGCTCTTTATAACATCAATGTGTCTTGTGTTCAACATTCCAGTGTTGTATATAACATCAATGTGTCGTGTGTTCAACATTCCAGAGCTATATATAACATCAATGTGTCTTGTGTTCAACAGCTGATGACAACCTGTATGATGAAGACAACATTTCAGCAATTGTCTCCCTTGGAGGGAAGTCTTCACTAGCAGATGATGACAGAGGTTAGATATTGCCATTATGCACTGGGCGATACAAAATGATAACAAGTTGATACAGTTATTTTATCAGTCTTGCAGTGCTATATCCATTCTCTGCATCAAGGAAAATGAAGTAACAATAGAATGTGTAGTTATTTTCTATTCAGGAAGTTATGCCCGAGCTTGGGTTACTGCCCTTGACTATACCCTTGCTAATTGTTTGTTGACTTGGTCAGGTTACTCCAATAACCAGACCCGTGAAGGTCCGGGTGTAAGAGGCGACGGGATCGGGTGGTTGACTTGGTTGACACATGGCATCGGTTCCCAATTGCGAAGATCGATGCTCATGCTGTTGATCACTGGGTTGTCTGGTCCAGACTCAATTATTTAGCTGTATAGCTGTAATATTGCTGAGAGTGGCATAAAACTAAACTCACTCACTCACTCACTCACTCACTCCAATAACCAGTGTGATCAGTTTTCCAGGTGAGAAAATGTAAAACCAGTATTTGTATAACAAAGTGTAGTACATAATTCAAGGCCTGTCCTATGGTGAAGATGGACAACAGATGCTCACAAGAAAGAATTAGGCTATCTGTGTGTAGAAAGGAAAAAATTAACCCTCATTGAATCATGACATCATAATATTCGATAATAAATAAGGAGGTCATACCACTGAGAAAGTTATGTGAAGAGAAAGTGTTTCAATACATTTCTGATAACTTCAGTATTTAACAATGTCATTGAATTCCGTTCCAGTTGAAATTTGAAAACATATAGTATCATATCCTGATCCACTTTTTAAAACCAAAGATTACAAAATGACCATCCACTGTAAAATGCTTCCAGAAATTAAGACGTAAATATTTGCAATCCAAATCTCTATGGTGTACAATCTGCCTCCTCCTCCCACAGCGTCAGACCACGCCAGTATCCGGTCAGTGCAGTTCAGCGACTGGTCAGAGGACGACATGGCTGACAACATCCTGAACCAAGCCGAGGTAGAGGTATGGCTCATGTAGACATGGCCGGTGGCTACTGGCCGATCACTTTGGGCTGCATGAGTTTTTTCAGTATGTGACACTTTAGCCAGTGTTTAATGTGTTGGAATGTACAGTGGCATGATGTAGATGTTGGGTATGTTTTGGGTTGACAAGACAGAACATGGAAGATTTCCAGATTTTAGTCAGAATACACATTTCCTAACCTGTGATATGTTTTCCTCAGGCTTTGGACAATTGACTTTCCAACTAACTGCTGTCAGTACTTTTTGTAATAGATGTCACTTGTAAAATCTTTTATGAGCTGCCCCATATCAATTCATTGATGAGCTGAGCTTTGTAAAAAAATATTGCAATTGAGCTGCCTCTTGTGAGGTTATTGAGGAGCAACTTGTTCCATTATGTGTGCTTCAGTTGAAATTAAAGTCACTTGTAAAGTCTTTGATGAGCTGCCCCATATCAATTCATTGATGAGCTGAGCTTTGTAAAAAATATTGCAATTGAGCTGCCCCTTGTGAGGTTATTGAGGAGCAACTTGTTCCATTATGTGTGCTTCAGTTGAAATTAAAGTCACTTGTAAAGTCTTTGATGAGCTGCCTCATATCAAATCATTGATGAGCTGAGCTTTGTAAAAGTTATTGAGCTGCCCCTTGTGAGGTTATTGATTAGGCGAATCAGCCTCTTTTATCCTTCATCTACGACCATGACCTTGACCTTGACCTATTTTACTTCCTACTTCCAGTGTGTTAGTAGGATGTGGGAAGACCAATCCTGCAAATGTTTTCTGTGTAGTGTAAACGATTTATGTTGTTTTCAATTTCATATTAGTGTCATTTTTGTAATATAAGTGAAATTTGGGATTATGCATTCCTAGTAATGTACAGAGTTTAGTGTTTCTGGGGACTCTTAGGGTATTGCCCATAGCGACTAAGTGGGTTAGTTCGCTGACTTAGGGTGCTGACAGCTAGTTGCCTTCACTGAAAGTGTGGATTTGAATGCCAGATATAACTCCACCAAAAAGAAAGACTGACAATGTACTTCACAAGGAAAGGGTCAGTTATAATATAGCTAGTATTGACTTAGGCAGTGATGCTATTTTCAAATCAGCTGTTTTTATCAGATGACAGCGCTGTTTGAAACCTGATTGAAAAATTGGAATCAATTAAGTTTCAAATATCATAAAGTTCTCTGTGGTTAAAGTTGATGAATGCTCACATCTTGTCTCCAGATTGAGAGAGAGGAGCGGCGCCAGAGAAGTCCGAGTCGGAGCAGTCTTGGTAGTCGAGGAAGTGCCCATGACAGGAAGTCACATGCCAGCCATGATCACATGCTGGAAGCCATTAAAGAAAGGTATGAATTGAGTTTGAATGGGCTTTTTTTCAGTGTGGTTAGTGGGTGAGATTGAGTGAGTGAGTATGGTTTTACGCAGCAGTCAGCAAAAATCAGCAATATCACTGTGGGGGACACCCAGATGGGCTTCACCAGAAATGGGTTTCACACATTGTACCCATGTGGTGAATAGAACCCAGGTCTTCGGCGTGACAAGCAGATGCTTTTATCACGAGACTAACCCTCCGCCCCCAGTCTGGTAAGGCTCTCGGCTTATAGATATACAAGATAGGTTTTTCTAAATGCTTTGTTGTTAAAGTAACTGTCCCTGTGTAGAAAGTTAGAAGTATCTGTCCTTTTCACTAAGCAACCCTGTGTAATTTAAACTGTACTTCATCATTCAAAATTGACATAAGACATCGCTCCTAAGAGATAAGGGGTGGTGGGGTAGCCTTGTGGTTAAAGCATTCGCTTGTCATGCCAAAGACCCGGTTTGATTCACCACATGATTACAATGTGTGAAGCCCATTTCTGGTGTCCCCGGCCGTGATATAGCGGGAATATTGCTAAAAGCAGCGTAAAACTAAACTCACTCACTCATCTAAAGAGATATTACTGCAATGATATGCATCTCCAAGCTTTGGGAACCAATGTATTGTCATGAGTTACAATTATATTGATACCAAATGTATTCCCTGTAGAGTACATGGGGAGTCTAGCAGCATGATGGTGGCCTGCGAGGGAGAGGACAGTGGGCAGTGTGTCGGGCAGGACAAAGATGGACAGTTCGATGAGGACATGGAGGCCCTGCCAGAGTACGAGCAGATCTCTTCAGATGAAGATGGCTTCATGGAAGATGATGGTGAAACACAACCAAGTAGGTTATCTGTCAGACTTCTTCTCCTTAGTAGGATTTTCACAAAAAAAGGTTTAAAGAATCCGAGTCACAAGTACATGCTTGTCAAAGTGTGTGATAAGGAGGCAGTGAAAGGGTCAGGGACAGATAACTCTTGTTGTAACTTGGGGATGGGGGGGTGGGGTGGGGGGGCCAGGTCCAGAGGAAGGGTTGGGTTCTGGTGTAAAGAAGTCCAGAAGGAAACTGCTATGTGTTTTGTCAGGTTAAGTATACGGACGTAAATGAATCACAAACAACATTAATGTACAGTGAAAGTTAACTGTTATGGTTTCACTGGGGTGGTTTTACCGTTGTGACACTGGGACTTTATACAGGCCTGACACAAAGAGATCATAATGTGCACACTTGATATGACTGGGTTTCATGCTTTCGCTCGGTCAGATACCACAGGAAGGTCACGAGTTTCGTATAATTCGTATGTAATGAGACCTTGTGTAGTATTCTCTATTCATCTTACCTGTCTCCAGCTTTTGCACAAAATTTGTCTAGCTCAGAAGAGTAATTTTATTGGATGGCTATTTTTAGCATTGTGCCAAGCAAATCCGTTACAGGAAGCTAAGGTGGTGTATAGCCCCACAGTGTGTATTATATGGAAGCTATGATTTACGGGATAATTAAGGATGATCACGCTGTAATACAGTGGACTGTGGCTAGTGGTGGTCCGATTAATTGAAATAATCGAAGATTGGTTGCAATGACTAAACGACCAAGCAATCGATCATGTTTTCTCATAATCGAACACAAACAATTTTGGCACACTTGTTTGCATTAACAACATGTGCACAAGGTTTTGTCTGCTGCATTTCATAATCACTACAAGCTTGTTCCTTGTCATGATTGAAATTATCTTAAGATTCTAGGAAATTTATATTCCTAACATACTAGTCCTCCATTAAAGATGTGAAATTTGTAAATGCATTTTGTGCAGTTTGCCAAAAACAACGAAAGAAGTACATGTTTTTTCTATATATTTTTGTGCATTAACAAATATAACCAGGAGAATTTGATAAATCACGCTAACCAATATTTTTCGATGATTGATCGGTTGTAATGAACCAATCATACAAATTGTGAGATTTTAACCAATTCCCAACACTAACTGTGGCCCATGCGACAGTTCATCCACTCCCTCCTTCCTAGCAATGACAGTTGTGTACTGTTGCAGGTATAGTAAATATCCTGGACATCGACTGGTCTAGCCTCAAGGAAGAAGCCAAGCCCAAACCCAAAGGTTCTGCCCTCAAGCGGTTCAGCCCTGCCAGTATATTCAGCCAGATAGGGGTCTCACGGTTCCAGCCCTTGGTCACGCTTACAGGAGACTCCCGAGACGAACTATTTGAGAAGATCAAGACTGTGTGTCAGAAACAGCTGGATGAGACCGAGAAGACGGAAAATGATGGAGGTAATATTGGTTGGACATGGTTCCAGCCCCTTGGTCACCTCAAAATGATCCCACTTCTCCCAGAGTCACTCTGATGGTCATCCCAAGATATCCCTTACAGTGATTCCAGACTCACTCTGATGGTCATCCCAAGATATCCCTTACAGTGTTCCCAGCGTCACTCTGATGGTCATCCCAAGATATCCCTTACAGTGTTCCCAGAGTTGCTCTGATAGTCATGCCAGTACACCCAAGATCTCCCTCATAGTTCTCCCAGTTCTCCCCTGGCCATCATTATTGTGACCCTGTATTTTCAGGATCTCCCTTTTAATGACTTACTGAGAATCTGTGTCTATTTCTTCACCATTAATGTTCAAAATCTGACTGACTGAATGTGGTGTTTGGTCAATTCCAACACTGCAATATTTAAGTTTTTTCCTGAAGATAACATCATCATTTGTACTTTTATCCAAAAACAATTTTAGTCTTAGTTTTTAATTCTAGTCCCTTGTAATTATTGAGTTATGACATATTTACAATTACAACTTGGTATTGGTTGCCACTTTATACTTTGCTATATACATTTGCGTCTACAGTGCACTGACACTGATTGTAAAATCTGTGCTACAATACATTCATTTAACAACATCCAATTGGGGTTCCAAGTATAGGTCCTTCAACAGTACAGCAACTTTGTGCTAGTGGTATTATCAGGGGTTGGTTGGTCAGGCTTAGTGACTTGGTTGACTGCACATCGTCATGGCAATGACCATTGCTCATAATATCAATCACTGGATTGTCTGGTCCAGACTTGATTATTTACAGGCTGCTATCATATAGCTGGAATATTGCTGAGGGCGCCGTTAAACCAACAAGCAGATATATGACCCTTCCTTTTCCAACCAGGGCGGTGGGGTAGCCTAGTGGTTATAGCATTCACTCGTCACGCCGGAGACCCGGGTTCGATTCCCCACATGGGTACAATATGTGAAGCCAATTTCTGGTGTCCCCCACCATGATATTGCTGGAATATTGCTAAAAGAGGCATAAAACCAAACTCACTCTCTCCTTTCCCAACCTATATTATGTCAGTTTATGTAATACAGAAAACATGATATTGCAGCCGATAATATCAAGGAGAAAACATCCCAGAAGTTTGTTCTGCATGACTCAGTAGCAGCCTTCCACTGTGCCGCTCTGCGGAAACTTCGGGAGCGAGCCAGTCTTCTGAAGAACATCGGCCCCCATCGCAGAGCACTGTGTGCACGCAAAGATCTGGAGATCCGGAGGAGACTTTGTAAAGTTGATAAGGTGGGGAGTACAGCAGTCTCTTGCTACTTTTAACATGGACTCTGATGATAATGACACAGTTGTAATGTAGGTACTCTCTAAACACAATGTGTCTTGGTCTGTCATGGAATGTTTATCAGTGAACACTGAAGCTAACTTTTTAAGAACTGAACATTGTAGAAAAAACATTTTGGGCACCTTTGACTGAAATGTTTTCATGACCTTCACATCATCTGTTCGTATTGTTTTGTTGAAGCAGGTGTTTGACCAGAGCCCAGTGTACCCCAGCCACGTGATGGACACTGATCTGTCCAAGCTGAGCATCCAGCTGTTCCGCCAGGGCAGAGACATCACCCCAGACAAGAAGGAGCCTGAGGCAGAGATCAAAACAGAGGTGTCATGTTCAACATAGATGCAGAGGGGGATACCCAGAGGAAGAGAGTGAAACAGGTGTCATGTTAACATACATGAGGAAGAGAATGAAACAGATATCGTGTTCAACATAGATGCTTAGCGAGATGCCCTAACAGGTATCATGTTCAACAGAGTTGAGGAAGAGACCCAGACAGCATCATGTTCAACACAGCCAAGATATCATCTGTGTTCAGTCATCAAGGATGATCATGTTTGACATGTTGTACATTGTATTAAGGGTCATCCATGGTTTGAGGTGCTGATGTATTTGGGGTCAGATATTTCCGTTGCTGGTCCACTGATGTAAGATATTTTAGTTGCTTAACCATCAGGTCAGCTGTAAAATAGTTGCTGATCCATTGTTGTGTCCACTGTGTTCTTTTGTTGCTGATCCATCATCCATATATTTCTGTTGATGGACCATTGTTGTGTCAGCTATATTTCTGTTGCTGATCGATCATTGTGTCAGCTATATTTCAGTTGATGAACCATTGTTGTGTCAGCTATATTTCAGTTGCTGATCCACCCTTGTGTCAGCTGTTGTGTCAGCTATATTTCAGTTGCTGATCCATCAGCTGTGTCAGCTATATTTCAGTTGATCCATGTCAGTTGTGTCAGCTATATTTCAGTTGCTGATCCATCGTTGTGTCAGCTATATTTCAGTTGCTGATGCATCGTTGTGTCAGCTATATTTCAGTTGCTGATATTTCAGTTGCATCGCTGTGTCAGCTATATTTCAGTTGCTGATCCATCGCTTGCTGTCAGCTATATTTCAGTTATATTTCAGTTGCTGATCCATCGTTGTATCAGCTATATTTCAGTTGCTGATGCATCGTTCTGTCAGCTATATTTCAGTTGCTAATCCATCGTTGTATCAGCTATATTTCAGTTGCTGATCCATCGTTGTGTCAGCTTTATTCCAGTTGCTGATCCATCGTTGTGTCAGCTATATTTCAGTTGCTGATCCATCGTTGTGTCAGCTATATTTCAGTTGCTGATCCATCGTTGTGTCAGCTATATTTCAGTTGCTGATCCACCGTTTTTTCAGCTGTATTTCAGTTCTGACCAATCATGCAGTCAAATAGGTTTTTTTAGTTTATCATCCATTGTGGAGTTATATTCCTTTGTGTTGCAGAAGTAATGTATATCTGTTGATGGCCCATTGCTAGGGTGGATATTTCTGTCAAGAGTGTATTGTTGTGTCCAATGTTTCAATTATATATCGTATGATCCAACAAGACCCTCTCTGACTGGGACTGAACATGTAACACAAGACAATTTTGCATATGTGTTAACAATGTTAGCAGTGTTTGGTGCATTTATGTCAATTTCACTGATCAATTTCAGCAGTGGTTGAATGTGTGTAAAAATATTTTCCATTATTGAGTTTTAAGCAAGAGTATCAAACAGCCATTACTGGAGATGAAAGCTTCATTTTATATGTGTGTTTGTGTTAAGATGGCTGGCTTTCATCGATGAATTTATTCATGTTTGTAAGTTAATACAGAAGTACTGTACATAGTTAATGTGAGATCTCTGGTCCAGCATCATTGTAACATATCATCAGTGCGAGAGGGACATTCATGGTTTTCACACCATCTAGTACTGTATTCATGGCATGTATAAATTGGTTGTTTTCTGAAACCATCACATTTCCTGAAAGCTCCGACTGATGTGATCTGTAAAAGCTTGTTAGTATTTTTGCAGTATTTGTGAGTTCCATGGCTCACGCTGTGTGTCAGGTGATTGTGTATATCAACCATTTGTGGTGAATGTCTGACTGGAAACATATTCATGGTATCATTTTAGTAAAACGTGAAAAATTTTCATGAGTGTTTGTATTCCTTAGTTCTGACCTTGCTCTGATCATGATGATGATTTGAACATTTTACATGCACTTTCTGCCATGAAGCATATTTTGCACACAGAATCTTGCACACTTGCATTATTGATTAAATATTCAAGCTACCTGTTCAGGTAACAAATGATTGGTCCTGGCTCCATAAATCCAGTGTGTGTAAGTGTTTGACAGTATGAGTGCCACAGACCATTTCCTTCTGACATGAAACTGATTTCCTGTGACTGTAATTTTTACACTTATCCTATCTCACGGTATGCACTTCTCTCTCTTGATTCAACACTGAGTGGAACGATGTAAACTTTTTTTCCCTAGGCCTTTCTTGTCCATCCACCCAAGCACTCCATGCTACCCTCATTATAAGACAGCTTCCTAGCTCTCATGCAAAGCATGGGGCATGCACCACTAGCTGCCCACGTGACTATCTCTCATCATTCTCTTTCTTGTCGTACACGAGTGTGGACGTATTTTGCTTTGCTCAACGTTTTCAACTTAGTCTACAACATGGGGAAAGTTGACCAGCCAAAGAAGAGGAAAAAATGCTCCCGGTGTAATTAAGTGTTCTCCGCAAGTGATCCACATGGATATTGTATTGACTGTATGGGACAGTGTTAATGGGTCTCTCGTTGCGATAAATGCAAGGTTCTTACTTGGTGACTTCACTCGGGCTTGCACTCATCATGTTGCTGACAGGGCTTGTTATGCCACTTCACTTGACGGACCCAGTCCCTCCAAGTAAGGAAAGTTTAAGCGTCCTACTTTGTCTGCTCGGCGGTCACAGTCCCCTCACTCAAATGAAGACGATTTCATGAGAGCGTCGGCAAATTCTTACTTATCGGATGACATTCGGCATTTGTTGGGCTCTCAACATTCTAGCCCGAGTCCTTTGTCTTTGACCATGTCCCGGGTAGTGGTTGTTGAGACTGCCACCACCCCTCAGGAGACCTCTACACAGCGGGACCTTCAAACTACGCTCTCTGTCTCGCGTTCACCGGACCAGTTATCTCGACAACCTTGCTTATCTGTTTCGGACAAGAATCAGCTGATCTCTTCGCCTAACTGCGCAGAAACCGTTCTCGCTCTCGTCGTTCATCCAGTAGTGAGAGGAACCAGTCTACCTCGCCTCAACGCCTGTCAGTGGTTATTTCGCCGTCTCCTTCCTATTCGGCGAAAAGAAGTGTGTCTTGCGTCCAGCTACCTCAATCTTCACTGAAGCCTGCCAGATCGAATCACAGTTTGCCGGATCACGCTTCGCCTGTCCGCTCCCCTCCACCTCGACTTTCGGCGAACTGTCCACCTTCCCCAGAATTAGACCGTCTCTCTACGAAACAGCTTTAACTGAACCGGTTTTCATCGAAAGGCCAGTCTACGCTTCTGCATTCTCCAGATCGATCGTCTTCTAAACAGACTTCACCTAATTGAACTTTGTCGAATGAGACTTCACCAAATCGAACTTCGTCGAATCAACGTTCGCGAAATGGAAGACTTCACTGAAACGGCATGTGATGAACCAACTTCGACAATACGCTTTTTTCCAAGCGGTATTCAACGGAAAGCCCTTTTCCAGATCATCTGTGTACTTCCCTGAACTCTGTTGGATCCTTCAGTCATGTCTCCTCAGCACAGACACGGCTTTCACCGAGTCGTTTGGACCAGGCTCCTATTATTATTCGGATTTGTTCACCAGATAGACCTGGTCTATCTACTTCACCGCCAGGACGCCACTCTTCGACTCGTTTGCATTCAACTAAGCAACGCCTCCATCTACTTCGTTGAGATTGGTTCTTCGATCGAAGTCACCTCAGACCTCGTCTTCTCGTCAGCATGGGACTTCCTCTTCTACGCACTTGACCTGTCAACCTAGATCTCCTACACGAACGACTGCTGCCTATCGTTCAAGATCCAGGGATCATCATTCTCGTTATGATACTTCCCCTCCTTGTTCCCGATCTCCTCATCGGGTCTCCATATGTGCGTCTTCTTCCGGTTTGTCCCCCTCCAGACATCAATATGGTTCTACAGATAGGAGATCTACTCAACGGGGCTCCGATTATAGATATCAGCATGCTACGACTACTGACGGGCTCCTGCCTCCTCGCGTGTCTCTAGTCTACTCAGATTGTACCAGATTCCTGGACTCCTGCGCAGGAAACTACTCATCCCCCAGATCTGGCTGCGATGTTGAGAGCTATTCACTACTGCTTGGAATCAGCACCAGTCTGCTCCCTCGACAGGGACCGAATGCGCATTCAACGAACTAGCATTTGTCAACGAACCATGGCTGCATCTAATTAATTGGCATTCAACTGAACCGAAATTCGCCAGACCTGCTTTCCTCGAACCGGAGATCGTTGAACAAGCATTTATCAAATCAGCAGTCACTGAATCGACGTTTTTCGACTTAACTAGCCGTCCCATGGTTCACCGAACTCATCCAAGTATAATCGTCGAACCGAATCGGCAGGCATCGTCGAACTAATTCTTCTGCACAGACTGGCTCATCTCGTCCAAACCACATCACCGAACTGATTCACTACAACATCCCCGTACTAGTTAACCAGATCGATCTGCTCATCACCGAACTGGTTTGTCGGGCCAGACTGAGTCGTCGCACCAGAACCGGATCACAGTACCGTTTCAGATTTTAGCTCGCCGAGCCAGATCACTTAACCGATCCAGATCATCGAACCGTGCCAGATCGCAGATCCAACAGCGTTCGCCGAACCATCAGTATTCACCAAACTGCCAGCATTGCCGAACCATGCCGCCTTTAAGGTACAGCAATCATGTTGGTTCAGTCGACATACATGGTCACTTGGTTACAGCTACAGCTATCCGGCGTCAGATCATACTCACTCATTCACTCATCTACAGCTATCTTGAGCAAGATACCAGATGCTCTACTTACTACATTCAACTTGACGGATCGGAACTTGTCAACACTGTTTTTTTACATGCTCATCGAGGATCATGACCTTGCATCTAGATACGGTCAATTATACCAGCTGTTAATTAAACTCTACGAGCTTTCAACACGATGTTAATATTCAGGGTATTTGTGATACGCTGAATTCCTCACCTCGGAGTGGCATGCTTTTAGCATAGCCATTCGACTTGGCTCTCCGGATTACCCTACGGCATGTGAGGCGCTAGAAGATACACCAGGTACCCTCTTTCTGCTGATTGAACAGATGAAGTAGCTATGTCAGTAGCGGACATCTAGATTACGCCTGCAGTTGACGCTCTGACGATCCCCGATCTCCCAGACTTAGACTACGTTACCAGAGCCCATATCATTCCGGATTTATCTACCTTCCAATCTTCACCTTCATGAATGATTTGGTTTAGGAATCTACCTTTCGGCGTAGATATCAAAACACAGCCAGCTTCACAACCACTTGTCTGTGCATTACTAGACAGGCTTGCTATCCAGGAATTTTTCCGACGCTTCACCGAGTCCTGTTACTACAAACTACCCTTAATCTACACTCAGACCCTTAATCTACACTTGGCGCATCTCCAGAGATTACTCATAGCTAAGGCAACTCTCGTCAAGTAGCCACAGCTATCACTTCAGTTCATCGTAATTCGACCCGTTCTTTCTACGACGATAGTGGAAGAAGTTTGAAGGCTGTTGTAACATTAGGGAAATCCATCTCCCAATCTGCCTCTACTCAGGTCGTTTCTGCGTTCCTGCAGCATCTCCTTGCTACTAGGGAACTCAAGGGTACTATGTTAGCTACCTAACTGGCTGCTATCAACTCGGTATTGGCTACTAACACGGATTCAAAGATCTCCACTCTTCCAGAATTGCAGAGTTTTCTTCACTTCTACAACTCGCCGACCAGTCCAGGAAGTTCAGACTTCTGGTCTGGGAAATGTCATTCTTCTTCGAGCCGAAGAAGCATGGCAAGGTTTTTTCCTGGGTCTCCACTGGGACCCATTGTCAAAACCAACCGCAGGGACTTCGAGTGAAGTGACATTCTTCTTCCTGGTAGCATGGCTACTGCTGCTCGTATATCTGAGCTTCACGCGCTTGTTGTCAATCACGTGCGGTTCGAGCCGAAGAAGCATGGCAAGGTTTTTTCCTGGGTCTCCACTGGGACGTCATTGTCAAAAACCAACCGCACCGGATGTTTACCATTCCCCGTTGTCCATTTTTGGGCCTGATGATACTGAAGATTTGACACTCTGCCCTGTTAGGGCTCTACACATTTACCTTGCTGCCTCCAGGGATCGTTGATGACTACGAAAGCGCCTCTTGTCGGCCGCTTCAAGAGCTGAGATTTCCCGAGCCACTTTGACTTTCTGAATGTGTGGCGCGATTCTGTGAGCCTCCACTCTGCAGGGTTCCCGCCGCCAATCCTCATGAGACTCCTGCATTAGCCTCGACGATGGCCTTCCGTAGCAACTGCTCCTTGACCGCTCTAATGGAAGGTTGCTTCTGGCGTTCAGATATAGTCTTCTCTTCACATTAACTGCGAGACTACACTAGTTCTGTCCTGGGACTACACTAGTTCGGACCTCGCAGCTTACATCAGCCCACCAATGCAGTTGAGGGACAGTTCCGCTTGCGTGTTACTGCTTCTTTCTACATACGGAACAAAGTTGACCAGGAACTCAATCATTGTTCTTAAGTTATAGGTTTAAGAACTACTTCACTTGGCTTCCATACCAAGGCATCGTAAGACGGCGATGCAGAGGTGTTCGACATTGATGCTTACTGTCCTCTACTCCACGGAGCAATTACGTCAGTGAAGTGTGACACTCCCGTATTCCAGTGGATTTCGTTGCATTCCGACTCTGAAGTTGCCGGGCACATCCTTTGACTAAGCTTATGCAAAGGAGTGAGGGTCAATTTGATGCTGTCCCGGATCTGAACGTTAAAACTTGGAGTTCCCAAGTTGTTCTCTTTCACCCGCCCCTGGTCAGTGTCTGTGGGGTCTTCTCGAAGCAGGGACTGACCCGATTATTGTCAACCGACTTTAATTTACGGGGTACCTTTGAAAATCGTGGCAAAGTGACATCCTTTCTCGCTGAGCTGCCTCCTTCTTCGGAGGTTGTGGCCGAACACCACATCGCTCGGGAGCACCCATCTCCCTGGGAGACGTTGTGCTTAGTAAGCCAAGGAGTTCAAGAGAACTCAGCACAAGCATAGGAGTTGCGTGCATGCGTAACAGGCCTCCCTTGTGCATCCCTTGTGGTCGTTTCCAGTCTACACAGTTCCTGCTGTTCGCACTGTCAAGACACAGGGTATCTGCGTCCCGCCGTCCGACCGTGGGATAAGTGCATATCGTGAGATAGGATAAGTTTAAAAATTTGAATTTTTTTATATAAATTGTATATTTATATACTTATCCTATCTCACGCGACGGATTCCCGCTCATCCTCCCCGCTATGCAGATTCTCCAAGAGGGATATTATCCAGTGGCTCCAAGAATGAGAATAATCATTCGGATATAGTCACGTGGGCAGCTAGTGGTGCATGCCGCATGCTTTGCATGACAGCCAGGAAGCTGTCTTATGATGAGGGTAGCATGGAGTGCTTGGGCGGATGGCCTAGAGAAAAAAGTTTACATCGTTCCACTCAGTGTCGAATCAAGAGAGAGAAGTGCATACCGTGAGATAGGATAAGTATATAAATATACAATTTATATTAAAATTTTCAATTTGCTCAAGCTGAATTTTTATACAATGATGTGCAAAGAATACATTTTGTGGCAAACAGGTAAGCAGATGCTCTAGCAGGATATAGTCAGCATCTTCCGTTACGTCTTGGTGCCTGTCAACAGTTTGTTCTGGGTCCAGCAGTTCCAGAACCAGTAGTTTACTGATTACAACTGAACATTGTACACAGTTGTCATCTCTCATTGAAGCAGGGTCAGTGGGGTAGCCTAGTGGTTAAAGCATCTGCTTGTCGCACCGACGTCCCAGGTTCGATTCCCCACATGGGTATAATGTGTGAAGCCCATTTCTGGTGTCCCTCACCGTGATATTGCAGGAATATTGCTAAAAGCAGTGTAAAGCCATACTCGAGTCAGTCAGTTTGTCAGTGTCGTTGCAGCAGTAGCAGTCATACATGTATACAGCCGGAGGTAAGGTGGGAGGGAGTGGGTAGGGCTGGACAGTGCTCCTTGCATTATTGTAGCAGTGTTGTAAACACTGACCCTCACCACTAAAAGATTTCCATTCTCTCTCCTCCCCCACCCCACCACACCACACCCCACTACTACCACCACACAGCTGACAAGACATCACCAACACAGGGTAAATGGTCTGCATTGACAACTGACAAGACATCAACCACCACACCACACCACACCACACCACACCACACCACACACACAGCTGACAAGACATCACCCACCACACCACACCACACCACACCACACCACACCACACCACACCACACCAGACCACTACCACCACCACACAGCTGAGAACACGTCACCAGCACAGGGTAAATGGTCTGCATTGACAACTGACAAGACATCACCCACCACACCACACCAGACCACTACCACCACACCACCACACAGCTGAGAACACGTCACCAGCACAGGGTAAATGGTCTGCATTGACAACTGACAAGACATCAACCACCACACCACACCACACCACACCACACCACACCACACCACACCACTACCACCCACCACACAGCTGAGAACACGTCACCAACACAGGGTAAATGGTCTGCATTGAGCTCCTCCCCACTGCCTGAGGATCAGGATCAGAATCCTTGAAATGTGGGTGCACCCCTTGCACCTCAACCCATTTCACCTCCTGCTTGATTTTCCTACATTTTCTTAAGCTTTGGGTTTGTAACAATACATATTCCAGGAAATGATTGGAAACATGGAGGAAGAACAAATCATGAGAAGTGTTTATCATCTGTATTGTTTTGTAGGCCTAACTATTCACCAATACATAACAGGATGCACACTGACGAGAGAGTGACAAACTTCAGCATTATCCTGAAGATAATAGCAGTCATTCACTTTTCAATGTGTTAACTCAAGCAAACATTGAGACTATTATACACCAGTACACTTACATAAGAATCTGTTTGTCATGTCTAGTTTCAACAGCTATCATAATGTCTAATATATTTATCATCTTACACATGAAATTTTCAAGCAATGTGAAAATGGTTACTATGTACAGAATCCTGTATACATGACATCAGACTAACAAATAAAGATATTATGAGCCTGCCACAGGATGCAGCTTTGCTCCAATCACAACCAGGTGATGGCCTCTGTAAACATGGTTCGTGACCTTTCCAGAGTGCTATGACAAGACGATCACTTAACTATTCCTTCATGGCAGTCTTTCCGCTGGGTGTTTCAGTATGTCCACAAACTTGTCTCCACTTCCCCATCTCTGCCTAGAGCTGATACACAAAGGGAATGTTCAGATCACCAAGGTGCTTGGTGAACTCATGTTCAAACACTTCGTTTTGGTACACTGTGAAGAGCTCTTTCCAGTCGCCCACTGTTCCTGTAACATGTATAAGAGTCCCAATAATTGGACAACAATTTTGTTTGTGATTTGAAGGAACTGAATAGTTCATACAAGTGCCACACTAATCTAGCTTAAAGGTTAAAGAAGAGCCAATTACAGATATCAGGTAGCATTACCATATTTAGGCAATGTGGAGCACTGTGGGTTATAGAAAAAGTGACCCTTTGCAAATGTAGCCACTCCTTGATGGGCGTTTGCAGTATTCCAGCTATGGCGGCGGTCTGTGAATTATCAAGTCTGGGCCTCGTTCATCAAAGCGATCCTAACCCTAAGATCATCGTAATTCCCATACTGCAACCACAGACTTACGATAGTCGTAGCGCTACGATCGCTTCGAGGAAGAGGCCCTGGACCAGACGCTCCAGTGATTGACATGAACGTTGATCTACGCATTTGAGATAGGATGACATGGGTCAACCATATCAGCGGGCTGATAGATCACCCGATTCCATTAGTCGCCAATTTCTTTCGGAGAAAATAGCTCCGAACTTTAGTGTCAATTTTCCAGAAAATGGTCCCATTAATTCATTGCCAATGACCGACACATCAGAACTTCCGGGGCCACAGAGGACTAGTTATGGCCCCAACATGTGATTTCCTTCACATGATGTTCCTGTGTCATCGAAGCTGTCTACCACATGAAGCCTAGTGGTTAAAGTCACGCCGAAGACCCGGGTTCGATTCCCCACATGGGTACAATGTGCGGAGCCCATCTCTGGTGACCCCGCCGTGATATTGCTGGAATATTGCTAAAAGCGGTGTAAACCTAAACTAACTCACTCACTCAACCAGATGACGTGTGGAGGCTGTGATGATGGGCACCAAGCTTAAGGTGGCAGTCCTGTGCTCCCACGACTACTGAATACGTTACCATGGTAGGAGACCAGCCACGTCGACCTTTCCCACTTGCACATGCTACTGAGCTACCGGGCAACCTCCAGTGCCTTAACAATATAAGCTAAATCATGACCTGTTTGTGTTCTCTGAGAACAGGTTTACAATGTTTGGACCCCACATTTTCAGTCCGATATTTTGTCTAAGTAGACTAATGAAAAGCGTTTTATACAGCAGTCAGTATTTAGACTGATAATAATGCGTGGCGCTGAAATAATATTGGATGAAATATTTAACATGGAAATATCCTTAACGATATGAGAACGTCGTATTCACTACTCAGCATACTCCGAGTCAAAACTGTAATAACTACATTAACTGACATCAAGGTTCATTTCTGTTGTAAATACGTTTCTGTACGACCACTATGGAGAAAACATCACAATGAATCTTACTAAATCAGTATTTCAAGCGTTGGAATCATAGGGTAAGTGAATGTCTGTCCGATGTCGCACAACCAGGACTATATAGCAGTTGACCACGTCACAATATCCAGACGCTCATGATGTCAATCACTGGATTGTCTGTACCAGACTCCATTGCTCATATTCCGCCGCAATCTAGCTGGAATATTGCTGAGTGAAACGTTAAACAACAAACAAACGAAGTACAATTTCAATATTTCTGATAGTGTATACCCACCTTTTCGTAGCAATGGCGACATTTTGCTGTCAATTGAATACACGTCTTCATGGTTCGTCATAGGGTTCTGTTTCATGCTTTCAAAGGTGCAGTGCCGAGCTATTCTGTCAATCAATGCGTCACCGAGATTCCTCTTGCCCAGGAAGTCGGCCAATTCTTTGATTGCGCCTGGGAGGTCCTGTAATAAAGTAGACAGCTTGAAAATTCCAAATCAATATATGTCATATCAAAACAGAGACGTAATGCACCGCATAATTGAGAATGGTATGTGGGGAATTGAAAAACAATTATATTAATCGTATACTCGGATATATGTTTGGATAGGGAAAAAACGGTATTTATCAAATCCATATACTGTGAATTAAATATCAGAAAATAAACAATGATCAACCATCCACTGTGTATATTTAATGTCTGTGAACACATAGTGGTACCACTACATACTCCTTTGATCCGTCTCAGAACATTATGTATTGACCATTCTCGTGTGCATGTTCAAACATCTTCAAACCCAAACACGAACACGGGCTCGATGTATACACACATTTTCTCACTGTTTCTCACATGCATAATCATCAAAATATTTAAAAAACGTTTAATGTGTTAACTTGACACATGAAAGCATGATAGTGTTTTCGCTGGTTCGTTCCACGTGCAACTAATTTAATTTCTGTGACCGTGGCTTTAAGGATCGAATTTAATGCGCTACCTTTTTCTATCCTCACCTTTTTCATGTCCTCGTAGAAGACGATGTGAACGTTGGTGTTGTGTCGCTCCTGCCACCATCCCCGCGTGAAGTCAAACCATGATCCGTGGTCCACTGTATAGAAATACACAACAAATACACAATGATATCACCCCACCTGGTTCCAAATAATACGGGGCGGCGGGGTAGTCTATAGTGGTTAAAGCGTTCGTACGTAACGGCAAAGACCCGGGCTCGCTTCCCCACATGGGGATAATGCGTGAAGCCGATTTGGTGCCCACCGCCGTGATATTGTTGGAATAATGCTGAGCCTATAAATAACATGTGTGAAGAAAAATTGTAGACTTTTGAAAGATTCACATATGTGAATAAAATGAAGTGTAAAACCTATTCAAAGTGTATACAACAGTTAAAACTTAATCGTTGGTGGTGCGCTCTCTCATACAATGCCCCCATCAACCAATCAATCAATCACTCGATACAATAATATGTTATGACGATGCCGACCCCGTTTAATGCGCGGGATTAGGATTAGAATTCTAGACAACGTGTTTTTGAAATTATAGAGTCAGGTTGTATTTGGGATTCAGGTATGAGGGAAAGAGAATGGCATTGATGTTTAGTGTGAAATACAATGCTTGGTTTCATCAGAATATGTTCCACGTACAACCAAACCGAAGCAAGTGTAAAACTTATTCAAAGCGTATACAACTGTCATAACTTTATCGTTGGTGATTTGCTCTCTCATACAGTAACCCCAAATTCACTGTGCAAAGTTGCGTCCCTTGGGCATGCCAGAATCTACGGTCGTGTTCCCGGTTTCCCCGGGGGATTCACCAGAGTGGTAAACATCTGAGCATAGGGCGTTCTTCCTACCTAAAGCCGACACGCAGCGATGTATTTGCAATGCTGTTAAAAAGGGCTAAAAAATCCGCCTCACTCACTCACTCGCCCTCTATAGTTATGCGATGCTTGACCCGCTTTTGGCACCCGGGATCCGGTTTACTGTTTAGAGGGTATTCGGGATTCAGTAACGTGATACGCTGGATTCGGTGGTGAGTCTTCAGGGTATTCGGGACCCAGCAACGTGCACACTCTGGCGAAGTGATAACATAATTCCAATTCTTCAGTATTTTTTACAGTAATTTAATTTCAAATACATATGTACTACCGTATTATGAGCTGGGAACATGCTGTGTCGGTTTTCTTATGTGTTCGACATTCGACATTCTGTTGCAGACAGAATTCTAACGTGCTCTCGAGGTTTGTGTCAGGCTGCATTTGGGATTAAGGCTTGAGCGATATAGAATAAAAGTAATGATGGCATTAGGGATTCAGAAGAATAAGGGGTTGGTTGTCACTCTGACAAACTGATGCCCAGTGATATATACAATGCTTAGTTTCCTCAGAATATACTCCACATACAATCAAACCGAAGCGTGGGTTAACGACGGATGCAGACATCCACGTATAGATATGAGACTGAAATGCTTTCAGGGAGAATCCCCGATTATGAGAATTGACCTTGATAACTTGACGTTACACTTGGGATATGGCGAAAGATCTGTTGTTTGCAGGAGGAATTGGACAACTGACATAATGTCTAGTAGGGCTCCATGAATATTGACACCCGATCCTATGCCGTCTGCCCTGCACGGCCGTATAATGTCATAGACGCATTTTGGATTGACAGTATCTCATATTTAAAATCCCTCTCAACCAGACGCGTCTAAGCATAAGCGAATAAGCACCTTAATTGTACCGTCTGAACAAATGACAGTTCTTACTGTTTCGCACGTACCTTAACCCTTTAAAGACATGAATTACTCAACGATATACCATAAACCACAGTGATCGCATTTCGTTGAGTTAGTCAGTGAGTGAGTGAGTGATTTAGTATGCTTTTGTGCTGCTTTTACAAAAACATCACGGCTGGGGACACCAGAAATCGGCTTCACTTATTTAACCTGGGTCTTCAGTGTGACGAGCGAACTATTTAACCACTAGGCTACCCCACCGCCCTGCAAACCTGTTAATTTGCTGTATCACCTGAGAAAGAGTGAGTGTTGTATTTGAGAAATCACGGTATTTCCCGCAATTAAAACAATTTCTCAACATTCTTGCCATGGCATCCCGCGTATCAGCACGTCAGACGTCTTGAACTTCCACTTTTCAGATGGTGCGTTGAGGACCAGGGAGGTCAAACTCACTCAGCGCTACATCCAGTCAGGTTATTGGAGTAGAGGTAGGTTTGTGTGTTGGTATACGCCATATTCAGCAATATTTCATGTATCTGACGATGGTCTGCCATTACTCCTCCAGACAAGAACTAGTGAATATTCAATCACGTTTGGATTCAGCAGTATGATCATAGCACCCCATCGCTGGCCGTAGTCGACTACAATGGCGTGGCTGGGCTCTGGGACTGGTTGCACGGCATCGTTCACCGTGACGTGAACTGCCATGCTTTAGACCCTGGTCTGCCTGGCTATCACTATATTACTAACCTATGGCCGTGATATAAGGGGAATACTGCTGACCAACATTCCGTCACATCTTTACCGTACGTCTTATGTGGCTATATGTCATCTGCTGTGGTCTAATGTTACATGGGATAATGACACGTGAAGATGTGTGTTAGAATTGATCTTCAGCAACCCATGCTTGTCGTAAGAGGCGACTAATGGGATGGGTGGTCAGGCTCGCTGACTTGGATGACACATGCCATCGTATCCCAATTGCACATAAACGTTGGTCTGTGAATGACAACAATCACGGCCTTAAACCACATATCTGACCTCACTTGAAATAATCACTTAACGTCAATTATAGTATATCTCTCAAACCAAGTATTTGTTTTGTTGATTCAAAAGGTTACTTGGTTTGAGATCCCGTGAAGATCCGGGTAAGAATTGGTCTTCAGCAACCCATGCTTGTCGTAAGAGGCGACTGACGGGATCGGGTGGACAGCCTCGCTGACTTGGTTGACAATAATCCTATCATCGCACCCCAATTGCGTAGATCGAGGCTCATATGATCACTGGATTGTCTAGTCCAGACTCAATTATTTACAGACCGCCGCCATATAGCTGGAATATTGCTGCTGAGTGCGGCGTTAAACAACAAACAAAACACTGGATGAAACACTTTATCTTACCTCACACATAAATGTCGTTTGGCTGAGCCAATCAGTGTTCCCTGCTTACAAGCGAGTAACATTTTCTATGTTACCCGCTGGTTATGCCGAACTGTGGGAAAACGTTTCGTATTTCGTGTAAGTAGTGTTTGGGCTGTTGCCTAACTCCGATACTCATTATGATCCAATACCTGTGCTTCAAACAGTTCAAAATGAACATGTTCGGTGTTCAGTAAGATAAATACGTTGTTCACAGGTCCCTCGGGGCCCATGGGTTGATGTACCCTCTATGTTTGTTTATGTTCCTCTCGCCCGAACATCAACCCATGTCCCGCTCGTGACCAGTGAACAATAGAGCTGGGACGGGTAGGAAAAAATGGAATCGAGTACCCGCATGTACTTACCCGTATCGGAATCGAGTACCCGGAAATGTAAGGAATACAGCGCCTCTGTCAACTTTCTGAATATTCAACCACGATTTGACAGAGATTATTATGGAAAACTTTTAAGGGTGGCTACAAGACATTAAAAATGATCTCAAGCTATATAATTTACGTCTGTTTGACCAATATAAAGAGTAACACCATTACTTACATTGCTCGTTAAAATAAACTTTTCGTTCCTACTGTTACTGTAACTTGACTACTCACTGCACATGCGCAGATTAATTACAGTCGTTAATAATAACCTCCATTAATCGGACAATACCAATGATGTAAATTTGTGTTACGTCAATAATGAAAAAGACAAGTTATTATCTGCCTTTGTCATTACAGAGTTCACTCCCTTTCCGGGTACTCGATTCCAGCTGTACCCGACCCGGATTAGAGAAAGCGAGTACCCGTCCCAGCCCTAGTGAACAACTTACAATGTCATGCCTGTGTCACGTGGATGAAGGTGCCCACTCACCGTGCCCCGACAGGAACATATAGAGGAACTCGGGCCACGTCCCCTGGAAGTTTCCGAATGAAGAGCTGGACTTGTAGAAGTGGTAGTACGACACACAGATCCTTGGGGTTACGGAAAAGCACCACGATCTGAGAAGCAAGGTATCGGTATAATGCATGTATACTATGGCTAATAGGTTTTAACACTTACGATAAACTCTGATCTCATAAATCTAACCATGGTCAAGAAAATACATTGTACAAAGTAGAGTTCTTAATCAGGTGAGGTAATTATTAAAACAACCATTCATTGGGTACCATTCATTGGCTTGTTCTAATTCGAAATGGGATAAGACATCTTCTAAATATAGTTTCAAACTAGGCCAACACTTTTGTCGAATGCTGTAACTCTCAGCTGAGTTTGATATGTATGTTAAGACTGACGTCAGTCCTACTATATGCTTATACTGAAAATGAACAAAATGATTATGAGTTGGTCATACATCTTGCGTTCTTTATTCAACGCCTAGGCAATAAATATAGGGAAGAATGAGGACAATGTTATCGATATACAACTTCTTTATTTTGTATATGCGACGTTTCGACATAGATTCTAATGTCTATGTCGAAACGTCGCCTATACAGGATAAAGAAGTTGTATATCCATAAAAGTGTCTTCATTCTTCATCTCCTCAACTTCTAGAATGCCAGTCAAAGAAATAAATAGGGATTTGGGGGGTTGTTTGCAAAATAATCAGCCATTTTGAAATTCCGAAAAAAATTGAAAAACTTGGACACTTGATGGTTATAGTCCGTTTGACTCGAAATAAGAAAGATGAATTGCAAAATAACTGGAAATAACGACATTGGAGATATGGCAGCGTTGAGTTGCCAAAGACGTCAACGATATAGAATCGAGCTACTGGTAACGTGATTGACTTCAGCAAGCTACAGTCCCACCTATAGTTGTGACCATCAGCGGTGAAGAGGTTGTGACATGAGAAAGTCAGATTGCAACCAACAATGTTATGAGACAACCCCTCTTTCCCTGTAGCGTTGTGTAGCACGTGCAGTATGTGTGCCTATTCCTCTTACCGTTGAGCACCCAATCTGCTCAGATGTCAATTTTTGCATATAACAACATATTCTCTTAAAAAACTGTTTGGCCAGTGAAGGGTATAAAATAACAAACAGCAGATATTGTTGGATGCAATGTATTCATGTCATGTACCGTATTGACTTATACTAGACAAGTCCCGGTGTTGAGTTACGTTGCCATTCATCGTTGGGAGGCAGACGGACTGAAGAAACGGGTCCAGCAGCAAGAACGATTGTAATCAATTCATTCAGAAGAAAAACATGTCGAAGAACAAATTGCGGAATGATATAACTATAGCTGCACTCATCAAATCTACTGTTTCCCATTTCTGAGACAACTGACAGTGATCCGAACACGTGAGTGTATCCATGTGACACTGATGGCACTCGTCTGTCGGTCGCAGGTCCCACGGTCACATAAACAGACGGAGAGCCAAGGTGTGTGTGTGTGTGCGGATCTCACCATCACGGACATGAGGTGACACAAACACTCCCTTCAGGTATGAATGGCTTGGGCGTGTTTAGGAATAATTTCACATACAATTGTTGATATGTTTATAGCATCAAGCTATATATACAACTGTCCTGCACAGAACTATCGTGAACTGTATATAGGATAGACTGGAGTGGTATTCCAGTGGGTTTACCGTATTGTCCCTGTCAGACGCTCTGGTGCCTATACATTTACTGCACGCCGTTGACCCGGCGTCTGTATTCCCGGCTGTGTAAAGATACAGAGTTGCAACTCACAACCTTATTGAACCCAAAATTCTAACCATATGAAAGGTGTATTTGTAGGACTTTAGTAATCAATACATACTGTCATTTAATGTGATATATGTCTTTAATTTCATTCAGTGATGGATCGGGAATCCACTTGAGACGTCTATCACAGGCCTGGTTTCTATTTCTGTGGACTGGGGTGTACGACCTGGCGTCAGTTGTGAGCCCGGCGTGTATAAAGAACGGGCGTCTAATAGAGGAAATGCGGCATAAACAAACCGGAAACGTCCATCGATTTATCAATGACGTTGTCAGGGTGTAGTGGCCGACTATCAAATACACCTTACTCAACTAGCCATTACTTTATCAGTGCAGGTGCAGCCAGGGAATGTGTTTAGGCCTTAGTCCACAGTACCGTGAAGACCCGGGTTAGAATTGGTCTTCAGCATCCCATGCTTGTCGTAAGATGCGACAAACGGGGCTGGGTGGCCAGGCTCGCTGACCTGGTTCACACATGTCATCGTATCCCAATTACGTAGATTCGATGTTTCATGATGTTGATCACTGGATTGTCTGGTCCAGACTGGTATCAAGACAAGTATCAGCGTGGGAAACGCTTTATGTCTATTTGTATTTAGAGAGATACCTTGTTATCGTAATGCCGACCCTTAAAACCACTGTCACTACCGTCCAGTGACTAATATGTGTGGTATTAATAACATTTGTAAGATACTTATGCCGTATGATTGGACCGCCTCCGTGGTGTAGTGGTTAGAGCGTGTGCCCGGAGAGCGGAAGGTCGCGGGTTCGATCCCCGACCGCGCCATACCATAAGACGTTAAAATATGGTACTTGTTGGTCCCTGCCTGGCGCTCGGCATTAATGGGTACAACAAGGACTGGTCGGCTCGGAGTCAGTATAATGTGTCTGAGTGGGGTATTCATTCTTCACTGCGGCATGGTATCTCAGTGGGCTAGCACTATAAACCAGCTTAAGTCTGGGCTAGTACAAGCAGCCGCACATACACATACACACACACACGCATGCACGTCGTCATATGAGCGAAATATTCCCAAGCACGACGTTAAACCCCATTTAAGCTCACCTCACCGTATGATTGATTTTACCATCTGTATGATATTATTACAAAATTATATTAGGTTTCTACCACATTAGGATGTTATTATTTATGTAATAAGTCATTATCAAATGTAAACTGTTATTACCAAATGCATTCTGTTACTACCCCTTGCATGATGTAATTACTATATATGTCATTACCATATGTACGATATTACTACTAGACGTGTGGTGTTATTACGAAATGTAAGATGTTATTACGAAATATATGACTACATTAACAACTGTGTGATGTTATTACCAATTGTTTGATTGTATTACAATAATCATGATGTCACTGTGGAATGTAGGATGTTACTACCAACTTATGTTCTTATTACCAAATGTTGGCCATTACCGTTTCTGGTCTACTGCTTCGTCGCCAGTTCCGTGAGTATGTTTTACGCCGCTTTTGGCAATATTCCAGCAATGCCACGGCGGGGGACATCAAAATTGGGCTTCACACATGGTACCCATGTGGGGGATCGAACACGGGTCATCGGCGTGACTACCCCACCGCCCCTTCCAGTTCCGTGAAATAAGGTTTCTCAAATTGTGACCCTCCGTTACTTCAACCAAACATGATAATAAAGGACTATCTCCTTGGTGATGGTGAAGAAGATATACAACGATAATCAGCCTAGAGTCGTTATAATGTTTGACACAGCGCTTGCACATTGAACGTAGATCCACTTATCACAGAAAGGCAGGTAGCTGTGACGAGGTAAATGTATCTGAGCCATAAGGAATTGATTTTTTCCCTGACCTTTGCATCCATCAGCTGAGAAAAGACAGGACGAATTTGCCTCTGGTGACCACAATGTGCGACCTATAGGCGACCATGTGTCGTCGTGCCCCAGACGTAATCCAAGGTAAGCCACTGGTTTGTGAGGCCTAGACAGACTTATTTACAGTCGGATTTGATAAAACAGGGATATTGCTTTATGCGTTGTAAAACAATATTCACTCAATAAATCGTCATCGATGGTTGACAGATGGGTGAGACTATGTTTCGGCCTGGTTTCATGATTATAATTTAGCTGGTAGCATCCACCTCACCTTACGTCCCCTGCCGTGATGTTGCTGGAGTATTGCTAAAAGCGGCGGAAAACCCAACTCACTCACTCATTCACCTCCTTACCTTGCAGTTTTTCTGCTTGATTTGTCTTGGCATAAGTTTCACCTGAAGATGGGACTTAATCACTCTCGGGGATGGCATTGGATCGGCCAGCTCCAGACCGACCTCATTCAGGACGTCGTCTTTGAACTCGAGAAAGGGAGACCGGAAGTACAGGGGCTTCTGGTAGGCCGAATCAAAATTCCCGTCACTCATCACCAGCCACAGGACTTCCTGCATCCATGTTGTTCCTGCAGAGCAGTTTTGACATTATGTTAGTTCCAAACGACTAGAGTGTCTGGGTACATCATTGCTAAATCATGGCGTCAACTTGCTGGGGGAGGAAGGTGACCTCATGCAAGTGCAGTGAAACTCCCGAGTGCGGGTATTGTGTTGTGAAACCCAGGAACTTCAAACTCCCGAGTGCGGGTATTGTGTTGTGAAACCCAGGAACTTTAAACTCACGAGTGCGGGTATTGTGTTGTGAAACCCAGGAACTTTAAACTGACGAGTGCGGGTATTGTGTTGTGAAACCCAGGAACTTTAAACTCCCGAGTGCGGGTATTGTGTTGTGAAACCCAGGAACTTTAAACTCACGAGTGCGGGTATTGTGTTGTGAAACCCAGGAGCTTTAAACTCCCGAGTGCGGGTATTGTGTTGTGAAACCTCAAGGAACTTTAAACTCCCGAGTGCGGGTATTGTGTTGTGAAACCTAGAAACTTTAAACTCAAACTCACGAGTACGGGTATTGTGTTGTGAAACCCAGAACTGCTCCCGGGTATTATTGTGTTGTGAAACCCAGGAGTGCTTTAAACTCCCGAGTGCGGGTATTGTGTTGTGAAACCCAGGAGCTTTAAACTCCCGAGTGCTGGTATTGTGTTGTGAAACCCAGGAACTTTTGTGAAATTCCCGAGTGCGGGTATTGTGTTGTGAAACCCAGGAACTTTAAACTCCCGAGTGCGGGTATTGTGTTGTGAAACCCAGGAACTTTAAACTCCCGAGTGCGGGTATTGTGTTGTGAAACCCAGGAACTTTAAACTCCCGAGTGCGGGTATTGTGTTGTGAAACCCAGGAACTTCAAACTCCCGAGTGCGGGTATTGTGTTGTGAAACCCAGGAACTTCAAACTCCCGAGCGTGGGTATTGTGTCGTGAAATCCAGGAAGTCTATACTGACGATCTTATGCTGACATGCAGTCGCATCAGAGCCCCCCTTTAACATAACCCTCAGCCTAACATAATCACACTGGTAGGAATATCAACGATCAATGTTATCGCTGCTCCTTACTCTGTGGCAGTGTTCGTGCGGAAACAAGTATGAGTCCTTTTCACTGCACAAGACCATACCATAAACCCGAGTGTCTAACCTCACACACATTAAAGATTAACTGCAGGTTAAATCGCTTAATTGCGCCCATATTGGACTTTACATTAGGAGTTATATCCCCTTAATGGAAGTGGATTCGTGCGCCAGACTGCCCCACGTTCTTAAATCGATTAATGGCTTCCGTTTTCCGTTCGCTTTTTATACCCGCTGCGGTCTTGGTTTTGCTTTTCTGCTGGTTCTCGAGTAGCTTGTTAGAATTCCACCGCTACACGTCTATTCACCGAGGCCGTGACTGTGTGAATACAACCCGTCCAGTAGTTCACTCTTGAAGATGCACGACTTTGATTAACTCCTGGGGACTGCCTCAAAATCTCCAATAAATATTTGTTTTCTGATAACTTTAATCACTCGGTTCTCAAAGTGAAATCAAATTCCAAATTTCTTTATCTCTGAACCAATCCTAACAAATACCAATAAAACAGCTAAAGCCAGGTGGACTACGTTTGGAATTATTCAAACATTTTCTGTTTGAGAACACCCTTATTGACATGTTAAAAATAGTAATCTGTATGAAGGTGTTTTTTGTGTAGAATAAACACATTTGATTGCACAATCTGAGAAGGGGCTATTTATATTTATAACAAGTTTGGTTCCTGAACTATGTGGAAGACAGACAGGTAGAAGACTATAATGATTCTGGGCTCAGGCATATCACTGTCTCTCCTCGAATAGAATTGAGTGACATTCTCTCTACTGATCAATACATTTTTATTCGTGAAATCCACTTCCGACACTTTGATTGAAACTCCATGTCAAGAAGTCTAGTAAAATAGATTTTAGTAGTTGCAAACAGGCTTCAAATCGTTCCTGGCATCGCGGAAATAAAACGGGTCACAGCCTTACTTTATACCTCTGGTTACTTGTATGAGAGCTAAATATTTCAGACAGCTTGATGTAATAATCCTGATTTAGAATAACAGTGCCTAATAAATACTGTGAATCAATATAATCCTTTTCACATGAACAACACCTTAACGACTTAAAGTCATGGTGTTGCTATAAACAGTCAAATATTTTACTCATGCAACATGACCCCTGACCGTAGCCACTTTACTATTCGTCATTCTGTGTAAGTGAATTCTATTTTCGAAAAAATAAAACGATACATTGTAAATGTTAAAGTCACACATGCCTGACATTTTTTCCTATCACTCCAAGTAATGGCAAGTCGATTGAGGCACAAGTTAAGTAAGCAAGCCAGTAAATGTTTTGGGGGGTTTTGTTTTGTTTTTTGGTTTTTTGTTGTTGTTTTGTTGGGGTTTTTGGTTTTTTGTTTTATATTTCATTCTATGTTTTTTCAGCTTTTTACATATTTACGTCTTGGTCTTGACATATTCGTGGACGACATCCAAGACATGGGACTCCTTTCCATAGTCAGTTACGCCAACACAACTGCAGCCGACAGCTTTCCTGGCCTTCCCTTCCTTACACAGGCCTGCCCACTCTCCCAGCTTCTTGCTGTCATCATCCTTGAGAAGGTTGATTCCATGTTCTGCACAGAGAGCCTCCACCAGTTTCACGTACATTGGTTCGTCACAGTTGTTGGTCAGGATGCACAAGAAAGCCTGACGTTTGTCAAATGCCTTGGCACTTTCATGGAGTCTTCTTGCTAGTCCATCATGGAGGGAGCGAAAAGCCAGTGATTGTTGTGCTGACCAGACGACACCTACAGATGTTCATTGAGCAGCGACTGGTGGTACATTCTCTTCCCATAGAGGTTACTTAAGTCATATCTTCCCATATGACTAGAGTAATCTCTGTGGGAAGAGAATGCTGGTGGTATTGCTGTAGATGTAACACACGTCATACGGTATAATTTGGATCCAAGCACCTTGTACAAATTACGATCACAAATACACTATGACATGTCAATCAAAACATCAGGCACTTTCAACAAACAAAAACCAAAGAAGATATATTTATATAAGCTATCAATTAGTGATGGCGTTCGTGGTAACAGGTTCTTGAAATGGGTTCAGTGTTGTGGAGATGGGGCCATCTAATTGCCCCATCATATAGCCTTAAAGAAAGATGCCCAGTTCAACAGACAACACGTTTGTCAAGGTGCTTTTGCAACACCATACACGTGTATTATTTGTTAAACTATAGAAAACTGCACCATAAAATAATTTAAGTTGCGACGCGATTGTATTCATATTTAGACGTTCACACCTCTCGCAGCTGGACGTGTTTCCATGGGCAGGATGTCACAAGCCCATTTCAGTTGTCCCCGCCATGGTATTGCTAGACTATTGCTAAGCGCGTCGTAAAACTAAAATCACTCACTCACTCCGTTATTTTAAGAGAGTGGCATCTAAAATAGGTTCAAATCGTGCACGTTCCGAGGAGTTAAACTGACTGAGTATGGTTTTACGCCGCTTTTAGCAATATTCCAGCGGGGGACACCAGAAATGGGCTTCACGCATTGTACCCATGTAGGGAGTCGAACCCGGATCTTCGGCGTGACGAGCGGACGCTTTAACCACTGAGCTACCCCACCGCCCCTCCTTTAAGCTGTGTGCAGTCATACTGGACGAACACTGACCCACAACACACAATTACAGGCGGGTTTTTTATTTCTGAAATGAATAAATTATATAATTTAATATTGTTATTTTTTGGCACAGTTCCAGCTTTGGCTGGATCTAGGATATGAATCATACAGAGAAGAAAATTATACCATACAATAACAGTCAAATAATTGTTCGGCCAATCGGAACAAGCTTAACGACCCCGGGCAAATTGACTGCCACCTGATACCACTCACCGCACGTTACAGGTAAAACATAAAATCAAATCCACTGAGAAAAACAGTGCTTGTTCCAACAATTCACAGTTTTCACAATCAATATAAATAGGCGGCCTCAGTGTCACACCACTCCCGTAACGGAACACATCTGATGGCTGCCGTAAACGGCGTACTTTCAATGTGACACTGCGCCCTTAACAAGCAGCCCCTTTTGGAGTGAGTGTGTGAGTTTAGGTTTACGCCGACAGCATGCACACGTGTTTGTGCACTCTAGTACAAACCCCCACCCACACCCCCACCCCCCCAGTGTGTACCTTTTGCCACCTCTCCCTAATGTAATTGCCAAAAACTACCTTGTTGTCATGGTAATCATGTTATTATTGTCAAATTATGTCCCTACATTTTACGCAAATGTTTTGTGTATGCAATGCTATAACTTCCCAGCACATTACCTTTGTATGGTATACACGGAACCAGATACGGCTGTTCACTATAAATGATTATGATCTAGTGTCACTTGCTTGACAACGACATTAGAATCTATGTCGCCCTTCACAGAATAAAAGAAGTTGTATAAACATTGTCATCATTCTTCATGACTATATAGCCAATACCAACACTACTATTGAGGTTATACTTCTCGTATAGCTGCTATTGCGGTACCTGGTGTCTGGAGCTTTGTCTTTAGAAAAGAAGACTCATCCATTTACTCACATCCATGTACCGGTATCTAACACGCATGAACTCAACTGGCTTAGACGCAGCATTTAACCGCTATGCAGCGTGTCTCTAGTAAACATACTGAAAGAATATTATTTAAGGTTTTCCTAGAATAAAGAGTTAATGTAATACACGAGTATATATCATACGTCGTTATTGATCAAACGTAGAGGCGATGTGGGTGCGTGTTTGAGGGTAGATACTTCAAATCATGCTGATCAGCAATCGGAGGAGGAATCAATTTAGTAATTGTGCTGGGGCTGCCGTACAAACACGTAAAGGTTTTACAGTGCATGTTTGTACATATCTACACGGTGGCACATTCATAGAGAAAGGCGATCATGTGTGGGGAAATGGTGTGAAGATTACGCTATAACTGTTATAACTTGACGCCCTTGTGTAGCCTCTATGGTTTAACTGTCCCTGATACCTACTGTTTCTGAATCTATTACAGAGCCCTACCCCGTCCAATATGGATAAAACCTCGACCTGCGAACATATAGTTGTTGGCAGGAAGAAAATATTTGCCGTACATCTGGCTGTGGTAACTGATATATTGTTGTAATACATGCACGTGCTGTTTGATATCTAGGGTTTAATTTCTTTGAGAGACATTTTAGAAGTTGTGAAGATGAAGGAAAACCCCGTTATCAAGGAAGTGTGGGCCTACATGTTTTTGTGCAGGTGTTAGTGCCTACGCCGAAACGTCGCATTCATTGCAATAACGAAGTTGACTATCCATAGAACTTGGTTTTACTTCATCTACGTTTAGTGGCACCTATAAAACCCTTGAAGAGCCCTATTGGACCAGGCTGTCCCAGATACAGACGGGATATGGGATGATTTAGGCTATTTCTATTGCCAACATCCACGATGTTGCATAAACATGTACCCTCATTTGTCAAAGTGGGATGAGATGAGGTGAAATGGGGTTTAACTACGTACATAGGTGCTTGTTTGCGTGCCTGCATGTACCAGTCCGCATTTATGCAGGTTTTATAGGGCTAACCTACTGTGATACCATACGGAAGTGAATAACATGGATAAACCATCTAGACACGTTGTGCTGAATCCGCGCCAACCAGCCCTTCTTTTACCCCATAATGTCAATTGCCACATGGGAGAACCATCTTTTGAACACCGAAGGATTAAACGTCCTCAGTGGCGTAGTGAGTATGGGTATAAAAGGCTCTATCAGCAACACGCAGTGAGCGAGTGAGTATGGGTATAAAACGGCTCTATCCGCAACACGCAGTGAGCGAGTGAGTATGGGTATAAAAGGCTCTATCAGCAACACGCAGTGAGCGAGTGAGTATGGGTATAAAAGGCTCTATCAGCAACACGCAGTGAGCGAGTGAGTATGGGTATAAAAAGCTCTACCATAACAAAGTATAAAGTATGGTATAAAAGGCTCTATCAGCAACACGCAGTGAGCGAGTGAGTATGGGTATAAAAGGCTCTATCCGCAACACGCAGTGAGCGAGTGAGTATGGGTATAAAAGGCTCTATCCGCAACACGCAGTGAGCGAGTGAGTATGGGTATAAAAGGCTCTATCAGCAACACGCAGTGAGCGAGTGAGTATGGGTATAAAAGGCTCTATCAGCAACACGCAGTGAGCGAGCAACACGCAGTGAGCGAGTGAGTATGGGTATAAAAAGGCTCTATCAGCAACACGCAGTGAGCGAGTGAGTATGGGTATAAAAGGCTCTATCAGCAACACGCAGTGAGCGAGTGCAGGCTCTATCAGCAACACGCAGTGAGCGAGTGAGTATGGGTATAAAAGGCTCTATCAGTGAGTATGTGAGTATGGGTATAAAAGGCTCTATCAGCAACACGCAACACGCAGTGAGCGAGTGAGTATGGGTATAAAGGCTCTATCAGCAACACGCAGTGAGCGAGTGAGTATGGGTATAAAAGGCTCTATCCGCAACGCAGTGAGTAGTGGGTATAAAGGCTCTATCAGCAACACGCAGTGAGCGTAGTCTATCCGAACACGTATGGGTATAAAAGGCTCTATCCGCAACACGCAGTGAGCGAGGCTGAGTATGGGTATAAAAAGGCTCTATCCGCAACACGCAGTGCAGTGACACGCATAAAGTGCAACACGCAGAGCGAGTGAGTATGGGTATAAAAGGCTCTATCAACAACACGCAGTGAAGCAGAGTGAGTATGGGTATAAAGGCTCTATCAGCAACGCAGTGGCACGCAGTATGAGTATAAAGATCCGCAACACGCAGTGAGAGTGAGTATGGGTATAAAAGGCTCTATCAACACCGCAGCAACACGCAGTGAGCGAGTGAGTATGGGTATAAAAGGCTCTATCAGCAACACGCAGTGAGCGAGTGAGTATGGGTATAAAAGGCTCTATCAGCAACACGCAGTGAGCGAGGGTATAAAGGCTCTATCAGCAGTATGGGTATAAAAGGCTCTATCAGCAACACGCAGTGAGCGAGTGAGTATGGGTATAAAAGGCTCTATCAGCAACACGCAGTGAGCGAGTGAGTATGGGTATAAAAGGCTCTATCAGCAACACGCAGTGAGCGAGTGATGGGTATGGGTATAAAAGGGCTATAAAAGGCTCTATCAGCAACAGGCAGTGAGCGAGTGAGTATGGGTTTTACGCAGCTCTTAGCAATAGAAATGGTCTCTTGTACTCTTGTACATTGTACTTCCCTCGACTTAGAAAAGCAATGGAAACGTGCAGTCTTCGCTTTCGTCGTCTTATAGGAAACAGAAACATGCAGTCTTTACTTTCGTCGTCTTATAGGCAATAGAAACATGCAGTATGTTGTCACCTGAAGAGACTGTTATTCTCAGTGAACCAAGAATGTCGCTGTCGGGCCTTATTCAATGTTAACGGCTATAATTACTTGGGAAAAAGAAAGTGAACACGTGAAACTTGGATCCGACCAAAACATTAGAAGCGTTATCAAAACATTACGATGCTGAAAACATTCGCGGAAACACTGCAAGCTTGAGGACCAAAGCTCAACTACATCCACTCCACATCAAGTACATCAACATCGAATAATCATTTCATGTTGTTTTACTTTTCGAAACCAACAATCACGTTGGGCGTTTGCCCGGGAGCTCATACGATGATGCGTTCATGTCAAAAGATCGTATCACCGTGTCTTCATTCCATGAAGATACAGTCAGTGGATTCCGCATTTTCCATCATCAGTTGTGAAATCAGAGAGTGAAATCATCTCTTGTGATTAATTATTAGAAACAGCTACGTCGCTCTGTTAATATAGACTAGAATGAGTTGTTGAGTTCAGTTGGGCTTTCCGTCACATAATGATATTCAAAAAATATTTAAGAAATCTTCACTTCTGCATGTCATTTATTCACAAAGACGTCATCTCATCAATATTTCATATCGACCCAGTCCGCTCCTCGTTTCGGACTAATTGCTTCAACAAAGTACATGTATTTATATTTTGAGAAAACATAACCAACCCGTCCAGCTTTTCACTTGTCTCGGACTAACGGACTAGTTGTCTATAACTGCCGTCCTGTGGCTAGTATGGCAAAGTAATTGGTTCAGCTATATCAAACACTAATCTCAGTAATATCTCAGTTATTGCATGCAAACGATAACATCGATTCCAGAAATCAAGTGCCACAGCGTTAATGTCACTTGAGTCCTATTAACAAATGCCGTTAGTGCCATTACCTGCTTTCGGGTAGGTAACGATGAACACATCGTCATCTCGCACCTCAAAATCCTTCACGGCGTCCAGAATATCCGGGGGAGTATATCCGAAAAACAAAATGCCGTCATAGACATGTTCTCCTGGTAACTTGTGACTGATTTCAGTCGTCATATTTCTAATTCTTCCAACGCGCTGGAAGTCTCCCGAGAACGTAAACCCAGCGCTGCCGTAACGTTTTCTATATGTGGGACATGTTGACAGTTCGGCCGCTTGTGACTCGGGCGAGTTAATATTATCGAAGGGGTGACAGGTCTGTTCCATGCTATCGATTGTCACGTTAATAAAACTGTTGTTGTGAATATTTAACTCAGAAGTGAAGTTAATAACCTTTTAGTTAATATATTAGTATTGTTGTATGATTAATTATGGAATAGACAATTATTCAAAGTCACCCAAGAGCGTCCACATACCCCAGTTGTGAATAGGACGACCCTGTATCGCACGGACCAGTGAGCATGTAGCAGACGATAAATCGTAAACCGTGATTGTTTTTATAGCAAATTGATTGCGGAGCTATGCTTGGCCGTATCTCTTCACTTAGATTGGTAGTAATGGCGACTGAATGAAACAATCAAGACTAACTCATAACTGTTCGAGTGTGTTCAAATGGTTGTTATAAGACGTGAGAGAGACAAAAATATGGCACTGTCAAATACAGATTGCAATTAATTAAAGGCTTGGTGAATCCTGGATTCGAACAATCAGTCTCCTCTTTGTTTACTGAATAGTATGTACAAATATCTTCATGGATAAAAGCCAAGAGGTTCGTATCACTATATTCTATTCTCTCTCCGTGTGAGGTATTTATGTTTTAGCCTCAAACTTCAGAGGGTTTTATCATACCATTCGGAAGTGTGCGCTTTTAAATACCTGTTTGCATAAACCTTCTTCATATGTTCTGGTCACCTACAGAAATATAGTCAGCTAACAACAACTCTGATTTCTCACACACTTATTCATCCATATTAAATATCATACACGACGACACGATTCGTCGGACTCTTTCAGCGGCGGATACAGCTTTTTGAGAAAGGGGGGTGCACACTATTGATAAAAGGAGGGGTGCACACTTCATTTTCACCCGAGTTTCAATGGTCATTTAACAAACTTTCAGCACAAAAAAGGGGGGGGGGGCGCACCCATGCACACGCACGCACGCACGCACACACACACCTCTGGCTCCGCCTATGCTCTTTCGTCAGATATTGTCTTGGGTTGTACGAATACGAGGCCGAATGCGACGACAACAACTTCATATAGAAACCGAAGTCCTAACTCTCTACCAAAATATGACACCTTCAGTCCCGCGATAACTATGTCAATACACACAGGTCGGGCCATGAGATCGATTGGAGTCTATTTAGCTTTCTATCGTAATTGCAAAACGGATTGCAGATCGTGTGGATGAATACATTGCCACATCCGGTTTCTGTCGAAATCTTTGACCGAATAAGCCGGCCACTTATCTCGGGTTGCCCTTCCTCGGAGTTCACTTCCTGTTCCTCTTCAGTTGTCTATCGAATGAAATTGGGCGTAATGTATTCCACAATTACAAATGCCGATCAAACAATTACACATGGACTATTTCCAAGTATTGTTGATGAGTTTTTTCTTCACGGACATTTGCACCGGAATCCGTAACGCTATCAACGAGCGGGGTGCATTCATGCGTATTTATGTTGGAAGCTAAGGGGTATTTTCAAACTCTGGTATGGTATATTAGAATGACATCGGGACGGAACACTGGAGGATTGATTATTTTAGATCTGCCGGTACTCCGTGACTGAAGATGGTGGGGGGTCTGGTGTAAGGTTGGTTGGTTTGTTGTTTAACGCCGCACTCGGCAGCAATATTCCAGCTACATGGCGGCGGTCTGTAAATAATCGAGTCTGGACCAGACAATTCAGTGATCATATGAGCATCGATCTACGCAATTGGGATGCGATATTAGGATTATTGTCAACCAAGTCAGCGAGGTTGTCCACCCGATCCCGTCAGTCGCCTCTTACGACAAGCATGGGTTGCTGAAGACCAATTCTTACCCGGATCTTCACGGGATCTCAAACCAAGTAACCTTTTACATCAACAAAACAAATACTTGATAGAGATATACTATAATTGACGTTAAGTGATTATTTCAAGTGAGGTCAGATATGTGGTTTAAGGCCGTGATTGTTGTCATTCACAGACCGACGTTTATGCAGGTGGTGCCTGGCTTCTTGCTCTAGATAGTCCGCTCTTACCGCATGTCTGTTTCATAGTTGATGGCCACTGAACTCCCATTCCACAGCCATAACATAGATAGTACCCACCCCAGAGATAATATGTCGACTCCGAAACAGCCAGTGATTAAACTGTTTATCGCCATATAAAGTGTGGGCTAGGGGCATGTGATGTACCGTTGTCCATTCAGATTGTCTGATTGTCACAAGATGAAGTGTACAGTCACGGCAGATGCAGACCCACAGTATCAATGAAAACCCGCCAAACGGTGTTTACTCCAAGATATTTCGTAGTGCATATGCAGCGCCAAAAAAACGAATTCGGTCATCAGACGTGACCAAAAAGAAATCGACTTTCGTCCGACCAGTGAACCCGTGACGTCAAATTCCAGTGACACCGAGTCTGACACCAATAGGGCTGGTCATATAGGCTTTGTGCTCTGCATGGGCATAACAATGGACGTCTGCTAGGGCTGCTCTATACCCGGCTGGTGTGTGGGGTTTTTTTTGTTATGTTTTTTGTTTGTTTGGTGTTGGTGTTTGTTTGTCGTTTTTGGTGTGTTTGTTTTTTTGATTGTTGGGGTTTTTTTTGTTTTTGTTCTGTTTTTTGGGGGGGAGGGGCGATTTCGGACCGCTTTTAACACACACAGTGACGAATGCATACAAATATTTGTAAAGCGGTTTTTTTACCAATGTAATTGCTCAAAAGCGCTATCTGAGTCCACTTTATCCATGTGCAGAGGTGAATAGGTGCGTCTTGAGACCACTTTTAAACTTGACCCTTCGATTTTCTAACGAAGGACGGCTGGTAGATTGTTCCAGAGGAAGGGTCCTGTTCTAGAGAATGACCTGTTCCCATATGACTTAGTTCTAGTTTGTGGTATTTCAAGGAGAGAATGCACGAACGGAGTGATTTTGTTGGGTGATATGGTGTCAGGAGATCCGAGAGGTATTTTGCAGCTGGAACGTCTCAAAACTTGAAAACAAGGAGCAGGGCTTTGTACTCGATTCTGAATCAAGTGTAGAGTTTTCAAGGCTGGGGAGATGTCACTTCACGTGAACGTTTAGAGTCTTGTGGTTCTAAGAAGGGCTGTTTCCTCTCTTGGAGTTATCACTCGTGGTACACCTGGACGCTAACGGTCCTTAACGTCATAGTCAATGGATGACAACCAGCATCTGTTGCAGTAGCCCCCAACGACATGCCAGTATTACGCATACCTATAACTTGCCATCATTGAGCAGTTGTCAGTTGTGTGGGCCAATTATATGCTTCTCAACAACGAAATCAATTGATTTTCTAACTTATCGAGCTGTAAGAACAGTTTACTGACACTTGATATTTGCGCATATATGACGGACATATTGCACGTGATGCTCGGCCTTTGATCGTAGCACGTGCGTATGTAAAATCAATGTATGGGGAGCCCGAAGGTTCAATATGCATAATATTAAACAAAGAAACATAATTATGATATGAATATATATGGCTATGTGTGGTTTAGAAATCAGAGGTGTTGCAATACTTTTGCCCATGTGTATATAAGAACTTAGATACGAATGCTCTGTGAATATTCCCTATAGGAATCCGGGATATTAATCCGACCCGTGAAGATCCAGGTTAGAATTGGTCTTCAGCAACCCATGCTTGTCGTAAGAGGCGACTAACGGGATCGGGTGGTCAGGCTCGCTGACTTAGTTGACACGTCATCATATCCCAATTGCGTAGATCGATGCTCATGATGTTGATCACTGGATTGTCTGGTCAAGACTCGATTATTTACACACCGCCGCCATATCTATAGATGTTATATATATTGCCGAATGCGTTAAACAACAAACCTACCATCAACTCTATAGGAGTCGTGGATCTGGATCGATACCTTTATTATTTTAGCATGTTTGGTACATTTACACGCAAATAATTACCTCTGAAAAATGCATTTAGATTACTGTCCGTGTGTACTGTAGATAGGCATAACCTAAGTTTGGCTAGAAAAGACTTTATCCGACACCACAACCAACGCTTCTTACAAGTGGTTTCGGCGAACATTTGCATAATGTGCCAATATTTCGATTCTGTGGAAGCAACTGGTGTTAAAACAAAAGTCCGGGACTTTCCCCTATATATCATTATTGCGTAATGTATGACCGTCACCGAAATGGTCTTGCGGATGGACCTAAAGCTTCCGCCGCACCAGACAATGCATGCACAGGTAAGCTATTTTTAGCAACCGGGCACCTGAGGTCACCCACGCCATCTATCGGGCCCTCTTTGTTTACAAAGTTATGCAGATGGTGTTACATTTAAAGCCGCGGATTTGTATCCAACTAAATTGCGTTATTTACGAAACTGTGTTAATGTTTTATACATGAAGCTGGATTTCGACATTTAAATGACAAAACAATTTTTTCAGTCAATTATTTTAGGAATCACGGCTGGTTATCTCCCAGACATTTGATAGCTTTCATTGTTCATTAGCATAATCAAGATGGCGACCGCTGTAGATAGCGTTTGCCACAATGACCCCAACTTTGCTGTGATTTGCTCGTTTCTGGACAAGCATAGCGAAGCTTTGGGGTTGCCAGAAATTTCTTTTACAGATCTTCAAAATTTTATCGAAGACAACAAAACTGGTAAGAAACTTCATTTGCATATCGCACAGCAAACTTTATTTATGAGCATCCCAAATTGTAATCAGACATCTCAGGACCAAAGACGCTTTCCAGAATCACCAACAAATATTGAATGTTTTCACTCAGGAGAATGTGACGTTATAGTGCATTAAAGAAAGACTGCAGCATAGTATACGAATCATGTCTGATGGTGCGAATGTCTGGTTCTAGTTCTGTTGTTTAACTAGCACTGTCATAATTTGAGTCATACTCAAGACAACATGTGATGGGATTTGTGAGAAGCAAAGGTGCATTCGATGAGTTCAGTTATAAGACGTATGTATTCTGAGCTCATATATCAGTATTATGTTAAAAGTATGCATTCAATGCAATTTACTTATAGTCTTATACTATTGATGTGGCTTGTTTGACACAGAGACATTGGAGTCCTAGGTCTTGTGTTTTGTTTAAATTCCAGGTATGGTTCTCCACTCTGCAGTCAACGTTGGGCCTACAGGCTAAATACTTTGTGTTAGGTTCTGGATGTTTGGTGTATGTACAAGGTGCATTTCAGACATTACAACCTCACATTAAATTGTGTCCTTGCAACATTCTGACAAATCCATATGCAGAGTTGTTTAATCCAGGGGCATGTAACTCTGTATATAGATGGATTTTGATTGCTTGAGATGAGATCAGATGTTAGTTTCTGAGGATGAGGGTGTTCAGAAGAGATAAGGGTTTGAGATAAGCAAAGATTCAGTGATGGCAATCTCTATTGTCTTGTAGCATTTGACGATTATAATTCTGAACCAGTACTCAGTGCTTCAATTTTACCACAAATTGTAATTGAACAGTGGATATTATTTGCTTCATTCAAGCAGTGCTAGCAATTGACTCTGAGGACTAGTTAAATAAGGTTTCTGTAGATCCTCTGGACTACTATTTAAATTATACTATACTATAGTGAGTATCAATCTACAGTGAAATAGATGCGATACATGTTGATTTATCACACATTTAGCTTCCACAATAAACATTACTCAAAAGAGCTCATACTTAAGTTAATGACAGTTGACTTGACACCTCAGACTTCTGTACAAGCTAAATTACGGAGGACAAGCCAAACTAATCCTATCTTGTTTATCAGCAGTTACTCTGTATTGTAAGATAATTTTACTGTCAATTTGATACATTGTTGAAAGCTGTTTGTAATAATTTGTAATATTTACGTAGGGTTAGAAGTTTTAATTTAATCAGTCCTCAATAATTATATGCTACAATGTTGTCATATACCTATTGATATCAATGGTTGTAGAGGAAATTCTATTTATCCTCCCCTAAATTAAGACTTCTCAGGTTTGCAAACTTACTTTTTATACAGTGTTTTGTAGACTGAAGCTTTTTAAAATGCAATACAGCATGCTACAAGATAGTCTAATATCTTAGACATAAGAACATAAACATTTATCAACTTGTGTTAGTGTTTTACATCAAGAATGAGTTTTACATTAAACAAATGTTAGACACCTTCATTACTATGATGCTAACTGCTGTACAAATCACCAGAAATGTGTTGCTTCACCTTGTTTACTGCCTCTTTTATTAATAAAATATTTCACATATAGACAATGTTACAAATGTCCTTATATTACTCATCAGTAGAGGACGTAACGTGTACGCAAGATGGTCCCCCGTTACACGTACAAGTGACTACCTGAGAGGGGGGGTTACTCATTCACGTGACTGCCTGATCACAGACAGGGAAATTCTGCATGTCACACAAAAACGCGTCTACAAGTGTTATTTCTGAAAATAATTAAACAAACTTTGCTACAGTCATTGATAGATGTTCAAGTTATTGAATGACATGAATGAAAATGTAAAATGTGCAAAATTTAAGCAAATTGTGATGATATTTAACAGCAAATTTCACCTATGTGCATATTTTTCAGAAACTTACATTTAGTATTTCTGAAAGCTCATTCATCGTCAAATCAAAATATATATGCAGATTTCGAGGCACACGAAACTCACACCTGTTCGTTATTGTGTTGACACGTTTACTTTCTTCAAAACTGCGCAAACCGTCTCGCGTAGAAGTGACTGGGGAAGAAAGTCATTAATGGGAGGTAACTGATACCTGACTAAATTGTTCAGTCAAAACATCCGTCGTGTGACTTGGACTGTCGGAAGCATACATAAGATATATGGGAATATTTTTCTTGCGTTTCAAAACATGTTTTTGTTGCAACAAAGAGGATGTAATAGATTGATACAAAATTATGAATAACATTTATATACGGACATTATTATTTGGTGAAAGTATAATCATTGGAAAAGATGACTAAGAGAGGGGGTCACTTCTACCAATGTAAAAACAATGCACCTATGTGCCAATTTCACAGAAACATGATTTTAATATTTTCTGAAGCTTATTCAATGAAGATTTACCTTGTGTAAGTAGTGTTTCATGTATACGAACGCACATAGGTGTGCCATTGGGTTGAAACAGATCTACTTTTCTCCCAATGCTTTTCACAGTGATCAAACTAATGTTAGACAGAAATAAATAATCAACTTTACAACTTGCAGAATATATGGTTCATCCATGGTAATCTCTTAAGAGCAAATGATGAACACGTGAAATCCGAGATCGGGAAACCTGTTTATTCACAACTGTCAAGTAATTGCCACGCTTGGTGATTTTACGGGACGCTTTAATCACCCCGTGCCATGTTGGCACCCAGTCGAGTTGGTTCCACTGTGTTTGAATTAATTAGGGTGAAGCGCTTCAGTTAGTACCGCCTAACGCACCCATCTCGCGTACAAGATAGGACGTCTCGTGTACACTAGGGCTGTAACGAATACACTATGTTGCGAATATGATACGTATCACGAATATTGGGTACCGAATACGAATAATTATTCACGAATACAATATTGTAGTTAAGTGACTGATGCACAATATTGAATGCCCATGTTGAAAGTGTTAATTTGTCACAGCAATAACCAGTCATCTCATGACACTCAAATTTGGTATGTAATAGTTATAGATGACAGTACCAAGTGCGGCTTTGGCAAACTAACATGACTTGCGCTACTACAAGGCTAGTACATAATGCATTCTTGCATATCTCATTTTGAAAAAGGACATAAGGGTTCAAGTAAAACACACTCCCTTAAAAATTGTAAATATTCATGAATATTCGGTTCTGATGACCACGAATAACGAATTGAATTCACGAAGGGCTACGGTTCGATTCACTGAATATGCGAGTGAATCTTTACAGCCTTAGTGTACACGATAGGACGTCTCGTGTACACGTTATGTCTCTGACTGTTTATAGTACTGCTAGCTTTCAGTATGGATCATAGAGATTGATAATTGTTAGCTAGATATGAATTGATTATTGATAAATATCAGAGATGAAATTTGAGTAAAAATGAAATAGACAACTTCAATGTATTGCATGTCATCGGTGAGTGGTGACCCATTTATGCATGGATTACTGACAAAAACAGCATTCTGAACTAAATCAAGAAGCAGCTCATGAATAGAGGACAACTTCAAAATTCAAACAATATTTCATCACAATATATATACAAGATATTATAGAAGACACAATTTTGACATTGATAAATTCTTCAAATCTGCAGTATTTGCAATTATCAGTTATTTTAGCCAGGCTTAATTTGTTATACTGCTTGTGATAAATGAAGCACAGCCTCACACATTCCTGGTTAGAAGATGTTATCTGTATTTTGAGTAAGTTCTGTGTTTCTGTTAGTGTTATGTTGTAATGAGTACAGATGTATGTCTATTTATTTCAGTTGATAAGGTATTAACTGATCTACATATATTCCTGCTGAGGAGAATTGGCAAGACAAGTGTGACTGCTGAGAGATTAGAAAGGCAACTTGTCAAGGTATGGTAGTACTATCATGTCATTGTACAGATTGTTTCCATCAGTCAAGGAATCTTTGTCATAACCCTCATGTTTAGAGTGGAAGTTCTAGGTAGTCCCTAAATCTAAACACAATGGCATAAAATTTCTATTATCCATGGACAATTCTATTTTGATGACTGATGTGTTTCATGATACTTATTGGTTTTGTTTTTACGTGGAATATTTGAATCCATCATATTTCATGTAGCTGAGAAGACATCGTTGTCATTTGTTTAATCCAAACTTGTTCTACAGTGTGTGTCATAATAGGCAGCGATTGTTATTAGTATGTGTTTAAAGTCATGTATTATCAGTATGTGAAATAGACATCGGCACGTAGGCCTGAGGCCAACAGATTTGTTCTCGGGCTAATACATGTAGTTCTAAATTTCAACAGGTCCTTATGACCTGCAGTTTATTTTAATCTGTGAACAGGGCAAATGAATCTTAACCTGTTGATTTGATTGCTTGATTTTGACTGGATTCTGCACAGACTTGGCTGTCCTGTTAAAATATAGTTCCATAATTCCAGTTATTGTTTTTGTGTTTCCATGTAAACAATTTGGACTAATGTATCCCAAAATGGAGAGGGAGACATATGTTTTTATGAGGAAGAACACCTGGGCCTCTCTTGCAGTACTCTGTATCTATCAGGGGTGCTCGGGTAGCCTAATGGTTAAAGAGTGAGCTCGTCACACTGAAGACCTGGGTTCGATTCCCAACATGGATACAGTGTTTGAAGCCCATTTCTGGTGTCCCCTGCTGTGATATTGCTGGATTATTACTGAAAGCGGTGTAGAACTAAAAACACTCACTCACTGTATCTATCATGTCTATTTTCCTAGTTTTGTCACAACTTCTCTGATGTGGACGCATGGGAAATTGAGAGAATCGGTTACCGATTGGCCAAAGTTTCTACAAAACTAAGGATTTTAAAGGTGAGAACTAGTACAGCATTCTTTGTAATCTTGCTTTTTCAAAACTTAAAGTAATGCGCCTATTGAAATTGTGTCTGAGGGTTTGTGAATGTTGTAGATAAACATGACAAGGGATGATGAACATGTTGAAATTGGTTTGTGAACTTGGAATCACTATCCAATAAGTTTGTGTATGAAGTCACCTAGAAATGACTTTTTGGGGGCCTCAGTACATCAAGGTTACGCCTTCTTTCTTAAAAACAACTACCAATATTGACTCACATTCCCAAAATGCTTAGAAGAGATACCATATTGTCTCCTTTACTAACGATAAGGAAATTCATTATAAGATAAAGATAATTTACCCTCTCCAAAGGCAAGCAGAATGAAATTTACGTTCATATCAGGACATTTGTGATACTGAAACACACTTAATAGCCAATAATATGCATATTGTTTTATGTTTTTGTCTCAGAATCTGCTTGAGGGCCAGTTCGATTATAATACGAAATTCAAAGAAAAGGTCAATGAGCGGAAAGCTGAGGAAATGCGTTTCCAGCCAGTGGGGCGGGACAAGAACGGCTTGGCTTACTGGTACCTTCTGGTAAGTAGACCATGTCATTTTCCAAACTGTAGTCAAGCCAAGATCCATACAGGTTGTGTTTATGTTGAATCTACATCATGTCTATGTTCTAAATATGATTGTCGTAAGAGGCGACTAAAGGGACAGGGTGGTCAGTCTCACTGAGTTGGTCGATGCATGTCATGGTGTCCCAATAGTGTAGACCGATGCTATGACGTCAATCACTGGATTGTCTGTCCCAGACTCGATTATGACAGGGTGGTCAGTCTCACTGAGTTGGTTGATGCATGTCATGGTATCCCAATAGTGTAGACCAATGCTCATGACGTCAATCACTGGATTGTCTGTCCCAGACTCGATTATGACAGGGTGGTCAGTCTCACTGAGTTGGTTGATGCATGTCATGGTGTCCCAATAGTGTAGACCGATGCTTATGATGTCAATCACTTGATTGTCTGACCCAGACTTGATTATTTACAGACCGCAATCATATTGCACTACATGTATTTTTCCTTATCTTGACTCATGATCTTTTGCTTATCTCCCTTTCCTCTTCGAATGGTAGTGGAACACTTGAATCCCTTGAAGTTCCTGAAGCGGATGTATAAATACACCCACCCACGAGTTACCCCCCTTTGCCCTTTCCCGCGCAAACCAGTCATGTGACATGCCTTACTTGTCACTCTCTCCCTTTTCGCCAAGCGGATGGTTGGGCGAGCACTGGAGTCCCGTATACGGCATTATATCCTTTTATATTTAGATTCTATTCTTCAAAATTACGATGTAGATGGATTTGACTATAACTACTTATGTAGTATTTGGAAAAATTAATTACATTTGAGTTGTGTTTTCATTGTTATGTAACTTTGTTTACATTTTATGAAATCTTGCAGTGATTGCAGGCATAGGTTATCCGTGGCTGATCCTCACCCCCAATGTCCTTCATGCATAAATCCATGTTCCTCCAGCTTGCGCTGTACTTATTATATTGATTTATCAATTTAATCAATATTGTCTTATAATTATAGACGTGCCATGGATCGGGTGAGAAAGTCATCTCAAGTCACGATTTATAAAACTGCAGATCAGCCTTCAAACCATTTGTTGCTTGCAACGGCCGATGTTCATAATACTGGTGTTATGTTTAGTACGTTACAGGGGCAGTCTGCTGGTAAGGGGGCCAGGAAGAGATCGTCTACATCTCAGTCGACTCCGTCTCAGACTAAGAAAAAGACGTCATCCTCTTCTACAACGCAGAAGAAGTCAGCTGTTACCAGATCGGAGGGCAAATCTTCGCGTGCTAGGTCATCTACGCACCAGAAATCCTTCAACGAAGAGATTGTACCTCCTCACGAACTAGACGTTTTTGACGAACCCCCATTACTTCTACCTGAAGTATCTATGAGATCAGCGACTCTGTAGACCTCTACTACTAGGAGATCGTCCCCTACTACAGTCACAGCAGGACAGCTGTTGATGTACTACCTCTTACTTCTTGGAGTGAAGTTGAGGCACATTACTCATCAGCGTTCGCGAACGCTTCATTTACACCGCAGCAGCGTCAACCTATGCAGAACTTCGACCCAGGGGAATTTATGACAGAATTCACCAACCAGATGATGGCCATGAGGGAACGTAGATTCCAGGAGGAATCGAAGGCTAGGAAAAGCCTCTCATCTACCGACACCGTGCGCAAACCCCCAGGCCTGCGCGAATCTACTCCTTTCAGATCTACACCTGAAGGCTATGTTCGCGAAGGTCTCCACAGTCGCCCAACTCTGTCATCTTGGAGGATAGAAGAGATGACACACAATCTACGTTCGCGAACCCTCAGCATTCGCGAACATCGAAGGATCCTGCTCCTACACCTAGCCGCTCTAGGTCGAGATCTCTTATCTCGCACAGACGTTCGCGAAGCTACTCACCTCAAGCCAGACGTTCGCGAAGGGATAGCTCACCTCACAGAGGTTCGCGAAGAGATGTATCCACAGATAGAGGTTCACGGACAGAACACTCTCAAGATAGACGTTCGCATAGGAGGAATCCTCAGATACAGGTTCGCGAAGGCAGGATGAGGGTTCGCGAAGGGAAACAGGTTCGCAGATGGATGAATCGTCAAGACATAGCTCTCATAATCAGGTAACTTCGGACTTGCAAACGGATTTCGTCTTCCCAGACTCAGAAGTTACAGCATGGATTGCTAACGGGTTGAACTTGGAGTCTCCTTCTACGGATAAAGATGAAGTCTACACTTATATGATGCGCAACAATGACTTCGATTCCGTCACAATCCCTCCGATTGAACCTATATCCAAGGTACCTTCTAACTTATGCACAGCTTTGAGAAAGCTACAGACATCTACAAGGTTCGAGAACTCTCAGATCTACAGGCAGATAACAGCAACATAGACATCTACAGGGTTAACAAACCCTTACATCAACAGACAGGATGTTGACGTCGACTCTATTACCATACGGCTGAATAAACGAAGCAATGATGGAAACGGATGAGGTCTTATACCGGGTAGCAGATGGCCTGCGGATATTGTCGTTCACTCACTCCAACCCAACAGAGACGTACTGCATATACGCTGATGACTTCGACTCCAATATGATATCACTTATGAAGCTGACTATCCAATATGATATCGACTTATGAAGCTGATATCTTGAGCGGACGTGCAGATGATATTAACACTTTCGTCACTCAGCGTGGGGATTAGGAACCTATCAACTAGATCCAAGAGGCGACCTTTGGAAAGGGCTTAAGGTTAACATCGCCTTCAAGTATACTTGAACGGACGTACAGATGATTGTATTAACACTCGTCACTCAGCGTGGGGATTAGGAATTATATCCTATCAACTAGATCCATACAGACATACGTCTCGACAGCCTCCTTTGTCATGCTCGGAATAAGTGATTCATATCACTAAACAAGATTTACACTTGGAGCAACCCTTAGTCAGGAGACTTATATGAGCGGCGTAGGATTACGCGCGCTTTTACTCACAGATTTTATGGAGGCCAACTGGCTACAACACTGGTGACGTCATGCTTGAAGCTGATTGGTCCACGTCAGACAATGCCTCCCAATGACAGAGCAGGCTCCAGCATGTTTTCTCATTGTAAACAAACCCGTTGTACGGGGGAATACTTCATCGGCAGCCTTGGAAACAGTATACAACTACGGCCTGTTATCATCATTGAAATCTAATAGATGTCTAGCCTTGACAGCAGGATAAACAATGTTTATTTTGGAAGTTGTCGCTGATAGAAGTCGGTATGAGTACATGTCCCCTGTGATGCTACATTGGAGCCAGCCTTGCTATAAATAGACAACGCTTCAATGTCAACACAGATCACCTGCGTATATAAGGGGAAGAATGATGTATCATCACTGCAATCAGAGGTTAGCACTTCCAATGGAACGTCCTATCGATTGGAATATCGTAGGCTCTATGATTATTCATACGAATAACCAAGCCTATCGGCACCTATTTACAACATCGAGATCTACGCAGTGCCGGTTATCCGGAGGACGGCATACAGGTTCTTCAAAGTGCCAATCAACTCAGAGAGCAGATGAACTTCTCAATTAAGTTGCTCACGCAACTAGGATGGCTAGTGAACCTGATGGAAATTGGAGTTAGAATCAATCAAGATCTTCAATTGCTGGGAATAAGAATGATCACAATACAGGATTGAATTGTGATCCCAGAAGATCATTGGGTCAAGATATAAGCCATGATTCAACAAACAGTCATCTCTCCGTTAACACTACGAACATGGCAAGTGCTACTCGGTCTGCTAACCTCGGCGCAGGACTTGACGCGCATAGGAAGGTTACAACTAAGACCGCTGCAACGGTTCCTGATAAAACATCTAGACAGCGTCAACCCTATCTTGCTGCCGGAAAACCTCAAGAGGTATCTACTGTGGTGGACACACAGGTCGAACGTTTGCGAAGGGACCTATTTACAATAGCCAGCCTTCGACACACACCTCTACGCAGATGCCTCGATGCAAGGATGGGGTGCGCATCTCAACGATCAAGTGGCTTTGGGAAAGTGGTCCAAAACGGAACAACAGCTTCACATCAATCTGCTAGAGATGAAAGCAGTGATCAACGCCTTACAACTATGGTCGAGTTTGCTGAACAACAAGATGCTGATGATCCACACGGACAACTCCACAGTGGCATTCTCCATAAACCAGCAAGGATCCACAAGGTCTCCAAGCCTGTTGCAGCTCACATTCCAGTTGTTCCAGATCACGCAGGAAGCAAACGTCTGGATAAAGGCGTGTCACATACCCGGAGCCAAGAACGTACTGGCAGACGCTCTCAAGACCACAACACCCGTCACCTACGGAATGGATGCTCCATCCAGAAGCGTTTCGGAACATAAGGGAGATAGGATCCCCTTGCATAGACCTGTTTGCCACGAGGTTCAACAAACAACTACAGACGTTTGTCTCGCCAGTTCCAGATCCTCAAGCCTGGGCAACAGATGCACTGAGCATGTAATGTGGGGAAGGATTAAGCGGCTACGGCTTTTCCACCCCCGATACTACTGCCAAAAGTACTGTTCAAGATCAAACAGACTCAGACGCTACAACTGACTTTGGTCACGCCCTATTGGCCAGTGAGAGCATGGTTCCCAGACCTAATAGAAGATCTCGGAAACCCAGTAAGCAAGTTACCAGATTGGCCGAACCTGCTAATACATCCGCGGACCAAGCAAGTCCACGGAAACCCAACAGTGTTCCAGTTACACGTGTGGACCGTATAAAAACGTGCTTGAAGAAAAGAGGATACTCCGCCAGGGCAGCCAAAGCAGTAACGCTAGCGTTACGCAGATCGACTTGCAACCTATCACGACGACAAATGGCTGAAGTTTGAGACTTATGCAAGGCGGAAAGGCTTCACAGCGATGATAGCCATTCATCCTCAAGTGGCGGAATATCTGTGTCATCTTAGACAGACCAGACATCTGAAGGGTTCGACACTATCTACACACCTCGCTGCAATCAGTACAGTGATTACCATGAAAACAGGCATCAAGTTGATGAAAGTACCAGAATTACTTGCTCTGCTGAGATCTTTTAAGCTGGAGGACCAGCAAAAGAAATTCAGAGCTCCAGCCTGGGATCTAAATGTAATTCTGCGTCATCTTACCAGTGATGTCTGCGAACCACTAGATCAGATTACGATCGAGCTGCAAACACAGAAGATTCTGTTCCTGCTAGCGTTAGCCACTGCAGCTCGCATATTGGAAATACATGCGCTGGACTATGGTCGAACCACATTCGACAGAGGGCAACATAATGCAGTTCATCTAGGACTTAGATGGGACTTTATTGCCAAGAACCAGCTACCTGGTCAACCAGACAGACAGTTCCACGTACCAGCGCTGTCTACAGTCCTCGGTCCACAGGATATAGAGGACTTATCCTTGTGCCCAGTCAGAGCCCTGAAGATATATCTTCAAAAGACTGAGACGAGGAGACGAAAATTCAAACGCCTATTCATCCCATTATCAACAGAGACTTCAGCAGAAGTCTCAAGAACGACCATATCGTTCTGGATGAGAGCCGTTATATTGAGAGCCTATAAAGCAGCAGTACTAGAACCTCCTAGAGCTTCCAACCCACACGAAGTCAAAGCACTGGCGTCAACACTAGCTCTGCACAGAAATTGCTCTATACCGACAGCTATGGAGGGCTGCTTTTGGGAAGTCGGACACAGTGTTTGCCAACCACTACCTCCGAGACATAGCCACTGAAGACGTCTCAGGCATTCACCAATTTGGGCCTCTTGTTGTAGCACAGCAACTAACGATTCCTCAAAGGCGCTGAGTTGGAAAATCTCACCCTTTATCACGCTGACTTGTTGATAACTTTTACTAAGGAAAAGTACTAGATTGAAAGTCCATGTGCACAGTCTAAGACAGGCTAGCATGAGTGATTAAAGATCCTGTACGGGTAAAGATCTTACCTGTACGTGAAGGGATCGCAACTCATTTATGATAAAGATCTTATCATAATCTATGGGTTGTTATAAGATATCTAGTAATAGGAGAATACTAGTTTATCTGTAGCCACATGAATCAACATGATTCAACTTGTCTGAGATTGAAGTAAGGTAAGCAGTGGTCCCCCCGAGTTAAAACAGAAGTTGGAAAAATAGGACCACGGAAATGCCGTTTCGCAGTTCCCATGGGGGGGGGGGGGGGGGATACAGGACGTATCTAAGGACAGCTGTTGAATCCAGTGGCTTGACCCACCACCTATCCGTCGGATTCTATAAGCAAAAGATCATGAGTCAGGATAAGGAAAAATATGTAATTTTTTAGTAAAATTGATATTTTATACTTATCCTGACTCATGACGAAGAAGCCCTCCCAACCTCCCCGTTGAAGACACTTGAGATTTCACAGCAGATCCAAGTGCATGGGCAGAAAATCAGGAGAGAGTGACAAGTAAGGCACGTCACATGACTGGTTTGCGCGGGAAAGGGCAAATCGAGGTAACTCGTGGGTGAGTGTATTTATACGTCCACTTCGGGAACTTCAAGGGATTCAAGTGTTCCACTACCATTCGAAGAGGAAAGGGAGATAAGCAAAAGGTCATGAGTCAGGATAAGTATAAAATATCAATTTTACTTAAAAAATTACATATTTAAATAAACTCTTACATCTTCTTTGTAGGATCAGGACCAGAATCTTCTGGTGTACCGAGAGGAACAAGATGATGCAGACAGTGAAACATGGCAGTTGGTCTGCTGGTGAGTTCTTCGTAAATTCATCTCTTTTATCCCTTGATAGTGTCTTTTCACCCTGAAGTATAGACCAATGGTTTATTGCTCATCAAAAGAAGCAACTGTACTAAGATCCTTTGTTTTCATTTGTTGGTTCATGTGTTTGGGGTGGGCTGTGGGGTAGCCTAGTGGTTAAAGCTTTGGCTCGTCACGCTGAAGACCCGGGTTCGAATCACCACATAGGTACATTGTGTGAAGCCCATTTCTGGTGTCCCCTGCCGTGATGTTGCTGGAATATTGCTAAAAGCGGCGTAAAACCAAACTCAGTCAGTCAGTCAGTCATGTGTTTGGGGGTTCTAGTGGTTAAAGCATTCGCTCGTCACGCTGAAGACCCGGGTTCGATTCCCCACATGGGTACAATGTGTGAAGTCCATTTCTGGTATCCCTCTGCCATGATATTACTGGAATACTCCCAAAATTGGCATAAAAATAAACTCCCTCACTCCGCTCACCTTTATATATATTTGTGTGTGTGTGTGTGTGTCTGTTTGTGAAAATGTGATTGGTTGACATTATAAAACAAATAGTATTAAAATCCAATCGCCTGAACAATTATTTCAATATGATGTCACAGTTAGTTTAATGTCTTTTACCGGGACATGCATGAAAACAAAGAGAGATTGTTGATCATTACATCCAAGACTCATCTTAGTTTGGTTATGATTCAACTTATGTATTTAAAAAAGCTGAATCTTCTTGAATAGTTGATTAGTTAGTATTTTGTTTGACATAAATTAGCAACTTAAAAGATATTTCAGGAGTTTGAATGAAGGTATTTTGTTCATAACATATTTGTTTCAGGTAGGTAACTGAAAATGACTGGTCCTGATGATATGAATTCTTTGTTTTGTGCTGTTCTTGTAATTCTTGCTTCCTTTTCAAAGAAGGTGTCATCTATGTTTCAGCAACCGGGATGACTTGGCCAAGTTGATATCAAAGCTGAAGGAAGATGGGGACTTAAAGTTTGATGATATTAGTTGTGAGTGTTTTCTTATTATTGTTAATCCTCTGTCTCATCTGTATGATTGGCTCTGGGGTAGTAGGTTTAGGAGGAGGGAAGGTGAGGTGGCCTAGTTAAAGTGTTTGCTTGTCACACTGAATTCCCTACATGGGTTCAATGTGTGAAGCCCATTTCTGGTGTCCCCTGCCGTGATATTCCTGGAATGCTTGCTTGCTCGCTCCTCCCACTCCTCCTCCTCCCACTCACTCCTCACTCACTCCTCACTCACTCTCCTCACTCACTCACTCACTCACTCACTCACTCCCTCGCACTCTGTCTTGTCTGGAATATTGCTAAAGCGATGTAAACCCAAACTTACTTGCTCACTCCTTTTTATATTAACCTGATTATGTACTTGATGGCATCGTTGTTGGTTCTAATTACAAGATTCTGCAAAACACTCTTAATAATGATCACTGAGAGAGAGAATGGGGGGACTTCCACGAGGGAAATAGTCTTAAGAGTCTGGCCTGTCACAACTCAAGACATCTATGATAGATATGCACACTTCAGACCATCTGATCATGCAGGTTGCAGAGATGAAAGATTGCTGACTGAGGTTACCCCCAAAATTCTCCCAACCATACTGTGTTACAATAATTCTACATTTTATATGTTTGTGATACAACATCAACTTTTACAATGATTTTAATTTTTCTCGAGGCATTCTGGAGAATTCTTTAGTGTGATAAAAAATATTTGATGTTGTTTCCTTGGACACTTATCCTTATTCGTCTGTCAAGTAATCTCACATTTTCTTTCTTATGTTTTTTAAATCATATGCATACTATACTGGTAATTGTAATGATTTATGGTCACAATCATATCCTATATTTGATCACATACACTTCCTCAAAACATATCCACCATGGTCAGTTGTTTAATTTTGTCATGTTTGTTGACAGCATCTTCTACAAAGAGCAGCAAAGAAGGCAGTCCTGAGGCAGAAGTTAAGGAAGAGCTGAAACAGGAAGATGAGGATGGGTCAGAGGTCACGGTCAAATTGGAGAAGAGTGAGATCAAGGTCGAAGATGTCCAGATCAAACAGGAAGTAAAAGAAGAGCCAGAAAACAAGGAGGAGTCTGCTAAGGAAAGCAAGTCTGTGAAGGAGGAACAAGAAGTGTCAGAATCTCGGAAGATGTCAGTATCAAGCAAAGAAGATGAGAGTAAAAGCTCTGAAAAAGCTAAGAAAGAACAAGAAGATGATGATTCCAAATCAAAGGATCCTGAAGAATCCAAGATAGAGAGAGAGAGCAGGAGTTAAAGAAGGAGAAAGAGGGAAAGAAGGAGGAACTAAAGAAGGATGAGAAATCTGAAAAGGAGCCTGAAGAGAAAGCCCAGGAGAAACATGGACCAGATAGGCTAGAGAGGAAGGTAGATGACACAGGTGGAACAGGACCGTCAGCTTCACCAGACACAAAGAAGGATTGCAAGGAGTCAAAAGAGCAGAAGAAAATGCCTTTAGATAAACATGACCAAGATTCTGTAAATAAGAGTCAGAAAAAAGAGTCAGAAAAATCTGATGACAAATCAGAAGAAAGTAAAACAAAACAATCCAAAGACAAAGGTGACAAGTCTGAAGAAAAGTCGAGTAGTGTTGTGTTAGATGAAGAAAAGGGTAAACCTTCAAGTGATGGACAGAACAATGATATTGAATCTCCAGGTGGAAAACTCTCTGAAGCCAAAACTGTTGAGAAAACCACCTCAGAAGCGTCAAAGAGATGGTTACATCCAATGAGAAGGGAAAAGATAAGGTTTCTAATGTTGAACGAGAATCTGAATCAGAAAGCAGTAGTTCACAAAAGAAGTCAGGAGAGGTGAAAGAAAAAGAAAAATGTGAGAAAGACTGTCATCAGAAATCCGAGAAATCAGGTAATCAGGTAGAAACAGCCAAAGGTAACAGTAAAACACAAGAACCTGTTGGAGAAAAGGATGCAAATGACGGCGCTTTGGTGAGAGTAAAGTGAATAAAGATTCAAGTTCAAAGTCTAGCGAGTCCAACTCTACGAAAGTTCATGACACCAAATGTATGAAACAAAAAGAAAAGTTAGCTAATCCATCTATACCTGAAGCCAAAACAGAAACAGAGGATAGTACCAAGATATCTTGCAAGGGAATAACAGTGGAAGTAATAGAAAATATCGAAAGTACAGGAAAGAAAGAGGAAAAAAGTAAAGAAGAGGAGAAAACAGAACAAAAGAAAGGGAAGGAGGAAACAAAAGATGTGAAAGAGGAAACAAATGGAAAGAAAGACAAAGGAAATAAAGAGGAAACTGAAAGAGGGGAGGAGGTTAAAGTAGAAGACAAAGAAAAATGTAAAGAAAAGAAAGAGGAAGCAAAGGAAAAGATAGAACAAACGAAAGAGAAGGTAGAAGATGCGAAAGAAAAGACCTGTCAAGAGGAAGAGGATTCTTCAGATAAGCATAAAGACGTAGCCAGCTCAAGAGAAGCAGAAGAAGAACCAGAACCAGTCAAAGGAAAATTACCGACTAACAATGACAAAGAAAACAAGACCAAAGAAGAAAGTGTAGAACAAAAGGAAACAGGTAGTGAAAAAAAAGGATGGTGAAAGTGATATTTCAAAAGACTGTGACAAATCTTCCAAAGACAGTAAGGCACAAAAAGAGGAATCAAACATACAGACTAAAAACTCCGGCAGTTTAGCTTCAGAAGTAAAAGAACAGCATAAAGATTCTAGTGTTGATAGTGACAAAAAGTCTGACTCAAAGAAGTCGGTGAAATGTGCTAAAACAGACTCCAGTAGTGTAAGCTCAAAAGCACAGGACAATATAGAAAAAGATGGTCATAAGAAGGCTAAGAAAAAGAAAGCTAAGTCAAAGAAAGGTAAACATGATTCTCCCAAAGAGGACAAGGATAATAAGGATGGTTCTGTAAGTGATAAGGAAGGTAATGGAAGTGATACCGTTGATGGTTGTCCAGATGTGAAAGAAACTGTTAAGGGGAAGAGTAAAAAGGCTGTCAAACAAAGTAGAAAGTCAGATAAGCCTTCCAAAGACAAAGATGTGGAGGAAAGCTGTGATGAAGATGAGGAAGAACTGTCACATCCAAAGATAATGTTTCTAGAGCCAAACGTGGGTCCAGGAAAGCCAAGAATACAAAGGGTTCTGATGAAGATGAGAAGGATGAAGATTCAGAAAAGGATGAAGACACTAAGGAAGATAAAAAGGAAGAGTCTAAGAAAAAAAGTGTACCTGAACTAAAACCACGACCAACGCCAACCAGAAGTTCTCGACGAGCCAGGAAGATGCCAGATAAATATGAAGACTTGGAGAACTTACCTTCACGGCGATCAGCTAGAAAAAGAACAGTGCCAAAAGAATCTGAGACAGCAGAAAATGGTTCATTGGATAGTGAAAATTCTAAGGATACCCCTGGTAAAACTAAAACAGCTCGGAAACTGAAGGGCGCTAATGATGATTCTGATACTGAAGAGTATGATCATAATAAGGAGAATTCAGTGAAGCAAAAAGGAGGAAGGGGTGTGAAAAGAACAGCTGATCGTGGCACAAGGGAACCAACTGGAAAGAAAGCAAAACGAGGTGCTTCCAGAAGTCATGGTACTGCAAGGTCAAGAACAAAGCGAAAAGGAAATGTGTCTTCGTCAGAGAGTGATAGTGAAGATGTTCCTCTTAGTAAGGTGAAAGGAGGTAGAGGTCGAGGAGGAAGAGCAGCCAGAGGGGGTAGTGCTAGGGGGCGGGGCAGAGGTGGAAGAGGGGCAGCAGCAGATCCTGTTGTCACAAATGGAGACAAATCTCAAGTAAGGGTTAGACCCAAAGTTTTCTTCTTCTTATATATTTGTGTTCAGTATAGACTGAATTCCCTGTCCATGTCACCACTGTGACTTTAGTTGATGTTTGACCATGTTGGCAGTCAGATCCATTGACAGCCTTTTGCATGCTTTCAACATGTTCAAAGGTGCAATGCCTATCCTTTTATTACACCATGTAGTGCAGTGAACTCTTCTGTCACTTTATTGTATGTCAGTGCACAAAGCGTACATGCGTTTGTTAGTTGTATCATTTGGGAGTTAATTACATTAGGCATTACAAAATAGCTTTTGTTGTTTAACGTTTCTGAGTAATACATTTTTCATGCATTTTGAGCTTGCATGCTTGAGATAACATGTACTTCTATACATTTGGCTTTTGTGAGAAAAATGAGTACTCTTATGCATATTTAAAATATGTCATGAATATATCAGTTTAGAGATGGCACATGTTTATACAAACCTTCTAACTGTATAATTGGTAACATGGTCTGAGGCATCACAGTTAGAAAAAGGTTATCTTTGGTTCCAGCATCAAAGTCATGCATTAAGAAATAACCAGGCGTACAGCACCCCAAAACTTTCACCCTGATTTTGAACATTGTGAAATTATTTCCATATAATCTATCACCAGAAAAAGAAACAAGTGTCAGAAACCAGCAGTGATGATTCTGACTACTGCCCAGGAAAGAAGAAGGGCAAAGGCAAGGGCCGAGGTCGAGCAAGAAAAAGGAAGGCTTCTGATGCTGAGGATTCTAGTGAAAATGGGCCCAAGAGGGGCGGGCGGCGCCGAAAGCGCCCCCCATCTTCTGATTCATTTAGTGATGACCTGTCAGAGTCTTCTGAAGACCTGGTGTTCGGGCCATCAGGTGAAGATGAGTTTCAGCAGGAGGAGCTTAACACTGATGACGAAGACTTCCTAACTCCCAAGGGCAGGAACTATCAGAGACAGATTGCCCGAGCAGGTATGCGAAGTAAAATAGTTTATGTTTAGACAGTGACACTTTTATAGATACCACAAACAGCCCTGAAGTTGAAGAAGGTCATCATGATATAGATGATTCTAATGTTGAAGGCTTTGGTAATAATGAGGGGGATTCAGTGAACCGGAAAGGAGGAAGAGGCATGAAAAGAACAGCTATCAAGGCACAAAGGAGCCTACTTAAAAAATAAAGTGTATTTACACACTGATAACACTTGTGTTGTGTGACGATCATTAAGATATATGTTTTTCTCTATTATCATGATTATTGTTCTGATAAGGTGTTTTATGATATGATGATTGGTCAGTTCAGAGTCTGTATGAAGACGAAGAGCTGTGAATATGTTAATCACAGTTCAGTGAAACTCCTGAGCAGTCTTGATAAAGACAAGGTCTCTCATGTGAAGATGGAGTGTTAAGCAAACTTAAGTCAGTGTCATGGTTTCTAAATTCTTGCTATATGAAGCAGTATCAGATTCCTGTAACTCGAAAATGGACATGAATGAGCAGTTTTGCATGTAACATCCTTTTTTGTGATTGGTTTCATTACTAAAGGGGCCTACAAATTTACTCCCAGTTAATAGAATATTTCCTTCTTTAACTTGATTAGATGATCACCAAACATATGTCTGAAGTCACATTCTTCTTCACCTAGAGATATTGCCCTTGTGAAGTAAAATATTCACTTACACACACACTCATCTTAAGAGTTTTATAGTCACATCGGCAGTATTTTGTCATTGGGACCACATTCTATTTGAAAGAAGAACTGCCATGTTTATTCTGATAAAGCTAGAGTGAGGTGAGAATGCCACCCACTTACAGCATGTATTGATTGTTTCCAGAGAAAGACAACTTCCAGCCCGGTGCAGATGATACTCCATGCACAAAGTGCAAAAGATATGACCATCCTGAATGGGTAAGTGGAATTTCGGATGCATTGGTTAATCCATGCTTTGTGGTATTGTTTTATGGACTTCTGGCAGATTCCCTGTCCTGATTTGCAGGCCCAATATTTTGCAGATATTTGTGATTAGAACTATATAGAGGCTCTTGTCCCTTTTTTCCAGATTCTGCTCTGTGATAAGTGTGACAGTGGGTACCACACTGCCTGTCTCCGACCACCGATCATGATCATTCCGGATGGAGACTGGTACTGTCCACCTTGTCAACATGTAAGTCACTCCAACAACTGCTTCTTGTTTTTGAAAGAGTCTACAAAACAGTTTGGATTCAGAAAGTTTGATTTTCATCTTAATATTGCAATAAGATTAATGCATGTTGGAAAGGGCATCAACATTTTAAGACTCTTTCAGTTTGACCAACAAAATCCTCAAACAAAATTGCCGCCCAAAATGACGTTAAATGGTTTTGTCCATTTTTTCATTTGGAAATATTTGTTTGGAGTATTTCTGTTTGAGATCCACCCATCCCTATCCGTATCCATATCCCCATCCCCATCCCTTCCCCATCCACATCCCCACCCTACCCCCACCTACATCCCCACCCCATCCACATCCTCATGCAGATCCCGATCCCCATCCTCATCCTCATCCACATCCCCACCCATCCATTTCCACATTCACATCCACATCTTCATCATCCACATCCCCACCCATCCATTTCCACATTCACATCCTCATCCACATCATCATCCCCAACCACATCCACATCCTCATCCCCAACCACCATCCTCATCCACATCCACATCCCAAACCACATCCACCTCCACATCCCCAACCACATCCCCATCCCATCAACATCTCCACCCCCATCCAGGGGCGGTGGGGTAGCCTAGTGGTTAAAGCGTTGTCTCGTCACGCCGAAGACCCGGGTTCGATTCCCCACATGGGCACAATGTGTTAAGCCCATTTCTGGTGTCCCCAGCCGTGATATTGCTGGAATATTGCTAAAAGCGGCGTAAAACTAAACTCAGTCAGTCAGTCAGTCCACCCCCATCCCACTCTGTTCTAAACTTGATGCCAGTAGCCTGAACCTCTCTGCCACAATCTCTTTACTCAATCCCTACATATGGACATTTAATAATATGAATGCAGGAGGCATGAAATGTACTGTAATAATGTATATCCCTGTTCCTTGTCAACATGTGTTTTTATGTGATCATGCTAAATTATGAAATGTTTTTGTAACAGGTCATGCTGGTGCAGGTTCTACAAGAAAATCTTCTCAACCTAGATGTCTCTTTAAAAAAGAGGGAGCGGTTAGTCAGGAGGTAGGATGTTTGGATTTTAAGCATCCAGTTTCATATAATCCTTGAACTTAGAGGTGTCCATAGTACCACCAAACCAATCCAAATGGTCTTGTGTTTGAATCCTAAGCTCGCATTTATTAAGATTTCCCGGTGCCATACATACCCATGCACCATGATAAGGATTCTGGGATATGACTCAAATACTTCATAAAACAATGTTAAACAGAATTTAATTGAAGGTTTTCAGAGAGCAATAATCAACATTGAATAAATTCCTGTGACATGCAAATACCTGTCATTATTTACACTGTGCAGTGTATATATAGTGTTACGTGCTGTTTACTTTTCAGAAAAGAACGTCTAGCCTTTGTAGGTATCAGCCTGGATAACATTCTAAAAGAGGTATGTATTCATTCAATGTGATTATGTTTTGAATCTTGTGTATGCTTTTTGAGGATCTACTGGCTGATCACAGAAGAAAGTGCAGAGTTGCTTCCCTTTAGTGATCTTTTCTTGTAATAAGTGTTAAAAATCAGGTGAAGTGTTTAATTCAGACAAAGTAAGGTCTTTGCACAAATTGAGGATCTTCATCATGTTATGTGATGTGTAATTAATTCCAATCACCTGGACAGGACAAGAAGAGCAACATCCAGCTGCACAAGGAACGAGAGGAGAGGATGATAGCGATAATGACGAAGCGAATCATGAAGGAGGAGAGGGAAGTCCCTGATGAAGTGTACTCCAAGAGGTCCTGCCGATCTCGCCAGTCCATGAGCTACAGGTTCACCGAGTATGACAATCTCATCAACAGTGCTATTGGGGATGACATCAAGGAGGAATCGTATGAAGATGACAGTTACTCAGGTAATGTACCCAGTTATCCTTCCATCAAAAACAAACAGTAAAACATCTGAAACTATTCTAGCTATACTTGTCACAGCCAATTGCAAGAGACTGTTATAGTTGCTGAAGCTTTGAATTTTTCATTTTTTACCTTGGTAAGGACAAGCAACTTTATCATTGCTAGAAATTCAGTCTCTTGTGGCAAAATTTGAAGATTCAGCAGCAGAATTTATGTATATTGGCCTCAGAGGTTGCTCATACTTTGAAGAACTGGTTACTCTTCAAGCCTCAATTCTTTCCAGCTGTGAGATGTAACATTGAATGCACATATTGTACTTAAGGCTTGCAGAATGTTAGTGACAATATTGATGATTTCTTTACTTACACACAACACTGCTCTGATATGTACTGTGTGAAGACTGGTGAATGTAGGGATTTAGATTTTGGAGATGAATATGATGTTGATAGTATTGAAACGTGAAGACTGTCATTAACTAAGCCTTTACCTGTACAGATGAAAGTGTCGGAGGGGGAGGCCGAGGTGGCAAGGACATGTCCAACATCACCGGTCGTCCTCCGCCTGTTGTCAACCGGGAAAAGAAAAGCCAGAAGGCCCGTCGGAGGCGCCGTCTCACTCAGCTGGACAGCGATGAAGAAGGGGATGAGAGTGATGAATACCAGGCTTCCAAGTTAGTAGCCTATGAGTTGTTAACAGTGATTTAACTGAAGGAATTGGAAGGTGGAATTGTGCTTCCAGTATTACTTGTATGAACCTGTACCGATTTCAGGTTAGACCCATACTTATGCTGGTTGACACAGAAGATTTAATGGTCAAAAATTAGTTATGGTACTTTGATAATGTAGATCAATGCTCATATTAGGAGTATCATGTATATTTCTGTTCAAAATTAAATTAGATTCCTTCATGCAGCAGATTGTTCTATAAATTAGTTGCTTATTTCTTTATAAATTTGCAATAAAACACTTTGAAAAGCTGTGCCAAAGTCAGGCCAGATACTGTCATTAAACACAATCAGTGCAACAAATGGATTAGGTCAAGACATGGTTGAATATATATTGCAAGGAAAGGTTTTTACCCTTTCTGAGGGAAAGGTAACTTGACTTAGGATAACTCAAGCTTGTTTAGGTTAATTCAAGATTGTTAGCTTGAGAACCTGTGACGATACAGGTTAGAATTGATCTTCACTAACCCATGCTTGTCGTAAGAGGCGACTAACGGGATCGGTTGGTTAGACTCGCTGGCTTGGTTGACACATGCCATCGGTTCCCAATTGCGTAGATCAGTGCTCATGCTGTTGATCACTGGATTGTCTGGTCCAGACTGGATTATTTACAGACCGCTTCCATGTAGCTGGAATGTTGCTGAGTGCGGCATAAAACTAAACTCTCACTCACTCGAGAACACACCTTAAAGAGAATCCACCTTTTGGAGTAAATGAAAAGTGGGCAATAATAAGACTTTGTTCATTGTTTTAATCCCAATATATATCCTACATCTCCATAAGAAGATTCTCTCTGGTTATACAGCCTGTATATATAGCCCGACCATATTTGTATTTCAGAGACTCTGCATCAGAAATGAGTTATGAGGAACCAGTAAGTGAGGTTGATTCCGAGGCGTCAGACTGGCAGCCACGCACAGGCCGTTTTGGTGTCAGGCATACCAGAGTACGCACCTCACGTGGAATCAGGAGGAAGTGGTCACGCTTTGATGATGATTTTGGTAAGAAGTTTCTATGTTTGTTTGGGACACCAAATCAATGATCACAGGTAGGGATAACTCTTTCAGAATACAAGTGATAGTTTGTCATTGAGAAGGAAAGTTATTTTCAGTGTTTACTTCAGTTGTAAGAAGTGATCCCAAACAAATTGAGAATAGTATGGTCTGACTCATAATGGCAGTCACTGATCTGTCTAGCAGGTGTTCACTTATTTACAGGCTACTTTCATGGAATGTTTATCACTCGGGTTGTGCAGAGTTATGTCCCTTCGGCATGATCTAAACCTACGATCATGGGTTCAAATCCTGGTTCACCCTGATTGTGTCTCATGATTTGTTAACCCCATATGGATGCTGCTAGGTTTGACCAGTGAATGTCTAAGGACTGTCACTAGAGACTTTCCTCCTACATCAATCTGAGATGCTGCAGTTTAACTATATACCATTCAAAGCAGCATTAAACAAACAGACTTTTGATAATACAAAAACTGAAATTAATCAAAATATTTCAGAGTAATAATCTTATGTAATTTAACTTTCAGTGGTTGATGATGACTACGATAGTGATGACAGTGCCAGTAACCGGAGGTCAACACGAGCCTCTTCAAAACGACGGGTCAACTATCAGGAATTCAATTCTGATGAATCGGAAGCGGTAGAATCTCCAAACTCAGAATCTGATGACGATGTATCTGACAGAGATTTGTGTTCAGATGATTCTGATAGGAAGTCTAGAAAACCTGTGCGTCGTCGTGATCAGATCAGATGATAGCGCGAAGAAGAAGAAGAAAAGCAAAGAAAGAAAAAACACAGACAGTTGAGAAGAAGAAAATGAAGAAGAAGCGCCCAAAAATCAAAGACCGAAGTTCTGAATCAGAGAAAGATGTTTCAGATAGTGGAAAGAGCCAAGAGAGCGAGGAGGAAGAAGAAGAGGAGACAGAGAATGAAAAGAGTGAGGAAGAGTCATCAGAGGAAGAGAAAAAGAAGTCACAGCGACGACCACAAAGAAAGGCGTCGAACGTTGATTTCAAAAGTTTCCTCGCATCAGAGTCTGAAAGTGATGCAGAAAAAGAAAAAACAGTTGTTGTGAATACTAAGCGAAAGGTTCGTGGAGGGAAGAATATGGAGAATATTCTGAAAGCAGGTAGAGAGGATAGCTGTGATTTCTCCTCTTACTCTAAACCAGATGGTGAGTCTGATGATAGAACTGATGATGGTGAAAGGACTAATGATGGGGAAAGTAGTGGTAGAAAGTCCGACCAGGAAAAGATTGACACAGTGTCGGAAGCCTCCAAAGATTCTCAAAGTGCACTGGAGGTGAATGGACATGACCACCCTGCTGGGGATGGTAAACCAAATAAAGATGTACCCCCACCAGGATTCTCAAATGAAGGGGAAAAGTTTAGGTCTCATGGTAGTGAACCGTTTCCTCACCAGGGTCCCCGAAACTTTCAGTATCCGTATGGTGCTCATCAGAAACAGTATATGCATCCTCAGTATGGTCCAATGTCTCAAGGTCTTCCTCCCCACTCACAAATGAGTTCCCCACCCCATGGGTCCCCTCATCACCCGCAGGGGACGCCGCCCCACCCCCAGGGCACCCCTCCACACGGGACGTCCCCTCATCATCCTTCCAGTGCATCTCCCCACCATCCACCCTCTTTATCTCCACACCATGCTCCTATTGCTTCTCCTCATCAACCTCATGGCACCCCACCTCATCCTCATGGAATGCCTCAGCACAAGATGGGACCACCACCTGTTCCACAAGGTCAGCCATACCCCCAGGGGCCACCCCTTCCCCACCACATGGGACCCCCAGTTCCTGGCATGCCATTTCGGCCACCTCACCCAGGGTACCAACAAGGCCCACCCCATCATGGTGGACCACCTCCCCACTCTCATCCACCTGGAGGACCACCTCCCCATTCCCATCCACCTGGAGGACCACCTTCCCACTCTCATCCACCGGGAGGACCACCTCCCCACTCTCACCCAGCAGGAGGACCACCTCCCCACTCTCATCCAGCAGGAGGACCACCTCCCCACTCCCACCCAGCAGGAGGACCACCTCCCCACCCTCATCCCACAGGGGGGCCACAGTCCCACCCTCATCCTGCAGGAGGACCATCACCCCACCCCCATCCTGGGGGAGGACCACCACGTCCACACCAGTCAGGGGGACCAATTCCATCCCATCCAGGGCCACCACACCCCAGAGGTATGCACCCTCATCCAGGACCACCAATTCCACATGGCCCACAAAAAACATCACGGCCCACCTCACCCTCATGGTCCACCCCCAAGAGGTATTCCTACTTATGGCCCTTACCCCCATTATGGAGGCCCCCCTGGGTCCTTCCCACCAAATCAACCCCCTCCAGTGAGACAACACCTTCCACCCACCTCCCAGAGTAACGCCGGTCCACAGGTACCCCATCCACCACCTTCATCAACTTCGTCTAGTGGCAGTAGTGGTTTCATGATGGACAATCTGCTACGAGACAATCGCCAGTACCCTGAAGAGAGACAGTACCCAGAGGAACAGCCTGCTCGCTTTCCTGAGGAACGCGATACGAAGAGGAACGTCATTTCTCAGAAGAGGAAGAACAACAGCAAGGAGGCGAGGAAGATGATCTTGAAGATGTGTCCGATATTGTGCACTACGTTATGAATGATGAATACTTCAAACAACATACATAGCCATATAAGAAAGGACATGCTAGATTCTAATGACTAGACTGTGGAGTGTTGGAACAAGTACAATCATTCTGTGAACTGGCTTTGTATCTGGTTCATATCCACTTTTAACAGGAAGCCACTGTACTCAAGACTGTGTTGAGAAGTCAATCAGCTTGAGTTGAATGTGTATTGAAATTTAATTTGAGACTGTCAAGTATATCTGGTCATGTTTTCAGTAGTCATTTAACAGGGTATCGGTCAACTTAGAAAACATTGTCAGTGGTCCAAAATGCATTGCTTGGTGACATATGTTTTTGCTTGATTTAGTTACCAAAACCCAGATGTAGAATAATGAAACCGTCTTTCTGTTACATCCAAAGCAATTAGTAGATCTCATTGTGAATATAGTGATATACCTCAGCTTCATCAAAGTAATGCACATGTACTACGGTATTCCTTCCTGTGTCATTACTGTCATTTTAACTTTCAGCCTGATATTCATGGAATTCCACCGGAACCGCTTAGTCCACGTTTTTGTCAAAGCACACTGACCCATGATTAAATATTCTTCTCAGATGTGAAATCTGTAACTATGGAAACAAGAAAACACTGCATACTCTTTTTCCTCAAAACTTAGTTATTTTACAGAACCCTGACTGTTATAATGAACACGCCTCGTGTTATATTGTTTATCTATTTATTGTTGTTTTAATGCAAAATATACATCAATGCTGTTGTTTATGCATCAGTTTGGTTTTGCAAATCCCATGGTATCCCATGGTATGATGATTCTTCAACAGTATGCAGTTGCTGCAACCAATTTTTATGTTTTATTGATTTTTTAGAACAAACTGTTTGTGTTTTTAGCCTTAAAATCTCTACTGGTTCTAATGCCAACAGTGGTTTTGTACAATATGTGTGCTCTTTTCCAAACTGTTTGGGTTTATTTTGTTCTGAATAATATCATCATGCCAAAATAATTTTGAATCTACTTATGTGAAACCGCATGAAATTGTTTTGTTTCATTATGTAGTTTGGACCACAACTAGGCACATATCTGTGTTATCCATTGATGTATAGCTGAAACAGCAGGATCAATAATATACTGAGGGAAAAAATAAGGGAACACCACTTCATGGCAGTGTTTATTTTTTCTCAGATTTCTTCCCACAGCGCTATTCAAAGCTGGTGATGAAATCTGGAAAATATTAGAGGAGCGCTTGAATTTTCCTGTGTTCCTTTATTTGTTTCTCTCAGTATTGACTCACTGCAGTTTATTTCCATTGAAATGATTTTTAGTGCACTTTTAAATTTACAGCATTTAGTGGGAGCACACATCACATCCGTGGACATTTCTAGTACAAGCTGTAAAATCTGTCAAGTTAGGGATGCCACAGCCTATCTTGTCCATGTGACATTGTCACTTATCTGACACACGTCCTTGCCAAAATATACAAAATCTGTCCTCTGTAGGACAGCATTTCATTCAGGATACCCTTCAACGCAACAGATTTTATCTTGCCAAGCCCTTTGACTTAAAGACCTGTTGTACCCAAAGAAAGAAATTTTGTACTTGTGCACTGAGTGAAAACAGAAGTGTTACAGTATTGGTCACCTGTCACCATGGGGAACACAAATGTGAGTTCATCTTGATACTAGCATTTCCAGTTGCAGGAATAAAACTGTTAGGAGGTTATGTCTTGACCCTTGAATGTATTGTAATAACTGAAAGCAGAACCTGTGTTACAACACTAGTCATGAAGAGTTTCCATGCATTACCATATGGTCCTTCAAGGACTGTTCCACGTGTTCAGTGTCTCCACATGTCCAGTGTGTCACTGTTGCTTTAATCATCACGTTACACAACCATTATCTGTAATACTGGCATGTTTAGCAAGCCTGATGCTGGAGAAGGAGAATAGCAGCAGTTCACCTCCGTGTATTATTGCTGATGTGAATTGTGTTACTTCTACTTTATTGGAGATGGCAGTAGGTGATTACATGGCTGCAGACTGCTGGGGTCAGTTTACTATGACCGAACTAAATGTGCATCTTCCAGAGTGATATCGATCCCTTCATGACTACACCATTGGTCCTTATCCCCATGTTTGTATAGTGACCCATTAGTTGGATTTGACCCAGACATATTCCAGTCATTCTGAAGCTATATGCTTGATTTGTGATTGAAATGACTAGGAAAAGGAGCCAATGTTCAGGTGGTGAAAAGTAATAAGTTATGAATTTTACTGAAATGGTCATGATGACAATTTAACACTGCAAGAGGCAAGATTTCAAAGGGCATTTTCATTTTGGCTTCCATGTATCATATTCTTGTTTATTATACATTGGAGTATTTTTGTCTTGAATGTGTACAAAGCGGCATAATATTACTGGAAACTATTTTACAGTAAGATAGAACCATGAAGTATCATTTGTTTGACTGAGAACCTTTGTAAGTACAGATCTGTTTGTCCAATGTGAAGAGGCCAGCTGCAATACATGTCAACCCTGTCCCACAAACCAATCTTAGCATTACGTCAGTCATGGCCTCTATACATTAACATGGACAGATGGATGTCTAAGATGGTTTGTGTAATGGTGTGGTTGGGTAGGATGTTGACAGATTTGACTGCTGACTTCGCTCAGTCTGGATGTTCTTCATCTTCGTCCATATTATTTCATCCACTGCTGATTGTTGATGTTTTGTACAAGGCTTTATCCACACTGTATCATGTACGTATTTGACACAAGAATGCTTCAAGTCTGTGTTAAATTTTAGTACTTACAATTCCTGTAAATGTAACTAGACCATGAAACGTTCCATCAACCATTCATCCAGAAATCACTTTGAAGTTTGAATTCCTGTGGGGCTTTTTAAGACTGTGCAAGACGTGAGCAGAATTGTATTTCAAGCGTATTATAAAGTGGGCACTTCTTTTGTATGCTTACAATGACTGGTATAATGATTTCCTTTGGGCTGGCAATGGTTACTGGCATTACTGTGACGAAATGGCTGAAGCTGGGCATTACATCGCAGCTGAGTTACTCCTATCAGTGTGACTGTAGAGATATGTGTATAACCTGTCACTGTGGCTCATACACCTTTGATAATAAGTTGTTAAGTAAACTGGATGTTCCTAGTGTTAGGAGTGTAAGCATGTTTGCCACCAATTCCTGTGTAATACCTTGGAACCTGTCAGTTCCCAAGCACTCCAGAGCCAGGTGACCAGTTGGATCCTGTGGTCAAACTTGGTGATTCAGTTGATTGGGTCCATCATAACCAGTGGCCATAGATGTTGCTCAAAATAACAATCACAGGTTTGTATGGCCCACATTTAAGTACTCACAGGCTCTGATCTACAATATCTTGGGAACTGAATTCAAAATTAAGCAAACTTGGTGTGGAAATTATTCTACCATGCGGAGTTGCCTCCCTCATTCATGCCAGGATCTGCTGTTTGTGATTTGATTATGATCCTGGATATGCCAGCACCATACCAACACTAAAGTTGTAAATGTCTATGACTGGTGTCACTATGGGCTGCTTTCTTCACAAATTACCATGGCATACTGTGAATCCCTGCAGTGGAACTGAAATACTGTGAAAGATCCATGGATCCCAGCTACTTACCTCCAGACTATCTCCCAGGATCCACTTGCGCAAAGTACTCTTAGCTCTAAGGTAATAGTAACTGCCATACTTGAACGTAGGCTTATGATTGTCATAGAGCTAAGATCACATTCTTCAAGTGATCCTGAGCTTTATAAATAGCAACACTTACATAGCATACCATTTTCTGACAAAAATGTTCTGAGCATTGATGGTACAGAAGGATTGTCATATTTAGGAGGGTCCTGAGAATAATTCCCATTTGGATTCTCTTGCCACCTTTATAGTCTTACTCAGAACTTGTGCTTTGATGGCTAGAGTAAACAAATAATTAAATGCATATTTAATGTTATTGGGCATGGACTTTGAGCTCTGATGTTCAGGCAATACTAAGTTTGATATTAACGCTGCTGAACATTTTAGGTCACATTAAATGGCAATATGATTACAAAGGTTGTGTCTGTTAACTGAAAATACCATGCTCTGGTACACACCATGATTGCCACAGCTCTGTGATGTTGTATACATTTAACTGAATGAAAGCACAACAAAACTTCTGATGGTTTAGGACGGGATGACCTAGTTTGCTTTCTTTGTATGTCAAGTTACCTGTTACCCACCTTGTACAGTGACTGGGTCACAATTATATTTGAAAATTATGTTTTACATGTTTTATGTGTGTTGTGTTTTGTTTGTAAGATAGCAAAGTTTATCAATAATTGAAACTTTGTAGAAAGGGTTTTAGCAATTTTACTGTGTGTGGTTTGTGTTGATGAGAAGAGAGACAAGTAATGAAGTTTAGCTTGAAATGTACTTTAACATATATTTGGCTGGAAGTGTTTTTCATTTCAATCTTCATTATGGTCGGAGGTCTCAAGTCTGTGACTTTGGTAGACAATATTTTTATAAAATATTTGGCAGAATGTACTGATCGATGCAATAGATCTGATTTATATGTGAAAGTTAATTTCTAAGAAAGATTCTTCAAGACTGTATCAAATCAAATCAGCTCTTTGTGTAGTAACAACACATGTTCATTGCTGCAGCTGTACATAGTTGCCTCCCTTGTTGAACGTGGTCATGGTGAAGCAATGGTCTTAAGGGACAAAATTAGCTTGCAAAAATCACATTATCAAACCTAATATTCTCTGTTTTTGATACTAGGTTAACAAACATGGTCAGCATCTACATCCAGAGTCACTTTATCTGTCCTCACACATTGCAGGAAAGTGATATACTGGTTGTAGTACTGTGTACAACGTTTAACATCTGTTAATCATTTCTATGAAAGTCTGAAATTATGAGTTCAAATTACATGTTTATTGTGTAAAGGTTAATTTCATCTGTTAGGTAGACACTGTCAGGTTAATGTGAAACATTATGTATAGACTATTCCTTCTTATGCTGCCATATTTTCTCACCAGTCAATTTATAAATGTTCTCCAGGATGATACTGATTGCATATCGATCAATTTGTTCATCAATCGAATTAAATGAAACTTTATGACATATTTTCAAATGAGAACTTTGTATCTAAAATTTATACTTTATCTTCCATGCCTGTTAAGTTTTGTGTTAAACAAACCCAGTGAAATAAATTTATACAAAATACATTGATCACATACCTCATATATTTTGAAATGTAAAATGCTGATGGTATTGCTCCAGTTGTTTAAAACATTTGAATTCCAGTTTTAGGTTTTCATACCACTATACACTGTAACTATTGTGTCTTCATTGTTTATAACGTTGCGAATACTGAGTAGTTTTCTCATGTTCACTTGAATGTGTTGAGCATTATTTTAGTTGTGGAGTGCAAACATTATTGTTTTCTTTTAGCTACCCAATACCTAATTTATTTTGTATTTACATGTAATAACTTGCTTCATACACACATATGTAATTACTACATATATCATATCACATCAACTGCAAGGCAGCAATTAGCAGGGCTCAGCCAATTTATTTGCCAACTCTGTACAAAACCAGGCTTTTAAATGCCATTTCATTTGACGCCTAGCTGGATAAATATGCGCTTTGATATTTATTCCTGTTCTGTGAGATGAATGATATGTAAATAGAACTGCCATCAAGTGTACATATTTGAGGATTGGAGCCGCCATGATCATCATTGTGTCAAGTGTTCACTATCATTTACATCATTTATACTTAATGTCATCAAAAGTAGAAAATAAACAATATGAATAAAATAGATTGAAAATATTCCCTTCTCTGTTTTGTATTGATTGTATCAACCAATGTAATGAGAGCTTACAGTTGTCATAGCAGCTTTATGTGTCAGGACTCAGGACTGGACCAGTGAGCTGCAGCCTTGAAGATGACCTTGACAAATAGCAATGCTTTAACCTATGGCTAATCTGCCACAGACCATGTGGTAATGCTGTGTGATACATTGACTGTATGGGGTTTTTTAATGTTGCTGATAGACATTATTTCGCAGAGGCTGCATGGGTTCAGGGTATAAAACGTGGACACAAGATAGGGCTGTTTTGAACAATATTATGAAGATGAGCAGTTCCATGAAATGTTCAGTTTTGTATTACATGCATCCATGCCGCATTGTATTAACTTTATGTGACAAAATCGTCTCAAATATGTATTGTAACAGAGTTAGTACAGTGCCGTTCGTACCAGATATTTAAAAACAATTAGGTGTTTGTCATTGCTGGTGTATGATGCACTATTAATTACACGTTGATACTTCCATTAAATCCCAACTAATATACTGCAAATTGTATTCCCAGTGTGACAGCTGTGGTGACTGTGTGATATCTGGCTGGGGTGCTATCTTCCTATCACCTGGACTAAGACTCAAACATTCAACAGACAGACAAGTTTATTCAGTAATGTCAGAATTTGGAATGCCAGAACACTGATCGCGGATCAGAACCATGATTTCGCCCCGATTTTGTTGCTGTGTTCGTCAACACCAAAGTGGTGACCTGTGAAGATTTGTCTTGTGATGACATCTGTTAGGATCCGGGTTAGAATTGGTCTTCATCAACCCATGCACGTAAGAGGCGACTAACGGGATCGGGTGGTCAGTCTCGCTGACTTTGTTGACACATGTCATCGTATCCCAGTTGCGTAGATCGATGCTCATGGTGTTAATCACTGGATTATCTGGTCCAGACTCGATTTTTTACAGACCGCCGCAATTGCTGAGTGTTAAACAACAAACCACACAACCAACCAAAGTGATAAGGGACCGTTCAAACGCTTAAACCACTAGGCTAGCCCACCGCCCTCATATAACAAGAATACTGTGAAAGGGGAGGCTAAAACAAATCACTCTCACTCACTCACTTACAAGATTATGCTCTGTCCAACCCGATAGCTCGCTATATCGGTTAATGCAAACTTGTCATTACTCGCATTTGCTGCATTTAAATGGCTGTGGTCATGTTTTGCTTAAATATTGTATATATGTCCGTAGTATTCGTGGCTGAATATCACCTGACAGACAAACGATTTGTTTGCGACGTTCATCGCCGTCGATGTACATGGCCGTGCAATCAGTCTAGTCACAGAGTAGGTAGTAACACGGGGTACAAGGGCGACTACACTGAACGTTTTCGCGCCAGCATAGTGTAGATGAGTAGAGTTACTTCCCTTTGTTTTCCTGCGGTACACAATCGGGCGTTTTTCAGCTAGTCGCATATGGAGAGATACAGTTGCCGAAAAATCTTTTTTCACAAAACGTAATAAAACGTTCTTAATGCAGTAGATGTTGTTTGGTATGAGAATTACTTTTCAAGTGTAAAATTGAGGTATTACGACATATTTTGAAGTAGAAATATTTGGGAAGCCGAATAGGGGTTAACATGTTACGTGGCATAAAATATGGCTACTACCATCGGGTGTACACTGTGTTGCAATTAATCAAAGTTGAAATTCTCCATTTTGAATATAGATTTATACTGTTTTTCATATAGAATTTGGGATAGCCAAAATAAGACTTTCCTGTTTATGAAATTGACAATCAAATGATGACGCGAGGTTTAATGTTAGTTCTTTACTAGTTTTATCAAAGTTGGAACATTTCCAATGTCACAGTTTGGCAATAATTATCCCTCGGGTGAAAGATTTTGGTGTTAGTCTTTTGTTATATTTTGGGTATACCAAAACAAGAATTTTACACCGATAACATTCTAAAGGTCGTTGCTGACAACGGTTTAATGTTAATCTATTTCCACCTCAATTGATCAAGATGACATCTTTCCACATTATATTTTGATTGTACATGTATTTGGAAAATAAACAGATTGTTACATTTGAACCTTCATTGTTACAATTGCCCCATCCACCTGTTATAGGGGTCAATTGTAACACGTGCAGTCATTGCATTTGATACGTAATAACTTTGTAACGACATGATAGTGAACCACAAATGACACTGAGGTTTAAAGCCAAGATGCCAATGTAGTAATTAGTACCGATTAACTTTGTGATAGGTCGACTAGTATCTAATTACATTAAGTTAAGTAAAAAGTGTTACAATTTCGACGATCTCCCCGTGCTTTACTGATTTAGAGTCTATCATTAGTCAGTAACATTGTTGATATGGCGTATAAAATCTAGCACTCTCAATAATACACGTTCTTTCGTTAGCAAGCCCCCCGTTATTAGGAATTGTCGTTAGATCACATTCTTCATGTTAAAAAATCTCCCAGATGTGAACTATCTCAATATCTGAAAAAAATCTCCCAGATATGAACTATTCCAATATCTGTTTCACACACAATTTGCACTCGTGCACTATATGTGTAAATCGGTCGCTGGTATTGAGGTCAGTCGTGGTATATACGTAGAAGGCACTCCCAAGACACGTGAGTATATATACATCCTTCAGTGTCTTTGAGATATTCGTTGTAGCAGCATCGAGCACTATTTCACATCGTGTTTTGGTGCATATGTTGGATGTTCCGCTGTGTACGCTCGGGCGTATGTAGACATTCCCCATCAGCAGTTGCGGAGTTGACGATCATACTGTCATACCCAGTCGACAACGTGCTTCAAAATGTTGTGCGACTAATAACTGTGATGTTTACAATCCTGTGGTCATTTAGTGTTGTCATTGCGACACCTGCATGCAGGTTGACACCACGCATAATGTAAAATATGTGTAGCTACCCTGTACTTGCGTTGATATGCATTTGATATATAGGTCAAACACCTGTATATATATATCAGTGGCACACTCGAAGTGCCAAGTTCAACCTGAAGGTGATCAACTTATTTGTTGTGTAACTAATTGTTTGATGGGCATTCTAGAAGTTGGTGAGTCAAAAATGAAACACAACTTTATGGATGACAACTTCTTGTTATTGCTTTAAGCAACGTTTCGATGTAGATGTTTACATCGTTATGAAACTAAATAACGAGTCCGTAACGTTGCTTAATGCAATAACAAGAAGTTGTCATCCATGAAGCTGTATGCCATGATTCATTCTTTATTGTGCAATAGCGACGTTTCGGTACAGATACTTATACCGTTTTCAAGCATGAAGTGGTGATGAGTACAGTGAAGCCTCGTTAATCCGGACGGTTGCGTTTCTCAGTAAATTCGTCAGGATTCCGAATAGTCCGGACTACTGAATCAAGACCCAAGTTGTTTCCCTAAGAATTACAAAAACGACACGAATCTGGATAAAACAAATAAGCATTTAATGTAAAGCTTAATTCATCACATCAATAATTTTACCGAGTGACATCCGCATGTTGATCCGACGTGTCTGATCACGTCCTTCCTCAGCACAGGTGAGGTAATGTCTAACAAGCGATCTATTGTAGTATGCCTTGAATGTCCGAATTATTCCTGCATCCATCGGTTGAATATGAGACGTGGTATTTACATCTTTCTTTTCCAGTCGGTTGAGGGTGTTGATGGTGCGGATTGCCACGTCACCATGTAGACGGCGAGTGAACTGTTAGAAATTGTGAACAATGGGAATGACAAGTGTTTATGGATGATCAACTTCTTATTGCTGTATACTAATTCACCACTTCATGCCTAAAAACGGTATAAGTATCTACACCGAAACGTCGCTATTGCACAATAAAGAAGCTGATCATCCATACAGACTTGTCATTCCTATGTGTACACCTATCGTTATGTATATAGAAGAACAGCGTCAGTGTGACTGAGCACATGACATGTCACGCACGCAGAGCATGAACATGCGTGTGTTCTGTTTCTACTGTAAAATACCGATTTCACGAGATCGTTTCAAACATTTGGGGTTTTTCAAATCTAGAATGGTTTTAGTTGAATATCGATTCTTCACATTGCAGTCTGGTAGTAAAATCTCAATATGAATAACTAATAACTAAATTTGCGCGATTGGTAAATATTAATTCCACACTCTATTACTTACATCATATGATATCAGCTGAAATCACACATTCGATTTTGTATAACCCAAAACAAAGAAATATAAAACCATTACTAGTATATCGATTTGGCATATCTTTGGCAAAGTGATGGCAAGTTTTTCACTAATTTTAATACATTATTTCAGTGTAGATATTTCTAAATATTAACGAATTATTTTCAATTGTCATATTTTAAAAACTAAATGATAAACAAACTTAATCATGTAATTGTATAAAAAAGCATGTTTAACATCACAAATTCAAATAATTAGGGGAATTGTTCCTCACACGTATACCATATACACAGTGTCCATTAAAAACAATAATAAATTTCATTATAGATAAGTTACATTTTCATCATGATTCCATAAACATACTGCACACAGAATACAGGTCTTGGTCGTTGAAAAGTTGGTATGCTCCAAGGGAGGTAACCGCGGTGTGCTGAACACATCGCTGCGCGAGTCGCGCTCAAAATAAGGCTGTCGAGATGGTATTTGACAAAATCGTAAACATGTTCCCCTTTCAACAATCACAAGGCATCACATGTCCAAATTATGTAACTTTTGAAGACGATTTTTGAACACATTCTCAAATATTCGTGATGCATATATCTTCGTGACACAGACCTGGCCCACTTACCCGGTCACGTGGTACGTGCAACGAAAGGACGCCATTTTCCAGCAGAAACTGTGAATATGAGAAAGAAAAAGGTAAAGTATGATCCAGCTTTGGTTATCTACTGCATGAAGCAATGCCCATACTGTATTTTGTTATCAACCTTACCCATCGCCCTACTTGCAGCAGCATTCTAAATACTATCTCTCCTAGAGCATACATCCGTTACGTTTTGTTAATATTGATTGGAGTGGGTAGAGTTATGTCAAGACAGTAATCATAACAGTATATCGTTTCCTTTTGAACCATGATCTTTAAACGCCAAGCTCTTAATTGTAAGCACTCTCAAGTAGCGTTACCAAGAACTTGAAAACATTCGAGGACCAATTAAATTAGAAAATCAAAAGTGCCAGTAAAATTGATTTGCTATTTGAATAGTCTCTGTATTGAAACATGCCTATTTCTCTTTTCAAAATATATGTTACATTTCTTAGCCTGATAGGGGCGGGGGTAGCCTTGTGGTTAAAGTGTTCGCTCGTCACGCCGAAGACTCGGGTTCGATTCCCCACATGGGTACAATGTAGAATAGAATAGAATAATACTTTAATGCCTTTCAGGAATTTGTGTTACATCAGCAGAGTTACTGACACATCAGAGAGATACCAATATATTTACATAAATTCATTGATTTAGGTATCTTCACATTTGTTTAAGAGAGATATGGTACTTGGAATAAAGGATGTACGGGCTCTCTTAGTTTTCACAATTGGAACTTTGTAGCGGCGGCCTGAAGGGAGGAGGTTGTATTCCGAATTTAAGTAGTGAGTACGGTCAGATATAATTTTGACAGCTTGATTCACGATTTGCCGCTCATATATTGATGATAAACATTCAAATCTGACTCCAGCGATTTTTCTTGCAGTGTTAACAATTTTGTGTATTTTAGATTTGAGATGAACTGAGAGAGACCCGTACCAACAATGGAAGGAAAATGTTAAAATAGTCTCAAATGAAGCCCATTTCTGGTGTCCCCCGCCGTGCTATTGCTTGAATATTGCTAAAAGCGGCGTATAACCATACTCACTCAGTCTTATTATAATTAGCTTGATAAAATACAAACGTTGTATATTCCACGTTTTGTATATGCATATCCTAAACAAATCTGATTTACTACCACTACATTTCTGTCTGCTCACCCACAAACTATGCATCTTCTTTCACGCTTGTTTATGACACAAGTGACGCTTGGAAGTGGGATCGCACCCAAAACTTGGGTTTCGTCGGCAGTAAATCTTAAAGAATCTTTAAAGTTAAGGAGAGTGAGTGAGTGAGTTAAGATTTACGCCGCACTCAGCAATATTCCAGTTATATGGCGGCGGTCTGTAAATAATCGAGCCTGGACCAGACAATCCAGTGATCAACAGCATGAGCATCGATCTGCGCAATTGGGAACCGATGATATGTGCCAACGAGCCTGACCACCCGATCCCGTTAGTCGCCTAAAACGAATAGGTGGCACCTCTGGTCACTGTCAAGGTCATTAATGGAGTAAACAAGGTGTGTATCCTTCGAAGTTTTACATTCTAATTTCCCATCATGTTTGAATACGGAAAGTATACATATGCTGAAAGCATAACGCATTAAATATGGACGTTTTGGGCTATAGTAGTTAGTTTCTAAGTAGTGTCACGTACCTTAGTTCTGCGTCACAGACAGCTTGAACGTTTAGGGCATGGAAACCCTTTCTGCACACGTAAACAGCTTCTTCGTCATCGCTGGGTCGCATGATAGGGATAAGAGTTCCATCGATACACCCAAGCACCTTTGGAAATCTAGCAATGTTATAGAAGGATTCCTTGGTGGCTCGTTGGTCGGATGCTGCCTTTGGGAATGATATTTGTTTCATAGTTGACAATAGCATCGTTTGTGCGGGTAAATACCCGTGACACAGTGGACTGGGATACCCCATGCAAGTCCGCTAACTCAGAGAAAAACGATCCCTTACCATAATATCTGAGGGCAATTAAAACCTGTGTTTCCGGCGACAATGCATGAGAACGCTCGGTTTGGAAAGCAAGATGTGGTGATAGTGGGTTTACAAGCTCAAAAATGGCATGACGTGGTAGACGATATCGCCGGACTATGCTGTCATCATCCAGCGTATCGAGAACCCGAGTTCGGTCCCGAAATACCCTTGGTCGTGATGGTTTTGACTCGTTTTCAACTACGCCGAGGAGAAAATATGCAGCCATCTTAATTCTCAAGTTACGACAGAAATGTTTGATTTACGATAGGCGCTGGCCGTTCTTAAATTTTCTCTTAACTTTACGAGATGTTTTCACTAAGATAGCTTTGTGGATCGCTTAAGATTTCTGTCTTAAAGTTACGATAGGTTTACGATGTTCTTAGCGCTACGAACGCTTTGTGGATCGGGCCCCTGACCCGTTAGTCGCCCCTTATGACAAGCATGGGTTACTGAAGGTTCATTCTAACCCGGACCTTCACGGGTAACGAAAGAAGCGAGTAATACCGAGGTGATGGGAGTCTTCCACGTCTACTGCCCTGCTGCAGCCGGCAAGCACGGGTATGGTGCTGGCAAACAGTGAAACATAATCAGGGGCGCTTGGGACGAACCGGGATTCGAACCTACAATTGTAGAATTCTGGCGTAATCTACGGACTTAACTCTGCATACACGACTGGGCTACCCGCCGTTTAATGTCATTGAAGCGCATTTAACTGTCCAAACCATGCGCTGTCTCTTTTACTAGCTCAGATAAGTGAATGAGTATGGTTTTTCGCCGCTTTTAGAACTATACGACACTTCCTCAGATAATAAGATGCAACGAGATTATAGAATCCCTTTAACACAAAACATTCATAAGAATTATGTCTAAAATGTCATCCATTCGCAATTCCAATATTCACGAAAATACAGATCATTTTCTTGCGTTCTTGACAATTTTTTCAGTTATGAATATTTCACTGAAAATTAACATATTTTAGCTGATGACCCGCCGTCTTATACACTGCTGCCTTATGTTTCTGTGAAAATGTTTTTGATCGAAAATTGAAAGAACTGTTGTTCAATCCGATATATAACTCACTCATTCCTTCCACGGTTTGTGAATGTTTCAGTAAAATTTATTCGTGCAATGAAGAATGGGTTAAGACATACATTTGCAACCACATGACCTCTACCATAGTTAAATGTTGTAAATTTGAAACAGAAGAAAAGGAAAATGTATTGGTTTTCAAATATAAAATGTATGTCATACCACCATTATTATTCGAATATATTTTTCATTTTAAAAGTTTAAATTCAAGTTCTATTTTTAAAAACAGAACCACGTAGAAGAATTATTTCAGAGCCAACTAAGAGTCAGTACATTTCATTTGTGTTATAGATATTTTCAATTAGAACTCACAAAAATGATGAAGTCAGCTGAGAGTTGATCGTATAGTTTCTTGTCCCCTCTGTTTCTATTCTTGTTATACCTCTGGAACCAGAGGTACAGATAAGCTGCGTATCTGCGTAAATTACGCAAATATTTATATGAAAACTCAATTCCTTTTAAGTCTATTACGTACTGGTACGCTTGAAGTTTTGTAAATACTCAATAAGTTTGATCTTACATGCGTACACACATAAATGTCACATTTTAGCTTGCGTACCGGTGGTTAGATAAAATAACTGAGGTATATTGAGAGGTTCTATTTCAACTTGGCAACTAGCAGTCTTTCTTATCGTTTCTCATATTACAGATCAAATATGAATAATAAACACGTATACCAACATTTAAACTTTATTATATTTTCACAATTAATGGAAAATGACAAAATACCAAATTGAGTTGGAAGGAGGTGGGTACAATATATTTGGTTACTCAAGGGAAACTTAGGATACCCAATTAAGATGAACACAAGCGAGTACATAACTCAATGACTCAAAAAGTTATCTGTAGCTCTGTCTGGAACCACAATAGCGTGATTGCAAATATGTATTTTATGTACTTTTATATGTTAAGAAAGTCACATATATGTATATTTTTTGTTAATCACAGAAGCCCACCAGATCCAAGTCCAAGGGGTATCTACAATACTCCAACTTGTCACTACGAGAAGCATACAACGCCGTAGTCGGGAAGAAGATGTCCATGTACCAGGCGTCGAAACAGTTCCACGTGCCCTACATGACCCTGCACGACCGGGTGAAGGGCAAGATAGCCATGGACACGCCCATGGGACGCCGAGCCATGCTGACGGTTGACCAAGAGGAGAAGCTCGTGGAATACTTCAAACATCTCTTTAACATCGGGTATGGCTACAGCAAAAACGAATTCCTGCAGATTGTCACAGACCATGCAGTGCATTGTGGGAGCAGGAAGAAGAAAGGGAAAGTGAAGGTCGGAAAGATTTGGTACTATAGCTTCTTGAAGCGTCACCCGGATGTAATATCTGTAAGGCCTCATCAGCGGCCGTCATGTGCTTCAAAAAGTGCAATAAGTAAATATTACGATGAACTGGAACATTTCCTGAAGAAACATGGTCTTGTGAACAAGCAGCATGCCACTTTCTGCATGGACAAAGTTGCCATAGCTTGTGAGGAAATTCGTGACAAGCAAAAGGGAGAAAACTCTGAGGAGGAGTCGGAATCTGCTACTTCTATGGTGAACTCGATGGTTGTTGTTATAGCGGCAGGCAACGCTGCAGGGGATCAGTTACCTCCCTTTTTTGTATTCCCTGGGGAGACGAAGCTTCCTAAGGTAACAGACACGACACCGGGGACGTCAGGGTGCGTCTCATCAGTCAACTGGGTTGATGGTGACGTTTTAAAGAAATACCTGTTCGAACACTTTTTGCCTTTGGCTCGGAACAGCAGTACTGATGATTCTCTGGTGTTGCTGTACGATGGCCACAAGTTCCCCTTGTTCCCAGGACTAATTGACTGGGCCCAGGATAAGAAGCTATATCTGTTCCCGCTGCCACCTCACTGCAGCTGTGTCCAGAAAAACCCGTTGTCCATTTTGTCTGATTTCGATGACATTTACACACAGGAACTTCAGTCTTACCTTAGAAGAGACAGAGTCCAAGACATTGACATCTCAAAGAACACTACCTGTCAAATTTCATGCCAGACTTATTTGAAAATTGTATTACCGGAAGAGTTAAAAACACTTTTCCTCAAAGCTGGCGTCATCCCACTCGACCCTCTATCCATGCCCTGGCCCGTCCATAAACCTCTGAAGCTGGATAGGACAAACGTGAAATCCCGAGTTCTGACAGACCAGTCCAGTGATGATTCTGACTCCAGTGAAGACGAAGATGATTCCACACCTGACATTAAATCTAAACCAAAGAGGAAGATTCTGGCAAGAAACAGATCAAAGAAACGCCAAAGTGATGAAAATTACAGCAACACAGACACAAAGCCCAAGAGGGTGAAGACGACCCAGATGTATGCCTCAGACTCGTCCGCGGGCTGTGTTGAGAAGGAGGAGGAGCAGGCCCAGGATGGAAGAGGAAGCTCAGGCTCAGACTATGCGTATGATAGTGAGGCCAGCAGTGGGGCAGGGCTGCTGGTGTTTGACGAGGATGACCAGAAGTGTTGTGTGTGTGGCAAGCTGGAGCCTCCCGGGCTTGCAGGGGAGGTCAGTATCGTGATCGTGGAGTGGGTCCAGTGTGATACCTGCTCACACTGGACGCATCTCCGGTTCTGCACCAAGGTCGGGGTAGTGGACAGTGAAGAGGAGTTTAAATGTCCACATTGTGCTCCGCCAAGGAGGGGAGTTGTGTAGCCGAGGAAGGCAAATATCTGTGCTTCACTCACCAATGACTGATAGGGACTGCAACATTTTCGTTCCGGTAGAGCTGTTTTTAAATTAAAAAAAGGGAAAGAAGTTTCTTTCTGTTACCAATGCGAAAGTTTGTTTTGCCTGAAAAGGGGTTGCATCGTCTTTCATTTTCATGAGGTCAAAGCTCTTCCAGTGTGGATCTGTTGGAATTGTTTACGAATGGGGAACATTTCCCATGGACTTAATGTGCTCTTTCCTGGGATAATTCTTCTTTTGTTCTTAATTATTGGTTCACGAAGCAAACGTACGAATTAGTACAAACCCTTGCATACACATTGAGAAGATATGTGCTGAATTCTTGAAATTTATACATCTGTCTGTGTTATTGCAACTGCATCAGTACTACCAAGCTATACACCTCTGCGGGAAGATCCGATCACACCTCCACGTATGTTGTGGCTTTGGGTTAACTTTCTAAGGGACCGTTCATAATTTATGGCTAGGGGTGGTGGTGATGATTTTTATGGAGAAGCATGTTCAATGTGAATGAACCCGCTAAAATTTATGTACAAAATAAGTGACTCCCCCTTGCATGTCATGTACAAAATCAATTACCACCCCTCCCCTTCCCATAATTTCTAAGCATAATTTTAAACATATTTTGATGTACAAAATTGCTGACCCCCTAGTTCGTGTGTACAAAATTGCTTAACCCCCGCTCCCCAGAACAAAATGGATGGCCCCTTAAAAATCATCATCACCCCCCTAACCATAAATTATGAACGGTCCCTAATACGCATGCATGTATGGAGCATTAAAACAACTTCCAAAAGTAGATAACATAAAGTTTATAATGTTGTGGAAATTTCATTCGCCCTGTCGTTTAAATTGCCTATGAGGTTCACATTAGGATGAAGGTGCACGTCAAGATGAAGATACACACTGAGATAAAGGTACACATTAGGAGGATTGTACACATTGTGGACTCCTGTTTGTGAGATCTTGCAATAAACCACTGAACAGCAACATACGTCTTGCTCATATGTAACGGACAGTTGATACATTGCCTAGTATTGAAACTAGTTCCTGCCAGTCTAAGTAAACTTAATACTGAGTCTAAGTTTATTTAGACCGGAGTTCCTCTGTGACAAATAAAAATCATTTCCGTTTCCGGAGATTGTGTCTAATGGCCCGGATGTACATGTATCCCAATACTAGTCGCAGTATTACAGCTGTGTAATGATATTCTGTAATTAATCGAGCCAGCACCAGACAATCCAGTGATCGATACAATGAGCAACATCCGGATGACCCGCAACCATCCTGACACCCGGTGTCTTTGGTTGCCCACCCCTTTACGATAGCTGTGGTAATTCCACATGGATTAGGGTCAGGTCCAGCGAATTGGTCGGTAACGTTTTTGGTCGCTGAAGGTTTCAATCAGTTACATGCAGCAGAGATACAGCTTGACCACTGCTGACTGCAATATACAGCCCTTGGCGTGTACCGTGCACGTTCATCATCTCCGGATAAGTCCGATATGGTCACTCGCCTTTGAGAAGTTGCAAAGCCATGCATATATACTGAGTCAAAAAAGAAACTTCACATTCTTTCTTCAGGGCACTATAAAAGAACATGAGATGGTAAGATGGTTAAATTGTTATTATTTCATTGCTGAGATCTGTGTGATGTACTCGATACACTGCCAGTGCCATAATCAGTTCCTTTAGGCTACACCGCCGTTCCAAAACATGGGTATACAGAATGTCAAGTCACAAGAATAAAAATGCGAAATTTCCCAGTTCACTGTCGTGTATGGCCGCCCCGCGCATTCACCACTGCCAAACACCGTCTCCTCATCGACTGCTTGATGCTTGTGAACACGTGGTTGGGGATTCTGCGCCATTGCTCTTGCAAGGCAGCGCCAAGTTCCTGCAAATTCTGAGGTTGGTTCCTAAGACCACGAAGCCTTCTCCCAAGTGCATCCCAAACGTGCTCTATTGGATTAAAGTCAGGGGACCTCGATGGCCAGTCCATGACATTGATTCCAGCGTTTTGAAGGACATTTCGTGTCAACATCGCGGTATGCGGCCGAGCATTATCATGCTGGAACTGTAGACCTGGGCCATGAGCCGCCATGAAAGGAACGAGTTCAGGGGTGAGCACCTGGTCGCGGTAAGCAGCAGCTGTGAGGTTTCCACGGATGACCAGAAGTCGGGAACGGTTGTTCCCACACCATGCAATGCAACTTCCGCCCCCGAATCTGTCGACTTCCTGTACACAACATTGGGCATACCGTTCACGACGTCGTCTCCAGACTCTATGCCTGCCGTCCGCGAATCTGAGGGTAAACCTGGATTCATCGCTAAAGACGACTCGATTCCTGTCTCTCTGGGTCCATCGTTGGGCCCACAGCAGAGGTTGACGTTGATGAAACGGCGTCAATATTGGCCCACGATATGGACGTCGAGAATGGAGATTGGCAGCCCGCAGCCGATTACGAATGGTCTGTGAGGTCAGTCGACCTCTAAACATCTCAGCCCTGGTTCGTGTAGAACAGAAATCTGTCACGTAGGTGACGTAAGACGATTTGACGGTCTTCTGCTCGTGACGTCACACGTGGACGACCCGACCTTGGGCGATCAGAAGTAGTGCCAGTTTGTTGTAGACGACCTCGCAAGTCATACACAGTACGACGGCTGCATCCCATTGCTCTTGCGACGTCAATAACTGATCTTCCCGCTTGCAGCATGCCAACGGCACGTTCACGTTGCACATTTGACAATCGTGGCACTTTAAGTACCGTTGGAACTGTGGTTTAAAAGTGTTTTTTCAATTCTTGAGGCCAATGCAAACACGTGCATATGAAGAAAACTTCGATGCGAAGATCACGTGATCGACTGCACGTGCAAAACCTGATTTGGCACTAACGTCATTTGCACGACGAATGGATGGGTTTGAGTGGGTTTTGCTAACGATTTTCTTGAGTCGAAAGATAGGGATCCCATTTCGGATACATAGATGTATCATCAGAGAAAAATTATTCATTATTTTTCAAATTACATTTTGTGAAGGTTTTATTTTGACTCAGTATAGTAACATATTTTGTATATTTATAGTAGAAATCATGTTTCATTTCACACATTAAATATCCAATACAATACTAAAATTTACCTCAGAAAACAATCCAAAGCTATACCCAAAGAATATCAAAAGAGAAATTCCCTTTTTAAAACAATCAATCAGATGTGTTTTTCTTCTGATGAACGAATGTGTAGTGTCCAGTATTCAGGCTAGCGAAGTGCCCAGGCTGGCTATAGAGACAAAACGGCTTGAGTGGGGAAGAGTTTAGACTTTTGTGTTAAGCAGTGCACATGTTGTGAGCATGTAGTGAGTATGCTTACCTTAGCTGAGCAATATGATAAAATAAAATAAGATGAGCAAAACTGAAATGAGTGAGTGAATCAGTATGGTTTTACGCCGCTTTTTGCAATATCACGGAATATCACCGCGGATGACACCAGAAATGAGCTTCACGTCTGTAGAGTGAAATTTCAGTTATGTATGTACATGGATTCTACTTAATATACAACATACTATACATACATGTATATACATGATCTGGTACTAGCAAAACATCTGATGTTCTGCCGAGGGAGGAATCGTCCCATCCTTCCCACACAAACACCCCCCACTGTCGGAACCTAAGATGTTAAGTTTAGTAAATCTTCTTATTTTGTTTTTGTAGATTTATATTATTCAACATGGCCAAAGTGGGTGTTGCAGTGTTCGGCCTTGGCAAAATGGGTATGTATTTTCAATGCCTCACTGATAACTTTGAAGTACGTTCCCGTATATCAAACACAACAACTTACGGAGCTCGTGCATTTTGTTTTATAAATGTATTGCTGCAACATGAACAGATTACTGATACGATTAAACCTAACCACGTGACCTGTTGAGCAAGCCGCAAACAATTTCTTTATCGAAAGACCCCATGGATCGTCGTGTACAAATATTGGTCAAAGGAGTTTCTGCCCCAGACCTGGGCCCCGTTCTTCAAAGCGATCGTAGCTCTACGACAGTCGTAACACCCATACTTTAACATAGACTTACGACTGTCGTAGAGCTACGATCGGTTTGAGGAACGGGGCACTGATTGTATACAGGTTGCCGTCATATCCGGAATCCATTGCTGAGTCGGGCGTTAAATCAAATGAGAGTTTGGAGACATTTGTTAATAGCGGTTGTCCAAAGCGGCTTGATTTGCACAACAGAGTTATGTACCCTGGCATGCCGGATCCTGCGACATTGGGTTCGTAGCCTATTGGGTTCTGTTGGATTATGACGCTTGGTTTGTCAGTACCGCGTGGTAAACGTTATACGTCTGTATCTGGTCTTTTCCCCCACGTTGATACAGCTGAAACTGAAATAATTCTTAACATGGTGTTTACCCGACTGAGTAACGTACGTGGTAGTTACGTTAAGGGCAATGTTCATTTGAAGGTATGGTCCATCTCAAGAACGTGATGCAGTCCCCACGTGCAACGCTAAAATGGATCGTCAGAAACGATGTAAAGGAAGCACAGAGATTCGTAGACGCCTTTTCACTTCCATCGAGAGTTACTTCCCCTGATTGCCTCGACCCTGTGTTGGAAGACCCGAGGTAAAATCTTGATGTTTGTTAAAGGTCACATGCAACCAAAAAATCAAACTTAATTAAAACACAATTATCACTTATTCATGACATATAATATACATTGCTGGTTACGCAAAAATATATAAACAAAATTATAAGCGTACAATCGCAAATCGAAAGTGCAAAATTGTGTACTTCGGTTTACTTCCCAAGAAACGAAGCAGCCGGGATACCGAACCCAGTCAGAGCGGGTGGGTGTGCACTCAAGTGTAACGGCTGGTTCATTTGCAGATGCCTTCACGGCTAATTGTGTGTATATAGAGAGAGAGATGTTGGGTTTTGTAAATACATGCTCATTTTTTGTGTAGAACATTTTGCAATCAACAGACATCATAACATGTCATGTGTTCAAGTATCACACCTGCCTGTCTGTGTAATTACATAATGTGACAGAGACCGAACTCGGGCCATAAATCAATGCGTTTTGTTTATGGTGTATAGCCTGATTGGTGTTAAGTTCAAATTGCATGTGGTCAGTGATAGCAGCTGTGTATTGAATATTGTCATTAGCAGACAGGCAGGCAGACACACAGGTGTCAATAAAACGAGTTTTGTCTGTGACAACGACATATCTATATCACAGTTAGAAATTGTGTCAACTCTAAATAATGACATTGCTTTTAAGTATCGAACTGAGAAAGTGTCTCGGTAAGAAGAACGTGTGGTGAAATAGACAAATGAAATTATATAAACAGTTAATTTACTGTCATAACATATAAAAAGCTCGCGCCTGTGAGATATCAACAAAACATTAGAAAAATAGCTCACACCAAAGCTTTCACCGAGTATTCACCGGATAACCCGCTTCCAAGCTGCGTGAACCTATTTACTTGCGCACGTGCTATGAGCGCAGCCCAGCTGTTGAAACCCGTTTTCCCAAGAAAAGTCTGGGGAAAATTAGTGAAACGTTTGAACTCCGATTTCAAACGTTTTTTTTCATCGCGTTATTTTTCAACTTTATAAGTTGAATTTGCATTTTTGACGATTTGCTTCGGTATGTCCATACCGAAAGGTATCAGTATCTGCAAAGTTGTGTTTTACGTTGCATGTGACCTTTAAGTTGTTGTATCCTCTTTGGCCCTTTGAACGAGTGTAAACCCATGGAGAGCCGGGTTGGAATAGGCCCCAAACAACTTATGCTCAAGACTCTAAACAGAATGTCACTCTCAAGTGCGGCTGGCCCATACTTGAATTTTGGGGCGGTTGGGTAGCCAAGTGGTTAAAGCGTTCGCTCGTCACCTCGAAGACCGGGTTCAATTACCCAAACGGGTAAACTGAGTGAAGCCCATTTCAGGTATCCCCCACCGTGATTTTGCTGGAAAATTACTAAAAGTGGCGTAAAACCAAATTTATTCACGGTCACAAAGTAAATATAAATTATATTTAAAAAGTACTCAGTGGGCCCAGGGTGATCAAAATTGAATCGAGAAATTATGCACTGCATTACCGAGGATGAAGTGTGTGAAGGTTTGACGATGCAGATGAGTGGGAAGGGAGTTGGGGTTTTCAAATGCTTCTTGTGTGCCACAGCGATCTGTTTGAGGAACCGTTGAACTCCCTCACTCTCATTCCAGTGTAGGAGCGGTCATTATCGCGTCCCCATCTACTGAGCATGCGCAGCAGATTCAGGCTTGTCTAACAGCCAGTGAGTGAACCGTTCAATGTCAATAAAATTAGATATTTTACTCCCAACATATCATGAAACCTGAGCGCATTTTCATCACTCAAAAATTTTAATTCTCAATGACGCATATATATTCTTCAGATGGTGCTATAGGCGCTATGTCGCCCAAAACACTTTATGATCGAGAGTAATATAATGGCGACTGTATTTCCGGCAGTCGGAACACCCCAGGGTTTTCTCGTTTCCGAGTTACAGAAATCAGACATGCTGGTTCGAATGTTTGGCTCAGTCGCACCGAGAATTCAGAAAGTGAAATTAAAGTGAAATATTTTAATGACATTGGTGACGTGTTGAGGACAAAATAACTGTATATTGACCAATAGAGATCTCCAGTACCCCATGTCTGTCGTCTGGGCGGTTGGGTAGTCTAGTGGTTGACGTTGACTCATCACGCCGAAGACCCGGGTTCGATTCCCCACATAGGTACAATGTGGAAAACTCATTTCTGGTATCCCCTTCCGTGATATTGCTGGAATATTGCTAAAAGCGGTGTAAAACCATACTCACTCACGCCTGTCCTACGCCTGTCATGGGTAGCAAGCTACATACTGACACAGATCCGCATATACTCGTAAACAGGTAGCAGTGGTAGAGCTTGAAAATTGCTGACTGCGGCGTTACACAACATTCAGTCTCCTGCCCGACACACGTCATACTTATTATCTCTAGAATATATATTCTGTTCCTCAGCCACGATACCCGTGAAGATCCGGGTTAGAATGTGATGAATTACTATCGCTATATTGTAACTCCCATTTCCACTCACGACATCGAGATAAGATGCGCACATCTGTGTTAACCTAGTGGTTTGCTTGTCACGCCAAGACCCGGGTTCGATTCCCCACATGGGTACAATGCGTGAAGCTCATTTCTAGTGTCCCCTGCCGTGATATTGTTGAAATATTGCTAAAAGCGGCGTAAAACTAAACTGACTCACTCACTCACTCATAATGATAAATGTGAAAAACATGCATTAAGTCGACATTTGCTGCCATACCTAACGGAAACACCGTGATATAGATCACTTAATCACCCAATTCACTCACTCGCTTACTCATAAGCCGACCTCTGCTTGTTTTTGTTCTGTTTGGTTTCGACGTGAAGATAAGGCGGTGCTTTGTGAGAAGCCGGTGACGCCTGACGTAGAGTCTACAGAGACTTACTACGATTTGGCCGAGAAGAATAACGTCCCACTCTTTTGTGCCTTCCAAAGGTAAGTGATACAAACGTCTTCTTTCAGTTGCTATATACCGCTGAAGAATTACCGATATGAAGTTAAAATTTAACTGCATTACTCTTTTAAATATAATTATTTGCTTGATATTTTTTTAAATAACACACGAGCAAAATGTTTTCTCGAAGTGATCCATCCTAAGTTATGTCTCCTGTGGGTGATAAAGACGTGACAAATAAACAGTGAGGGTAACTGGATGCCTTCAGTTTCATTTCCAAAATTCGATTGAACTGGATTGTATGTTTTCCTATTCTATTTCACAATTATAGAAATTGAAAACACGCCTCAACAATGTACCAAAGCGAAAATATTGAGACATTGATGAAATATATATATATATTCCAGCATCATTCAAAGTGGTCACCCATATTCATGGCCCGACTCTGTAGTGTAGTGGGTACAGCGTCTGCCCGGGGAGTGGAAGGTCGTGGTTCGAGCCCCGGCCGCGTCGTGCCAAAAGACGTTTAAACATGGGATTTGTGGTTGCCCTGCCTGACACACGACACAAAGGGGAGTCATTATACTGTGTTGGCAGTCGGTATTACTGTAGGGTATACTTGTAAAAACTGCAGCATGGGAACTCAGTGGACAACACTGGCATTTGTCCGGACTAATGTGCACAGTACCCCTCTCCTTGTTCATTCACGTGTATTGTTGGTGCATATTGTTCATGATTTGTTAATATCACGTTTTTAAAATGATCATGAAAAAGTTATACAGTTCATATCGGTTGTGCAGGAGATACGACCCGAGCTTCCGACAAATGCATGACCACATCCGGTCAGAAACATTCGGCCAACTCCGCCTACTGAAGGGTTCAAGCCACGATGTCAGTGCTCCCTCTCCTGACTACATCCGGACGTCAGGTAATCCGCCATTTGTCAACTAACGGCAACTTTCGTTTCCGGTTTTATTCTGTATGCGTATTTTTTCGAGTATTTTTTTTTTGGTACATTTTACATAGATTCTAGTTCATGCATTTCACTATATGGCTGAAAAAATGTGATGCAATGCAACGTTAAATCTTAACTCGTTCACTTTTCTAGGAGGAATTTTCTTCGACTCCACAATCCACGACCTTGACCTTTCTTTATGGATGGTAGGCTCAAAGCCAAGAAGTGTCTACGCATGTGGAAATGCATTTGACCCAGAAGTCGGAAAGCTTGGTGACCTTGACCTGGTGAACGTCACCATCAAGTATGAAAATGGCGTAGTGTCCATGATTGACAACGGCCGCGTTTCGAGTGCGGGCTACGATCAGAGATTGGAGGTGACTTTTATTTTTGACCTTGGGGTTTGAAAATTCTCTTTCTGACACATATTTTAATGAACATGTGGTCATTTCTTGCCTCAGCTTAGAGTCACGTGATGTTACAGGCGAAATTTGACAACGGGAACTTGACAGTGACAAACACCAGCGTCAACCAGCTCCACTCCGCGACATCAGCGCCACCTCTTTCACCAGGGTTTGTTGGACGTTATGATGAAGCGTACCATCTAGAGCTCAAACATTTTTTGGATGTCTTGGAAGGTAATGTGCTATAATGAACAGGCAGCTAGCTTTTATAAATAGTGTTTTCATAGCAAACTGACATGAAGTGACCGCTCGATATCTCACAGCATGACCTTTGTTTTTGGAGAAAAAAACCCGTCGCCACTCCACTTATTTTCAATCTGGAATCCTTATTTATGAAAATACTTGTTTGGAGGTAATGTTTATCGAAAATATGATAAACGATGTACAACGCATGTCTATACAATCTGCCTTTGTAAGTCAAAGGGTTGGGGGGGTTTTCAGCACATTTTTTAAAGCTAAAACACCATCCCTCACACCTCGACCTTGTGGATCGTTAAGCGTGATTCAGACAGATGATGTGTATGTTCCAGGTAAAACAGATCTGGAAGTGACCAAACACGACACATTGTCAGCCATGAAACTTGCCCAAGCGTGCGGGGAATCGCTGGAGAAAGGAGCGCCTGTTCTGCTCCAATGACCTTGACCTCAACTGATTGAGATGACCTTGACCTCAGCTATTTGAGATTGCGGGTATAATCGGAAGAAATCTCACTAAGCGAAACTGATATTAGTTTACTGTCCTTTTCATACAAATTATACAAAAATCCTGATTTTTTTAGTGGAGTCTACTGTTTTTGAATTTTTGAAAATACAGACGTTTGACTTAAATGTGGAAAAATCCCCTTTCATGAATGATCCATACCCAGAAATATTATTTTCAGTTTTGTTAGTTAGTTTTGTGACGTGCACGGCATTGTCGACAAATAGAAATATTGCCCACTGTTCCCAAGCACTAGAGTGTCTCGGATTCTTGAATAGAACGTATTGCTGTTAATAACTTTGTTTATATAATTTGTAATTACTCTTGAATTATGATGTAGGAGTGATGCGTTTCTTTGAACACCGTTTTTCACTGTAGTCCATGTTGATCACTTGATTAGAAAAATACCCAGAAATATCCTTGATAATGTTTATACATATTTCTCTGTCACTTTCTTATAGTAGACATATATTTATACTATACGTTTCAAAAAGTATTTTGAGTCTGTTTTATCATATTGAATACATACAATAATCACTTGCATCCAGTCGTTATGTGAAACACGTACATGTATTTGCAAAATGTGCTCTCCATTGATATAAAGAAAACCCTTGCTCTTTTGGATAAACCTATACGTCAGCAAATCTGTTGCATTTTAATATATGTATTAATCAATTCCCAAAGATTCAGGTCGACAATGTTGTCTCAACAGATAGTTGTACAGAGGAATTTGTTTCCACTGTTTCGTTGTTGTTTGTATTGATCAATAAACGACTTGTGAGGTTTTGACATGGCCCCTTTCATTTCCACCACGTGTTGCCTCTTATTGAACCCAGTCTGCTGAGGGAAGGAGATGGTGATGACTTTGTTGCGTTTCGGCGTCTGTTCTCAATTTTGAAAAGTTCAATAACTGCTACACACTGCTATGAAATGCAAATGTTCTTTTCACGGAGAAACAATCACATTCTGGAACGATTTCTGTGCAATCGATATCTAAGTAGTCGACGTTTTAACTGTTTCTGGTCATACTAGAACAGCGAACACTACGCCAAAATTCACCCAAGGAATGTGAATTGATTCTTTTCAATAAGCGTGGAATAAACACGTCACTTCTGGAAGTGTGGCAGTTGATGCAATATGTATTTCCATGAATAGTTAGCTGACAACAAAGCAGTATATATACATCACGGAGACCCAATCCACTTGATTTCCTGGAGAAAACGCATTGTGTTGGGGTTGAACTGGACTAAACCTTCTACTTGTGGATCTTGAAAACGACATTTCTAAACAACAGTTGTGAACAACAAACTTACAAAGCGACCTGTTGTTGTCGACCACTTGAAACACGACTGGTGATACATACCATTGATACTGACGCTGACACCATGATGACGTCATGGACCTACCTGTTCGTTGTGCTGATTAGTTTTACCTGTGTCGCAGCGCTACCCACACGTGCAGGTGAGATATGTACACGTATAGACAGGTCATCACGTGAGTGTGTTTTGGGTTGGTAAATATCCTGTATCGAGAGAGCGAACAAAACACAGGTTTTTTTTCCTGATCCAGAATATTTGTCAGCGCAAAACATTCGCGCATCTTTACCAATTTAACATATTTTCAGTAATCGTAAATTATACTCAACTGTCACAAACATTACCCGAGCACGTTTCCCTGAAAGTGCTCATTCATGTATTACGTCACAATTTAGTCATACGTCAGTCGAACAATGAGATCAGGCGGTATAGCTCGAAATCAAACAACCCATGCTTGTCGTAAGAGGCGACTAACGGGATCGGGTGGTCAGGCTCGCTGACTTGGTTGACACATGTCATCGTATCCCAATTGTGTAAATCGATGCTCATGCTGTTGATCACTGAGTTGTGTGGTCCAGACTCGATTATTTACAGACCCCCGCCATATAGCTGGAATATTGCTGCGTGCGGCGTTAAGCAACAACCCAACCCAAATCATACACATATTAGACGATGATATCAAAGAATATTATTATCACAATGAGAACAGAGACATCGTATAATTCTGATTCAATCATCGACCGACAAGCGAGGTGACTGGTTTCATTGTATAACCAAACACTCAAAGTAGTAGAACGTACCAGACCTCATAGTTGCATACTTATTCATAAATCTTAGTAATGTCATGGCTTATTAATCATATCATATCGATATTCATCCTCGACTATCATGTAGAGTAGAGTCTATTGTTTTATGAGATTCCATACATGGCCATAATATGTGACGCCCGTTTCTGATGTTCCATGCCGTGATAATGCTGGAATAAAAGCGGCATAAAACCATACTCACTCACTGTTATGATTTGACACCTTGGATATTCGAAGGTTTGCATTCTTGGAATAGTCAGCTGACTTCTTCGGAAAAGTACTAAGCTATTATCAACTGCTTAATTAACTCCATTAACAGTTTTAACATTAACAGGTTTTTGAGATATGTCATTGGCCAGCTGCTGTTTCCACATCTATTTTGTTTTTTATCGACATCAATACAAAACGCCAAGCACCATCTGTGGGCTGAAATTGTGTAAACAGTATACTTACCGTTAGTTTGGTCTTTGTACATAAACTACACTGCAATAGTCAAGAGGTTAGTGTGTTTGTCTGTGATATACCCAGTCCTGGTTGGAGTCCTTTGCGGGTATATGTCCAGTCTTAAACAACTATACTGCAATAGTCAAGTGGTTAGTGTGTTTGTCTGTGATACACCCAGTCCTGGTTCGAGTCCTTTGCGGGTATATGTCAGTCTTAAACTACTACACTGCAATAGTCAAGTGGTTAGTGTTTTTGTCTGTGATACACTCAGTCCTGGTTCGAGTCCTTTGCGGGTATATGTCCAGTCTTTGTCTCACTACAATATTGTTAAAAACAGGTTGTTCATTATCAAACATTGTGATAATTGTTTGTAAGTAGGTACTGTAGCTCATCTAAAGACATGACAATAGGGGTAAATTGGGTTTATCGTTATGATCAAGATTATTTCACCTCGGTAGTGTTTGTTTTATTGCTGTTTAACGCCCCACTCGGCAGTACTCTGGCTATATGTGGGTTGTCAGTAAGTGCTCAGTGTCCAATGCTTTTTAACCAGCCCGTATTTTGTGGGACAATGGTTGCCATGTGGCTTCTTAGACGTCGTCCTACCCCTGCGACAGCGACGTTCGAGCTACGCTCAGTCGTTCTTGCATTCAGTTGTTAACTAAAACAGTCATGTTTGTAATCCGTAGCTAATTCTTAAGGCAGAGTGGTTTGGCAAGCATGAGCCTTGGTCAGGATACGATGCTACCCCACAAGCATTGTGTTTCCCTCAACCACAGTTGTGAGAGCAGAGCAAAACCATACTTTCCGTCCGATCAAATACATGTATGTCGTTCTTTTGTCCGCAGGCGAATCTGAAGACGAAGAAGAGAAGAAAGAAGACCGTCTGCTATTCGAACCCAAGAAAGGAGGGGAAGACAAACAGGGAAAAGTTGCGCCACCTGGCAAACATCAGCAGGAAGAGGCGATAATTGAGAACACAGCCGCATGGAAGAAAGCAGTCGAGGAAAAGATTGGCCGAGAAACTCCCAAAGATCACGGCGAGATCGGGTCCCTCGGTGGAGAGGCTCTAGCACACGGTGCCCACGAGGGTGACCTTCACGGCAAGGTCCCAGAGGAGAAGGCGATCAAACATGTCGACACTGGCGCTCTGGGGGAGGACTTCCTCCACAACGTGATGCATGATGGGGAAGAAAACCACGAGGAGGCGGATAAACAATTGCTGAAGGAGAGACCAGCTGAAATAGGGGATGTGGCCAAAATGAACTTCGATAAAGAGAGCTTGAAGCAGTTTAAGGAGGATGCTTTCAAAGATCCTGATCCCACTGATAAGAAGTTCGACAACCAAGACCACGGTCCTAAACGACCTGACAAGGCGCTGCACGGAGTTCTGATGCACGGGGACCAGGAAGCGGGGAAGGATCACAGCCATGAGGACCAAGTCAAGAAGGAGGACAAGCCGAGAGGGGAGGACACAGTCCGGATTGGACGGGTGAGTGCGGTCGGGGGGACATGGCGGTATACCATTATGTACATCCATATATAAATCAGGGGCAGTATAAGTATTGATGCAATAAATAACACGATAATAGAGCGGTGAATAAACCAAATCTCAGGTCACTGTAAAACTATCAAGGGAAAGAGACACCGTAACGCGTAGGATGGTATACGGAGCCTTAATGCATTCATTCTGATGGCAAATAGATCTTGTGATACATAAGAATGCATGCATTGCATTTCTAGACATAGTATATTTGGCCTTTGGTGTCTTCATTTACACCTAGCGGAAATAACAACAGAGTAAAATGCAGATTTGGTAATTACTACAATCAATACTCTCCGCTAAAGAGCACTGAACATGTAAACCATCGTTTTCACAGTACAGGCGCGTGATGCGTTTCATGAAATTTTACGATCAAGCAATCAAGGAATCAACACCGTCACGTGTCTTTGAAATAAACAGACAATGGTACATAACGTATTTATTCATAAATGGTAATTCTCGACTTTGATCTTCTCTACAGGTAGACAAAACCGCCTTTCTGAAAGAAGAAGAGAAAGTCGCCAGAGCCACGCCAAACACGGTCGACACGGAACAGCTGCTGCACGGGGCTGGCAAGGGGCACGTGCATGATCATGCGGCACCGAAGGGATCGCGTGACGACGGGGTTGAGGATGGCGTCCTGGACGAAAACTTCATGCACAACCTGATGCACGGAGGTCTCGAGAAACACGAGCACGATGACTCACGGTTGAAGAAAGAGAAAGCGATTCGTCCTCGGGATCTGGAAAACTTGGGCCTGGACAAAAGCTTGTTGAAAGGTCTTGACCTGAAGAAGATGATCCAAGATGATATGGAGGAATATAATAAGTAAATAATGTTCTTACTTGGTGTGAGTGAGTGAGTGGACAATCTGCCAACTTCCAACAACTTGATTTGTTTGTTTATCACCGCACCTAGCAATATTCCAGCTATATGGTGGCGGTCTGTAAATAATCGAATCGAGAACAAAACATCCAGTGATCAACAGCATGAACCTTGAACTATGCAGTTGGGATACGATGACGTGTGTCAACCAAGTCAGCGAGTCTGACCTGTTAGTCGCCTCTCCCTCTCACATATTGTCCAAGTACAAGAACAATCGAAATTCCCTTTTCCGATCATGCTGTGCTATGTCCTACAAGGCCCATCTATACGTTGATAATTAATTATCTTGGTCTGAGAGGTGAGGTGAGGTGAGGTGAAAATGGGTTTTACGTCGTGCTTGAGAATATTTCGCTCATATGACGACGTGCATGCGTGTGTATGTGTCTGTGCGGCTGCTTGTACTAGCCCAGACTTTATGGTTTTATAGTGCTAGCCCACTGAGATACAATGCCGCAGTGAAGCATGAATATCCCACTCAGACACATTATACTGACTCCGAGCCGACCAGTCCTTGTTGTACCCATTAATGCCGAGCGCCAGGCAGGGACCAACAAGTACCATGTTTTAACGTCTTTTGGTCTGACACGGTCGGGGATCGAACTCGCGACCTTTCGCTCTCCGGGCGGACGCTCTAACCACTACACCACGGAGGCGGTCCTACTTCAGGACATAGATCTATTTTTGAGAACTGCCATTTAACAAAACTTCCTTTCAGGACAAATTGGATGGAATTGTTTCTGTTTCTCTCAGTTACTTCAAGATCATTTTCAGTGATCCACTGTGCCGATAAAAGGTATTGCAGCCTAGTTCAGAAGATCTTTGACAAACGTATGTTGCCTAAAGAATCAAAAGTCACTCACCAAGACGTTTCTCATACCTAAATCCCGTTTCAATCTTTGAGAATCTTCAAAAGCATTTAACAACTCTGGACCGGTTAAACACAATCGGGGACAGTGGGGTAACCCAGTGGTTAAAGCGTTCGCTCGTCCCACCGAAGACCCGGGTTCGATTCCCCACTTGGGTACAATGTGTGAAGACCATTTCTGGGGTACCGTGACATTGCTGGAATATTGCTAAAAGCGGCGTAAAACTAAATTCACTCACTCACTAAGCACAATATGAGTTAAAGATGCATATATTTTCCTCAGATTCATATCGGAGAAAGGCGGGGATGATGACTCGATGTGGAACATCTTCAACAGCTTCCAATTCCGCTACTTCAAGAACGGCGAGGACATCGACGACATCAGCTCCCGGCAGCCTGTAGACGAGTGGGATGACTCTGTGATAACCCCTGTTGCCAAGGGGGACGACGGCATCAACCACAAACATCCGTAACACGACACGTCAGCGATCTGAAAACGTTTTTTGTTGATATGAGCTTCCGCTTTCAATGCAAATATTCAGTTTACTTTACCAATGTTAACAGATGAGTAAGTTGATAGGTTTATGAAGACAAAACTTACTGATTCTTATGTTAGATACGTATGATAATTGCATCTTTACGTAAGCGTACACAATAGATGAAGTCTGTATATACAAAGGACCTAAATCCGTTATGACCGCGTCTGGTCTTGGCTGAGACTTTATAGGATATTATTGATGTGAGATATCGCGTAATTTATAGTTTGACATAAAAAATAGAAGTGTTTAAATTCGTCATATGATATCCAAACAGCCCATTGATCCGGCATTCAGTCTTGAGACATTACGCCTTCATGAAAGAGATGAAAGTACTTTGTTGACTCTTAGGAAGTTTTTTTCAGATTCGTAATGTACAGGTGAAATGGACTGCGATGACGAAGTGAAGGTGTTCATGAAGTGTGTAAATATTGTTACATCCGGGTAAATACGGTATGGGTTTGTGGCTTCTTGCTAACTGCTTACCTTGAGATAACAGAGGGACATTTCTTATTGATAGACTTCTAACATAACTTCTTTTCTCGTAACTTCTTTTTTGCAAAGATGCATCTTTTGCAATAAAGAAGTTATATATCCATAAAAAGTGTTCCTTTTTATCATAGCAGCTAGTAAATGCCACAAAGAAGTTACTGACAGAGAACTTTCCTCGTCCAGGCTTATAAGTGTGATGTTACACTGTGATATTATACAGTATATGTGATGGTGACTGAATATATATACATGATCAACTTGTGACACCAAGATCTGTACCAGCTCAGCCCGGTACTTACTGTGTTTCAAACGGCTATGTATATGGTGTATCTGTAGCTGATTTACGTGATCAAACCAAAGTTTTAATGTTCTTTAAAATTGCTGGTCGAATTACAACAGTACATCCCCCATTGGGGAATATATAGAATATTGGCGTACATGCACAGTTCCATCTTGTGTCTGTATTATAGTGTGTGAATAAATGTATATATTTATTTTATTGGTTGTTGTTGTTGTTGTTGTTGTTGTTGTTGTTGTTGATGATGATGATGATGATATTGTTATCGTCGAATTACGGACGGCCCTGTTTGTGATTACTTCCACACACATTTTATATACTCCGAAAATGTCTTGTTTTTTTGGTTTTTGACGAGACAACATATGAATGTTTTTTCATCACCCCAAAACCCATAACACAAGGATACTATTATTGTTGGTGGTGGTAGATATTGGCCCAAAGTGTAAACTTGTTGTGAACGTTTTCTTTGGTCCTGGTGAGTGAGTGAATATTTAAGCTGCCGATATTGTGGTCGGGCAACCTAATCCGCCGGCAGCTAAACAACTAGGAGCTTCAGAAGTCGCCGGTTCGATTCCCAAATTCACGGGTGCAATATGTGAAGTTCATTTTTAGTGTGATTATCGCTAAACTATTACCCAAAGCGGTGTGTTCGGACACAAAATGGGAAATTGGTACCTATTCTGTTCCTTCGAAACATAAACAGGTTTGTACCGCAGGCTGATGAAGTAAAAATGTCAGTGGAAGGAGAAACCGACTGTTGTGTAGATCGCTTATGCTATCATAGAATAATCCTCGGATTCTCTAACTGGTTGTACCTAAGGGACCGTTCATAATTTATGGCTAGGGGGGTGATGATGATTTTAAGGGGTCACCCGTTTTGTTCTGGGGTGGGGGTGGTCAGCAACTTTGTACACACGTAGAGCTGAAACATATTTGTCTCACAATGGATCCACCACGGAATCCAGTTCAAACCTCCGATCGTTTTCACACGCAATGAAACGTAGACACCGTGTTGCCAATAGCAACCACGTAGAAAACCGAAAGTGATCACAGAATAGTTCGCAGCATGCAATCGATAGTTCAAAAGTCCCTGGAAAGTATTATACGGCCCCTGTCAATGACGGATCAGTATATCTTGTAGAACGTCACTGCTGGTCATTGATTGGCTGAGCGTTTCAATTGTTCACGCAGTCACAGCTGTGCATGGTGTATTCAAGTTCAAATCCACGCCCGTCTCATTTATCACAAAGACAAATGAACACTGAGCACTTGTTTACACACAAGCTTCAAATAACAATCTCCTCGCAGAGTACTGTTTACAATCACGACAAAACTGAACAGGTTTTAAAAAATTGTGTTAGAGCATCACATGACAGAAAGTGAAAACGCATATGTCCTGAATGTTATATCAAACAAAATAACGTAAATAGATTTTCAAATCGGAAAAAGACTTGGAATCTGGCAATAGTTCTTTCTTGCTCCAGGAACAGTTTGTCACGAAAAACTTTTACTAAAAGGATACAATTGTTTTTAGCTTCAAACCATTTGTGCATGACAGGGAACATGCTATCCTGAACGACGTATATTAAACATAATAACTTGATGTAGTGTTTCTATCGGCAAAAAATGAAACTGGCAATAGTTCATTTTGTTCCAGAAACAGCTTAGGACATAGGATTTGACTTCAATGTGTCTTGCCGTAATGACCGATTTGTGTCATAGCAGTATTTGAGGGCGTTATCAGCATCCTCCAGATACTGCCCCTCGTCTCACCACTGAAAGGCCCCACAATGTGTTACCGCCAAGTCAATATCACATGGTAATTTTTAATCGTTTATGTTCATCGATATACGTTCTGAACGAGTCCGGCTCCCGTCCACTGCCACACCGGATCGACGTCGTCGGCATCGTCGTGGCAGAGATGTGGTGGCGGATACTTGTAGTGAGCTCCATCCTTTCTTTGGTCATCTTCACAGTGGACGCAGGTGAGTTGTACCTGATGTTAATGCCAATTCAGGTTGAAGGCGTAAAGTGAAGGTCAGGTGTATTGTGAGGTTATCGCAGTGACCGAAAATTCCCAGGTATAACTGTATCACAATTCGTAAGGTTTCTGCTGGCGAATATATTGCAATACTTTCGCTAGTTGTAATACCAGTAGCATTTATATTTTTCAAATGAAACGTTTGGACAAGAATGGTAAAATTAACTGATGAAGTCGTTTACAATAATGAAAAGAAGTTAAAATCACGCCCGAGTTTTCTTATTACTATGAGGAATACAGATTACCTACTTTATCACGAAACACCGGATGTTCTTTAACTTCATTTAAACGTTGAAATTAGGGTGTCACTGAACATCTTCGGGTAACCAGTGTATTATGTCTCAATTCTGTTATAAGTACCCTGGCCTATTTCCTTCATTTAGTCTGGAGGCAACTTTACTCCTTCAGTTATTCCTTTGGGAGACGTAAGTGATGCTTTGTTTTTAGTTCCACCCAGGCTGTTTGTTTGTTTGAACATATTCTATTCAGCATTGAAAAGGATTGAGCACAAGTTATTCAACCTATTAAAGCCCTCTCGCGACAATTACATGGAAAAAATAGTTCTGGGACGGGTGGGTAATGAGTTGGACCCGGGTACCCGTCTCAATACCCGGACCCGTTATGATCATGTGACTAATTCATTAAACAGTGTAATATATTATTCTTTCATGATTAGAAGGTTGTATTGTCTTTGAATATTTAGACATAATTGTGCAGTCACCTGTTTTGAATATAATACGTTAAGATATTGAAGAACTCGAAATTGTAGCCTCTGATCTGAAGAATATATTGCCATTTCTTACAAATTTGATGTCAGGAATTAATATAACGGGTATCCGGGTAGGGTAATAGTGGGTGGGGTACCCAGGTAGAAATTTTGGACCCGTCCCAGCCCTAGAAAAAATGCATGTAGTGGACAATGAACAGAGACAAGACATATAGTAGTCGAAACACTTACTACGTACAATGAATTTATGGACTTCATTTATTGTGGCAGACTAAGGCTGCCGTACAGAATGGTGTTAATATCTAAGCTAACTTTTAGGATTTCAAATCAAACCGGCAGCTGACATACTTTGGACATTTTAAAAAGAAATGATTGGCATCTCCCACCAGAGCAAAGGCAAGCTTTGCTTTCAGATATATTGACACGAAACAGATCAGCATTCAAAGAACTACTTGAAGGTCTTATCCTACTGTGTAGACTATTTATCTTCCTTTCACCAAATAGGAAATATTTAGGATTTTTCTTTTCATATAATTTAAATTTTAATGATGGTAATGATTTGGTACATTTTATTGTGAAGGAGAAATTATTCTATAAATAAGCACGATCATAGAGAAATGACTTTTGAAGAACTGTGTTTGGAAACTTTAGACTTATTACGCAAATTGTATTGAGAAATAGATTCAGTAGATGGTGGATTTAGTCTATAAGATAATCAGGAACTTGCATGTTAATATGTTTGTAAAAGGTACAAAGTTTCAGACTGTATTGACAACCTCTTGAAAAGTTCATGTCTTCCTCCCTGTTTCCACAGAAGATGTTGCTCCAGACAACCGTCTGAAATTCGAACCTAACTCAGAATACCAAAAAGAGAATGAAACCCTGCAGAAAAGTATCTTGTACCCCGCACCCCTTCACATAGAGCGCCATGTCGAGGGGGAAATCGAAATAGTGGAATCGGTGCATGAGAGTAATCTCGAGTTTCACCAGGAGACGCTGCAAGAGGTTGACCAAACCAGACACTCTGCAATACCAGAGTCTGACGCAGACGAACACATCAAACAAGTGGCAAAGGACTCGACAACCCATGCCCGGGTAACAGAACCACAGAACATCGACGATCTGTTGCTGCCGGAGGATGTGGTGCAAACTGACGTCCATCAACTCGAAGACAGTCAAGAGGTCGAGGTCACGCCAAGGTCAGATGGAGGAGCAGACGAAGGCGATGTCAGTAACATTGAGCTGCTTCGACGAAGTGACAGGAGCAGGGCGGGTGAGACGAAGTATTCGGAGCGGGTTTTCGTCAAGGCAATCCCGCCATCCCCTGAAATCAACGACTTCCCAGTTGTTGAAGCTCACCATGACGAAGAAGAGGCGTTCGTCAGCGACATAGTGTTTCTTGACAACCCCAGCCACGAGCATGTTGTCCATCAAAATAAGGACTACGCGAGGGTTGTGTTCCATGATGAAATGTGACCTTCGCCCCGACAAAAGGACACTCAATGTGGCATTACTAACATTATGATCCAGTTCCTCAGCTGAATTACAAATAAATGTACAAAGACCCACGCTTAGTCTCTGAATATATATAGTCCAGTCTGTGTATCTGAATATGGCTGATAAGGCATTTCCCAGCCTTGGCCCTCGTGTACAAAGAAATCTTAGCGCTGACACTCGTTTGGTATATGCTAAAATATGGGTTCTACGGTTGTTTAAGCCTAAGACTGCTTTGCCAAAGCGTCACTAGCACAATGCAATGTATTTTAGTGTTTTGTGCGTTTGCAGTTTTGTTTCAATCCACCACATTTGTGGAGGTACTACAGTACTGGAAGTCCTTGGTCCTCTGTTTCACCACGTGGATATGCTGTCATGTTCAATGGGCTGTGTGAGAAGCTGGCTAACTGATGGTATACAGAAATTCACCCTGGGTCCGAAACGAGGGCACCTATGACCTAAAAACCCATTAGAAGGGTGGTAGTACTGTACATGTCATCAAGTTCTGAATGGCTGGTTTTCAATACATACACCCAGGGTTAGTTACACCCTGTCGTTGCAGCACTGTAGACCAAGTGGTCCCTTCACTGAGGGTGCCCTGATTATGATTCTTTGATTAGTCAGCATCTCACCTGTGCTTGTGTTTTCCAGCACTGTTTCCGTGGTCAACGTATGCAACCTTGCATCAACTCGAGTATTCCATCATCATTAAGCTGAATTTTTCCAATACTGAAATACTCACTTGCTGAATCTGGAGATTAATGATGCCTCCTACAAAGACTGACGTTTGATAGATGAAATTGATGGGCGAATACTTTACTTTTACTGACTGACTGACTGAGTTTAGTTTTACGCCGCTTTTAGCAATATTCCAGCAATATCACGGTTGGGGACACCAGAAATGGGCTTAACACATTGTGCCCATGTGGGGAATCGAACCCGGGTCTTCGGCGTGACGAGCCAACGCTTTAACCACTAGGCTACCCCACCGCACTTTTACTAGATCCAGTAATAGTCGCATACCAACCAATCCAACCGCCATCTTCGGGACTTTTCAAAGCATATTAATCATAAACTAAATAGGTTGGTGATGTTTTCAATACAACTAATACACAATTGACAAATCTTTCGCTTGGAAAACTAAATTGTGATCCAAATCAGTCCTACTAATTCTAAATTCCAAAAATATGTATGCACAATTGTTGTCTGTACACTATATGGTACAATCATCCTCATTGCCACAGCACCATTCAATTTGTAAGGGTAGCCAGGCAACCTAGTGGCTACAGTGTTTGTTCACCACATTGAGGACTGTCAGTGAGTGAGAGTGTGAGTAAGATTTTATGCTGCTTTTAGCAATCTGACAGCAGACCTTCCACTCTCCAGCGGACGCTCTAACCACTACACCACGGAGGCGGTTCAATTGAAACCTGTGAATCAACAGACTTCGAGATCAGATATATAACACCATATACATCCCTGTGTGTGTCCAACAATAGTCACTCACCTTATACATCAGAGAAACACCAAGACAAAAATCAAAATTATGTTTTATTATATGTAATATATACATGCATGACTATGTCTAAATTAGTATATACAATCACAGTTATGAAATACATTGGATCATAGGATGTAATCACTGTCAACTATACAGACTATAACAAATCCATAAAATATAGCCTCACAACAATGTACCCAACTCCATTATCCATTGTATTAAATCTCTGTTGATACAGAGCTATAGGCTGGATAACGGAGGCTGGCGTAGCTTGCTTATATCACAACAACTGATATGATGCATGTATATAGAGATATGAGAAGTAGACACAAAATCAATTAGTATGGCTTCTAACAAGCGTTATCTGTGACATGTCATCAGATGGATCTGACCCTGCCATAGATGGTTCACTCCCATAAGACACACCTCCCATAAGACAGACTTAATGAGTACACTAATTAGCTGAGCCATGCTGTCCACCCCTATTTAATTAATGAGCTGACCCAGAGTGACTACAGAGTATATATAGTAACAACACACTCCTATCTCCTGTGCCCTTCACAAAACATATTACTAATCCTTTTACTGAACAGAACAGAATAGAACCGAAATTTAATTCTCCAAAATCACATATAGTGACACAGAGAACATACAACATATTGATACATTTTATAACATTATTAAACAAAGTCCAGTTTTGATAAATTTGGCAACTTTAGAGAGTAAGCGTTGAATAATCACTTTTCATTAGATAAACATTTTTTTCAATAGTAGGATGTTTACAGAACTAATAAAAAATGAAGTTCATCACAGACATCGAACTTCACACTATGCATAAGCTCACCTCAATAAGCTCAATTACATGTTCGAGGCCAGTTACATCATGTTCATAAAGAAAACACTCAAGATCATGCAAGTATAAATAACTGGAGAATAGGACGTTTTTATAACAGTTGTCGAATTAGTTTTTTGCAAATAACTGGAGAACAGGATGTTTTTAGTACTTAAGATTATTTGAAGATGAAAGTGAAATGGTATTTATAAAAGTCAGTATAAACAAAGTATATAACTGGAGAACAGGATGTTTTCTAATAGCTATTTTTCACATGACTTTTTTTCCATGACTTTTTTTTCTATGACATTTTCCGATCACCCTTCTAGATGGCTTCCTGTATGCCAAGAACAAGGTGAAAGGAAAAAAGTAATGATGTTCAAGTGACTTTCTAATAAGTCTTGTCTGTGCACTCACAAACATGTGATGTAAAATAACACGGTGCTTGGTCTCATATGTTTCATACGTACATGTATATAAATTATTGTTTTTGATAATATTTACAAGTAAATGTGATCTGGCAAATATATGTTGATGTACATATATGTTGATGCAATATGTCTTAATTTAAAAATCATAATGATTACATGAATTGATAAAACTATAGTTAATACCTAATGTTGTCTTTTTTATCTGGGCACATACCATTATTATCAAGGGTACAGCTTAATTAAGCCTTATGCAACCAACCATAAAATGTGTTGTTTTAAGCGGTCTGTCTTTTGGGAGGTCTGTCTTATGGGAAGATACCTGACACTATCACCAACAGAAAACAAATGCAAATCAAGTCTTGCACCTTAATGATTAGATCATGCTTAAATCATACCCTTCTTGCCATCAATCAAATAAACTGTAAAATAAATCATGCATTGAAGTACACACTCCGGCCATGAAATGTTTTTCAATATATAATATCAACATATGTATCACTCTATTCTAAGAGCAACATATTCACAATTAAAACTTTAATATCAGCAAAAATACATCTCTATCTCCCAGAATCGTATATCCACATCAAGTGAACAAATATGGTTTTACGCCACTTTTCGCAAAATTCCAGCAATATCACAGCTGGGGACACCAGATATGGGTTCACACGTTGTACCCACGTGGGGAATCAAACCCGGGTTTTCAGTGTGATGAGCCAATGATTTTCCCCCTAGGCTACCCCACTACCACCCACTTCAAGTCCTTGTATTTATAAGGGGTGGTGGGGTAGCCTAGTTGTTAAAGCGTTGGCTCATCACGCCGAAGACCTGGGTTCAATTCCACATAGGTACAATGTGTGAAGCCCATTTCTGGTGTCCCCGGACGTGATGTTGCTGGAATATTGCTTAAAGCAGTGAAAACCAAACTCAGTCACTTGTATATGTGAGTTAAAATTTAAAGTCACATCGGCAGTATTTCAGCCATATTGTGACTTATAAACAGAAAGAATGCATAAGTATAAGTATAAACATCAAACTACTTATTGTTATTAACAGAGAGCATATCATGCAAGCAAGCATCGGAGTAGGCCATTTGCTTTGTTTTGTTAAAACTCTGAATGCAAGCATGAACTGAACACATTTGAACAATGGAAGGTCATGACATTGCAAGGGAGGTAACTGTTGATGACTTCTTGGTTTTCATTTAATTCTGAGGATAACCTGCGAAAACAGTACGGACCCTTGTTTCTTTTCTGTTTTATGAAATACATGTGAATCTGCTCTGGTATTTCAACAAACAAAACCATCGTGCTATACTTATAAGGACATCATGAAATCACAGTTACTGATTATGTTTAGATAAGGCAATAGATTTTCTCTGCAACTGCAATACAATCACTTACACAACTAATTCAATAATGTGATGAGAATATACTCTTGACAACAGCTAAGAAATCTTTATTTGGGACAAAAATATTTCAATATGTATGCAAAATATATTGAGGGACTGGATGGAGTTTTAAAGGTGGATATACAATTCATATGATAAAATATCATCCATGGATTTTCACAGATTATGCAAACATTAATACACTGATTATGCAGGGTGACAATACAGGTATGAAATACATCAAAATATAGAACATCACAAACTCTGACGCCATTTCATACTGATAAAATACACTTGGGAGCCGCACTGGTTTGATGTATGTGGATGGATATTTAAAATACATTGGAATTCATATGCAAGGACTGTGTGATAAACTACCATTTATAACACTGGATTCATCCTTAACACCTGATATGGCATTATGCAAGCTTATAATAAATGGAGGGTAAATCATCACAACTTCTTTCAGTACTGACTGATGAGGCCAGAACACAAACAGCTAACGCCTTCTATCCAAAACACATGTGGTTCAATTGTAAAAAATATTTTCTCTGGTTTCATATCCCGGAAATGAAAAGTAGACTTGTCATCAAATCACACAGGAATACTTTACTTTTTCAATTCTGAAAAGCTACATTGCTCACAAACTAGCTGATAGGAGCAAGTTTCTCTCATCCAGGTTAGCAAATTATATAGCACACAGTATACCATCACCAAACAGTTCCACTTACCATTGAGGCATTGAATACTTATTGTGAGGATCAAGTTTCCCTTATCTATATGATTAAATATGCCTCCACTTTGAAATAGTCAGTCTCAAAAAAACATATGAACCTGAATTCCTCTCTTCACATTTAGGTTGTCTCTGTCAACGTCAGTATTTTCTGTCTTATGTAGATGTCAAGGTCAAGGTCAGTATTTCTTCTCTTCATCTTGATGTCAAGGTCAGTATTTCCTCTCTTCATCTTGATGTCAAGGACGAGGTCAGAGTTTCCTCTCTTCATCTTGATGGTATCAAGGTGAAAGTCAGTAGTTTCTCTGTTCAACTTAATGTTGTCAAGGTCACGGGCAGTATTTCCTCTCTTCATCAAGATGTCAAGGTAAAACTTTCATTTCTCCAACCGTGTGGTGTCAATGTCAACAGTTCTTCAAGTAGATGTATGGAAGACAAGGTATTTCCTCCTTGTCTTGTTGTCAAAGTCAGTCATCATGTATTTCTTCAACAGAATGGAGAGGTCAAATTATCTTCCCTCCATCTAAATGTTGTCAAGGTCAAGTTCTTCATCAGAGCTGACATCTGTGATGAAGGAACTCTTCGATGTGGACGCTCGGTTGTGTGCTGTGCTGGCCGCTGGAAAAGACATCATATTTGTATAATGGCATATTATATTTACCCCCGCCCATATAATCATGTTTTTTTTCTCACGAAAACACCCCAATCAATAGTTTTATCCTGTTGGGTACGTGCAGAAAATCCATTAACACATGTACGTGGTCTGCAATCTGCTGATATGCCCCTACCTTTAGATGAAGATCCCCAGACACTGGTGCCATACGTGTTGGTGGAGAAATCGGTCTCTGCATGGCTGCCACGGTTACTGTTCCTTGTTGGTGGACGTCTGTAATATTGTAACACCAAGATACACCAGGGAACAAGCACTAACTGCTGCCATTAACAGGGAAACTCCACACTCTGCTTCTGAACAGATTTCACATGTTAAGATATTGGCTCTTATAGGCAAATCATTTTTTACTTCGAGTCAGCACCAAGGATTTCGATGTCTTTTTTATTTGCATTTTATTACTCCAGAAAATGATATAAAATATTGCCACATGCTGTTCACACATTTTAATAAAATTTGATTTGAGAATTGTCAGAAAAATATTCATGCAGTGAAAAGTCATGTGAATCATGAAATGGGCTGAAATGATCCACCCCAGCAGACAACTGGGCTTGTAAAACCCTACAGTACCCTCTAGTGACCCCTGTGACAAGAATCCTAACAATTCAGGTATGAAATCTCACTTCAGTCCTCTCTGAGGTTCCTCATCCTCAACAGGAGACACATCCCAGTCACTGCCGTCAATGTCCTCCTGGAAACAAACAGAAACAAAAAACATAAGAAATACTTGACCTCTGACACTGTGTAACATGCTAATTATTGTATTGTGAAGAGACTATCATGATTTCAGTGCATCCATCTACAATCAGTATAAGCAGATATACTGGTCTGCATGATACAGACTGAACCAGACACAACATACCAGCATACCAGTCAGGTCACCCACTGGTACGAGCACATCTATAAGGTCTGAGGAATGAGGTCTGCATCATGCAGACTGAACCAGACACAACATACCAGCATACCAGTCAGGTCACCCACTGGTACGAGCACATCTATAAGGTCTGAGGTACGAGGTCTGCATCATGCAGACTGAACCAGACACAACATACCAGCATACCAGTCAGGTCACCCACTGCGAGCACATCTATAAGGTCTGAGGTACGAGGTCTGCATCAAGCAGACTGAACCAGACACAACATACCAGCACCAGTCAGGTCACCCACTGGTACAAGCACATCTATAAGGTCTGAGGTATGAGGTCTGCATCATGCAGACTGAACCAGACACAACATACCAGCATACCAGTCAGGTCACCCACTGGTACGAGCACATCTATAAGGTCTGAGGAATGAGGTCTGCATCATGCAGACTGAACCAGACACAACATACCAGCATACCAGTCAGGTCACCCACTGGTACGAGCACATCTATAAGGTCTGAGGTATGAGGTCTGCAAGATGCAGACTGAACCAGACACCACATACCAACATACTACAATCAGGTCATGTATGAGCATATCTATAAGATCTGCAAGATGCAGACTGAACCAGACACCACATACCAACATACTACAATCAGGTCATGTATGAGCATATCTATAAGATCTGCAAGATGCAGATTGAACAAGACACCACATACCAACATACCACAATCAGGTCATGTATCATGTATGAGCATATCTATAAGATCTGCAAGATGCAGACTGAACAAGACACGACATACCAACATACCACAATCAGGTCATGTATGAGCATATCCATAAGGTCTGCAAGATGCAGACTGAACCAGACACTACATACCACAATCAGGTCATGTATGAGCATATCTATAAGATCTGCAAGATGCAGACTGAACCAGACACCACATACCAACATACCACATTTAGGTCATGTATCATGTATGAGCATATCTATAAGATCTGCAAGATGCAAAAAGAACAAGACACCACATACCAACATACCACAATCAGGTCATGTATGAGCATATCTATAAGATCTGCAAGATGCAGAAAGAACAAGACACCACATACCAACATACCACAATCAGGTCATGTATGAGCATATCTATAAGATCTGCAAGATGCAGAAAGAACAAGACCACCAATACCACAATCAGGTCATGTATGAGTATATCTATAAGATCTGCAAGATGCAAACTGAACCAGACACAACATACCACAATCAGGTCATGTATGAGCATATCTATAAGGTCTGCAAGATGCAGAAAGAACATGACACCACATACCAACATACCACAATCAGGTCATGTATGAGCATATCTATAAGGTCTGCAAGATGCAGACTGAACCAGACACCACATACCAACATACCACAATCAGGTCATGTATGAGCATATCTATAAGGTCTGCAAGATGCAGACTGAACCAGGAACCACATACCAACGTACCACAATCAGGTCATGTATGAGCATATCTATAAGGTCTGCAAGATGCAGAAAGAACAAGACACCACATACCAACATACCACAATCAGGTCATGTATGAGCATATCTATAAGGTCTGCAAGATGCAGACTGAACCGGACACCACATACCAACATACCACAATCAGGTCATGTATGAGCATATCTATAAGGTCTGCAAGATGCAGACTGAACCAGGAACCACATACCAACGTACCACAATCAGGTCATGTATGAGCATATCTATAAGGTCTGCAAGATGCAGAAAGAACAAGACACCACATACCAACATACCACAATCAGGTCATATCTATAAGGTCTGCAAGATGCAGACTGAACCAGACACCACATACCAACATACCACAATCAGGTCATGTATGAGCATATCTATAAGGTCTGCAAGATGCTTACTGAACCGGACACCACATACCAACATACCACAATCAGGTCATGTATGAGCATATCTATAAGGTCTGCAAGATGCAGACTGAACCAGGAACCACATACCAACGTACCACAATCAGGTCATGTATGAGCATATCTATAAGGTCTGCAAGATGCAGAAAGAACAAGACACCACATACCAACATACCACAATCAGGTTATGTATGAGCATATCTATAAGGTCTGCAAGATGCAGACTGAACCAGGAACCACATACCAACATACCACAGACAGGTCACCTACCAGGATATCTACATTATTGGTCTTCTTTCCCCCAGTTCTCTCCATCGTGTCCACACCTCCGAATGGCTTGTCTCCCTTCTTCCTCCCCTAAAAGAAAAATGGCAACATCAGATTCATATCCATACCAGAAAGGTTAATTCTAAAACCTATATTACAATAATTTTGGGGAAAGAAAACATGTTCAAATATTCAGCAGATATTTTGGCAGGTACTTTCTGAATACATGGTTAACAGGCCTGTTTAAAGTTCATTCTGTGTTCACAGACATGGTGGTGAAAACATTAACATTGAAGTGAATTAAACAAACTGCTAGATGGGAATGACAAGTCAAATGGTATATCTTTCCCAAATAATACTCCCTCTAGTTTTCACTGTCTTAGCCAGAAGGTACAAAAAAGGATGTTTTCAGCATTTCAATGTTTTTTCACATTTGCACAAACCCTTAGACAGCTCCAGCTAACAGAAAGAACTTACCACAAGTTGTGACTCTATTGACCGGGAGAGCTCCGACACTTTCTGCCCCTTTGGCTGAGACATGATGACCCGGGTCTTGACCGGTGCAGGTTTCGGGGTTACCATGCTGAAACACAGGGGATGGGTACATACTAAAAACTCTTATTGTCATGAAAACAAACACTCAAGATACATTTCAGTTTTGTTTGGGTAAATGGGTGGGTTTTAACAGGTGAGTGAGTTTTAATCCAGAGGGAGTAATTCATTTATTTCACAGAATAATGTGTGAGCGTAACTCAACAGTGAGTTGATGACGGCAGAACTGGTATCACATTACAATTTATTGGAGATTTAAACCATTGACAGAGTATCATGCAACAGCTAGCTGACACAATCTGGCCTACATTTTAAATTAGCAGGATGCTTCATGAATTGTGTGGGGGCGGTGGGGTAGCCTAATGGTTTTCAGCGTTTGCTCATCCCCACCAAGACCGGGTTTCAATCCCAATATGGGTACAATGTGTGAAGCCCATTTCTGGTGTCCCCCGCCGTGATGTTGCTGGAATATTGCTAAAAACCGGCGTAAAACTAAACCCGGGTCTTCAACGTGACAAGCGAACGTTTAACCACAAGGCTACTCCACCATCACCACCTATGTTCACAGTAGAGGAGTCAATAAAAGTTAACGTACTGGATTAAATTCATCTAATGCCATAACTGATTAAACAAAACATCTCCCATAACAATTTAGTTTCCATGGATACGTTCTGACATGCAGTAGCAGCATCAGCTCACCTCTCTGAATCATCCCAGTCATCGTCATCAATGTCATGTAGGGGCCTTGACTGAATCACTTGACCTCGGGGGCGAGGACTTGGGGAGGGAGCTGGCTGGCGGTTAGACTTGGAAGGTGTCACCATAATTGGTTGGCCTCTTCCTCCCACCTCTTCTTCCTCTGACTCTTCCTCTGAATCCCACTGAGTGCTGGTCCATTCAGTCGTGGAGCTGAAGAGTATACAGCCTTCATGAAATATCATTCAAATGTCTGTACAAAATACGTTTGCTAACCCTTTGTTTAGATGTGTTAAAAGGATTTGAGCAAGTGAAAATACATGTTTAACAAGTTAATGTATTTAATATCATATGAAACATACTGCTAACACATTTGTAATTCTGCATGTATAAATAAGTGTAATACACCAAAATTGTCAAGTTACCTGTATATATTTACATATTTAATTACTTTAGAGATGTAAGTAGTTTTTATCAGAACATGAAAAAAATCTCTCTTCCTAAATAATGAGTTTGGAGCCAAGTAAACGAAAAAACTACATATGAATTTTAATGACTTTTCTCGATAATGACAAAATAAATAGCAGAAAAATAGTTGCACACAATTATCTTTTACGGCTGAATAATTTTTCCAAAACGCAAATCAGAATTTAATACCTTTGTCATTTTCATAGAAATAAATTGCATGTGTCTCAATGGCATTAGAGGCCACGACCAGTAAAGATCTACCATTTCTTGATTAGATGACAATGGAATAGAATTGCCCTTAGTTCCCTAATAAAGCTAAACAACGGCACTCATTTTGTTTTGCGGTCTGAAGTTTTTGAGTGCTAATTATTGAATACACTTAAAGGCAGCATGTGAGTTGGCTAAAATTTGAACTAACCTGTGGAGGTTACTAGATTCTTTGAATATATTCCTCCTTGGGGTACTTATAAGCATTTAAATGTCCATTTAAAATCCCTACGACAGTTGTAACAATATTTGAATAAAAATATTTACAAATCAAAAACTACGTTTTGTCTTGTGAGACCACCCTTACAGGGCCCTCCGGCCCCCTACAGCCAAGAGCAGGTAACTCTAGACCGTAACCTCGTACCTCACTTTCCATGCTGAACGAAGTCAGACAGAATGTGGGGAGGTGGGCGTATGTACCCCAAGGAGGAATATATTCAAAGAATCTGAAACCTCTACAGGTTAGTTCGATTCTTTTTTATATATTCCTCCTTGGGGTACTTATAAGCATAAGACAGACTCCTAAAGACGGAGCTAAGGAGTGGCATTCTGTCTGCATAAAACACCCCCGACAAGAAGTGGAATTTCCCAAGCTAAATATAGCAGAAAAAAGCTCACTTACCCGGTCACTTGTCCACCATAGCCAATCAGGCGGGGGCATGAGCCAGGGTCAGGGTCGAACATATGATAATTGCCCAGCGAAACCTCGCTAATGCAAACAAACGAGATAAACCCTCCCTCTCTCCCGTAATCAATCGGAAGCGAAGATAAGGGGTCCCGCAATAAGCCGCCAGAAAAAAAATGCCGTAATATATATATTAAGCAAAGTTTCCAAGGCCAGTAAGTCTAGAGCAGAATGCAAAAGACATGGGAATAAAAACCATCACCACATAAAACCTGTCACCAAGGGGATATGTAAACAAGATTTTTAAAACCCAACACCAGTGTTAAAAAATCGGCATATAATGGTTCACATAATAAAATCCTCGAAAGCTCAATCGGCTAGAGAGGTGGAACCATGCCCACTGGAGAGAACTGACTGACCGAACCAGAGCATGCTCACTGGAGAGTCTGTCAAGTTGGTAATGACGGATGAACGTATTCGGACAGCTCCAAATAGCCGCGGAGCAGATCTCCTCAATGGGCAGGGCTGCAGCGTAAGCTTTCGAAGTAGCAACTGCCCTAACCGAATGAGCTTTCAACCCTACAGGCGGGATACGCCCTGTTTGAGTATAACTCATATGTATGGCAGAGACAAGCCACCGAGAAATGGTTTGCTTGGTCGCCGGAAGACCAGCCTGAACCCCACCATAACAACAAAACAATTGGTTATCCTTACGGGTACCCTTGTTAAGTTTGATATAAGCCTTAAGGGTCTTCACGGACATCTAAGACGTGAGCACGCCGTGTAGAGAGGTACCGGGCAGGAAGGCTGAGTGAAAGCTGGGAGCTCAATAGGGCCGTCACATGGAAGGGACTATCCTTCTTAGGGCCGGTAAGTATCAGGCAGCCGTATGCTAACTCTGTCTTTGTGAAAAACAGTAAGCGCGGGATCGGCCGACATTGCGTGAATATCGCCAACCCGCCTGCCTGAAGTCACCGCCACAAGAAACGCCGTCTTCCACGTCAACAGCTGGAGTGAAAGAGCCGACAGATTGTGAAACAGTGGACCGGACAGCCAATCAAGAACGATTGACAAGTCCCACAGGGGACTAATCCACCGGACAACCGGACGGATTCTGTCCACGCCTGCTAAAAGGCGCTGTACAAGAGGGTGCTGCCCCAAGAGAGCACCATCAACAGGAATATGAAACGCAGAAATAGCCGTAGAATATCCTCGAACAGTTGAAGCCGCTAGACCGGCGTCCAACCGAGACTGGAGGAATTCTAAGACAGAGACTAAATCTGTAGAAAAGGGATCAAGAATCCCCCTGTTGACACATCAGCGCGAATAACAGGCCCATCTATCCTCATATTGAACGTTTGTCGAATCCCTCCGCGAAGCCAGAATTGTGTCTGCAACTGGTGCAGGAATTCAGCTCGCACGGAGGCGATCCCTGACAGCGGCCAAGCCACCCACTGAATCCTGGGATTCGGTGGGGCTCCGCGTTCTGGGATAGGAGGTCCGGTCGAAAAGGTAATACAACAGGAGGCTGAGCCAGAAACCTGAGAATTACCGGAAACCAACTTTGTGCCGACCAAAGGGGTGCCAGAAGCACAAGTAGCCGAGCTGGTTGTTCGGTCAGCTGAGACAGGGCCCTGGAAATCAGTGGTATCGGGGGGAACGCAGTACCCTGTCCGTCCAATCTAGCTGAAAGGCGTGGTTGTCTAGCGCTCTCGGATCCGGAATCCGAGAGCAAAACACAGGAATCTGGTTCGTCACCCCAGACGCAAACAGATCCACCTGGAACGACCCGAACAACTGGGAGATAATCCCGAATATCTCCCGGTCGAGCATCCACTCGTGTGGGGCTAGTATACGCCGTGAGAGTGCATCTGCATGGACGTTGTCTACCCCCGGGAGATAAACAGGCAAAACCCGAATGTTGAACTGATCGCACCACAGTAGAAACTGCCACGCCTTCTGAAGGAGCGACGGAGACACTGTGCCGCCTTGCTTGAGAATGTAAGACATGGCCGTTTGATTGTCCATCTCTAGACGAACCACACGGCCCTGAACAAACACCCGAAAGCTCTCGAACACCCTGCGGACTGCTCTCAGTTCTAACACATTGATGTGTAGGCTGACTTCCCGCTCTGACCAGAGGCCGGAGACTGAGTGCTCACCCAGGCCCCCCCCCCCATCCTGTGAGGGAGGCGTCCGTCTGAACTGAGAGGGAAGGTGTCAGGCTAACTGAGCTGGGATTAGCATAAGTTTGGTGAACACCCTTGGCGCCGTGGAGATGCCGAAGGGGAGCACACGAAACTGGTAGCACGTCCCGTCGAAGGAGAACCGGAGGTACTTCTTGAACTCGGGGTGCATTGGAACATGGAGGTATGCGTCTTTGAGATCGATTGACGTGAGCCAATCCCGTCTCGACGGAGGAGATCACTGACCTGAGTGTCTCCATCCGGGAAGACGGCACCTCCAGTAACTTGTTCAGCCCTCTGAGATTCAGAATGGGTCTGAACCCTCCGTCCTTTTTGGTCACTAGGAAGTAGGGGGAGTAAAACCCCTCTCCTTGCTGACCCACAGGAACCACCTCGATGGCTGCCTTGTCCAGTAAGTCTCGGGAAGTCGGCACAGGAGTGTGCCGAACCCCGGAGAAGGACGGAGGATCTCGCCTCCACTGTGGCAAATGGCCATCCCTGAGCGTGGACAGGACCCAGGGATTTGTGGTGGCTGCCTCCCACTCCCGAAGGAATAGGGACAACCGGCCGCTGACAGGGACGTTTGGTATGAGGCAGTGCACCCCCACAGTCGGCAAGTCTCCGCTTGCATGAGTGGGGGGCAATAAGGGCTCTGGGGAAGGAATCAGCGGGAAGCTGGGGCTGGCTTCCCCCTGCCCCGTAAAGGCTGCTGCGACTGAGCAGGCCTGCCCTTGCCTCTTGCGCGCTTGCTCCGCTTGGCCTGCAAAGGGGCAGTCCACTTTGCAGATTCCTTTGCCGGGCAGAAGGATAGAAGGCGAAGCAGGGGCAGAAGGCCGTTGGCGAGGAACGGAGGGCTGCTCCAACAAAGGCTTAGAGTCTTTGAAGGTAGACACGGCCTCCGCGGCCTCCCGTACAACCTGCAATGCCCCAGTGAACAGGGAGGACCCCATGGTATAAGGCAAAGACAGGAGCTCCTGTTGCGTGGCCGGCGAATACCGCGCCACGGACAACCACAGGCGGCATAAGCCCATAACGGCACCCATCATCTGTCTGGCACAGCACCGAATGCTATCCCGAGCCAGATGAGAGTGGACACCCATTAGCTGACGCGCGAGCACCGGCGCCGACAAGTCGGCGCCACAAGCGCTTTGATCCACCAGCTGTCCCTGCAGAGCAGACAGCTAGGCTGAGTGGACGGCCACTTTTAATTGCTGGGCTGCGCACCGGTAGCACTCCTCGAAGGACCGATACGCAGACCTCAGCGTAAGTGAATTTTTAGGAAAAGGGGGAAGGCGCCTGCCCTGCCTGGCCCAGGCCAGGGAAGACGAGGACGACCCCCCTAGAGTGACGGAAGCGAAGACGCACTCGTCCACCACTGGCGGCTCGAACAGCGCCTCCTCTCCCAACTGGTACCGACTTACCGACGTCGGGCAAATCAAACCGCATGCGGGCGCCAGTCAAGAGAGGATTGACCACCTCACTCACCAGTGATGGCAGAATGCGGAGGCGTGCTTCGGCGACCCGGCTAGGCTCCACGGGATCAGGGCGCCTGTACGGGATCGGACACCTGAGGCAGGACTTCGGCGATCTTATCCCGAACCTGCCGCAGGGACGAGCCAAAGGAGTACGGAACTCCCACCTCCGACTCCTCCCTCCTTTCATCATCCTCCATATCAATCTCGGTACAATCCTCAGCCGCCATACTCTCATACTCCTGAGAGACTGCCGAGGATACACCAGAGGCTGAACAAGAAAGACTCAAAAGATCGAGAGGCGCCAGAGGGAATGAGTCGCCCTGCCGGGTGGAACCCACGCCAGGTCGCCGAGGCGCCCGAGAGGAACCTGCTGCAACAGGTTTCCCGGGCAACCCAGACTGGCTGCCAGTAGTTTTAGGCGTGAAAATCTCACACGCCGGACACCCTTCTTCTTCATGATCAGTCTGCATGAGACATCTCAAACACACCTCACGGGAATGGCAGCGAGGCACGAAGTACAGGATTTAAACTGCAACAAGTAAAAAACCTGTGCAGCAATCTACCCCATACATACATACATATATGAAAAAACACGTATGGGCGACACAACTAATGCAACAAACGTAGCATGCAGTTGATAATAACAAGCAATAAGCACTGCAACATAACTAACAATTACAACTTTTAGCGTAAGATAGAAAATGCAAGCAGTGGAAACAACGCCCTACATGTAACAACACATAAATAAAAATTACTATAACCACGCGTAACATTGAAAAACCACATGGGAAGCCAATGAACAGTGAGGCTAGCGAAGGGACCTGTCCGCCATCTTGACACGCACTCGGCGAGCCGACCGCGACAGGTACCAAGTTACAACTAGAAATTATGAATGAAAAAGTTCAGAACAAGTCTCCAAATCGCCCATGCAGGGAAAAAAGAGAACCACACATACAGTAGCTGTTTCTGAGACACCCATATTCGTGTTGGGAAATTAAAACTTCTTGGAAGTGGACCCACGTCTTGCCAGTAAACGACAGCATGGAAAGTGAGGTACGAGGTTACGGTCTAGAGTTACCTGCTCTTGGCTGTAGGGGGCCGGAGGGCCCTGTAAGGGTGGTCTCACAAGACAAAACGTAGTTTTTGTTTTCTAAATATTTTTATTCAAATATTGTTACAACTGTCGTAGGGATTTTAAATGGACATTTAAATGCTTATAAGTACCCCAAGGAGGAATATATAAAAAAGAATGTTGATGCAGATTTACACAGATCTCACCAGTGTTTACTTGCAAATCTCTAATAACACCTAAAGAAGAAAGTCAGTTCTTATGTGGTAAACACTTACAGAAACACATACACTGACTTACCCAGTTGATTGAAGAGTTCTCTGTGGGGTGGTGGACCGAGGGGCAGGTTTGGGTGGTTTGGGTGGGGAGAAGCCTGGGTTCCTACCCTGGGGCTGGGGGCTCCTGACCCTGGGGCTAGGGGAGCGGGCTGGAGTTTGTGCAGGGGACCTCAATGATGACTGCTGAGATTCTATGTGTGATGAGGGCAGTGAGTGGTTCAGATTGCGAGCTGGAAAACAACAATTAAGTCATTAAAACACCATGTTTACATCAAGAACTGATTTAGCATAGTTTAAAAAATGGCTTACATAATTCGTTGGCATGGTAACACTGTGAAATCACATAAGAGATGATGCATACATCCAACACACATGAAAACCAGCAAATGGCACGGTACTGCTTTTTTCCACTCCAGAAATTTGAACATGTTTTTTCACTTTCATCGTGAGCTTGATTTAGGTTTGCTTTGAGGCAAACTATTTGTCAAAAGTTTTATTTTACTTGTGACCTGGTTTAAACTTGTCTGAGTCAGGCATTGGAAAACAACAATTACTATCTTTAAAACAACTTGTTTACCACACAACAGAATACAGCAAAGTCTCAACTATGTTTAAAAAAAGCTCTGCTAAATGCTTATATATGTGTCACAGGTCTTTAGCTGACAGTGATAATGTCTTATTCAATCAGTTTTACAGATCTGCCATCCCTGAAAGTCAAATGAGGCAAACAAAAAGCACCACAGTGAAGCCCAATTCTTGGAGACTAGGGAAGCATTATGTAATATGGGGAAACATACCATGCATGTCAAATTTATTTTCCTTTGGCAGTTTTAGAATAGAATGAATGAGTGAGTGAGTATGGAGTGAGTCTTATTAATATTCTGGCTAAATCATGGCAGGGGACACCTGAAACGGGAAATCGAACCTGGGTCTACCACGTGACAAATCAACACTTGACCTATCATGCTTCCCTACTACTGCCCCTAAATAGATGTTTACAGATTCACAAATGCATCCAGAGTTAACAGTTTTCTAGGAGATGATTACAGAGCTAAAAATGCATTTTCAGAAAAATTTCTCCGAGGTGCAAAATGCAGAAGTCCAATTCAATGCCCAATTTTATAACAATGTGAAACAAAACGAAAAAGAATAGATGTGTTTAGGCCAAGTACCAATTACCAAATCAGTCCAATAATGGCCAGAACTGTTTTTCAATATGGCTGAAAATTTGATTCAAATGTCCTGAACAAATTTTCATCATCATTAGTGGGAATAAATATATGGAGTTCTAGATTAAACTGTCCAATTGTTTTAGAGGAGACGCTGTTTACAATACGCCACAGACGAGGGAAAAACAGGCCAAACTATCAAGGACAAATTGCATTATGATGCCCACAAGTTCAGCTGTACTCACGTGGCAGTGGGGGGGATGTCTTCATGGCTCTCACTTTCTCAAGTGCCTTCTGTTCGGCAATTCTATCATAATACTGTCGTAGAGCTTCAAAATCAGGGAATTTCTGCAAATACAGATGAAAATGTGGTCATCCTTTGAAAGAGTGAGTTAAAAAGGCAACATTCGTAAAAATCATTGATAAATTTATCCTAACCTACTTTGGCCAGTGAGTGTGTGCGCCTGACAAATACAAATCATACCAACTTTGTCTGGTATTAAAACTACCATGTCAGTTTATAAGTCTTACCCAGTTCAACTAATATTCATACTGATGCCTTTGGAAACAATTATTCCAAAAGTCCAAAAATTTCCGCAGGAAAAATAATTTAGATGAGAAAATATTCCAGAAGCTGTCTTTGAAAATCAGATCCTTGTATAAATATTCCACGGAAAAAAATCTCCAGGGGGAAATTAATATCCTATCAAACCTTCATACTGATATGAATTATCCAGTGAACACAATGGGAAAGTGGGAATTCGTGAGTGGATTTACCACTGATTTTGACCGTATGTCATTAACATCAGTCAGCCAGGGAGGAAGCCTGAAGACATGGAGGTCGACACATTTAACACTTCCTGTGGGACCAACAAGCATGGCTGTAGGTCAAGGGTCATAACAGGACTGAATCTGTGTATCACATCCATCATCTGTAGATACCTGCACAGGGAAGGCAGCTTTGTGTGACCCTTGCACATCCTCTGGCCTTGCACTCACCTTGACATATGACTGTGCCATTTACCAATGTGTCATAACCATATTGAGTGAGTTGGAGATATGACTCACTTTGACATATGACTGAGTCATATAACCATGTGTCATAACCATATTGAGTGAGTGAGTTGGAGATATGACTCACCTTGACATATGACTGAGTCATATAACCATGTGTCATAACCATATTGAGTGAGTGAGTTGGAGATGTGACTCACCTTGACATATGACTGAGTCATATAACCATGTATCATTACCATATTAAGTGAGTTGGAGATATGACTCACCTTGACATATGACTGTCTCTGTGTTTTCATCATGGCCAGCTTGTTGTCAAGGACTTGTTGAGTGATTCCATGTGTGCCCTGAAATCACATGCAAGGAGGAATATTTGTAAGTCTTGTTTCTATTCTTATACCAGAAAAGTGCAGGTTTCTTGAAAAAGGTGATTAAATTGGGCACAGCTAGTAAAATACTATGAGCCACCTAACTGTGCCGACCTATGAACCACCTAACAGTGCCCATCAATGAACCACCAGTGACCATCTGTGAGCCACCTGTGCATGACCCACTTGAGATTATCTTTGACCCACCTTTGCCCATCTTGGAACCACCGAACTGTGCCCATCTAGGAACCACCGAACTGCGCCCAGGAACCACCAAACTGTGCCCATCTAGGAACCAGCGAACTGTGCCCATCTAGGAACCACCAAACTGTGCCCATCTAGGAACCACCGAACTGTGCCCATCTAGGAACCACCAAACCGTGCCCAACTAGGAACCACCGAACTGTGCCCATCTAGGAACCACCTAAAAGTGCCCATCTAGGAACCACCGAACTGTGGAAATGCAATGTGCCCACCTATGAGCTACATAACTGTGCCTATCTATGAGCCACCTGTGCCTATCTATGAGCCGAGTAACTGTGCCCATCTATGAGTCACCTAACTGTTCCCATCTATGAGCTACATAACTGTGCCCATCTATGAACTACATAACTGTGCCCATCTATGAGCCACCTATGCCTATCTATGAGCCGAGTAACTGTGCCCATCTATGAGTCACCTAACTGTTCCCATCTATGAGCTACATAACTGTGCCTATCTATGAGCCACCTGTGCCTATCTATGAGCCGAGTAACTGTGCCCATCTATGAGTCACCTAACTGTTCCCATCTATGAACTACATAACTGTGCCCATCTATGAGCCACCTATGCCTATCTATGAGCCGAGTTACTGTGCCCATCTATGAGTCACCTAACTGTTCCCATCTATGAACTACATAACTGTGCCCATCTATGAGCCACCTATGCCTATCTATGAGCCGAGTAACTGTGCCCATCTGTGAGTCACCTAACTGTTCCCATCTATGAGCTACATAACTGTGCCCATCTATGAGCCACCTAACTGTTCCCATCTATGAGTCACCTATGCCTATCTATGAGCCGAGTTACTGTGCCCATCTATGAGTCACCTAACTGTTCCCATCTATGAGCTACATAACTGTGCCCATCTATGAGCCACCTAACTGTTCCCATCTATGAGCTACCTGTGCCTATGTATGAGCCGAGTAACTGTGCCCATCTATGAGTCACCTAACTGTTCCCATCTATGAGCTACATAACTGTTCCCATCTATGAGCTACATAACTGTGCCCATCTATGAGCCACCTATGCCTATCTATGAGCCGAGTAACTGTGCCCCATCTATGAGTCACCTATGCCTATCTATGAGCCGAGTTACTGTGCCCATCTATGAGTCACCTACCTGTTCCCATCTATGAGCTACATAACTGTGCCCATCTATGAGCCACCTATGCCTATCTATGAGCCGAGTAACTGTGCCCCATCTATGAGTCACCTATGCCTATCTATGAGCCGAGTTACTGTGCCCATCTATGAGTCACCTAACTGTTCCCATCTATGAGTCACCTAACTGTGCCCATCTATGAGTCACCTATGCCTATCTATGAGCCGAGTTACTGTGCCCATCTATGAGTCACCTAACTGTTCCCATCTATGAGTCACCTAACTGTGCCCATCTATGAGTCACCTATGCCTATCTATGAGCCGAGTAACTGTGCCCCATCTATGAGCCACCTATGCCTATCTATGAGCCGAGTAACTGTGCCCATCTATGAGTCACCTAACTGTTCCCATCTATGAGCTACATAACTGTGCCAGTCTACGAGTGACCTAACTGTTCCCATCTATGAACTACCTGTGCCTATGTATGAGCCAAGTAATTGTGGGTGACCTACATGTGGTATTCCTCTCTTGGCCACCTGCTCGTCCAGTAAGGAAGCGAACTCATCATGCATTATCTTCAGGGTGGGGTTCTTCCTCAGCTGTTCCAGGAACTGTGTTGTGCCAAGTGTACGTTCACCCAGTGTGCCTGTCGTTCTATCAGACAAAAACATATTGTGTAGCATCATAACACATGTATGTTCCCCACTATATCCCACTGCAAAGTCGGCTAGATATAAGTTAGTTAGCTGGGTCTTTTCCACACTTTTCTTCTCTGACTGACTGGTTTTATCATGATATTTTTACACTAACAAACTTTAATAGAATAATAGATGGAAGGTGATGAAAGCTATTGTGCAAAACAAGAAAAACGAAATGACATGCAGTCAGGAACTTGAAACAGAGATATTAGTGTGGAGACTTACACTATATCACAGTAACTAAGAAAGCCAAGCTTAATACTGCTTTGAAGTGAGTGAGAGAGTAAGTATGATTTAACGCTGCTTTTAGCAATATTCCAGCAATATCATGGCGGGGGACACCAGACATAGGCTTCATACACTGTACCCATGTGGGATTCAAACTCAGGCCTTCAGACAAACGGACACTTTAACCATTAGGCTAACCCACCGCCCCCTGCTTTGAAGTGGCACAAGTCGTGGATCATTAGATCCATGACTTGACGGCCAGCTGTACAGGAGTGCTCACAGACCAAAGATAAGAGTCAGGGTCAATATAGGGCTCCTCAGAGGATCCTGGCCTGGTTTAAATACTGGTATCCAACTTTGCTGGTTTCACAAGCATTGAAGAACTGTAGGACGATAGTGACAGGGTGAGAGTGAAAGCCGTGTTAGCCTAACAAACTAACATTATGAGATACAGAGAACTAACTGAGTGAGTGCTACTAACCCAAGTGTGCTCTGTAAGGTTTTCCGCCCAGTGTTGCTCATGCTGCCGGTGCCAAACACTGCTCAAGAGAAAATACAGTCAAAGTAACAGTAAGAGCACATACTGCTATTTCCACTAGCTCTTACAGCATGACAAGCATCACGTTAACATGACCTTCCTATCAAAATATGTATCAAATGAGGACCTTACTGTGAGTGAGTGAGTGAGTTTTAGCTTTATGACGCCTTTAGCAATATTCCAGCAATATCATGGCTGGGGGACCCCACACATTGTACCAATGTGGGGAATTGAACCCAGGTCTTTGGCATGACGAAGCGAAAGCTTTAACTACTAGGCTACCCCACCGCCCCGATGACCTTACTGTAAGGATACATATAGAATCACCACCTTACTATAAAGATATGTATTATTTCCATGCTTTAATATCAAGATATGTATAATATCACAACCTTCCTATCAATATATTGCATAGCAGACTTACTTCCAAAACATTATTGTATCCCGATCTTACAATCAAGGTATATTTACAAAGTGTATCACTACAGCTCACCACAGAAGATCCTGCACATCATAACTTACTTGTGCTTTCATCATCTTCTTCACTTGGCACCATGCTCATCATCCTCCCAGGTGACGAGGGGCGTGTGGGACGGGGTGACTTGGGGACAGACAGGTGAGTTACCTGGGACGTAACAATCTGCAGACAAAGTTCAGTGACTACACTTTTCAGCAATAACCGGCTGTAAAACAGCCATCCTCAATTACCAAGTGTAAAACACCTAGCAACCATTCGACACTACAGCATGTCTGAACGAAAATAAAAAACTGAACAGGGTTATTTGATTTGATGACAATTGTAAGCATTAGTTACTGAAACAAACAAACATGGATGTGAATGGGTCAAGATTATATTCCAGGATACTGGATCATATACTGGATAATCATAGAAAAATTGAAACAAAGATCTTAAAGACAATGATTACAATAAACTGTAGACAGTGCAAGAAATTGAGGGCATCGAGTCATTGGATCGCTGACGTTTAGTTTCGTACCATTTCAACCCATGAACTATTCAAATATTTAATCTATCGCGAGTATTGACATGGATCTTTAACTTTCATCCTAACTTTATCTTCAGGTAAACAGAGAATGATTCTGCTATTTCACCATATTAACTTTTACTTTGGGTTTGCTCGAGGAATATGGTCATTCCTGGGACATCCTATCAGGAATCCTACCAACAACACAAAAACAACACCAACCCCAATTTCAGACATGTTTAGGAACTCACTGGTTTATCCACTTCCATCTTCAATATTTCTTCCTGGGAGGTCAACATCTTCTCCTGCTCTCGAGATCTCTGGAATTACAAAAACTGAGTTCAGGTATTTCACCTGCAATGCGCTTCAATCAAATCTCCTTATGGTTTTAGCCAGAGTTTGTCCCAGAATGTAACCAGTCTCTAGAGCGGACTCAACTACGCCTCCAACAATGTGGGACCAGTTTTCACGCTTGTACAAAGCGATCTTAGTGCTAAGGTGACTGTAACTCCCATACCTTAACATAGTCTTAGCTAAGGTTGTTTTGTACAACGGCACCCAGTTTTCAATGGTATAATGTGTATTTTCAATGGGTATACTTCTGTTATTATGGCATTTCCAGGGGACTATGGCGACCATACCCTGAGTAGATTCTCCACTTGCTGCTGATGTTGCCGAGCCTCTGGTGTTGTCGCCCGTTTCCCTGTCTCCCGACTCGTGTGTTCTAGAGCGTCATTCAGCTGTAGCAGGAAACAATAACCATGGTTAAACAGCAGCTTTACTCTCTGTTTTGCAGTGGAATGAAAACAAAATTCTAAATGTTTAACCCACCTATTATTTACTGTCGATTTATATACACGTTACTGATGGTAAGACAATACATGAAAGCTGCAGTATCTTACTAATGTCGGACTTTGATCGTGCGGCGTAAAACTAAACTCACTCACTCACTGACTATGATCGAATCATCTAACATCTAACACACTCAAAGACTTTTGTTCGATTAACTAACCAACCAACTAACCCCGGGTAGGATCACGAAACATGTTTATATAATAAAAACATGCATGCAAATCATGTGCAGATGTTCTATCTGCGAAGCATAGTGTGTTCGCGTGCACAACACATTGTTTGAGAACAAGGACATCATCTATATACATAAACTGAACATGTATCCCAAACTCATCTATTTATGGTGACATCTTAAAGTTCCATCTGTGAAGCTGAATACATTGTCAAGTGGGTTTCAGACAATCCGTGAACAATTCTTCAGTCCACTCTCATTAAATCATTTGTGGGGTAATTCCATGGTTCAAAGCCAAATTAAAATGAGGATTGTGTGGTCACTACCATTCACTTTTGAGGGGGGAAACAACTATTGTGATAGCAATAGTCTATTGCAATATACAATTGCGAGAGTGATAGTCTATTGTGACCAACTATTGCAATACTATTGCAATAGGGTTTTTTGCTCCTTGAATTCTCTCATTTGAAGTCATTTGCCACATGAATGTATAGTTTATATGGAATAAAAACAAGCTGAAGTAGTTTCAATCTCTTTTATAACTGACAAGAAACTTGAAAGCAGATGAAGTTTGTTTAAGAGGTAACAGGGGCGGATAACTCTAAATCAAAGTGAACGAATCTGGTACATCCTGTATTTTGCGCTGCACATTTATCAACGGAAGTCAATTACTAAACTATTGACAGCCACACATACTATCGATGCATCAATAGTTTTTCATTTCTACCATTGAGTAATTGCTATCGGAAGCTCAACAAATGCAATTCATCAATTGTTCGATGCATCGTTACAGCCCTAGTGGTCACAATGGTTGTTGACCATGATGAGTCTCTACCCCCATTCTATCACATCCAATTAGGGATGAAAATAAACTAAAATCTTATAGACAAACAGTCAAACTCAAAGTGTTAGGTTTTTCCTCACATCAACAAGCGTGTGCAGTGGAATTTCAATGTCACATGTGCAACTCGCACACCTGGCTGTTATACCAGCCAGTGGTCTCCCTCGTAAGAAATAGAGAAAAGTGACAACAAAATAATGATCGTTTGTTAAACAACTTTTTTATTCGGGTGTCCAAAATTATAAGACAAAACATCAGAGTTGGTCTGTTAATTTCATGTGACTTAGCAAAGTTTTGATTTTGTTGCAATTTTAGATTTTGTGTTCATCACAATTCATCAGTTTAAAATGAAGTCGAACTGACTATATATGAGTACTGCAGCAGTGGTACTGGTACTGACCCTACTGACAACTGTGAGTAGAACACTGGTTTCCCAAAACCAATGTTGCTTGTAAGAGGCCAAAAAATGTAACAGAATATTTTTACTGTATCTCAGGTTTAGGGAAAGAGAAGCAGAGAGTATGAGTCAGGATAAGGTAAAATATATTCATTGGTGTTGTTTGTTTGTTTAACGCCACACTCAGCAATATTCCCGTTATAGGCGGCGGGCTGTAAATAATTGAGTCTGAACAAGACAATCCAGTGATCAACAGCATGAGCATCGATCTACACAATAGGGATATGATGACATGAGTAAACCAAGTCAGCGAGCCTGACCACCCAGTCCCTTGAATCGCTTCTTACGACAAGCATGAAATTCATTGATGGAACTGGTCCCAAGCAAATATGCTGGATGTAAACGGCAACAAAACTGATGAGTAACTCCATGGGGATACCCAGTAGAAATGAACCCAAGCAACCTATGATGGAAGTATGAGAACATCAATGGATTGGATGTTCAGGCTCTGTTTTGCACATAAACATAGAGGCTGGTTACTCTGGTCTGCTGCTGGTTCCCGGGAACTATATTCAATCAATGTGGTCGTTCAGATCCATGTTTTATGTGTGCAATTTTGTGTCAATAGCGAGCTGACACACATGTCGGTGTTGAAAATGGGTTGGGTGTCATTCTTTACATTTCACCGATGTAACGAGGAATTTCATGTCTCGAAACTGCATAATTAAAGTGTTTGTGCACTAAAAGTAACGATGGGTGTTGTTCTGGTGACGTATACTTTGCCATAGTATCGATGAAAATGCTATGAAAAATTTCTCACAACCTGTTCTCAGATTTTTGTTTAGTAAATATATGGCTTGTCGCCCAGAAGTGAAGGCCGCCATTCGGTAGTCATTGCTGGGGTCAGTGATGAAGCATAGCGCAGCAGCCCTCGGGAACCAGGCCGATAAACATACGCCAACCGTGTGGATTGTTAACACAAAATCAGTGACAGTCTGTGGTCCAGACACTGCTGAGAAAAAGGTTAACTAACAAAACCTTAGGTGATGTGGAAGTACCCACCTTCCTCAGTTCATCAGCGTGCTGCTTCGTCATCTTGTGAACCTTCTTCTGCCATTTTTTCTCCTGTTTGCCCAACTCCGTCTTCAGCTTGGACTCAACTGTCATAACCTACAACAACATTCACATCATCAGGGATTTATTACTCAATTAGGTGGTTGGTTTGTTGTTTAACACCACACTCAGCAATATTTCAGCTATATGGAGGCGGTCTGTAAATAATCGAGTCTGGACCAGACAATCCAGTGATCAACATCATGAACAATGATCTATGCAATTAGGATACAATGACAAGTGTCAACCATGTCAGCAAGCCTGGCTGCTCGATCAAGCATGGGTTACTGAAGATCAATTCTAACCCAGATCTTCACGGGTAAATACTCGATTAGAATTATTGCATCCTATATAAACAGAAACAAACACAAGGCGATGCAAACTTTGCTGATGATTGGAAACATTAAGACTAATTCAACGACAGCCAAAATAGCAGGCAAACAATGTTTGATTTTCTTCACTCAACCTTTTGCTTCAAGCATGGAAATGTAGATTGCTTAAGGGTTCATGTATTTACTTGTTTGTTTTGACCCGACAATCCAGTAACTGACATCATGAACATCAATGTACATAACTAGGACACAATGACACGCAAGTGTGTGAGCCTGACCGTCTTGTTAGTTGCATCTTAGACGAGCATGGGCTGCTGAAGATCAATCGATCTTCACAGGTCGCTTCATGTATACATGATATATTTTTACTATATTTTTGTATACTACAGCAGTCACAGTATGCCCCTAATTCTACATCTAAGACCCCAAGAAAGTCTAAAGTAGAAAGGCCAAAGTCTACATAATCATAACATATCGGGCCAACAAAGCCCCACAAGGTCACAGACAAACACTAGTTAGTTACCTGATGCTGAAGTTCCTCCTTCAGCAGGAGAACGCCATCTTTCTGGCGCTGTAAGAAGCTCTTCTCATTGTCATTGTCATCATCGTCCATGATTACACCCAAGTTTGACCTCTTGGCTGGATCAGACAAAGATACATTAGTGACAAAGGTGACACACAATTAAAAACCTGAAGGTTGTGGAAGAGGAGTGAGGGAGCGAGTTAAGTTTTACACCACTTTTAGCATTATTCCAGGCAATATCAAGGCGGGGGACACCAGAAATGAGCTTCACACATTGTACCCATGTGGGGAATCAAACCCGGTCTTCGGAGAAGCGAGCAGACGCTTTAACCACTAGGCTACCCCACCGCCCCCTTGAGGCAGATGAGAAATTGCCAGACAGAATACATTTTGGAAATTTGAAATATAAATTGTATATTTATATACTTATCCTATCTCACGGTATGCACTTCTCTCTCTTGATTCGACACTGAGTGGAATGATGTAAACTTTTTTCCCTTGGCCTCTATTGTTCATCCGCCCAAGCACTCCATGCTACCCTCATTATAAGACAGCTTCCTGGTTGTCATGCAAAGCATGGGGCATGCACCACTAGCTGCCCAAGTGACTATCTCCGAATCATCATTCTCACTCTTGGAGCCACTGGATAATATCAATCTTGGAGAATCTGCATTGCGGGGAGGATGGGCGGGAATCCGTTACATAAGATAGGATAAGTATGTAAATATACAATTTACATCTAAAATTTCCAAATTTGTAAACTTATCCTTTCTCACGGTATGCACTTATCCCACAGTCGGACAGTGGGACGCAGATACCCTGTGCCTTGTCAGTGCGAACAGTAGAACAGTGTAGACTGGAAACAACTGTAGATAGCGATGCACAAGGGAGGCCTAGCGCAACTCCTATGCTTGTGACGAGTTCCTCTGAACTCCTACCAGGGAGAACGGTGCTCCCGGGAGATGGGTGCTCCCGAGCGATGTGGTGTTCTGCCGCAACCTCCGAAGAAGGACGCAGCTCAGTGAGAAAGGATGTCACTTCGCCATGATTTTCAAGGTACACCCGTAAATTAAAGTCATAGACAATACTCGGGCCAGCCCATGCTTCGAGACGACCCCCACAGACACCGACCAGGGGCGGGTGAAAGAGAAGCAAAACTCGGAAAACCCGCAGTTTTAACGTTCAGTTCCAGTCAGCATCAAATTGACCCTCACTCCTTTACATAAGCTTAGTCAAAGGATGAGCCTGGCTACTTCGGAGTCGGAACGCAACGAAATCCACTGGAATTTGGGAGTGACACACTTCACTGACGTAATTGCTTCGAAACATGAAATGTCGAACCGTTCCACATCGGGATACAGAATCATGCTCCACATTCGTCCAACCACCGAGGTGGTAGTATCTCCGTGTCTTAGTATAAAACTAAGTGAAGTAGTTCTAACCCATAGGCAATCAAAACATAAGGCAGACATCAAGTACAGACTATATTCAGGAAAGTACAGGGAAGCAGCAACCACGTGGGACTGTCCCGTATCTGCGTTGTTGGGCCGTAGACAGCTGTTGTGCGACAACAAGGGTTCCAAACTGGTACAGGCAGTGGACGTCCTTGACTGAGAGGTCCCGAAGGTAGTGGGAGGAGAAGACCGAGTCAGATCGCCAGAAGCATCCTTCCATAATGGCATGGAGAGAGCAGTTACTATGCAGAGCCATTGTAGACACTAACGCCCTTGTCTCATGTGGATTGGAAGCTGTCGGGGGTGGTAACCCAGCGAATGTGTAAGCCCGTAGGATGGTGGCTCTCATCCAGGAGGATAATGTGGTGCCAGACACTTCCGCCCTGGATGTTGAGGACAACGGAATGGAAGAGGCACTTGCAGAGAAGACGGCGATCTTTAGAAGCAGCAAGAAAAAGCTTCAAAGCCCTAACAGGGCAAAGCTGCAGATCTTCATTGTCATGCGGCCCAAGGATCGTGGACACTGGTGGGATGGTACAAGTACGATCGGGTTGTCCCGGCAACTGATTCTTTGCTACGAAATCCCAATGGAGACCAAAGAAGACTTTGCCATGCTTCTTCCGTTCGAACTGGACTCTGTTAATGTCCAAAGCATGGAGTTAAAAAATCCGAGGAGCTGTAGCCAAGGCCACAAGGAAGAAGGTCTTGAAGGAGATCTTTTCAAAGCCTGTCTGAGCTAGGGGTTCATAGTCCGCCGAGGCCAAATGACACAGCACCACAGATAAATCCCATGCAGGAGGTCTAAACTTCTTAGACTGATCAGCCAACTTGAAGGACCAGAGCAAATACTGAAGCTCAGGAACCATGGAGACCTTAGAGCCTGTGGTGGTAGCCAGGACCGAGTTGATCGCAGCAAGGTAAGTGGCCAAAGTGGAGCCCTTGAGCTTCTTAGACGACCGCAAATGCTGAAGAAATTCAGTGACGATTTGAGGTGAAGTAGAAATGGGAGATGTAATGCCTCTGGACTTGCAATATCCCTCTAAACACTTTCACTTCTCTCATCATAAAGTGAGCAGGTGGAAGTCCGATGAGCAGAAGTGATGGCCATAGCCACTCTCCGAGAATACCCTTTGGCGATTAATGACTTCTGCAAATGCGCCAAACGTGCCGAGACAGGGTGCGACAGCTCGTCCCGATTGGGAAGAGGAACTGGGGTTAGGTAGCAGTAGAATCTGTCTGGTCACCTGGAGTTTCTGGACGACTCTGGGGGGGAAAGAAGGAGAGGCATAAGCGTTAAGCCCCTCCCACGAAATCGCCAAAGTGTCGAGATCCCATGCTAGTTGGTCTGGCATAGGCGAGACAATCTTCGGGAGCTGATGGTTGAACCGTTTGGCGAATAGGTTGACTTGGGGCCTTGATAACAGGAAGACCAGTTCCCGAAAGGTCTGTGGGTTCAATTGCCACTCCGTGGGAGATGGACGATCGGAGCAGGACAGCGCATCTGCGATGACATTCCTGACTCCGGGAATGTGTCTGGTCGAGCATCGATGGCAAGGGAGTCGATTAGATGGAAGAACCGAAGAGCCAGCTGAAGAAGGTTCGCCAAACATGTTGACCCGAGATGGTTGATGTACCAGACGACCGTGGTCTGAATCAGCAAGGATGACGAGAAGAACCGCCAAGAACTTCATTTTGTTGATGTGCAAGTCCCGTTCTGCGGACGACCACAGCCCGGCCATCTGATGATGAAGAAAGTGATCCCCCCAACCCGTGAGGGTTGCGTTGAGGAACAAAGATGAGTCGACACAAAGGACAACTTCTGCTCGTCTTGCATGGCTGAAGCTGAAACTACCCTCTGGTGGTTGGGGCTTGAGCTGACGTCGAAAGCCTAGCAGCTGCCACTGAGATAGCGCTGGAGGAATGCATTGGTCATGATGCACCTTTCTTGAACGGCGAACATCATCCTCTGACAGGTGTCGAACATTGTATCGATGAAGTGGAGTCTCTGGAGTCTCTGGACACAATGCAACAGTGGCAAAAATCCGGACAATACGGTCTTCGGTCACAGCCCACAAAAACTGGTAAAGGGATGCTCACTTCTTGACAAGACAGCACTGCTGGTACCATGCGCAGAAACTTGATCCATCTGTCCAGAAGCTTGCTGGTGATGTAAAAGGAAGGGTGAGGAAGATGACGAACCAGGCCATGATTGCATCCCGAGATACACCATGACACTGTTATGAGTTGTCTGTAGTAACAGGACTCAGTGAAGCGTCAAGCTTGTCTGGTAATGCACAAACGAGTGGTCGGAGGGCTGATATCTTCGCCGGAGGGTAGATTCCTAAACCAAATCATTCAAGGTGAAGGTCGGATGGTAGAATAAAGCTGGAACGATATGAGCTCTAGTCACGTAGAAGTCTTGGAGATCTGGGATTGTCAGAACTTCAAGTGATGGCGTAATGTAGATGTGTCCACTACTGACATAGCTACTACCTTCGTTCAACCAGTTGAAAAGGGGTACCAGGTGGGATAAGTCTAAAAACTTCTAGCGCCTCACATGCCGTATGGTAATCCGGAGAACCAAATCAGATTGTCATGCTAAAAGCATGCCACGTCGTGGTGAGGAATTCAGCGTATCACAAATACCCTGAATAGTAACATTGTGTTGAAAGCTGGTAGGGTTTGATTAATAGCTGGGGTAATTGGCCATATCTCAGTGTTCACGAATAGCGTCTGACCCTCTGACAAATCCGGCAGATTCGCCAATGGTCAGACAGAAGTCTACAACCTGCCGGCCCCAGTGTCTGACTGTATATTTCACAATGACTTTGACTGAAGTTGTTTTATGTGACATGTGACACTTGTTTGCTGTTTATAAATCTTATGTTTGTTAATAATTTCAATGTCAATTATAAGAAATATTAAATCTGAAATGTGTGTTTAATTTTATTCCATGGGTCCTGTGCATTTTCAATGGGTCAGACAGACATCTGAAACTTACAGGACCCAATGTCCTGTTACTTTGAAACACCATTCGTGAACACTGATATCTAGATGCAAGTTGATGATCCTTGATGAAGATGTAATAAACCAATGTTGACAAGTTCCGATCCTTCAAGATGAATGTAGTAAGTAGATCATCTAGTATCTCGCTCAAGATAGTTGTAGATGAGTGAGTGAGTGAGTGAGTATGATCTTACGCCGGATAGCTGTAGATGGTCGGTGAACCAAGTGATCATGTGTGTCGAATGAACCAACATTATTGCTGTATCTTAAAGGCGGCTGTTGTCCGAACGTCAGCGTAGGTACAGATTCACCGAACCTCAAGGTGTGTTCTGTAGAAATGTCGTGTTGGAAGTATCATCATGCGATAGAAAATAATCGCTGAATCCTGATGGTTCAGTGAATGTAGTAAGTAGATCATCTGGTATCTCGCTCAAGATAGTTGTAGATGAGTGAGTGAGTGAGTGAGTATGATTTTACGCAGGATAGCTGTAGATGGTCGGTGAACCAAGTGATCATGTGTGTCGAACGAACCATCATTATTGCTGTATCTTAAAGGCGGCTGTTGTCCGAACATCAGCGTAGGTACAGATTCACCGAACCTCAAGGTGCGTTCTGAAGAAAAGTCGTGTTGGAAGTAACATCATGCGATAGAAAATAATCGCCGAATCCTGATGGTTCAGTGAACGCTGTCAGATCGGCGAATGCTGTTGGATCAGCGATCTGGTACGGTTCAGTGACCGGGGTCGGTTCGGTGATCTGGCTCGGCGAGGTAAGATCTGGAAATGGCACTGTGATCTGGTTCCGGTGCGGCACATCGGTTCGACCTGACGAACTAGTTCGATGATGATGTTCAGATCAGTCTGCCAAACTAGTAAGGGATGATGTGGTTTGGACGAACGAGATGAGCCATTCCTTGCTGAAAAAAAACAACAGTTCGGGCGATGTCGCGGAAAACCAGCCTGTCGGAACTGTTCGGTGATGATACTCGGATAAGTTCGGCGAACCATGACGGGAAAACAGGACGATCCGACGAAGCAGGTCGATGACGTTGTTAAGTTCGACCAGGTGAATGCATTGTGTTAAGTGTCTGGGAGACACCACAGACACAAGTAGGGTCATCTCTGATGAACCAGTAGGCTGGGAATCTTCCACGGTGGAAGTTGTACGAGACAACACTGGGGATTCGCCATAAAACGGATCTTATAGATGTGGGCAAAACAAGATTTCGAGCAGGACGTTTTGGCGAGAAAATCCGAAAGTTGGTAGGCGGTTGAACCATGTTTCCTTGTCGAAGAAGAAAACCTAAGACAGCCAACTGAGTTCGGCGAATCACCAAGAGATGTGTGATCTGGCGAAAAGCGCTCGTAGATTCGTGGGATGCCGTTTCGGTGAACGTTGATTCGTGGAATGCCGTTTCGGTGAATGTTGTTTCGTAGAAAGCCAGTTCGGCGAATGACGAACTGAAGAGGTGCGGTCCGGCGAAAGCGATCCGGTGAACTGTGGGTCAAAAAATGTGTTGATTTCGGCGAAATGGATAAACGACTCATTGGAGCACTGGAGACAGCATCATATTCGCAGAATGAAAACAGTGGGCGAAGCAACCGAAGGGATACAAAGGTCCTGCAACCGATACAGCAAACTAGTGCGATTCCTTCCACTGTTAGAAGAAGAATGACGACGGGATCAAAGAAGGCTTCGACGAATGCGATCCTAGCTGTAGGGAAGTAGCCTGGGGGTGGCAGAACTTTCAACAACCACCATACGGGATGTCATCGATGACGAAGGGCTCGTACTGGAAGGCAGAGAGCCGACAAATTCCCTGAGATCTTCCGATAAATGCGAATCCGAAAAAGCTCTCATGAAATCCTCGTCGTTGGAGTGAGGAGACTGTGACCGACGAGCAATGATAATGGGACGCTAAAACTTGACTTCTTGACGGGGCTGGGTCCTTCTACCGATGCTGCAAATCTGTCTAGATCAGCAAGACGCCGAGCGCAGGCCCTGGAGTAATCCCCGAATGCCTTAAAGGTAAGAATACTAAGATGTAGGCATTTATCACATCGGACGTCTCATCACATTGACCCACACAACACAGGAAGAAAGCGGAACACTCAAACAAAATATCTTGGCACATTGAGCACATTTATCCTCTTCCTGGGCTGGTCGGTCTTCCCATGATGTAAAAGGGAAAACAAACAATGAAGTGAAAACACGTCCACACTCAGGTGCGACAAGAAAGAGAATGATGATTCGGAGATAGTCACGTGGGTAGCTAGTGGTGCATGCCGCACGCTTTGCATGACAACCAGGAATTCGCTTATAATGAGGGTAGCATGGAGTGCTTGTGCGGATGGACAAGAGAGGCCAAGGGAAAAGAGTTTACATCGTTTCACTTAGTGTCGAATCATGAGAGAGAAGTGCATACCGTGAGATAAGATAAGTTTAAAAATATGTCCATTACTTCAATCATTTCCTCAAAACAGAGTGGCCAAATAACATTAAATTCTGAATGAAATCTGACATCAGTCTTATTCTTAGTGTAAGACAGTTACAGTAATGTATTTATGGTGTTCCAAGCAGCAGTTTTCTCCACACTATCAGAGTACACTTAATTTTGGAGCAACATTTTCTTACCACCAACTCTAGATTCCAGTTCCACAAGAGCTCGCTCAGAGGCCATATACTTCTGATTGACATCCTGAAGTTCTTTCATAAAAATTTCCTTCATTCTCTCAATCTCCTGAAAAACAGAAAATCGTATCAAGATTCAAGACCCTGTAACAAACCGTTGCACAAACATGGATCCACAATGTGCCAACGACTCATTCTATGTAAAAAAGCACCTGATCAGTCTGCCTGTTGATTATAAACAATACTAGGTGACATACCTCATGGTCTCCGCCCTCCGATTCCTTGAAGGCCTGCATGTGTGCAGTCACTACAGATGATATCTTATTCTCCTGAAAAACAGAATTAAACGATCATGATTCCACTAGCATAGGTATCATGAATTCTCAAAATACCAACCATCATGTAACAGTGAAACCATGTCCAGCTCCCATTAATCCAGAAACCCCACCTTCCGGACCACTACTAGGAATGGAACAGGTGTACCAACATCATCTAGTAATCCAGATACTGCTTGATGTGGACAATTTCAGTGAGATGACCATCATGATAAACATGAGTGCTTGAAATCATGTCCTGGTGTCATTGAAGAGAGCACCTATAGTATTTGATCCAGAGAGAATGCGAACCCTTCAAATTTTAACCATTAGGGCCCCCTTCCACACAGCTGTTTCAGTGATATGGCAATTGTAACAGCCATACTTTCACAGACTTTAGACAATAGTACAGCTTAGATCACTTTGTGCAATGGGGCCCTGGGCAATGAAATGGATCTCATGACTTTCATTCTTCATCTTGAACACTGAACACTGAGTTAAACAGCATACAGATATTACAGCTGGATTTAAAAGAGATTCAATTATGAGTTTCAAGAACCTTGACAATGGGGAGATTATAAACTGATGTTTTTCTCTTCAGCAATAGGTTAAAGAGGAACAGGCATTCACTAAACCTGTATCATTGTTGAAGAAGACACAAGAATCAGCTGACAATTGTTTCAAGTACTACAACATGCTGACTTGTCTGAAAACCTTCACTTATAACTTGGTTTCAAATCACTCAATCAACATAAAACAAATTTGTTTTACAGTCAAAAGCTAAGAGCAGTTACATTAATTCTTCCTTAAGAAATTTATTACAAATCTGAGTAAACATTACAATTTGCTTAATATGTAACAAGTGTAACTGAACATTTCTAGCAGCATCTCTGTCATAATTCATCTGTTACTATTCACAAGATACAACAGAAGATGACGGAATCAGCATGAAGAGCTTTAATCCATGTCTAAAACTGCACTGGTTTTACTGACCCGTGAAGATCAAAGTTAGAATTGGTCTTCAGAAACCCATGCCTGTCATAAGAGGCGACTAACGGGATCGTGTAGTCAAGTTCACTGACTTGGTTGACACATGTCATCATATACCAATTGTGTAGAATGATGCTCATGCCATATACTGTAAAGGTACTTATTTTCGCGTGGTGCAATTTTCGCGGAATTGACAGTTTAGACTACTTCGCGCGGTCAATTATTCGCGCAATCAGTAATTGCCGGAACTGCCAGCCGTCTCTTTGGCCGCCACTAATAGCAGTGAAAACAAACAGAGTGGCTTAACCTGTCAGGCGGCATTTATTACTTACTCACAGGAAATCCCTATCTGTGCGATATGCTAGTACACAGTAACCCGTTTACTCCCGGAAGAGATGAAAAACACATCAGTATTATGTTCCGAATTCTGACGATCTGACTAATTAACTTATACTGTATATGAAGCTCTTTGTGATTTCAAACAAGCCGGGTTGTTGTGAATGAGATGATTGAGTGTTAATGACTATTCGCTTCATGGTGATACGTTTGTATCTAAATGAATAAATAAAATACTGCTGTATTATTTCTTTCCGAGTCGTTTCGTGGTAATCTGTTTTGTATCAAACCATCTGTCATGTGACCAATTTCCATGGCGCTACAACACACATTGCTGTTTTCGCTAATTCGGCGATGGGATTTGGCTCATTATTTAATTATGTTTTGGGAAATCCATTACAGCGACAGTTAAGTTTGATTCTTTATGCTACTATCAGTCGTCATTTTAAGATTCCCTTAGATTTCTGTCTTCAAACTTGATGTGTTATGGTAACAACTCAGCCAGGGGCGAGCGTGGCTAGACTGAAGGAATGACAGGTTTATTCGCGGTGTATAAATTTTCGCGCTAAAATATTTTGCGCGAAAAGCCCGAAAATAAAACCTGCGCGAAATATACTACGTTTACAGTAGCTGGAATATTGCTGAGTGCAGCTTTAAACAACAAACAAACATGTAATTTTTAGAGTAAAATTGATATTTTATACTTATCCTGACTCATGCTCTTTTGCTTGTCTTCTTCTTCTTGCGAACATAGTGGAACACTTGTATCTCCTTATTTGAAGCTCCCTTCAAAATAAAATCACTAATTGGTACTCACCACGAGTTGCTCCCCTTTGCTTCCCCTGGCGGGAAAGGTGTCGCCACCCTCTGGCCATGTGCTCCACTCTCTCCTGATTTAGCGAAAGCCCAACACTTGAATTTACAGGGAAATCCAAAGTGTTATGTGGGAGGATGGAGGGACTAACCTCATGAGTCAGGATAAGTATAAAATATCAATTTTACTCTAAAAATTACATATTTTTCCTTATCCTGACTCATGCTCTTGCTTTGTAGCATCCTACGGAACGGAGGTGGGTAACAGAATACTTTGGATTTATAATTAGTGATTTTGTATAGATATACTGTAATATCCCCTCACGGAACTTCATGAAGGCTTAGATTTAGGATGTTTCCTGTATAAAGAAAACCATAGGTTATATAAAGCCATTAAAGGGAATTACATTATGAATATATTGAACAATACATATAAATTATATATATATATATAGGTGACTCTGATAGAGGCACTGAAATTGACTATACCAAAGTATATGCTTAAGGTTGAATACTTAAGCTGAACATATATACATAGCCCTAAAACTCCGTGGGAGTTATAAGCTAGATGAGTATGTATAAAATACATATTAATCTTGTGAGGATAATATTTTAACGCTCACGAGGGACTGTCAGTTGCTGAGCCGAGGACCAGTGGTCCGAAATGGTGAATGCCAGAGACATCTTCTGTAGTGATGTCTCTCAGGTAGTGATTAGCAAATACCATGTTAGATTTCCAATAGCATCCTTCCATAATCGTGGTTCAAGGAACAGTTACCGTGTAGAGGCGAGGGTAGAGGCCAGTGCCCTGATCTCATGTGGATTTGATGCTGTTGGTGGGTCCAAGCCTGCTGCCTTGTAGGCACGGAGAATGACAGTCCTTATCCAAATAGATATTGTGGTCCGTGACACTTCTGTTTGATTCGTGGCGATAAGGGGATGAATAAACGTTTGAGAAATCTTCTCCTTGTTTTGGATCGTCAGTAAATAAACTTTGAGCTCTTACCGGACACAGTGATAGGTCTTGTGTATCTTCTGATCCGAGAATAGAGGATAAGCGCCGGATGTGGAATAATCTGTCTGGTTGACCTGGCAGTTGATTTTCGCGATGATGAATCCCATCTTAATCCGAGTGTGCTGTGTTATGATTGTCATCAAACTGTATCCTCTCGTAAATCCAGGCGTGAATTTCAGACATTCTTGCTGCTGTGGCTAGCGATAGCAGAAACAGTGTTTTCTGTGAGAGAAATTCAAAGTTTGTCGATTCCAAGGTTCATAGACCTCACTTCGTGAGGTGTTGTAACACTACATTCAGATCCCAAGCTGGAAGTGGAACTTCCGCTTTGGTCCTCCAATCGAAAGCTCGTAGTAAGGCCAGTAACTCTGGAGATCTTGTCAATTTGACACCCGTTCTCATGGTGATTACAGAACTAAAAGCCGCAAGATATGTTGAAATCGTTGAACCTTTTAAATGTTTGTTTTGGCGTAGGTAACACAAATAGTCTGCCACTTGAGGTTGTGAAGCCTCTCTTGCTGTAAACCCTTTCTTTGTTGCATAATTTTTGAAACTGTGCCACTTGTGTCGCCGTACATTGTTACGAGTTGAGTAACGTAAAGCAAGCGTGACTGCTTTACGCCCTGGCAGAATATCCTCTCTTGTTTAAACACATTTGTATACAGTCCATACGTGTAGTTGGAACATTGCTGGGTTTCCGTGCACTTGTTTGGTGTGAGGATGAATTAACAGGTTTGGCGCCAGCTTGGGTAGCTCCAGTGTTGGTTGACCGATTTCTTGAATTAGTATGGGAAACCACGTTCTGGCCGGCCAGTAGGGCGCGACAAAGTGAGTTGTAGGCTCTGTGTTTGTCTGATTTTCTGTAATACTTGAGGTATTATTGCTGGCGGAAAACGCGATGCGCGTTGAGGCCTTCCCCATGATAGACTTAGAGTCCGTTGCCCAAGCTTGGGTCTGGGACTGGTGACACCTAATGTCGGTAGCTGATTGTTGAATCGGCGTGGCGAATAGGCCTAATAGCGGCGCTCCTAATTGCTTGATTATCTGTGCAAAATTTCCTGTTGATCATCCACTCTGTCGGTGATGGTAGATGAGGCCGAGAGAGAGGCGTCTGCTAGTATATTTTTCTGGCTCCGAGAATGTGCACTGCTCTGACATGTAGATTTAGATCTTGTATTAAATCGAACAGTTGAAAGCTTAGGTTCAAAAGGTTCATCGATCTCGTTGAGCCTTGCTTGTTTATGTAAACGCCACTGTCGAATTGTCTGTATGGATCGTTGGGCGCATTTTGTAGAAATGTGCTCCAATGTAGAATGGCGTTGATTACAGCTTTCATTTCTAGACTGTTTATATGGAGTTTGCATTCTTGCTGATTCCATAACACTGATATCGTGTGGTTGGTGAGATGAGCTCCCCAACCTTGGAGTGACGGCGATCTACATACAGATGGGTTTTGTATTCCTGCTCTGCTAAACAAATCCTCTTCGCAGACATTCGATTTCTTGGTCCACCGCCAGTAGATGCGGTCTGAGATGTTTGGTAGACTGAATGGTTTGTACATCGTTGAGATGTGCGTTGATGAGGACCTGTAGGGGCGTAACTGTAATCTGCCTGTGACAGTCATGTCTTGGGCTGATGTGAAAGACCCTAGTAGGCTCTGCCATTGTCGCGAGTGGTAACGGAGAGAGTAGAGCTGGTGGAATGGTCTGCTGTATCTTGAGCCAATGGTCTTCTGGTACCAAAATACGGTTGCGATTTGTGATGAATCGAATACCTAGGAACTGCAGGTCTTCGCGATGGTACTAGGTCCGACTTATGTAAGTTTACTTTAACCAACCTAGTTGTGTTAGTAGCTTTAAGATGTAATTTAACTGTAGTTTGAGGCGCAGATGGATCTTGATCTACTTGTATCCCGTAGAAGTCGAGGTAAAGCGCTGCTTTACGTAGCCCTTGATGATGTAGAAATTTGATAATCGGTTTCGGTTATCCTGCGTTGAATAGCCAGGGGCTGATGATATTCGAATGGGGAGTACTTTCCACTGGTAATGTAGCCCTTCTAGAGTAAATCGTGGAGAGTATTTCCTGGAATCGGGATGAATGGGGATGTGCAGGTAGGCATCTTGCAGATCTATGCTGCCCATGTAGTCCATAGGACGAATCATCTGGCGTAACTGAGGTAAATGTATCATGCGAAACTTCGATTGGTTTGCGTAGATAGTTCTTGTTGAAAAAGCTCATGTTGTAGATGAGTCTGTATTTCTCCGTGGGGTTTTCTTGGGAACTTCAGGAAAACTGGGGAGTAGAAACCTGGTTCGACGTTTGCTTGATCTATTACTTCTATGGCCTGTTTGGATAGGAGTGATGAAACAGCCTCTCTTATCTTTGGTAGTTGTTGCATGTAAATCGAACTTGGGGTTTGATTGTCAGCGGAGGCTTAGCCTGTAGAGGGATCTGAAATCCGTGTTGAAGAATGTTGGAGCATCGTAAGGGTCTTGCAATATTCCCCAGTTTTCCCAGTGTAGTTGGGCGTCCACCCACTTGAGCTGGCTGTACTGAGCGGCTGGGGTGGAAGACTCCAGTCGTTGTTCGAACCTGTGTTTCAGCGTCTATAATTGCGGAACCTCTGGGTGTCCTGCCTCTTCCTGATCCTCCTCTATAGTTGCCATATGGGCGAATTTTAAAAGAATCTTTACCTCTAGAGCTGGCTATCTTCCTGTCTCTTGCTCTTTGTAGGCCGTGAACTTAGATCTGCCTGAGTATCTTTGTGAAGTCTGACGAATAATGACGGCTGGCTAGTGTGTCCATCGATCTAATCATAAGGACTTCCCTGAATCCTTAGAGACTTCCTGGCTGACTTTGCCGATTTCTCAAGTCAAAGATGGATGTTGTCGATACCACGGGCTGTATATAAAGTGGGGCTGTAAAGTTCTCCCCAATTACAGGAGGCTTAGGAGGCCTTGGCGGCGAGCTAAGGTCAGTGCTGCTGAAACAGATGTAAGATGATCCGTTAAAACTGCTGATCTTTCTTTTTGCATAAGTAAGGCAGAATAAATCATTCTATCATCTTCCGTCATGGAATCCCGGAATCTAGTAATAAGAGTCTCATTGATCGTCCTAGATCTATTTAACCCAAAGACATACGTCTCGTCATGGTTTCTATATGAGCCAACTTGCGATCATCCATCTTGTAAATCTTGTTCTTTACATCGCTGATGATCTTATAGTTCTCATCGATGTCCTGGGCCTTGTAGAAGGAGTCCATGTTATCGTGGAGAACTTCTTGGCTTGAAAGTTGGGCAGATGTGGTATCTGAACTTTCAGTAGCTTTCTGGAAAGCTGCATCTAGATTCTGTGGCACTGCATGATGGTCGATCGGGGGTAGAGTGATTGCATCTGGATCATCTTCCTTCATCAAATACGTCTGCGCTGTATTGCCACTTTTAGATGGTGATGTGAGATCTAGGTTATTGACCATCCAATACCGTATCTCTGCATCAGAAAATATGATTCCTCCATCATCCTCAAAACCATCATCATTAACAAATTGTAGATGCTCTTCGGGACTGCGTGTAGCTGTCTGTTCTTCTAGATGATGAAGATCTGGAATCATATGTCCTTCGCGAATGCCTTCGCGAAGCTTCATTTGCGTCCGGTCCGGGGGATCGATGATATGACCTTCGCGAAGGCTTCCGTGATGTCTGATGGTCTGAGTCCATATCTAGAGATGAAATCGAAGATGGTGATGATCTCTCCCGCCTTCGCGAAGGCCTTCACGAAGGCTGTACATCTAGGTCCTTCCTCAAGGTGGTGCGGGACTTCCTTCGCGAAGGTGACATCGTCTTGGCTGCTCACGTTGACGGGGGTGCCTCTGGGGTGCTGTCTACGTTGGAGCCTTCGCTGAGCTGGGCCATTTCGCTTGCGCAGTTTGTAGTGGTCCTCCATGATGTTCATAATCTGCCGCATCATGTCTTCTGGGATGATCTGTGGCCGAAGTCGAATTAATCTTTTCTGCGATGGGGTTCACATCAATGGCGTCTGGCGTCGGTGTAGAGAGCATCAGGCTGCATGGTGATCTCTGCAGAAGTCACAGTCGCTGACTTGCGGTGCGCTTCTTCTGCCGTAAGTCGGGGATGATTATCGGCTGATCATCATCGAGAGGCCAATTCTGCTGCTGCGAAACGATCTCGGCTGAAAGTTCTTGCTGTCTTCGTGAGATTTCCCTTTGGAAGTCTGCGCTGCCCTGGGAGTGTCCTCAATCTGCGCGTTGAGGCATCGATGAGAGCCCTCTTAGACTTGGTCTGCAATGGCGGGATGTCTGGGGGGAGGCCGGTCGTTTCTTCGAGGTAACGGACTGCGTCCCACGTTCCTCTGCCGCAGGGGTCTCTAGCAGAACACCAGGCGGAGAGGGTCGATCGCCAGCAGCTGACTGGATGGAATATCTGGACTCTCTGCCATGTTTGCCCTTGTTTGCGTGATCTATCTGCAGCACGTCTTAAGGCGCAAAGATGATATTTATTAAATGCAGAAGAATCCAACATCATCCTGCTCACTGGGCAAGAAGGAGAGAGTGAAGCACATGGCTTGAGCTGGCGACATTCTTCCGCCAGGGAAGCAAAGGGAGCAACTCTCTACCAATTAGTGATTTTATTTTGAAGCCTGTTCCACTATGTTCTCCAGCAAGCAAAGAGCATGAGTCAGTGTCTGATTACTTTATTTTTGCTGAATCCAACATCTTGGGTCATCCTTGAGCTGTGATTCTGTCAGGCGACCTTCTTTGATGGCCTGCAGCTCCAGCTCCAGTGTCTGATTAATGCTGCCTCCATGGGTGGGGCTGGACGACTTGGACACGCCCACCGAGCCTGCATGGCGACGACTGATGTGGGACTGGAGGAAGGAGCTGTTCAGAAATGCTTTCGTACAGTATGGACACTGAAATGGAAGAGTACTATTAGTATCAGTAGGTTAATATTCAGTACTTGTATGTCTTCACTGAAATGGAAGAGTACTATTAGTATCAGTAGGTTAATATTCAGTACTTGTATGTCTGCACTGAAATGGAAGAGTACTATTAGTATCAGTAGGTTAATATTCAGTACTTCACTGAAATGGAAGAGTACTATATGTCTGTACTTGTACTGAAATGGAAGAGTACTATTAGTATCAGTAGGTTAATATTCAGTACTTGTATGTCTTCACTGAAATGGAAGAGTACTATTAGTATCAGTAGGTTAATATTCAGTACTTGTATGTCTGCACTGAAATGGAAGAGTACTATTAGTATCAGTAGGTTAATATTCAGTACTTGTATGTCTGCACTGAAATGGAAGAGTACTATTAGTATCAGTAGGTTAATATTCAGTACTTGTATGTCTGCACTGAAATAGCTGCTGTAAGATGAAGTGATTTTTGACAAGGTCATAATGGCACCTTCAATAAGTCAGTGATTTGGGTTTTAATGTCACAGTAGTTAAGTCATATAATGAGGTGTCCACTTAATGTAGGAGACAAGCACAAAGTGATCCATGTCTTGGGTTTTTTTCAGTTTGGTGATACCCACGAACCAGGATTCAAATCCATAACCCTAGATTTCTTGCATTCCCAAGGGACACAACTCTACACATACACCACAACTTTAAACAATATTTCAGTTAAATTGGGGAAGAAAGTTGTGCAGACTATTAATACACATCACAGATATCGGTAACTGTTCACTAAACATGAATAATATTTATCAATTTTAATACATATTGGATAAGTAACTGTGAGCAATATTGCCAAAACATCTGAGAGAAATCAACATATTCCCCATCACTGATGAGTAGTGAAACAGTTATACATGGAGTACAAACAACTACAAGAGAGTGGGGTATTTCAGTTATAAAATAGTATCTGCAGACTGGACTCCATACCTGGCACAAACTTGTCTCTAGTTTATTGAAATTATATTTCATCACAACACATTTTGACATCAATTATCTTAAATCATTATCCCCCTCAATGATATTTCCCAGTGATCTTTACAGCCAGCCCTTGTGCTGACCAGAAACATTTTCCACACAAGCCCAACATTGATAATGAATAACCTTTTGGTCATAATCAGTCTTGTTACAGTAATCAAACTAACAATCAGTGGTTCCTGGCACCAACTGGGGAAATAACTCAGCACTGCATATTCTACAGTCTTAGATGACAAGACAGTAATGGTGGAGATGGGACTTAGAACCATAATTCAGTGGAACCCAACATCTAGGGGACACAGTTCTGCAAAGACAATTTCATCATGGAAGTCACTGGGCCTGGCATGTCACTTACAGCATAATGTTAACCTGACAAGGCTAATACAATGAACCATAGGCAGTGACCTTAGAAATTGGAAAGGTAAGTAGATCCTGGTCACTATCTTCCATAGATTGTGAACTCAAATGTATTTTTCTAAGAACAATAACATCAGACTCACACTTATGCAAAACACCACCAAAGGAGATAGAGACATATCATTGGCAATCAAACCATCAAACACAACAGAAGGAGACTGCTCTGACCTTATTATAGCTGCCGGAGCCAGCATGCATCATCTGCTGCTGAGCCATGAGAAGCTTCTTCCTCTTGTGACTCTCCTTCTTGACATCACTGAGCTCCTGTTGGAGTTTCTCCACCTGCTTCTGCAGCTCATTGTGGTCCTGGAGTGAAGGCAAAATTCATAAGACTAAAATTCAAGCCCAACCTCTCATTTTATTGACCACATCTCGTATGAAAAAATACATATACACAGCGTTCGAAATAATTGCCGGCCTGGAGGCCCAGCACCGGTTGTTATTATATCGGGCCGGCAGTTTAAAATATTTGGTGGCCCTTGTGGCCTTCAGTAAATTATCTGTCATTTGTTGTGTTTTTCTCAACTGAAATCTTTCCCATAATTTTCTTCTTTATTAATGTTCAGGAATCATCCATGATCCATCATGTTACGATAACTCATGTTTCACTTCCTGGTGTTTCAGCGCTTTGCGCATATGAATGTCAACACCAGTCTTCAACAAATGAAAACGTCTCTCCGTTCCACTGGCTTCGCTAACTGATTTGTAGAAACAGTGTGAAACTGTGTACAGTGTAATCTATTTTGTGTTTATGTCTTATGGGACTTTAACAAAATGGGCCTGCAGATTTCATTCAGGGCCTGTAGATTTTAAATCCTGCAGGTGGCAGCAGGCCTTGATGGCCAACTGGCAAATTAAAGTATTGTGAACACTGCATATACACCCAAATATGGCATGAACCCAAAACTCAGGATCCACTATCAGGACCCATGGTTAGCCACATTGTTTCATGACAGTAACAATTATACTCTATGGTTCGACTACAAGTCACTCATGTTGGCATTTCTTCCACACTTTTCACACATCCTTGTACTTTCATGTCCTTGAATAAAGACAAATCTTCAGTCAACATCAGCGTATGCACAGTCAGATTATTTCGTAGGGTTAGGTAACTCTGTAGTAAATTTGGACTTGTTCAGCCCAGAACCTGCAGACATGCCATGAAAGTAACTACCGGTATGTATCACTGCAGGGGTTAAAAAAAGTCAGTTTTCATTTCGGGCAATCAAATAATGGTATCTTACTTGTCCGTGGGCTACTAGATAATTTCCACTTATGGATACAAACTGCAAATAAACTTGGATTTAATTTCATATCTGCTCAAAATGTAGCTATTAAATTTCACAATGATAATAAAGTAGAGTTATCTTTCTTTGCTATTTATCACTTTTCAATAAATAGTCCAGTAAACATTAACATCAAATACCATGTTGATTTCTTCTTTCATAATAACATCATCATAATTATGTCATAAAATCAGGGCAAGTGGAAAATTAGTCTGGACAAGTTACTTTCTTAAAGTCACTTGCCCTGTGGCTTTTTAAAACAATTTTGAACCCCTGCACTGAACTTGAAACACAAATGTACGTCCTTGTTTTATTATAACATTGACCTCCTCCACTACACACATTACTGTCAACCATTAAAAATCCAACATTGAAACAATTCAATCCCTGTTGTTGTCTCACCTCCTTCTCTTTTTTTGCTTTTTCTTCATTAGAAGCAACGAGTCCAGCCAAATAATCTTGAGAATGCTGTCAATATAAACATTATAGAAATGTTCCATCAAACACAACAGATATATGTAATTAGGAAAAAGATATTTATCACACAACATGCAATCAACAACATTCAATAATTTTGTAGTTGTTTGGCCTCATAGAACCTTTATTGTACATTTAACGCTTATAATTCATAATTCACAGAAAAATACAAATGTGGCTTTGGTTTCAGAAGTACTAGCTATGATTATGAACTACAGTCAATGCATTCTTTACTTTTGTGATCAAAACTTTTGACCACAGACTCATACATTATATAAGAGGATTAAAATTAAGATATTACTTGTGGAATTGTTACTTACCAAAAGATACTCTATCGTAAGTTGTGCTAATTTAAATAATTTGACAAAGTTAGGATCCACCATTCTAAGGTCCTGCAATGAAAGAACAATGCACATAAATATTGATCACTGGTAAAAACAATAATTTACTTAATCTGACAAGTCCATTATTATTTCAAACAACATGTTTATGTAATCAACACAAACATGTAAACAGTACTTTTCAGCATTACAGATATATACTTTTCACTACTTTCTGTCTAGAATAGTGATCATGTTGAACCTAAAACATGCTGTGAATTTAGTATCAAATGTGTAAACAAAGTATAGCAAATGGTCTACTTTTAGTTTTACAAGTTGGCAGATGAGTAAGAAACCATCCTTGCTTGCTGGGAGTTATCACATGTATCTGACTTGTTAAAAGTTTGAATTTGAATGACTTTTTCATATTCCTGCTTGCAAAATGTGTAATCTTTGCCAGATTTACAAATGTTTATATGAAATACATTACGTATATTTCAAAGTGATGTTAACAAAATATAAAACCATGATAACTAAGTAAATGTATGATATGGCCTATGTACATACCAGTTCTGTTTCAATGTTGCAAAATGTAATATTCATGATATTTTCTTGAAGGGCGTTGAAGTCAAGAGTCCTTGATATGTGATCAACATCAACTGATGCAATTTTTCTCCAATCAACCCTCTCAAAACGTTTTCTGAATGCAAAGCTGCTTCCATTTTTGCCAGCATGCCCTCCGTGGTCATAGATGTGGCCACCAAACCCTCCTTGACCCTGAGCATACATCAACTGGGTTGCCATTTTTAATCGTTTCAGTTGCTACAGCTATTTACCTGAAATAAAATTCATGAAAAACTGTGCATGATTCAATCAAAATATAAATATGACTACCAACATGACTATCATTGCATGCTTTTCAATGAGTGTTTCTATTACTCAAATTGCTTGCTATATTCACACAACCGACTGATAATTTTAGAAGTATTGATGCATTGTGTGGTCTAATTTGCCTCCTTGCACCTAATGCACACTTTATATCTAACATTTACTTCTAACGTAAACATTTAGCCATAAACAATCTGTCTTAAACATAGAATAACTCAAACGAAATACATGACTTATATCAGCACTTCAACTCAAGATGGTCATTAAAAACTTTCATCCATCATGAAGTATTTGAAGGCTGCTAATTTCCCTTTTGTCTAACTCTTAGACCCAAGATTTGAGTGTTTGTGTATTGATAACGTAGCAGGGCGTGGAGTCATCCCACAGGGTATAACATCTTTGGTCATGTGGACAAGGCGTCCGACTTTGGATTAGAAGGTCCGTGGTTCGAATCCAAGCACGGGACTCGGAAATTTATGGCCGCTACAATAACAAGTCTAAACATGTCTTTGGCATTTTAAATAACACAAATGGACTATTTTACCAGAAAATGCATCTCCATATATTCAAGGCATAGAAGGGTGTAACATAGTGGTGTTGAAAATCCCAAGTTTGCATACACTGACTAGGTTATGTAAGATTTGAAAACAAAGCGTCTGTAGTTACAAAGAATAATGACAAGGTGCGAGCTGGTTGCGATTGCTTCAAGTGTCAAACGCAAAGAACTGACTTCATTTGAAAGAAGCTTCTGGTGACTACTCACTCACAACAACACAAACGTCGTCATGAGCAAGTTATAAATGGCATGCTTCCTACCATAAATCTGTAAACATAATTATTCTGCATTCGACTTTCGCCGTCGCGGTTGTCAACTCAAATCGACGCCATGATGGAATTCTTTCTAAGTACTATGGGAAAATATATATTTTAATTATATAGAAATAAAACTTAAATAAAACTCATCAGTTGATATTTATCACATAGGTCATGTTACTAAATAGAATCATAGCTAATAATATTGTCTCAATAGCTGAATCTCGTTCTGACGTGGCCAGTTAGTTTGACCCGGAAGTGCACGTGCTATCCAATCGAGGTTGACCACGAGTACTGTCAACTTGGTCTATAAACCGAGAGATGTTCTGGAGTAAATGCTGAGGTGTCTTTACAGAGATGACTGGGTTAACGCAGCCGATACAGATATTTCATTCCGTATCCCTCTTCATCTTTACTCTAGATCTCCTTAGAGATGGTGAGTACAGAATTTGTCAGTCGCTGATTTCAAGTTTCTAAATCGAAAAACCATTCGCATTTCAATATACCTGAAGCTTAACTTTCTAGTTCTACGTGTGGTTTAACGATTCGTTGTAAGCTATCTAAGTGGATTAGATTTATGTTTGTCAGTCGGTCTCATAAATTTTCAATGGGAAATTACTTTAAGATTTTTTTTGAAATACATGTGAAGATCAATGGTTATTGCAGTAAAATATTACCTGTAAAGTGTAAATATTTTTAATATGATAAAGTAATTTAGATACATTTAGTTAAATTACAGATATTGTTAGGTGTTATTGGTAGCCCAGTTTGTGTAAAATGTTTCATATTCCGTAATTAACTCTCTTGGTTATCATTAATACCCAGTCAACTGACAATCATTTATAAATCTTTAAGGTTTGTCATCCTGGCTTATCAAGTTCTAATGAGGGTACAGTTATTTAATCTAATTGGAAAACTGTAAGACACTGAAAATTTACTGATTTCGTCTTTTTGCATCTTCTCCTTTAAAATGTTTACTGAAAAGTGTGAAACATTTGACATTTGAGCATACATCATTAATACAATATATTTAGTGTCTATTACAATATCAATAACAATGTTTATGTCATTCTTGGAAGTCGGTAAACCACAGCAGTTTCCAGTGTCAATCACATCAGTTTCCAATGACAGTTAGCAACCCATGCTCATCATAAGATGCAAATAACGATATCAAGTGATCACGCTCGCTGCCTCAGTTGATACATTGTTACATATCCCAATATAATGCTTATGTTATTAATCACTGAATTGTCTGGTCCAGATTTAATTATTTACAGAATGACATATCACTGGTATTTGAGCGATGTTAAACAAGAAAGTCTGATGACAGCTTTCGGCTTTGGAGAAATTATTACTTTGATCAAATATTTTGAGTCTATCTACAGTATTGATAAATGCCTGTTGGTTATCACTTAATAATAAGAAAAATCCCTAACAAACACAGGCCCCTGTCCTGTAAGCATGAGTTGCTGGGGCCAGTTCAAACCTGACATTCCCTTGGATGGAATAAATTTGTTACAACAGTGTTGACATAATTTCGTCTTTATTGTCACTAATGATGCTGTCTAAAACAATATAAGAACTATTATTTCCTCTGGCCTGCTGGGTAAAGACAAGCCGTGATACTTGTGACTTTTTTGCGTGTCTTAGATTTATCCTACCTCAACATGACATTGTAAGTGTGAAGTCCCCTGATGAGATTTAATTGCCTTGATATTAAGCTGTTACTTTGGTTATGGCCCAGGAAAGCAAAATCTGGACTAAACTTCCTCAATTTAGGTTTCCCTTTTGCGGGAACGGTCCAGCTACAGTTAAGACTGAATTTCGCGTTTCCCGGGGCTCTCAATATACAAGAAAAACAAAGAAGTGTGAGTCGTCGTCTGATACCGTAGTCATGGTAGAAATTGAATATATAAGTAACAATAAATGTTTGAGCCACAGTCTGTTCACTGATAAGTCACATGGATGGACCATGTGGAGGTGGAATTGAAAATATTGTGCATAGACAACTTACATTATTAAGCATTCATTGGCGTTATTTATGTTACTGCAATTTAATTTACGTTACTTATATATATAGGGCGATAACAACCTAAACCTACTTTCACTTGTCAAAGTTTGATTCACATGTGATATTTTGGCAATGCCAGACAACAAAACACAAAAGTTTCGCGAAACTTTCCAAGTTTCCAAATATGGCAGTAACATAAATTATTGTAACGTAAATTAGTTCTGGTAATGAATAATGTTATGGCAAGATGAATAAATACAGAATGCTTGGTTGGGGCACATGTATAACAACAGACCGCCGGACCCCAAATGTGGGCGAATTAACCCATATGTATGTTGGTTCTTTCATGACACTAAATATAACAAAATGAATATGCACTACCGATATAGCAAAAATGCCGCCATAGAACCAAATGTTTGCTTCTGAAGCTGCAATATAAATTACTGCAGTCTTAATGAAGGTTGATACTTACTGTAAATTTAGTGTTACATTTGTATTTAGAATACCTGTACAGATACACCTAGATTTAATATCAAATTTGAAAGCACCGACAGCCAAAATGTCGTCGACAGCAATTGTCCCAGTTAACTGAAAATTAGTGAGATCTGCTCGAACAACCGTCTTTGCATGGAGGATTAAATATAATAGTCAAATAAGTCAAACAACAAACAAATTTTACTACACAGCTCCAATACTTCTTTTCTTGGAGGCTTTTCCTAAATCGATGCTTAAACTTGTCATAGATCAAGTGCTGAAACTTGAAACAACTGAAACTTCATCTCGGTTAAGAGGCTAACAGATCGAGTATTGGGGTCGCGCGCGCGCTGCTCCGAAGTATGGTAATCCGATGTTTTAATAGCAATTCACTTTCGCGGCACTTCTAGCACAACTTAGGTTTTCGCTTTACCAGGAATAATGAATATTGATATTTCGCTTTCCTGGGCCGACACCGTTACTTCAACAGTCACATTTCTGCCACATGCTTCCACTCAGGTGGCCTTGTCACAGTCGGGAAGCTGCTGTAATTTTGATCCTTGCAGATTAACGTGCCTTTAATTATTTTTGTTATTGGTTGATATTTGAATCATATATAATTCACATACTTATCAATGATTCCTAAATAAGTGCCATTGTGCATTCATTGATTCAAATTTTTTGGGGTAAATGCTGAAGAATTGTAAATTGTTTGTTCAAACTGACTATATTTTCCTTCAACCGTGGGACAGAATATCAGCCTCTAGGTTATTCTAGATAAATCCTTGTTATTGATCTTTATTGTGATTTGACTGTCAAGAATTTAAAATTTGAAATTTACATTCAAAAGGACATTCTACCTGTTTTCCTGACAACAAACTCTTTATTGTTTGTAATATTTCAATATTACTTCATCTTGTAGAACGTTGTTTCAAGTAGGAAAGTTGTAAAGCAAAATGTCATTTCATTTTGCATAGAATATGTATTTTGTGTGAAAATGTCAAACTGTCATCAGCAGAGAATTCTGAATAACTATGGATTAATAGATATTTGATCATGTTGATACTCTATTCGTTGAAACATGTTGTTAAAAAAACAGCAAATAATTACTTATATGGCAGTCATGTTACTCCAAGCGCCTGATGCAACATCTGCAGCACAGATGAAATGAAATTTTGAAATTAATTTGATTGATTTGTTTCTGATATGTTGTCATGCCAGGTGCAGTTTGTGGCTATGTTATTTAATACAGATATGTCAACGTATGCAAAATCCTCGTCAGCATATTTTGGTGCATTGATTATCAACTCTTGTTGGATAATCTGGGGGCGGTGGGGTAGCCTAATGGTTAAAGCGTTTGCTCGTCACGCTGAAGACCCGGGTTCGATTCCCCACATGGGTACAATGTCTGTAGCCCATTTCTGGTGTCTCCCGCCATGATATTGCTGCAATATTGCTAAAAGTGGCATACAATTCAACTCACTGTTATAGTCTGACTTCCCTATGATATGTACAAGTTCAATTCAAATGGCAAAGCCGTAGTTTCTCTTTCAAAATGTCATGAAGATGGCAGTGGTGATCAATATTTCTAGAACCATTTGTTCTCCATGTTATGGAACAGTGGTGTAGTCTCTAGTTAAATTGCTTGCATGTCTAGCCCTGAGTTCAGATCGAGTCCAATATGTGACGCCCACTTGTGATGCACCTGTTAATATTGTTTGAAGTTGTGTAAAACCACACTCACTCATTTTCCTAGGATATAGGATTTACTGAATGTAACTAAAATGTTTGTAAAATTGTCAATTATCCCTGATTATCAAAAACAACTCGTACTGCAATGATTTGCAGTTCATGGTTAGATAATGGTCTCTTCATAGTCTATGTTAAAGTATGGACTTATGATAACCTTAGTGTTAGCTTTGTGGACTGGACTCCTGGTCGGTCTGTACCATTGGAGGGGCCACAACAGACCGAGTCCAGCTTTACATTACAGCCAACATTACAGTAACCATGGTAACTGTTTGATGTTGCAGGTGTAGAGGGATCAGCCAGTGAGGTGGAGGATCATCTGGAGATGGGCAAGAAGCTGCTAGCAGCAGGACAGCTAGCAGATGCATTGTCACATTACCATGCAGCCGTGGGTGAGTCTGGCCACCATCTTGGATTTATCATCAAAAACTGACCTCATTTCTCAGTAACCCTACCTTTTTATTTCAGCGCTTTCTTTTGTAGAAACCTTAGCAAATAAGCATATACCACAACCAACGGCTGGAAATATTACTGAACAGAAATCCCAATAATTCGTTTCGTCACTCTATCTGTGCATTTACATTTCTTTTCAAAATATTTGTTCATGAATATTTATAAATTCATCTGTCAGTGTCTGGATTCTTTATTTAGCCAACAAACTTTTGTTAATTTGACTTCTTTGCAATTTCTGTGAAAGCAAGATAAAATTTGTAGATGTAGTATTGTGAATATTAGTCATTTTAGAACAAAATTCCAGAAGTATTTTTACAAATCATGGTCATAATTGTGCAAGCAACTTTTGGAAACAGGACAGTTGTGTACATGGACCTTTGTGACTCACTGTGCTCACAAATTGTTTAATTTGCCTTATACATTGCCATAAGGCATGTTATCTGTCACCATGGTAACAGCATGAATGGATTGAAAAGATAGGATATCTATTTAAAGGATAGTTATCTGTTTCATCTGTTTCATTGTCAACACAATACTTTTGATCGGAGATTTTTAGTTCAGTTTTGTGATATTTTCTGGAATTTGTTTAATGAAAGTGATGTCACTTGAAAAATGTTTTGAATGCCTCTCACTCATTTTCCACCGTCCTGGATGCAGACGGGACTTTATTATATGATTTTCCTGGGTATCTAACTGTTTGTCATGTCTTTCCAGAGGGTGATCCAGGCAACTATTTAACATATTTTCGAAGAGCAACAGTATATCTTGCCTTGGGCAAGTCAAGGTCAGCTTTACCTGACCTTGATAAGGTCATACAGCTCCGTCCAGACTTTACAGCTGTAAGTAAAATCAAATCTGTTTGTAATAAAGGAATTATGTTCTTATCTGGTAGAAGCTGAGCCACAAAAAAGTGATGCCATTGTCATGCACAAGTTAATTTCTTCTGTACAGTGGGGCCTAGTGGTTAAAGCATTCACTCATCACTCCGAAGACCCGGGTTCGATTCCCCACATGGGTACAATGTGTGAAGGCCATTTCTGGTGTCCCCCGCCGTGATATTGCTGGAATATTGCTAAAATCGGAGTAAAATTAAATTCACTCACTCTTCTGTAGAGCTATTGTTGTCAGCTTGATAACATCATAGCTATGAGTTGTGTGCAGATTGCAACAAGAGAAGCTTGTCATAAGAGGTGACTGCAAGTATTCGGTTGTGATTGCAGGGTGCTCATACTATTAATCACTAGTTTGTCTGGTCCTGTCATGATTATTGATAGCCCACCATCATATTGCATGATGTTAGTGAATAAAGAGATGTAATATGAGTGACTCACAGAGGTAAAACAGAGTCTTGCAGTCTGCAGCCTCAAGTATATATGAATTGAAACTCAACGGTTCTCACAGACTTTCATTACAGTCAGAAGTCACACCATTGGCCAAAGTGAATATTTTCGGTGATGTGATTATTGAAAGGCACCCAACTGACACAATACTATGTATTGTGATGAAATGTTATACTTTCCTGAAAAGAACATAAAATACATGTCATATGAAATAACTGAATTATTTGAAATATCTATGTTTGTAAATGTGTTTGTGTTCTTGGTTGTAATTGTGTGTTTGTTTTTCAGGCAAGGCTACAGAGAGCTCATGTTTTATTAAAACAAGGAAAATTAGAAGATGCTTTAGATGATTATGAAAGTGTGGTGAGTAGATTCCAGATGAATTCCGATGTTTCTGAATATTTCACATGCACGTCTTCAACCCATGCTGACAAGAGGCAACTAACAGGATCGGGTGGTCACGCCCACTGCATGCCATCATCGCAATAGAACAAAGATGTCAATCACTGTATTGTCTTGTCCAAACTAAATGTATTTAGATACCTCTGTCATTTACATGAAATATTGCTGAGTCTGGCGTTCAATAACAAACAGAATATATTTCATATTTCTAACCTGAAATGAAAGTATGGTACGAAATTGAGCATAACAACATACAAACTACTCATAATATACGGTAGATGAATATGTCCAGGGGAGAGCTGACTTAGAATAGGTCTCTTACATGTTTTGCTTGCTACTGCAAGAAAACAATTCCGGAATATTTTTTTGTTCACTTTTCTCATTTTGAATCCAGATCGTTGTCAAAAATTTTGCAATGGAAGTTGCTATTTTGAAACTTGAGAAAGCTGCTTTCCGATTGGCTGCCGTCCATTTCCTTGGCATTGTGTATTCATGTCTATTTCCTGTTAGTCACTTCAATAGTTGGTCAAAGTTCATGGAAACTGACTTGCTATCTATTCCTGATATGACGAGGTGACTGGATTAGTTTAATCTAATTAAATCACATATTGTGTTTGCTACCACTGCACAAAGGTCTGAATACATTTAATTGAAGCTCATTGCAGAATGCAAAATTGTTCAATCATCAGAGTATTGTAAGGTGATCTCAACAGGAATCCAAATACACCTGTCTCTCTCTCTCTCCCACTTCTTCCCCTCTCTGTATGTGATTGAAGTCAGATAAAGTTATCAGGTTCTATCTCATAGTTGACTGCATGTTATATCTCGATGGCATTCTTCTTTATATGCATCACTGGTTAATTTTTTTTTAAATTTGCAACACATTCACTGGCACCATCTGTCCAATTATAAATTATTGATAATGCTTTGAATGTATTTTTGCTTTGATATCGATAATATTTTGAGATCAGGTGCGACATTTAATAACAGAAGACCTTGGAAATGTGTGAAAAGATCAAATCAATTCATGCTCAGAACCACAACCAGGTACTAATATTTATCAATGACATCATCTCCTGGCTTCAGGCTGAGAAAGATCCCAACAATGAGGATGCACTAAGACATATTGACCTGATCCAACCGCTGGAGGAGGATATCCAACAAGCCAAAGAATTCTTTAAACATGCTCACTTTAAGGAGGCTATTGACTTGTTGACTCGAGCTATAGAGGTAAGTGGCATTTGTTTGACTTTATTCATCTGAGTTATGAGTATGTAATATACTACTCTAAAATTAAATATTCTTTTTCAGTCTGAAGTGTGATCAGTATTGTAGTATAGTTTGAATTAATAACACTCTTAATGCAAATCGTGTGTTTATTTATCTCTATCGGCTGCTGAATAAGATACATAATATAAGAGCTGTGACAATATACTGACTTGTCTTGAAATGTCCACCACCTGCTTACGCTCTGCACGAGACGACTTAGGGGCCGTTCAAATTTATGGCTGGGGGGGTGATGATGATGATTTTTATCGAGAAGCATGTACAATGTGAATGTCAAAAAACAAACCCCCCCCCCACAACACACACACACACTTTATGTATAAAGTAAGTGGCACCCCCTGCATGTTATGTACAAAATTGATGACTCCCCTACCTCCCCAGAACAAAATGAGTGACCCCCCATTAAAATTATCATCACCACCCCCTAGCCTTAAATTATGAACGGTCCCTATGGAGATAGGATTGTCATTTCACAGTTGTGTAGATGTTGCTCATGATATCAGTCACTGGACTGTCAAACAAACACACAAATACTGTTTCTCTCAATGGTAGTGCTTAAAAGTTCTTTGAAGGGGTAAAACTCACTCACTCACTCACTCACTCACTCACTCACTCACTCACTCATTCATTCCACCTGTTCTTCAACCTTTGACATTTTATTGTGTTCTAGATTTGCCCATGGGACCCAGAGTTACGTGAGATCCGAGCAGAGTGCTACATTGCCGAGGGGGATCTGTTCAAGGCCACTGGAGACATTCGCCCCACCACCAAACTGAGGCCGGACAATACCAAAGGATACTTTAAACTCAGCATGCTATACTACAACATGGGCGAATCAGATGAATCTCTGACGTGAGTGCCGGCTGTACTGACACAGGGATAAGAATTGACAGGCTGCTGGGGACGGGCTGCTGGGGACTCATATTACATTAAGAGCCACATAGGCGGATCCAGGAATTTTCAAAAAGGGGGATTTCAAAGCCCCTGAACACACACACACCACCACCAACACCTACCCCCACCCTCACCCCCATCCACATGCCGGTAAAACGTTTCATGGCATCCATGGTCCTGCATTGCAAAATCTGGAATACCTTTTGACAAAGCTCGGCATCTGGCATACCAGTTAGGGTTTGGCATCCACTGTGATCAGATGCCTAAGTATTGTAGTTTTCATCCCTATGGCGAGCCAGATATTTGATTTTCGATTCAAATTCCACGAACAGTAAAAAGTTGAAGATAAACCACACCCAACCACTCTGCCTTCTTCCACAGGCAAATCCGTGAGTGCCTTAAGCTTGATCCTGACCACAAGGAATGCTTCGGGCCACTACAAGAAGGTGAAGAAGCTGGTCAAGCAGATCGAGAGCACCCAGACCTATAGCAACGAGGAGCAGTTTGATGACTGTATAGACAAAGCCAAAGCTATGCTCAAGACCGAACCCAATGTCCATCCCTATGTCCTCCGTGCTCACTCGCAGCTATGTCATTGTCATTCCAAGGTAAGATCTGGTGCTTCTTGATATGGAATCCTGTTCATCTCTTGAGATGGATCTGAAATGTGCTGCTGAAAGTGGATATTTTCTGTTGCTTCCACTGATCAGCTTTCATCTTGCCAATTGTCAGAGTACACTGGTGATATGGCTTCTTGTTTAGCCATCAGAGGCGGTGGGGTAGCCAAGTGGTTAAAGCATTTGCTCATCATGCCAAAGGCCCAGGTTCGATTCCCCACATGGATACAATGTCTAAAGCCCATTTCTGGTGTCATCCCGCCATGATATTGCTGGAATAAGGCTAAACATTATGTAAAAATGTCTCATTCACTCACAATACCCACAGACCAGTGGCTTTAAGCTCATTCCAAATGGACCCATGAAGATCCGGGGTAGAATAGGTCTTCAGCAACCCATGTGCTTGCCATAAAAGGCGACTATGCTTGTCGTAAGAGGCGACTAACGGGATCGGGTGGTCAGCTTCGCTGACTTGGTTGACGCAGATCGATGCTCATGCTGTTGATCACTGGATTGTCTGGTCCAGACTCGATTATTTACAGACCGCCACCATATAGCTGGGATATTGCTGAGTCCAGTGTAAAACTAAACTCACTCACTCACTCACTTATTCCAAATGCCTTTCAGTTTATGATCTGATCGAGTGTTGTTGTACCCACAGGCAGGCCACTTGTCCGACGCCCTGATGATCTGCGAGGAGGTCCTGGAGTTGGACCCACAGAACATTGACGCTCTGGCAGACAGAGCAGAGGCACATATACTTAATGAAGACTTTCAGGCAGGTCAGTGACACACCCACCACTTTCTTTCTCTCCCATGGCCGTCAGTTATTACTATGATGATGCTAAATCCTCATAAAACCTGTGACTCTCATCTTGTCTGGCACCTAACAGTGATCTGCATCGTCCAAGACTTATTGAAAGGGAAGAACTCCATGATGCCATCATTCTCACATTGTATCAAAATGATTGTGTGAATAGGTGAAGTCCTCCATTTTTAGTATTTGTTTGGAACATGCTTTAGTGACTTTCCAATCATGAGTATAACTGTCGAGCTGCAGAGGAAGGTTTTTGTGGAGAACTAAATGTCTTTCAAATGTGGATTTAGTGATTTTCCAGCTAGGAAAAATGCATCTTTTTTCAAAGTTGAAGTGAAGATGAAGCAACGTTATTATGGCATTATCCTTGTGATGATTCAAGACTCTGCTTCCACGTTGTGTTTATACCATCCTCTATGTTATCGCCAAGCCCATATATGTCTTTCAAGATTTTTGACATATTAAGATACGGGTTAGAATTGGTCTTCAGTAACCCATCCTTGTCGTAAGAGGTGACTGACGGGATCGGGTGGTCAGGCTCGCTAATGTTGTTGCCACATGTCATCGTATCCCAATTGCGTAGATCGATGCTCATGCTGTTGATCACTGGATTGTCTGGTCCAGACTCTAGTTACATACCGCCACCATATAGCTGGAATATTGCTGAGTGCGGCGTAAAACTAAGCTCACTCCCTCACTTTCAAGATTTTCAAATATATGTTGCATTAAATAAAGATGCTGACTTCTGATTGCACATTTCAGCCATCAACGACTACCAGGAGGCTGCCAATATTGATGAAAACAACCGTCGGATACAAGACGGCCTGAATAGAGCTCAAAAGATGCTCAAACAATCCCAAAAACGGGACTACTATAAGATATTAGGTGTAAAAAGGTAGGACCTTACTTATAGTATCTGTATTTAGGTTTTGTCCAGACTGTTTAAAATGTGGAAATATTAATGACTTCCCCGAATATAACCTTCACTACACTTGGAAGCTAATCAGTCTATCGCCACTACTACCATTTTGTTATCCCCCGCCCATCCGTCCGTAGCGTTTTTCCGAGGGAACTCGAAAACCGTTAAAAAACTGGACTCTGGTGGTGTACTTGTCCATCCGAATTTTGAATAAAATATTTTGGCATCCATGGCAACAAGTTTGTCTTTGAAATTGGTGGTAGTGCTCTTTTCCAGAGCTGAACTCTAAAACCGTTCACTATTTCTTCACCAAACTTGGCACATAGATAGATCTGGTGGTGTACTTGTGCCTTTTGGTAGTTTTGGAATTGTGAATAAAATATTTTTGGCATTTCCATGGCAACAAGTTTGACTTAGACTGAAATTGGTGGTAGTGCTCTTTTCCAGAGCTGAACTCTAAAACCGTTCACTATTTCTTCACCAAACTTGGCACATAGATAGATCTGGTGGTGTACTTGTGCCTTTTGGTAGTTTTGGAATTTTGAATAAAATATTTTTGGCATTTCCATGGCAACAAGTTTGACATAGACTGAAATTGGTGAGTAGTGCTCTTTCCTATTTCTTCAGACATGAACTCTAAAACCGTTCACTATTTCTTCACCAAACTTGGCACATAGATTGGTCTGGTGGTGTACTGGTGCCTTTTGGTAGTTTTGGAATTCTGAATAAAATATTTTTGGCATTTCCATGGCAACAAGTTTAACATAGACTGAAATTGGTGATAGTGCTCCTTTCTGGAGCAGAACTTTAAAAACCTTTCAATACTCTCCATCCACTTTTCTATATACACACCTAAATATTTGACATAATCATAACTCGTTGACATAATCATGAAAAGTATTTTGCCATTGTGGGGGATATTGATGACTTTGTCTTCTTGTTAGTCTAAGTCAGAAAATTAATGACTATCTCATGTAGTGCACCTTCTCATTCTTTTGAATGTGAAATGGAAACAAATTTCACAGCATCTCTGAACAGCTCACCCGAGCCAGGGACGGATACAGGATTTAGGGGTGGGTGGGGTGGTGGTGTTTGCACATTAATCACCCCTGCTGCAGTTGCTGATATAGGACATCTCTGGAACCACATGAAAGCATGTGACCTGTCCCTGGATACTCCTGTGACTTCCAGGTGTGATCAGTCCCGTGTTAACATTATTTCTTGTAATTGGAAAGCTCAATGTTACACTTGTGAACATTTAGATGACGTTCAATTTGCCATATATAGAAAATATATATATCCTACTACGGCTTCTGCACAAACTAAGCTCCGCCAAGAAGATTCTATTGCTTTTGGTCACATGTTTCTGGATGACTCTCAGACACAAACTCTGCCTCGACGAAACAGTGTGTTAATCCATTCGTCTGCACGTCTGACCGGAAAGTTGCTCAGGCAATTGCTTCTATGAATATCTTATGAAGTGACACGTCAAAAGTGTGCCTACAACTTACACTCAGAGGATAGTCTAGTCCAGTCTCCATCGTAACTTACCGTCTTCCGGTCTCCCTATAGTAGAGGGTAATCTGCAGTCCCCAATCAAACCATGGGGGAAGTGCACTATGTGAGATAGGATAAGTTTTAAAATTGTAAAATATTGACTTTAACTTGTATATTTATAGTACTGATGTTATGATGTAATGTCATGTTAATCTGTTACTTTACGGGGCGGTGGGGTAACCCAGTACTTATAGCGTTAGCTTATCACAATGAAGTGAGTGAGTATGGTTTTACACCGCTTTTAGCAATATTCCAGCAATATTGTGGCAGGGGACACCAGAAATGGGCTTCACACATTGTACCCATGTGGGGAATCAAACCCAGGTCTTCGGCGTGAAGAGCGAACGCTTTAACCACTAGGTTACCCAACCGCCCCTATCACACCGAAGACCCAGATTCAATCCCCCACATGAGTACAATGTGTGAAACCCATTTCTGGTGTCACCCGCCGTGATATTACTGGAATATTCTGAATGTGACGTGAAACTAAACTCACTCATTCACTGACTGCTCAGTTTATTCCTGTGTAACATTCATCAATCTGTCGTGTTGTGTGTTCAGGACGGCCAGGAAGAAGGAGATTCTGAAGGCTTACAGGAAAATGGCCATGGTGTGGCATCCAGACAAATACCCAGAGGGAGATGAAAGGAAGAAAGCAGAAAAGAAGTTTATTGATTTGGCAGCTGCAAAGGAAGTGCTCACTGATCCAGGTAGGGCAGGGAGTAATTCCGGGGAAAGTCAATATGAATTATCTTCTGGGATTTAAAATATAAACACCAAAACAAATCTGAAACATGAACACTGAAAATAGACTGAAATATTATGCAAAACACATTTGTTAGGTAATATCTGTAATCAGGCAAATAACAGAATCAAGTGCACACACATTTTCAGTTGAAGTCCAACCAATTGTATTCCAATTGTGTCGATCGATGTTCATGCTGTTGATCACTAGATTGGCTGGTCCATACTCAATCATTTATAGACCGCCGCCATATAGCTGGAATATTGATGAACGTGGTGTTAAACAAGAAACCAACTTTTTGCAAGAGAAAATTTCTAAGGTGTTGGTAGGACATACTGTTGAAAGTGCAGTGTCTCAACTATTCCTGTTTGGTGGTTTACAGAAAAGCGAGGACGCTTCGACAACGGTGAAGACCCTCTTGACCCAGAAGAGCAACAACATCAGGGGCATCCATTCTTCCATCAGGGATTTAATCCATTCGGAGGTGGAGGTGGAGGTGGCGGAGGCTATTCTTTCAAATTCCATTTCAATTGACCCTCAAAGAGGCCTAGATGCTATTTTATGCTCGACATTGTAAATTATACATTGGCCATTTGTATATTCCCCATTCTCATGGTTGCCATAGAAACATGGGGGAAAAGACCTAACTGTATGCAAGGTACAAAGAAACCGAGGTATTGTGAGGTGGGAAAAGTGTCCTTCAAATATTTTGTGTTTGCAACAAATCTGTGTCAAGTATAATTTGCATATAAGTATCAAATTACAAAGTGCATCAACAACTGATGGTTTACAGTAAGATTTTCTCATTTAAACATTGGTTCAGTCAGCTGTTTCAGTGATGAATTCCCATTAAATATTCATCATGTTCCTCAATTCATAAATTGCCAAGTTTGTTTATTTTCAAAAATGGGATGTGTAAGCAGTGAGTAATCAACTGGTTGACATATTGGGAACCACATTTTGTTCTGTGGTGCGGCCTCAGACATCTACCCATGCTCAACCAAACTGGTAGATTTTAAAGGTTGGCATTTGCCTCCCCTTCCTCACTAGCCAGATTCTATGACATGTTGAAATATTGTTCAGGCTGTGTAAATCCCATGTTTTTCGATTTCTGAAAAATACAGAACAAACTTCTGTGTAAAAGCTATATAAAGACTGTCCAAGTTGTTTTGGCAATACCAGTATTAAGCAATACAAAGGTTGTTTGGGGACCGTTCATAATTTATGGCTAGGGTGGTGGTGATGATTTTTAAAGACATGACACCCCCTAAAATTTATGTACAAAGTTAGTAAAAAAACCAAAAAAAACACCCCCTTGCATGTCATGTACAAAATCAATGACAGCCCCCACCCTCTCATAATTTTTAAGCATAATTTTTTACTACTGTTATGTACAAAATTGATGGTCCCCCCCTCCCCATAACGAAATGGGTCATCACCCATCCTAGACATAAATTATGAACAGTCCCTTAGCGACTGTCTTTCTCGCCATGTTTCTGTCAATGGCATGGTCTCAAATCCCTGTATATATACAAGCATGGATGGAATGTGTGCATGGAATGGTTCAGAACTCTGAGCTGTATTTATTTTCAAATATGTTTGATATGTGAATAACTTGAAATAACATGTAAACTCTGGTGCAATTCTAATTGTTGCTGATTTCTGTGTGGTGAATGAAATACTAGTATTTGTGAGTTGTGTGCTTTAATGCAGATTTTATGCCTATTCGGCAGGTATTGAACAGCAGGACAGAATTTTCTGTGTCGGTCATTTGTCCATTTTGACATTCTTGTACATGTTTATGAGGGATGTTATTTCATGTATCTCCACTGTGTGGGAGATAATTTCTTACAGAACATCTTATTGAAAGGATTATTAGGAGAGGAGATGATTGTCATTCAACTGACATTGACTTAATCCAATCAGTTTTGTAAATCATTTAAAATGGGATGTATGAATTCCACACAAACTGTTTCATTTGCATTCATTGGGGCAATGGGGTAGCCCAGTGGTTAAATCGTTGGTTGTCACCGTAAGACCTATATTCGATTTCCCATGGGTACAATGTGCGAAGCCCATTTCTGGTGTCCCCCGCCGTGATGTTGCTGGAATATTGCTAAAAGTGGCGTAAAACCAAACTCACTCAGTCATTACATGCTCCTTGAAAGTAGGGGAGATAATCAGGGTTGCTGAACAGATGGCCTTCACAGATAACTTCATTGAAGCATTGACATCCTCATTTGAAAATCATCTTAGGAATGTTGTCAGTGAATAGTCTCCATTAAAGCCATTGTTTTAAGTTGCAAGAACTGATTTGGAATAACTTCTTAATTATTTGCATAATATGTTGATCCATAATGGGTTTCACAGATGTTGAATTGAGTATAATAATAGAATTGATTTTGAATTTATGCATTTATTAATAACTTCATCACAAATACATCTCAGTTTTGAATTTCTTTACAAATAAATATGACTTTCTTTGTGTAGAAATTGAACAATTTCATTAATAAATTCAAATAATATATATTAAATTCATATAATAGTTCATTTTTAGGTAAGTCATTACTGCAAAACAGCTAATATTGTTTAAGACTGCTTCTAAAAAAAGTTCATTACAAAGTATTTGGTAAATAGGTAACTGTCTTGCAGAGTTTCAAATAACCAGTTAACTCTGTGTCTGAGGACACGTTTGATGTTGTCTTGTTGAAACTGTCATAAATTCAAGTTTTTCATTTTAAAGCTATATCTATTTGTAAAATAATGATGTTAAACATGAAAATCTGCCATGTAGTGTTTTGAAGGTGTTTTGTGTTTGTTCTCTGAATTCCTGAGCCATTTGAAAACCACAATAAGAGCACATTCCATTGTAGAAATTGCAACAGATTTGTGTTAAAACTTAACCAGTATAACATTCAAAATATTTTATTATTAAGCATTAACTGATCAGATTTGGCTAAAGTTGAAAGCCATTACCTGTAATGCTTGTGACATACTAAGGTCTAGCCTCAATAGTTGATTGATATTAAACTTTCTGATTATGGTTAGAAACTCTCCATCTTTACTGTTGCATGATTCCTTGTAATGCAGTGTTTAGAGGAACAATATGATAGTGATATGGGAAAATCTTTAACATTTCATTACTTGGATTTACTTGTTTTGAGTTTTAAAATTTTAAGTGCACTTGTTAAGATATTTTTCTATTTTGTTATAATTTGTAAGCAATGCTGTATGATGTTTGCATGAAATTATCTTCATGCACGGTTCCTTTTATGATTTAGAAATAAAGGATCTTAGTGACTGGTCTTGTTAATAATACACACTTACAGGATCAGAGCGTTGGACTTTCAACAGACTAGATCCTATGCTGGTCTCTCTTAGGCCAATGTTCACTGTTACATTACAAGTCATACTGTTAGGAAGAGTATATTCAAGCAGCCATTGTGTCTGTGTGTTTTGTTGTCCATTCATGTGCGGAGTGCGAGCTGAGATTTTCCTGTGATGAAAGATGATGTATAACTACGAATAAATGATTTCTTGTTGGTTAGACCTGATGTGGTGTTTTCTTTCATTGATATAAATATGTCGTAAGAGGCGGTGAGGCATGGTTGACACGTCATCGTATGCCAGTTGTGTAGATCAGTGCTCTTGATGTCAATCACTGGATTGTTGGATCCAGACTTGATTTACAGACCACAGCCATATACATGCAGCCGGGAATATTGCTGAGTGCAGCGTTAAACAACAAACAATTCATTGACATTATTTCCTGTATGATAAATAAATGCAATGCACAGTGTTGACCAGTGGAATCATGTAATGTGTTTTTAATAGTAATGAGTGAGTCTAGTTTTACGCCACATTCAACAATATCTAGCTGTATTGCGGCGGTCTGTAAATAATTGAATCTGGACCAGACAATCCAGTGATCAACAGCATGAGCATCGATCTGCGCAATTGGGAACCGGTGACATGTGTCAACCAAGTCAGCGAGCCTGACCACCCAATCCTGTTAGTCGCCTCTTACGACAATCATGGTTTACTGAAGATCAATATTCTAACCCGGATCTTCACGGGAAACAGTATGTTTCCGAACCACCCAGAGTCTTTTGTCTCGGCTCCTTGATCATTTACAGCCTCAGCTGATTGCGAGGTTCAAGGTTAACAGTCGCACAACCATCTCATCCTACAAAATACATGTTCATACCCAAATTTGCTTAGCATGTTATTAACAAAACATCGATGATTTTACATGTTGAGATTTGATTAACTTTCTTGTAAGTATAAAGAATGGGGCTATAGCGCATAGAGGTTCATTTTCCTATTATGGATTATTTTGACTGACTGTAAGCAAAAGCCACTCAGAAATACAATGGAATATTATATATTTGTCCCAACTGTAGTACACTAGCTAGCTTCCATGAAAAGTGACGGTGCAATTGTGAGCTTCTAAAAGGTCAAATACGTCGTAAATAGTCTGTCCACATTAGACATGAGAAGGGCGGTGGGGAAGGGCGGTGGTTAAAGCATCCGAAGATCGCGGCGCGGGTTCGATTCCCCATCTGGGTACAATGTCGAGCCCATTTCGGATATCCCCCGCCCCGGCTGGAATATTGCAAAACTTGGTGTAAAACATTTATTCCTTCACATAAATATAGTTGTAGGTATTTCGGTGATGAATAATTTGTTTTAATACTGAGTTCAGACAAATAACATCGTTGAGACTTGAAGATTTCAATTTTCACTCGTTCACGTTGGCATAGAGTTGCAGACAACCAGCTAACGATCGGCACCGAAAAGGGATACTGAGCGATCTGCCAAGCGCCTTTGAGTCAATTGCAGTAGCGCTCTCAGTTGCGCACAGCAACTATCAATACTGCCCAACAAAGGCATGTCTTTAATAACTCCCCAGCTGTTGAAACACCTGTTCATTGTTCATACACGTTTGTTATTCACCGCTTCGTAAGTATATGTACGAATGATACTGTTAAATTTACCTCGGTTTCCTTGTAGCCTCCGTGGCCTAATGGATAAGGCATCGGCCTCCTAAGCCGGACTGGTGACACTGAGTGAAAGCCGGGGATTGCGGGTTCGAGTCCCGTCGGAGGTGCTTTTTGACAAAATTATTTTTCAATTACCTACATTTTACATACACAGCAAGCAATTGGTATGCGTCATTTTAATCACCGTGATATTTGCTATACATAAGTTTACAATCTATAATTATAAAATACATTTGTGTTTAATTGGTTATTTCCCGAGATATTTCAGCTTTTTAATGTTTATCATCTGAATAGGATAATGAGAAATGTCCAAACAAAGGCATATATTGTAAGTAATCAGTGTGATGTTACCTGGCTTTATGTATATTTTTTTCTCCAAAAAGTTAGCAAAGGTAATGAAAGCAGTGAAAGTAAATACAAATATTTATGCCAAATCATCCTATATCACAACCCAAAAAAATAATGAAAAAACACACCAAAAGGTCTTTACCATTAGTGTACTATAGCACGGCAATACAGCAACATTACAAAACATCGTTGTCTCCCTAAACCTGTGTTAGTGGATTCTGGTGAGAATCATTGGACTCCACCAATAAACAACATAATATGCTGGCAAGAGGCAACTAAATGGGAGGGGTAGTCATGCTCGGATCCTTATTTTGTGGACCAGGCTCGTATCCTAATGTAGTGGACGGATTCTCATGATATCAACCACTGGATTGTCTGATCGATTACATACATACCGTCGGCCTACAGCTGCAACTATAGCTGGTGGAGACGTTCAGCGAAAGCAAACAGCAACAAAACGAGTAATGATGGAAACGCTCATAAAATCCTTGTTACCGATCTTGTTTTGCGATATTTTATAGTGCCTTTCATGGAACAACTTTTTCTGTTTACAACATGTAATTGTAGATTCAAAACACATAAAAACTAAAATATATGCAATGAACTAAACACAACAGGTATGTGTCATTTAACTGACCATAAATTTCATTATGGGTTCCTTAATATTCTTTCAAAGTTTTGTTATCGGATTCAGGATTTGAATATTAATTAGTCCCAGCAACTAACGCTTGTTGTCAGAGGCCATTTTTTAAAGTGGTTGGTCGGGCAATGGACAAAGTCACAATACCAATAACTGGATGGATTCCGCTATTTCCAGGCAACCGTTTGAAGAATGCTGAGAGCGACAATAAATTGGTTTTTTTGTTTGGTTGGTTGTTTTTTAACGCCGCATTCAGCAATATCCCAGCGTGACGGTTGTCTCTAAATAATAGTCTGGACCAGACAATCCGGTGATCAACATTATGAGCATCGATATTCGCAACTGGGATACCACCACCCGATTGCCTCTTACTCGACGTTAAGCAACAAATAGGACTTACCGAAATACTATCGGTCACCAATAACTATTTCACTGCATTAATAAATATGATTTAATGTGTTATTTATGTGTGAATCAATATCAAACTACATACATACTTTACCATACGTGAAATGGCTTCCTGTAAACATTCAGAAAATAGTTTTGTTTGAAACATTTAGTTAAAATATGAAAGACGAAAACATAAAAAGAAAAAGGCCAAAAGTTGTGAGTGTGTACCATTTGGGTTGTAGATCACACTCCTCCCTGTTTATACATATATGCCAGTTTTGACAGAAAGGGTGTCAAATATTTTTTCCGTAAAGCTTGTTCCGGATGGCAATTACGTATTCCCGCCAATGTGGCAACTATTCACTTGTGATGGCGATGGTTATGCTACAGAAACAAATTAAGTGTTATCATTTTTTCGTTTCGTCAGCTGCAGCGATCACAACAGCGTACTGAATATTCATGTGGGTGAGTGAGCAGAATGTACTACGTTTTTTCGAGCAACATCACGACGGGGAATCAAACACAGATCTGTTTGACAATTGGACCACACCTGAATGTTAAGTATAGAAGTGGTAACATTCACATTGTATATGCTTCTCCATAAAAATCATCATCACACCCATCCAGCATCACACCCAGCAGCCAGGGTACCTGGACTTCGGAGGATATCCGGTCAAACTGTACGGAACAGGTTGAGAGAGACTGGACTGAGAGCCCGGAGACCCGACGCCGGGACCGTGCTACGTCGTCGCCATCGCGCTCAACGTCTCCGTTATCTAAAATTATCCACTTGGTTGTATATTATTAGTATTATAGTATATTTATATAGCGCACATATCCACGCAACTGGTGCATGCTCAAGGCGCTGGTATTTGTCCCTCGATCATTGGATGTCAATCTCAACGGCACATCGTATTATCAATCTCAACTCCCTAGGGAGTATACAATTTGTATAGACATTTCCTTCTTCTAAATTGATGTAAAGATTCATGTACTAAACTCTATTTGTGGACGAGTTATACATGTTTGAAAATACAACATTTTCGCAACAGATTTCTGGGTTATGCGTTTCATTTTATGGAATAGTATATATATTCAGAGACTGAGCGTTAGTCTAGTACAGGCACGGCTCCGCGACCTGTGTGTAGGGTGGGTTGTATGGTGTACAGTAGACTTGCACAAGTCTCTAAGGTAATAATTAATAGTTTAAATGATAATTTCTAAAATATATATAATAATTATACATGTATTCCTCTGTATTCTGGCGTCCTGCAACTGTCAGCTTATCTAGACTTGCCTCTCTGAAGGATTGAATTACTATACATAGATGGGCTCAGCATTCAGTACAGCCTTGGAGCATGGCTAGGTGTACAGATGCAGACTGTCAGTTCAAGGATGTTGGATCTCAAAGATGTCGTTTAATCGTGCGTTCTGCAGCGGTGACTCTGTCGTCTGAAACACCACAAGTTGCTGAGTTACGTCCCTTAGGTGTGACAGTATCTCCGACGATAGACTTTCGATATCGCGATTCCCCCGATTGTGTTCTTTGTGTCAGTACTGCGCCATTGCTCGCGGATGTAATAAAACGTCACAGACAATGCACTTTCTTCCACATTCAACAGACTTTGTCGTTTAACTGTAATACTGGTCTGAGCGACCAAACGACATTTTGCTTTGGATACAACCATAGTACATATGCCATTTTGCTCGAAATTGTCGTTATTTCTTAAATGGGTTACTAGACTTTCCTGTAAAAAATAGAAAACCATTTTCTTATCTCAACGTATCTTTTTGTTTTAGTAGGCTTGTTTATTTTAAATTGTCTTCAATAGTATACAAGGGTTACACCTCATCTGAGTACCATATGCCTATAAAATACATTCATTGCTGCTGATTTACACACTCAAAGATACAAGAGTTGTGGGGAGACAACAAAATGTTTTCAGAAATTTGATATCTCTTGTATTTCCTTCCATGTGCCGGCCGGTATGTCGTGGAATGCATCAACAGCATGAAGAAAAATGCATTGCGGAAAAACGCGTGTTTATTTATAGGTATATTTGAGCAAATTGATTATGTTTCAGTCTATTGAACCTAAAATTCCTTTGAAAATGCATATTTATGTTTGAAACATTACATGCACGCTCCTGAAACCGCGAAAATGTCAGTGAAGACTGGCGAGATCGTGGGATCCACAAGTCTCTTTGTGGCGCATCGGAATTTACAACATATAATGGTTACACGGAAGATTTAGCCATACTCTTTGCATTGGATCACTTAACCTTGGCGTCAGATTGTGGAAAGTCCATATACTTTTGATTGTTAACATCTGTGGAGTGACAAAAAAACGATTTTTATTGCATATCCGGTCGATATGCTTTGTTTTCCAATAACTATTTGTCAACTTTGACCTCAGATTTTAACCAGTGCGCAAGCGCACCTGCTAGTCACATGGCTTCTTCAGCCAATCAATGCAGAGTTATGGCGGACGCCGCCAAGATCGTTTTGTTGGGGAAATGAGTGAAGTTTATCGAAGTCAGAATAAGCGATCAAAACATAACGTATTCGATCAGGTTCCCGAAATGGGAACCGTTTGATCTTTGGACGTGATTGGTGTGACCAATGGGTCCAGATGGCAGCCTGACTACGATATGTATGTTAACGGATCAAAGAAAAGCCTGATCAAGTGGTGATCGGTCGCCATTTTGTTAGTGAAATTTAAACAAGATACCCTGTCAATTGGGACAGTTTTCGAGTTAATGAGATATTATTGTTGATCGTTGTGTAGTGCACAAGGAGGAGGGGTAATCGCTTGTCAAGCAAGTGACCTCGATCGCCAGGAGATGTCTGCTAGTTCGAATACGACGCTCGCCAGCCTCTGGGTTGATGACGGTAAAAGAGAATTTATAGAATCTGTATTTTGCTTTGAAAAATGGTTGCAACAGTCAATACTATGCTAATTTGCATGACCGTTAATGATCATTTGAGTCGAGAGTTGATCGTTTGATTTATCTGTATGACAGATATGTAAAATACATACACGTATTTCGCTTACTAAGCACTGACGTCCTGAAGTGACCTCGACTTGAATCTGATCAACAAGCATGTCATCCTTCTATTGCCATGTGACAAATCGGTGTGCATACATTTTAAAAGCTGTTCAAAACCTACAGTATTCGTGCATCTTATGAGATAATGAATCATAAGATGGCAGGTTTACCAAGTATTGGTCATTCATTGGCAGTGAATTAGCCCAAATATAGGAGGAGCACCTTTGTATACACGTGTATGATCAACAGCTGATGTTATGTCACTGTTGTCCACCTCCGGCTTCCCAGCTAGTTAGGAAACGGACACTCTATGCCTTATATACACAGTGACAAATCAGTGAGATTTACATGTTAATGACATTACAGGCAGAGCCCTGCCGAAATTGTTATGCCAGAATAGATGCAAGCGTGATCATTTGAAGATCAGGGTGTGGAAGCTGCGGTGGCTGAGTGGTCTAGACGTCTGACTTTGTGTGGTGGCGATTAGGTGCCTGACTCTGAGGGTGTGGGTTCAAATCCCGGATGGGATTCAACCCAACAAAAGTACTAGAATGTGTACTTTACAAAGAAAGTGTAATCCCAAATATAACATGTTATCATTTGAAGAGTTTAGCATGATGTAGCATAATTGCAACTTTAATAATTTGGTTTGAGCTTGATATTGTTAGAGGATTCCCAGTATATTGGATGGCATCTGTAGAACTTGATATTTTTATCAGGATTTAAAAGCGAAGTAATTTTGTCCAATCAATCATTCATGGTTTACTGTTAATGTTTATACTGGGTGCTGGTGATCACCTAGATAAACCTGCCAGTGTGTGCTGCATAATTCTACATTTCTGACATGACTACAGGCCTTATGTTGAATGTTTATGTTTCTATCCTGTGTATAGAATCTAGAGTATGGAATATTATGAAAAGTAAAATAATAAAGATTCAAGATTGAAGACCAGAGGAGGTTTGGAGTATGGTTTCACTGGCTTGTAATGTTGCCAATCTGATTTGGGTTAATGCACTGTACATGAAGTGAAGTAAAGCAATATTTACTGTGATGCTGATAAGTATGCATTTCCCCACCCCATTTATGTCATCAGTACATGTTATGCTCTGTTGGTAGGTCAAGCCAGTCCAGTGAAACTAACTGCAGTCACTCCAACCAAGTCAGGAAGTCTGGAGCTCAAGGATGATCTTACAAAGTTCTACAAGGATACAGGCTTGGAGAGCTATGCTAAAGAGGTAGATATTTTACCTTTGACCTTGACAGTATTTAAATTAACATCAATAATAAGGCCAGTCCAAAATGGTGTCATGCAGACATATTTATTTGTTAGCTGCAGGATGCAATGTTATTTGATGCCTGCAGGAGGCAGAGTTACAATGAGTAACTCTGTAGTTGTCCATTTGTTGTCAGTATAAAGCAAAGTTGGTTGATATTGTTCAAATTTGATGGCAGGATAACAGGGGTGGAAATGACCCATTGCCCGACGCCCGAGTCCAGTGTTTTTTTCTGTCGGGCAAGCAAATTTGTATATCACACTGTACCGGTGTCCAGTTGATATTCCAATGTTAATTATGTTGTTTATTTAAAAAATCAACAAGAAAACGGCCGGTATAGTGGAAAAATTATCAGGGCAAGTGATTTTACATGTGCCACTGTACCAGAGTACACTAGCAATTTTAAAGTTATTTCCACCCCTGCGGATAACTTGTGGATGTCTCTTTATCTGTCAAATTTGTGACCGTGGCCTTGCATATCAACCGGGGTGACAATCTCATTCAAATCAAAGATTAGTTCTCACTACGACTGAATGAATATCTGAGGACATCCTTTATCAGTGATTGGTCACTTCTAAACAACATTTCATCTGCTGACCAATCAGAGTGTATCTGACCAGATGAGGGATATGACATTTAAAATATGTTTTCTAATTACGCAGCTTCAAAGAGGTTTAAATATCTAAACAGCTTCCTCAAACAAGGCTGCAATATTGACATTAGGTCATCTCCATTTACACATTTTGATGAGGCATTTTGATTTGTGGTTGATTTCAAACCAAAGAATTGAACAGGGTTCCATACTCAAAGAGAAGAGTGCTGGAGCATGTGAAATCATATATTATGGAAGTAAATAGGTCCAGGGTATATGTCATATTAAAATACAGACTTGATACACTGGATAATCCAGGATGACCAATGATCAGAGATTTCTTAAAAGAGCAGATCTGCAGTTCCTGTTGAAGTTGCCACAATGTACCTTAATTCATGATGTAGGTTTATGAAATCATCACTGTTGTATGGTCTGCTTGCATTATGGTACTAGCCTGCTGGCCCATCTTATTATCCCCCGCAACGCGTTTTGCGGGGGGTATTAAAATGGACTCCTTTTGGTAGTTTTGGAATTTTGAATAAAACATTTTTGGCGTTTCCATGGCAACAAGTTCGACTTAGAATGAAATTAGTGGTAGTACAATTTTCAGGAGCAGACTTCTAAAACCGTTCACTATTTCTTCACCAAACTTGGCACATCGATAGATCTGGTGGTGTACTGGTGCCTTTTGGTAGTTTTGGAATTCTGAATAAAATATTTTTGGCTTTTCCGTGGCAACAAGTTCGACTTCGAATGAAATTAGTGGTAATGCTCTTTTCCGGAGCAGAACTCTAAAACCGTTCACTATTTCTTCACCAAACTTGGCACATAGATAGATCTGATGGTGTACTGGTGCCTTTTGGTAGTTTTGGAATTCTGAATAAAATATTTTTGGCGTTTCCATGGCAACAATTTCGACTTAGACTGAAATTGGTGATAGTGCTCCTTTCTGGAGCATAACTTTAAAAACCGTTCAATACTCTCCTTCCACTTTTCTATATACACACCTAAATATTTGACATAATCATAACTCGTAGACATAATCATGAAGAGTATTTTGCCATTGCGGGGGATATTGATGACTTTGTCTTCTTGTATTATAGTTGTTGTGTTTTTTGTTTAACGTGGGGCTAAGCTAAGTTACAGCAATATGACAAAGGTCTTCAATCCACACAGTGGGGATATGATGACAAACATCAGCCAAGTCAGTGAGTCTGAGCACCCGATCCTGTTAGTCACCCCTTATGAAAAGCATGGGTTGCTGAACATTGATTCTAACCCAGCTCTTTACAGTTTATTATTTTGTAAGTGTCCTAAGGGATAGTACAGGGCTCGATTTAGTGCTTTGTTCCTTGCACTTGTGGAACCCAATATTACAAAGTGCAACCTAGTTATGAGTTAAGTAGGTTAACATATCTTATATCGAGCCCTGTAGTAGAATTTCAGGCTTTAGATTTGCTTGTGTTAACACTATTTGGGCTGTTAAATGTTTCAGGTTATGTTGTGTGTTCTCATTTATCAATGTCAGCTATGATATGAAATGTATTTACTGACATTGTTGAAAATCTGTTTGTTATTGTTATGTTCATATGTCATGAGAAACAAGGTACACGACCAATCAACATATTTAGCAGCCAAATTGGACTACGTGAAGTTTTTTTTTGAATGTGACAATGAATACCAGTGATTTTTCTTACATGTCTCACAAGTTGGCAGAAGACATCTTTCTGCCATGGACTCTTTCCAAATGGGCCTGGGGAATTCTTATAAGTTATGGGTTACAGTTTTGCATCCACATCCGCCCAGAAATTACAAGGACTGTGGAAGTGAATTTGGTGTGAAGGACACCAGCAATGCTGTTCCTAATAAGTCACCACTGAGTTCTGTTCCTAATCCTGGCTTTGAGGATTGCCTTTAAGTTTTGAGGCTGTATTCACTGTTGTGATAGTACTTCAATAGTACCTCATCAAGGCAAGCAGTTTGAACTGATATTTCAAGTTCAGGGTGTGCACCACACGAGCAATGTCAAGGTCACAACCCATCTCCAGTGCTCTGCTGAGACAGCAGCTTTGTTGATTGGCATATGATGATAAATAATAAACTTTACAACTTGCAGAATACAAGGTTCATCCTTTGTAATCTCGTCAGAGCAAATGACGAAAGCGTGAAATCAAAGATCGAGAAACCTCTTTATTCACGACTGTCAAGTAACCACCACGTTTGGGGATTTTACTGGATTTACTATTTTTCAGTTAGTACCGCGGAGCGCACCCATCTCACGTACAAGAGCCGATAGGCCGTCTCACGTGCACGTTCCGTATCTGACTGATAATATTATCAGTGTTCACGAATGGTGTTTCAAAGTAACAGGACATTGGGTCCTGTAAGTTTAAGATGTCTGTCTGACCCATTGAAAATTCACAGGACCCATGGAACAAAATTAAACACATATTTCAGATTTAACATTTCTTATAATTGGCATTGAAATTATTAACAAACATAAGAAAAATTAAGATAAAATAAACAGCAAACAAGTGTCACATGTCACATATAACAACTTCAGTCAAAGTCATTGTGAAATATACAGTCAGACACTGGGGCCGGTGGGTTGTAGACTTCTATCGGACCGTTGGCGAATCTGCCAGATTTGTCAGAGGGTCAGACACTATTCGCGAACACTGTATTATGCTCAGTGGGACATTGGGTGCAGTCATATAGATGGGCTTAATAGTTTGTAAGTCAATGACTCTCACAAATATTTTAGATCACTTGGATGAATGTCAGCATCCCAACTTCCCCTGCCTAATGCTTCTGAATTCGCTATTTCAGCCTTTCAGATTGAACTTTCACATATTATTAAATATAGTAGTCATAGTTCTGATAATACCAAAGATGTTTCTCCTTTAAATGCCTTCAGTAACACAGACTCGCCACCCACAAGTAGTAGTATACACAATGGGGAGTTGAGATAGCAAAGTGATTGGTTTCGGAACTGAAATTTTTAATTTTTATCCCCCCAGCATGTAGTTTTGGAATTCTGAATAAAATATTTCGTCTTTTCCATGGCAACAAGTTTGACTTAGCCTGAAATTGGTGGTTGTGCTCTTTTCCGGAGCTGAACTCTAAAACCGTTCAATATTTCTTCACCAAACTTGGCACTTAAATAGATCTGGATGTGTCCTGGTGCCTTTTGGTAGTTTTTGAGTTCTGAATAAAATATTTTTGGCATTTTCATGGCAACAAGTTTGATTTAGACTGAAATTGGTGGTAGTACACTTTTCCGGAGCTGAACTCTAAAACCGTTCACTATTTCTTTACCAAACTTGGCACATAGATAGATCTGGTGATGTACTGGTGCCTTTTGGTAGTTTTGGAATTCTGAATAAAATATTTTGGGCATTTCCATGGCAACAAGTTCGACTTAGCCTGAAATTGGTGATAGTGCTCTTTTCCTAAAACCATTCACTATTTCTTCACCAAACTTGACACATAGATTGGTCTGGTGGTGTACTGGTGCCTTTTTGGTAGTTTTGGAATTCTGAATAAAATATTTTTGGCATTTCCATGGCAACAAGTTTGACTAAAACAGAAATAAGTGGTAGTGCAGTTTTTCGGATCAGAACTCTAAAACCGTTCAATGTTTCTTTACCAAACTTGGCACATACATAGATCTGGTGGTGTACTGGTGCCTTTTGGTAGTTTTGGATTCTGAATAAAATATTTTGGGGATTTCCATGGCAACAAGTTTGACATAGACTGAAATTGGTGATAGTGCTCCTTTCTGGAGCAGAACTTTAAAAACCTTTCAATACTCTCCATCCACTTTTCTATATACACACCTAAATATTTGACATAATCATAACTCGTAGACATAATCATGAAGAGTATTTTGCCATTGGGGTATTGATGACTTTGTCTTCTTGTCATTTTTATTTTTCTTGGTTTCCATGGAAACGATTCAGACTTAGTTTCAAAAGGGAGGGGTAGGTTTCGTTTCCGGTGCACATCTCAAAAACTTCTTAATATCTTTCAGTAAAACTTGGCAGATATGTGAGGCAGATCTTGAAGCGGTGCCTTTTGCTATTTGCAGATAACTTGGCACATAGATAGATCTGGTGGTGTACTGGTGCCTTTTGGTAGTTTTGGAATTTTGAATAAAACATTTTTGGCGTTTCCATGGCAACAAGTTCGACTTAGCCTGAAATTGGTGGTAGTACACTTTTCCGGAGCTGAACTCTAAAACCGTTCCCTATTTCTTTACCAAACTTGGCACATAGATTGGTCTGGTGGTGTGCTGGTGCCTTTTGGTAGTTTTGGAATTCTGAATACAATATTTTGGGCATTTCCATGGCAACAAGTTTGACTTAGC